TAACCCTAACCCTAACCCTAACCCTAACCCTAACCCTAACCCTAACCCTAACCCTAACCCTAACCCTAACCCTAACCCTAACCCTAACCCTACCCCTAACCCTAACCCTAACCCTAACCCTAACCCTAACCCTAACCCTAACCCTAACCCTAACCCTANACCCTAACCCTAACCCTAACCCTAACCCTTAACCCTAACCCTAACCCTAACCCTAACCCTAACCCTAACCCTAACCCTAACCCTAACCCTAACCCCATGCTCTTTCTCGTCAGTGATCATGTGGNAACCCTAACCCTAACCCTAACCCTAACCCTAACCCTAACCCTAACCCTAACCCTAACCCTAACCCTAACCCTAACCCTAACCCTAACCCTAACCCCATGCTCTTTCTCGTCAGTGATCATGTGGCATCGACGTCTGCTCTAGTCAAGCAGTCGCCTGGTCTGATGATGCCAACCATAGCTCGACACACTGACTCGAATGACTGTGCAATAGAATGTCGGTGCGATGAGAGATGCCAGCTGGATGGCTGACAGGTTGAGATGATTGCCGCTGTGAGCAAGTCTTTCAATGCCACAGTCGCAGGAAGCAGGCTGCAAGTCGCCGAAGCATATGAGCTGGTAGAGGATCTGGTGTGTGTCTGACATCGAGTGTGAGTCAGATCGTGTCATTGCCAAGAGGTTGAGTCCAAGGTAGACAGCCATCAGTGTGAAAGTGTAGATGCATCTGATCTCATCTTTGACATAGTCTAGCCAGAAGTTACTCTGATCATGTGCAATGTGCAGTGCAAGGCAGGCAGCTCAGAGATGTACGATTGAAAGACGAGAACACATTGGGACAGCTGTTGAGAGTAGGATGAGGATTGACCAGATCTGGTAAGCGGTGCATGTTCCATCGCGGGACTGCCGGCAATGCGAGTTGGTCAGAGTCACTGCCGAGATAGACAAGCCCAAGCTGGTAGGGCGTCGATAGACCAGGTTGTCATCTTGCGGACAAGTCGAACAGTCTGACGAGCCACACGGTACAGCTATCATGTGATGCAAGCACGATAGACACCCGCTGAGTGAGTTGAGATCGTCAGCTCGAGTATGACAAAAGTGGCTCATGTCTGTCGAGTGGCCTTGCTCGACGATGAATCGATGTGGTGTGCATGTGCGATGAGTGTGGTGCATATACTGGCAGGCGAGAGTGTCTGTTCCTCGAAGCGCTGCTGTTCTCACTGCGGTACATAAGATGGTCTTGCTGGCAGTTCTCCAGCCTGACGTATTGGCTCGTAGCTAGTCGCCAGTAAAAGATGATTGCTCGCTAGCGTCCCACGCTTTCTGACTATCGGCGTGGTTATGCATGATCTGACCATGGCTAAGCGTATAATCAGTGAATGTAGCTCGCAGTCTCCACAGCTGCTGTCTGCGGCATGAAGGAAGATGAGCGACGCGACTTAGCCTGATTTGGCAGCTCGTGGCAGTCGTGTCGACTGGACTTTGGAAGGTATGCGTTACTCGACGACGCATGATCGGACTGGACGACTGAGCGAGAAGTTGCGAAGGGAAGGTATAGCGGAGAGCCGATCGATTTTGATGATATATGTCGACGATCAGAAAGGATAGCACCGCTCTGCCATTGGCGAAGAGTGAAGTGCCAGGGGATTTGTTCAATTTGCCTGGCCAAAACTCAATATTGCGGAATTTATGGGGAAATTGTTAATCACCCGTGTATTTGATTGGCGTGATTTATCGAGGCGCGTTGGCAGGACATTAGGTTGACCACAGCGACTTTAGCGAAGCCACTCATACTCTTCACCCGGTCGCATTGCTGCGATTCATTGGTACACGTTTAGTCGCCATCACTATAATGCGACATAACTTGCATTTTGAGAGATCGTCTGGCCTCCCTGCACCAATTACGACGGTTCAAAGGGACGGAGAGTCAGCCTGCGCCCTAACACAAGTGACATCCATGAGATTGTGCTTCAGAGCACACTGGAGTATCTTCGCTCGCAATACCAGCTCAGTCAAAATGCTCGATGTTGCCTGTTTGGCCGGCAGTACGGCTGAAGCAGTATCTTGCGACGGTCGCAGAAAGCAATAGTCACCAAAACAGTATCTAGCGGACGATTGATGCAATATTGCTCGAGCGGATGTCGACAGCAGTAGATGATTTTCTGCTGCTGAGATGCGTGCTAAATGTGGTCATGATGGTCATCGCTGCGTTCGTCCAAGTGATATGCTCCATCAGATCATTGCAAGCGGTAAGCCACCACTAGCTTTGAAGACTCAAAGAAGGGCCTGCCACAGTGCTCGATATGTGACACGGCGAGTTGCACGGCTGACAAACGGCTTGCTGCTTGTGATGACCTCTCGCCATGTCTTTACTGTGCACTTAACCGTTTCCAAAGGATAGTCTTCAGGTTTGACTGCTCGCCTCGAACACTGCTGTCACTTCCTGGGGCGTTCCTTTGCCTGCGATGAGGTGCTCACTTGTTGCTAAATTGTTATATGGCATATTCACAGGTCCTAGCTGCCTTTCGGTTTCAAAGTACCATTGAGGAGATGGATGAGATCAAAGACTATGATTGCTTGTAGCGGAAATTCTTCAGCTTGAGCTGTTCTTTGATGTGCGTGAAGAAAGGAACATGTATCAATGAAAATCATATGCGCCAGAAAACGGATCGATGTTGTAAATTTGCTTAGTATGCATCCGCTTGACGATGATGACAACGTGATCTGTCAGCTTGTATTCTCCACTTCACTCGCGCGAAAGGTTTGATGGCGGCTGAGTCTGAATTGCTCTTTTCTGACCAACAATTGATGACAGCGCGTGGCTGGACAATATCGAGCAGCGAATGCAAAGACGAGAGTTCTCGCAGGGACGGATCGTATTCATGGAGGCTCATCATGCAGATCAAATAGCAGAGATAACACTGAAAGATCAAACATGATTGCCGATAAGTACGAGAACAGTAGCGCAAGGCCTAGACAATATGCGCCAGACTGTCGTGAGAAATGTCAAATGCACGCGGTGTCGGCATGATCGTCATTCCCGCCATCAGTCTGAAGCTGGCATCTGATAGCGAGCTGGTGGTGAGACGTGAGGGCTATGATGCTAGACGACTCCATTGGTTGCAGATCTGCAGGCGCGTGATCAATCGGACAAGGCGCGCAGATCACCGAACTTACCCGAGCAGAGATAATTAGCACGTCAGTGCTTTTTTTCCCTTGCGCGCCAACCTCAACCAGCACGACCATACAAGTCCGACACTGTCTTGCGAGGATCCTTGATAGCACTCAGAGATCAGCATGCTCGAGGACGNGTAGTCTATGCAGGGAGATGCAGCGAACGAAGAGTCTTGGTCGACAACATTTGGCTAGTCGTGGTTGCTCCACGCTGTCATTTGGAGGCCTGCTCGCTCGTCAACGACGCTCTGGCGACCACAAAACAAGCTCGACATGCCCGTTTAGACCCTTTGCGAAAGCTGTGATGATCTGGAGTTAGCTCGAGGCCAGACTCGCAAACTGGCTGATTCGACGGGGAGCTCCTTTTCTACGCGACTAGCTGCGACAGAAGGACTGCCCGTGACCATTCTGGAAATCTTGAAGAAGCTCACGAGTATCAGGGGGAGGCGCCTTCACTCGTCGAGGCGAGAATGTGGCCAACAAGAAGACAACAGCCGCTTCAGACGCTCTAATTGGGAACATGCCCGGGACCGCGGNCNNTAGGCAGGGGTGGTGAACTGTCGTCTGATGGGGAATTGCGCGTGAGGTGACTCGAGCGGACGAGCGCAAGCCGACGAGATTTGACCTGCTGTGCTCGCGGCNGTCAAGTTGAGGCGCGCTCGGTCGTTCAGACGAGAAGCTGGTCAGCAAGAAGACGACAACTGCCTCTGGATCTTGCTTCGCCTATGAACACTGGAGCCCGGAGGTAGCTTTGCAACCTATCAGCGACGGGTAACTTCAGACGAGGTATTTGCAGCGAGCAAGGAGTATCCGCCTGCGACAAGTGCTCTGCCGCATGCGGCCAGCCTTGGAGGCTTGCTCGCTCGTCGGACCAGCGCGTGGCTCGACAGCAACACTTGGCAGCCTCAAGACGGACGTCAAGAAAAGCAGATCCGCGCCAGATAGACGAGTATGCGACGCAATGTATTTGCTCATTACCCTTTTACATGCGAGAGAGACGAGTCTGCGATATCAGGCACTCGTCTCTTTCCACCCCAACTTTCTATGAGTCTCGTTCTTCTCTGTCATTAAGCGACAGCTGATGAATACATCGACTTGCAGGGCATAGATTACAGTCTTGTATGATGCAAAATTACTCCATTTCTAGTCTCAAAGTAGATCATGTCAAAGTGCATAGGAATACGCTTTGGGGTACAAGCAGAAGCTGCAATCAGCTCAAGCGCACACCCGCGCGTGCAAGCAGGACGCATGCAAGACTTGAAGTAATCGAGGGCGTGCTGCAGGCTAGATCGAATGTTTTAACCACCTCAGAAGATGCTAAAGTATTATTCTCTCCATGTTCAAGTTGCATTCGATTCATACATCTGACTCGTGCGGGCGACCAGCGCCTTAACACATCGTACAGAGGGTGTGTTCACTTGCGCGTACGATGCTGTGCTGTGCTATGCATGCTCTATTGGCTTCAAATCTTGCCGGACTTGTCAGATTTTCGCCTTGCGATCTTCTTGCTCTTCTTACTCTTCTTGCTCTTGCTGCGCTTCTTCTTGCCTTTGCTACTTGTGCTCGCGTTCGTGATCGTGCTCAACTTCGCGCTCGTGCTCACGCTCGTGCTCGCCTTGGCTGTGGTCGTGGTCGACGATGCCGGCGCGCTGACAACGCTCGCCCTGCTGGGTAGCTTATATACATTCAGTCTATTGGCTCCTCCGCAATACTCTGTTGAGTTGCCCGAGCATAACATGTTGCAACCGGCAGAAATGGGATCGCTGCTGGGCGTGGCGACAGTAGCCGCATTACGCACAGTGCTGTCGCAATAACACTGACCGGCATATTCGACGCCGGCGTACATGTTTGCACTGCTGGCGCTTGAACAAGCTGCAACGCATTTGGCGACAGTCATTGCGCCCGATACAGTGGCGCTGGTCGAGAATGTTCGTTGAGCCGTGTTGTCCGTGTAGCAGCCCACAAAGGTCGTGCCAGCGGGTCCCGGATTTGTAAATACGCCTTGAGTCCATTGCGTAGAGTTGTAAAGCGTTAAACGGTTGCCGGCGCCGCAGTATTCCAAAGAGTTGCCCGTGCAGGTGAACGAACAATCGCCCTCGGGAGCTTGCGCTGGCTGAGTGACATTGCCAGCCCAGCACTCGCGAGCATATTCAACACCCGCATATCTGTAGCTTGACGAGGCTGCAGCTGCCATGCACTTTTCGATGGTCATTGAGCCGCTCTGGTCAGAGATCAGCTGGTTCGGTAAGCTTCTGCCGTTGACACCGTCCATGCCGCAGCCAATATACTTGAACCCTGACGCAGAGGCGACGACACTTGGCTGATTTGCAGTAACGTTTGCACCAGTTGGTGGCACGCCGCCCGTGTAGCCGACGCCATTGAATGTTGAAGGCGGTTTGGGATCTGTGCAGCTCGTTGCTGGCGCAGGTCCAGACGTAACAGGATTGCAGCCAGGTAGAGCAGTGAGCTGACCGGTGACGACTTCATTCACGTCAGGCGAATGATGACACTTCGCGTTGGGATCGTTGAATTTGAAAGCGCTGCATTCCTCGATGACGCCGCTGCTGGCATTGCAGTTGCTGACAGCAGTCTGCAAGACTGTCTTGTCCCATCCGTTGAGGAAGTCGCCATGGAAGCCGTAACCAGTGACATCGCCTGTGCTGAAGACAAATGGCTGGGTGGCATTCCGTGCTTGAGTTCGCAAAGACGTGAAAGCAGTGACCGAAAACGTGGTCTCGTAGAATAATGATACCAAGCGAACAGGATGTGTGGAAGGACAAGCGCCTGCGTGCCAAGTCAGCAAAGACTCGGTACCACGCTTGCCTCTTACCATTGTCCATACCGTCTGGGTAAGCCATGTGCGATTTATGATCCGAGGAGTTGGCGTTTATGCCGTCCCAGCAGGATGGGAAGAAGACTTGTGCTCGGAGTCCGTCAGGGCAGTCGTAGGGCGGTATGAAGCTAGTCTGCGGGTAGGATTTGCCGGCAGTATAGGCCAAGCAAACGAACGAGATTGCACGTTGCTCGAGGGTGTCTGCATAGCTGCGCAAGGAAGGTGTGCCAGCAACCTGAAGTCGGTATTAGACTACCTAATGACAGATCCACATAAGGCCTTACCATGGAGAACCCGTCTGGAAACGCAAACAGTTGCTCGCTATCGTTCGCCCGACGCTGGAGATAGTAGACAAGCATGCCCCCGACCTGCGGGACGTCTTGAAAGGTACCATTGGCGAATTGGAAGTACAAGCTAGGTACCCAATAGTTCGACATGTCTTGCGTGACGAGGCAGGATGTGCATTTTGATTGTCGCAAGCTGCCAAAGTTGGCAGAGAGCCCAAAGTTGGATCCGCCTTGGATAGTGTGAACATGCGAAGCAACTTTGCCGGGCGACACGATTGGATCGGCTCGCTCGACAAGCAAATTATTGCAGGGCATCCTCCAAAAGGCATGGGTGGAAGTTGTCAGGAGCAGCGTCGCTAGCAGTAGATACATGCTTGAAGGCGCTGCTAGCTAATCGGCTGAGCGCAGCTAGGGCGCGAGGTCCGCGCTTTTATCTGCAACTGATCAGGGTGGGCAATGTCCGCATCTCGAGGTGTCTGTTGACAGGCTTGTTGTCTTCTAGCCGGATGCGTCTTTTGTCGTTGACATCTCTAATTTGAGTTAATTAAAAGCGGCGCTCCCTTCGATCAGCTCGATCGCATCGAACACGCGCGTCGAGTGTCAACGCGCGCACGTCAAAGAACGAAGCAAAGATGACGAGCGGGAGGCCGACGGCTCGCTCGAGGCTTCCCAAGCGCAGCGATGTGAGCGTGAGACCAGCTGGTGGTACCCCTGGGACCGTTGGGACCGTCAGACGAGATGACAAGCGTCCAGCGACGATCCGATCAGAGGCGCTCGACATTATGACCTCGCTGGGAATGACGCCCAAGAAACCCTCTGCTGCATCGGTCGGCTCTTCTGCAAACTCCTCTGGACAGGCTCTGGTCTCTCTCACTAAAGTTGAGCATGGCAGCGAGGATCACTTGCGGACGATCAAACGACTGGAGGGCGAGAACCAAGGTCTATCACAGCAAATCTCTCGACTTCAGGCAGAGCTCGCTGGCCGCACTGCAGCTTCGACGCTGGAATGCGATGTCTGCAAGGCTCTTGGGAAAGAGGTGCAGCAGCAAGAGAGACTCCTTGCCGGGTATGCAAGAGAGAACGAGCGACTAGCCGTCGACTACGAAGCAGGCCGTAAGAGGTAGATCGTGCCTGCAGTACGCAGCACCGGTGCTGATCCTACTCGCAGGACTAGATTCGTCGAAGAGCTGCTCCGCCAATATCACGGCGAGCAATGGGAGATGGAGCTCGTCGGCAGATCGTCCGCAAAGTCATTTCAGCCAGAAGTGATGAGAACACCGAGCGCTCGCCACCTACCGGCCCATGAGCTACCCGCTGTGCTCTTCTCCGCTGGACGCCAGCTCTCTCGAAGTCCGCCGGTTCCTGTTGCACAGTCAGAGCGCGATGATGGAGCAGACCCGGCAGCTGCGGCAGCAGAGACAGAATTCGGTCGGGAGACGCTCTCACAGCGATCACAGCAGTCACAAGTACGCAAGCCGGCTCAAGCCGATCCGGGTGCGCTCGAAGCAGTCCGCGCTCTCTTGACCAGCATGGAGCGACGTCTGCTCCAGAGAGAAGCTGACTTAGCGCTGCGAGAGGCAGACGCTCGGCGTGCTTCTGCCAACATGACGTGCGAAATGTCTAGATGCATGTCTGAATGAGATCGCAAGCTTGTGCAAAATATCGCATGCGCAGGCTAGACTAGCTCGAGATCAAAGGGAGTGTTGCTACGAGTTGGCGTTAGAGTGCCCTCGCGACTCCGATTGATGAAGCTGTCAAGCAGCTCGTAGAGGACCTGGTCGGTCTCGCTCCGCATGCCTTCGGGAAGCTCCAGCGGCGACTGCATCGGAGAACCGATGGCCGCTCGCCGAAGATACTGTAGGCTGACTGCGCTGAGTTGAAGCTCGCCAAGGTGTCGAACCGCAGCTGGATTCATGGCGTGACGGACAAACGCTGTCAGATTGTCGAGTAAGCGCATTATGCGAGCTTCCTCGTCGGTCAATAGGCTGAGGACTTCACTCGCGTCGGGGGTGGCGGCTAGGTTGTCCATGAGCTTCAAGCATTGTGGCAAAGCGTCAGAGACAATGCGCAATACCCCAAGATGCTCGTTGTTTGGTTGAAGCCGGAGATCATCGAGTCCGTCACTGTCCTTCGCTATATCGTGATGCAACGCGGCAAGCGGTCGTGCTGATGCTTCATTGAGAATCTCAATGGCTCGCAGCGCGCATTGTACAGCAACGATGGGCAGGTTGAGCTGAGATTGTTTCTGATTGAATGGAACGATCCGATGGAGTGCCAGTGTTGCGAGGACTGTTGCAAGAAATGGGTTTGTCCGCCTCGATTGGCCGGCGAGCAAGTCAGTCGGCAGGTGTTGTGCTGACGGGGCTGTGCCAATGAGGCTCGTAGCCGTGTCGATCATATACGATGCAACGGCGCTATTGAACACTGCGAGGTGTGACAAGCGAGGGTCTGCCATTGTTGCCTGCGAAAAGGTCGAGCAAGGGAGTGTCAGCGTTGACTGCTGCTCCTGCCCGTGCGCGGAACGCTCGGGCTTGGACATGCTTGAAACAATCGTTTGTAGAGTGCGACAAGCGTCAGAGAAGACAGCCATCGACTTTGTGATGCTGTCGTCACAGCTCGCTAGGCGCTTACTGCTGGGTCGCATGCGGTATCGCCAGCTTCTTGATTCGGATGGACTGGCCGGCGGCAGCGGTAATCCTTGCGCTAGCTCAGCAAGTGAATCGCAGGGCATCCTTAGGCACAGAAAGGTCCATGCTGCAAGTAGTGCTGCCGTGCTGCGATCAGCTGTGTCAGAGCGCAAGAGAATGTAAGCTCACAGATTGACCAGCAAGCAGAAATCAATGTCTCGCTTTCCACGTCTGCGCGCGTAGGCTCTGCAACCGAATGCTGAGGCTGAGAGGATCTCGAGGCAAGACGACCAGGTAAGATAGCGCGCACAAGAGCGTGCGCAGTGCCGAAGAGAGCCCAAGCACGTTTAGGCCGGGTGTTTGATATTTCATGACCTCCCCAGATAATGAGTGCCTGAATGGTCGAAACTTGATGCACCTTGCCGCTGCCTGCGCGACCGAATAGAAGCCATTCGGCATACTTGAAGAATGATGAACTGTCAGGCAGTGCGTGCAAGTTAGCGCAGGAATGACTGTCCGCTGGCGTCCGTTGACCGAGACAATCGTAGTGGTTGCCGGGTATGATGCGGCTGATGGCAGTTCCGACGATGACACAGACAAGCGCTGGATCACATATGCCCTCCTCCAGATCTGACAGGAATGAGGTATCGCTGCATCTACGCGTGAGCCTATGACACTGGTGCACGCACAGCAGGCTCACTTTAAGCACAGATTGAGCGCAAATTTGTCATGCCATCGACTGAAGATCGTCCTGATTTCTTCACTTGAGATCTTAAGCAGTGGATTGGACGGCTCGGGCGTGGCTGTTGCCGAGCCCGCTTGGTCAAATGGCGCTGAACTGTCGTTGTACCACATTCGGACAAATAGTGGGATGTTACTCGATTTGCCGACGAGATCGGGTGGAGCGTAGGCAGATGGAGAGGTTGTGCCCGTTGTGACAAGCGACACAAGGTCGACGGAGATGAGAGGCCATAGTCGCGAGGTCATCATGGCACGCGAGAAGACGGCAATCTCGCTGGCGCTGCCCTTACCAAGCTTACGTCGGTTTGATTGGGCACTGAGCGCGGCGGCATAGAGCGCACGGGTCGCATTAGAGGTCTCCTGCCCGTTCGCGCGGGCAACAGACGTATGTCCGCCAGTGACGAGACCAAAGAACGTTTCTGTCATTGTACCGATTGTATCGCTGCTAAATGCCTCCCAGACGCCATTGAGCCTCTGGACTTGTCGAAGACGAGATACATTTGCTTGCAGATCCGGCCGCGCAGATGTCTGACATTGTTCGGCTAGTGCATCGACGGGCAGATCTGGCTCCGCACTGGTCTCTGAAGTCGTATCATCCGAGCTTGCGAGCCCTGGCGCGGTAGATGGTGGCGATGCGAGACTGTTTGGCGACAAGATCGGCAGGTGTGCTGCCGGCGAGTATGGCGAGAAGCGGGTCGCAGATTCCTCGTACGCTCGGGCGGGAGAGGCGAGGGTAGCGGGTCGACCTGAAGGAATGAGGTTGCCTGTTCCGACAAGGCCTTTGCCGGCTTGGAATTGGAGCTGGTATCTAGGCATAGCTACGTAGCGGTGACGTTGCTCTCGCGCTTCAAGGACGCCGAGCTCTCTTTGCCAGGAGGCTGTCGATGGACCTGGTAGGCGCTGTGCCGATGCTACGCCTCGAGACCACTGAGCAATCCTGCTGTCCGCACCGTAGACAAGCCCTGAAGATGAGCCGCTGGGATGCCTCAAGTGATCCGTGGGCGTATCAGGTCGACTGGGTACTGTTGGGTGTATTCGCTCAAGCTCGTCGGATTCGCTGCTTGATGAGCCCGTATGCGTGCTCGCTGGCGGTCTGGCGGCGGATGCCGGTCCTGACTTGGACGTCACTCGTGCCCGTTTGCTTGCCTCGCGAGAGGGTCTAGGTGCCCAGGCTGGATCCGCCTTGCGCTTGGCATGATGTCGCAGAGCGGGCGCAGCCGGTGCCTTGACTGCCTGAGCATCTTTCCGCGGTCTTCCCATTGACTGAATCGTCAGGAAGAGGCACGACAGTCCACGCTCCGTACAAGCCTGGCAAGAAGGACGTGATCCGCCCGGCTCGTCGTCCTGTCTTGCTCGTGAGGGAGCCCGTTCAGGTGGAGGGGGCAGGCATCTGATCTTGCGCTTCCTGCAGAACTCGCAGCTCGCCCTGACGGCGCCTGTGACACATTTGTGCCTGTCAGTCATCCCAGAAACGCTATCGTCGGTTGCGTGATAGGCTGAGGGCGGAGTCGTCAAAGGGGTCGAAGGGGTCGCATCGACTGCTCGATCGAGCAATTGCGCGACTGCATGCAACGCCATGGGCATGCCTCACTGTCGTCTACAGCGCCCTCATCTCCCTCGATTGACCTTAATCCACGACCGAAGCCGGCTAAAAGGGGTCTCACAGGAGCAGCGGAGAGTATCGACCCCGAGCATCACCTCCGTGCTCGCTTGCTTCTCGTCCTCGGTCCCCGGCAAGTCGCAACGCACACAGACATACTTCTGAGCAGTGCACAGCTTTCAGACGAACAATGATGTTTACGCCCGCAAAGCTTGCAGTCTTGCTGTGCGCTTTTGTCTCGACCGCCGTCGTTGCCACGCCTAGCCCTGCAGTGGCATCCAACGATCTCGGACCTTGGTTCGCGACAACGGTCACGGTTTCGATGGGCGGTGGTGGCCCAGGAGAGTTTCAAGCGACTGTGCAACTCCAGGTCCGCAGACATGACAATGTACAAGCAGCGGTCAGAGGTTTTGCGACGTTGGCTGATCCCTTGTTTGGCAGGGATTGTATGGTAACGTCCCGCCCGGGTGGAGTCTCACGTTCAAGGAGACTGGCCGTGATGGCCGTGGAGGTGTAAGTGGTCGCATGATCAGTATGTGCTCCGTATTGCGTCCTCTCGCGCGCATGCTAAGCCCAACCCAAGTCGACCAGAACAATGGCAACAAGCTTGATTGGGTAGTCCATCACAGATACGGTCAGGTGATGCTTTCCTACTACCATATCAACAGCTTGTACATCGGAGGCGTCCTCGTCGACAACTGGGCCGATCTCAGCGTCGAAGTCGTTAGCGCTGGCGAGACAATCGCGGCTTACTAGCAAGCGCGATTGCTCAACAGCCGCTCATCGCTCGACATTGCGCGAGCCTTTGGAAGCCTGTTGTAGACTCAGCCCAGTGTGCATGCGCTTCCCTGGCGCCCTGACGCGGTTACTTCGCGCGCGCGCGCGTGTGATGGAGCGATTGACAGTTCGCGCCAGCTAGCTGCCGGGCTTAGCGTGCGTGCGTCGGCGTGATCGTCTGAGCGGTCCAAGTGCGGTGAGGAATGCAATCACACGCATGTCCTTGCAAGACCCTGGGATCAAGCTAGCGCAGTTGAGCAGAGCTGACGAGCCAGGGGACAGCGACGTTTCCGAGGATGCTTGGCTGCTCGACGACGAGATTGCGACGGGCAAGGGCGTCAGCACAAAGGGAAGCGCTCCAACAGACCGTCACGGACCGGATGGACTGTCGATCGTGCCAACGGTTGATGATCCTGCCTTGCCACATCTGACTTTACGGGTCCTGCTTATCGGTACATTGTTCTGCATCGTCGGTGCAGCTATCTCTCAGCTATTCTACTTCAAGAGCAATGCACCAAAGTTCTCCGTCTTCCTCATCATCCTCGTGACCCTGCCTCTCGGCAAATGGTGCGCAGCTCTTCTGCCAAACGTCGAACCCATCCAAGGTTGGCCACTCAATCCTGGGCCATTCTCAGTCAAAGAACATGTCCTCATCACCGTGTTGGCCGGATCAGGTGCAACCTCTGCTTACGCTGGCGACATTCTGGCTGTCCAAGACTTGTATTATCATCAGAACCTTGGCGCCATCGCTGGCATCGGACTCCTTGTCACAACTCAGGTCTTGGGCTTTGCGCTCGCAGGCAGCGTCTATAGGCTGCTAGTCAGACCCACCAAGCTTGTCTGGCCGTCTACACTTGTCCTCGTCTCGCTCTTCCTCACGCTCCATGCGGACGAGACCACAAAGACGTTGACTCAAGTCCGCCTTCGCTTCTTCTCGATCGCGTTCGTCGGCTGCTTCCTCTGGCAATTTGTCCCCGCTGTGCTCTCTCCCACCTTGACTTCTCTTGCTGTTCTGTGCATCGCTCTGCCGCGGTCAGAGGTCGTCGAGACGTTCGGAAGCGGATATCGAGGCTTCGGACTCGGTACACTCAGTCTTGACTGGTCAGTCGTGGGCGCTTTCGGCGGACTGTTTACGCCCTGGTTCGCCTCTGTCAACTTCTTCGCTGGCCTCGTCTTCATGTGCTGGGTCTTTGGGCCTGGCATGTGGCTGACAGATTTCTGGAATGCCTCCAAATTCAGCTCGCCAATCGGATCAGGCCTGTATGATACGTCGTTCAGTCGCTACAACGTCACTGCGATCATCAATGCCACTGATCTTTCGCTCGACGTCGCTGCCTACGAGAAACAAGGTAGGCTGAGATGTATCGAGCTCAACCAGTCGCTGATCAATTACTGCGCAGGAGCAATCCTGCTCACGCCCTTCTTTGCCATGACATATGCGGCTTCTTTTGCTATCCTGACCGCTGCTGTTACCAGCGTCATTTGCTGGAATCTCGACCTCATCAAGGATGCCGTGTCGTCTTCACCGTCGGATGACATTCACGTGCAGCTGCTCGAGCAGAACTATCCGCCCGTGCCGCACGCGTGGTACATCTCTACCGGTGTCATCACACTGGCGGCAAGCTGCGGCCTTGTGCTCCTTTATCCGATGCAGTTGCCGGTCTGGGCATTGGTGTTTGCTGTCGCCATCGCAGCTGTCTTTCTCGTGCCACTCGGGATCGTTGCAGGCATCACGAACACGACGATCGGTCTCAACGTTATCTCGGAGCTCGTTGCTGGCTTTGTCATACCAGGCCTGCCCATTGGAGTGATCACCTTCAAGGTATACACCTACATGGTCTACAGTCAATGCTTAGCATTGGTCGGCGACCTCAAGTTTGGACTGTACATGAAGATTCCGCCCAGGTCTCTTTTCATCGCTCAGCTGCTCGGCACGACACTCGGAGCAATCGTGAACTACGTCTTCATCCGAATCGTCCTGGATTCGAAGCGTCAGTATCTAGACGGAAGCGTCGTCGATCCTCAGGGACAATGGGATGGAAGAGCGCCGCAAGTCTTCTATTCTGCTTCTGTCATTTGGGGTTTGCTTGGACCTGCGCGTTTCTTTTCGGGTGACTATGCTCTACTTTACTGGGGCTTCCTCGGCGGCGCGATTATGGGGATCCTGCCATGGCTGCTCAATCGGATCTGGCCTCGGAATTACTGGCAGTACGTGTCCGCGCCAGTTTTTCTGCACGGCTGCGTCGTCGTGCCTGCCGTGCCGACTAATACGATCACCGTCGGCTTCGCAGCTGCGTTTCTCTCGCAATTTTGGGCAGCTCGTTATCACCGCGAATGGCACGAAAAGTTCAACTACGTACTCTCTGCAGCGCTCGACGCCGCAACAAGCATCAATGCAATGTCAGTCTTTTTGCTAGGCCTATCGTTTTACGCCTGGTGGGGCAATCCGCCGTCGGACTCTGAACATTGCCAGATCAATCAATAGACATTCCGTGCATTTCTGACAAGCTCATGCGTCCCGTTCGGTCTTCTCTGCCAGCAATCGGCCGGGCTGATTCAGGGCAGGATCGTCGACACTCAAGCCGGCAGCTTCGGCGACGACAGCGCGGTCACCATGTAGATCTTTGTCCTGTTGTTGACACATTACGCATCAGGGCTTGAATTCCTGAGCTTGAAGGACACTGACCAAGTCTTTGCCAAAGACGTTCTTCACGAGCTTGTTGAGCGTCTCTGACTTGCCAAAGTTTCCGCCGGCGTTGTTCAGTGAGACATCACCGCCAAGCTTCGACTTTCCGGCCAAATTCGTGCCGGGCACATCCTCGATGCTGTTAACCTGGTCTGAAGTGATGTCTGACATTGCGCTCTATCTTCGTGGAAAGTGGAGTAGGTTGAAGGGATCGTCGGTCGCTCCGATGAACATATTTGAGCACGTTCGTGGTCTGTGGCAAACTCGATCTGACATCAGAATCACGTGATAATGATCTATGACCGGCGATCACCTCTGATCAGAGCCATATGCTAGCTATAGCTATATGACGATCGTGAGAGGTTTGTAGGGCGATCAGCCGCTAGCCCAAGCTTGCTCATAGCCTCAAATACGAGTCGGCATCTGTGTATGACTGAGATTGGCGTCGGTGATAACTTGTCGGAAAGGGATTCTTGGAAGCGATCAGCAAGCTATCTGCAGTTCTGTATGGAATGATATCCGCTGAATCATGATGCCAGACATACTGATCGTCAGACCTGTTGAGTAGCTTGCTGTTCGTACAGATGCAAGCGGCTTCTGGGCGTCAAAAGTATTGGATGACCAGTTTTGTCGACTTTGTCGCGCTCTCTGGCCGCTCGTCGAAAGGCCCGAAAATGAGATGCTCGTGCATAGCCAGATGGAAGGCGACCTCTGGCGTATGGCAGCCAGTATCACCAGCGCCACGACTGACGTCCCAACAAGTGCTTGACACGGTCAGAGCGAGCGCGCCAGGCGAGCAAAAGGTGCCGATCAGAGGCGATGAGAGGTATGCCGGTCCTTCGATCGAGCTAGACCCAGCTGAATAATAGATGCGCACAGTGACCTGCCCAGCTTCAGCGGTCTCGCGCCCAGGCGAGGCCCAAGGATAGAGGCGTACAAGCCTGCCCACCTGCAAGCGCAAGAAAGCTCGAGGTCGGGCGGCTTCACCAGACGAACGCCAGACGAGCTATGGAAGGCAGCCTCTGCACCCTCTACGGTCCAGCATGCGATCTCACCCGTCATGCCTGCCACCTCCCGTAGCGTTGAAGTGCGAGGCGATCTCAGCAGGACGTATGCCAATCTGCGAGGCATTCTCAACAAGAGCGATATCCGCTCCGAGCTCAGGCTCCAGGAGAGATACGAGAAGCCCAAGTTCACTCGCCAGAGACTGAAGAGCGAGCGCCATCGCAGACGATTCGGTGCCGCCGTGTCTGAGAAAGTAGGGGCTGTCTTGCTCATGAAGTCTCGGGGCATGTAGGCCAGATCAACAGGGAGTGCGTTGCAATTCAGTTGCCAGACAGAATAGGAAAAGACATTGAACTTGATGAGACTATCATGGCCGCCTATTCGCTCTCGTCGCTCAGCAAATCGTAATCATCTTCGTCGACGATCTCGCCAGAGTGAAGTACGCTGAAAGCTGAGTCGCCACTGGTCGATGCAGTCGACGTGAGTGGTGCAGAAACAGAGAGACCGGATACGGTGCTTCGGTGAGACGGTGCAGGGCTCATCAGAGCTGAATGGACGCTGCCTTGCTCGAGAGGGCTGGCGTGTCGAGAGGGTACGATGAACGACGAAGAGGCATGCATTGAGCCTTCGTTTGACTTGATGCCGTCTGATTGGACGATCTACATGCACTCGTGAGCCATCGAAGTCTGAGAGCATTCTGGAGACCCACGATCTGGCACCAAAGCGAATCTCCCTCTGCAAGGGGTTCGTTGACGTGCGCATCTTCCGAGATGAAGCGCATTGCAAACAGGGCTTGATGTCGTCCAGCTGTTGCAGGCGCGATCAAGTTGCGAGCAGCGACCTCCACGACTTCGCCGGGCGCCGCACAGCCAAAATGTCGCGAGACGACCTTGACTGTCTCGTCGGTGAACGTGTTCAGCTGGACAAGCGCGGTGTGATCGTCCCAGGCCGCAGTGCCAGTATTGCGCACAAGCCAGATCTTGTCAAAGCAACTTCCAGCGGCAACGACAGTCTCATCAGGTATCGTCACATCGGCAACGAAAGCTGCGTCCCAGGTATCAGCGGCCGATTGTGCGGCAACAGTCAGTGTGGACGGAGCCGAGGGTGCTTGAGCAGGCGCCTGTATGGATCTAATGGGAGGAGCAGCGGTAGGATTGAGAGCAGCTGGTGTGGAAGCAGCGGTAGGGTTGAGAGCAGCTGGTGTGTTGATTTCCGGCTTGACCGGAACCGATGCGGATTTGCTGAAGAGGGCCTCGGTGGCAAACTCCTCGTGCGCTGGTTGTGGGGCCGCAGACATGACGCGAGAAGTAGACTCATCCCAGAAATGTGATACGTCGACGATAGTAGGCTTGCGCATCTTGAGAAAAAGATGCGTTGCGTCATGAACAGCGATCGGGGACGCCTCGCAAGTTTCGCAGAGATCGTAATCGGGGCAGATAGCGCATTTGTATCGAACGCCACGGACGCTTGAGTTGCAACCGTCACATCGGATTCCGCGATGCTGCACCGCTGCTATATGAGGGTGGGCATGGCGTATCAAAGCATCCGCACTGTCGATCCTGACAAAGTCATGACCGGGGTGGACGTCTGATACGCTGGCATGACAAGCGCTGCAAGCATCCCAGTCGGGGCAGACGAGGCACTTGAAGCGCGAGCCCACGATGGCACGTTGGCACAGATCGCAAGTCGCAGCATGACGAGTGGGTACTTGGGCGGCGAGAGCCGAAGGTTGAGATGCAGGACGAGCTTGCTCGGTCAAATTCGGTGTGACTGCAGCTGCATCGATAGATACGGCGGCTTCAGAGGAACTCTCGAGCTTGACTCTGATGCCATGATCGCCCAGGTTCTCGGCGAGCACGATATCGAGACGTTCGAGAAATTGTGACAGCATGATCTTGACTGTGCTTACCAGATCACTCTTTGGCTCTACTTTGCTAAGTGAGTGCGCCGGCGAAAAGCCCTTTGAGTCAGCTGCTGTCGTGAATGCTTGCGCGCGGGCAGCGCAGCCAGCAGACTGTTGAGGCGGCAAGAAGTGACGAACAAAGGGCACGGTCTCTGTGAGACGGCGTGCGGCATCGGCGATGTTCTGCTGAGCCTTGGCGGTTGCTTCTTGAAGCTCCTCGTCGGTGTGTGCGGACAGGGCACGAGCAAAGTCTGAGTGGATTTTGCCGCGGGTGTCGAGGAAGGCGTCAAAGAGACTCGTCGAGGGAGGCGAATCGTTATCGACGTCAGGCGTACTGGCTGACTTGGCGAGCAGCTCCGGCACGACAGGCTCGGCGAGGGGATAGCCACCTGGGACGCGTTCTTGCTCGCTGATCGCCGTCGAGGCTTCGGGGGCGTTGCTGGAGCGGATCAGACCATGGATGGGACCGCGAACAGGCCTGACTGGTTCCTTGGACGGCATGGACGCTATCGGGATTGCAGATGCGGCAGTGGCCAGTGAGACGAGCTTGACCTGAACGACCTTGCGGCCCTTGCGGTCCACGCGGACCAGGGCATCGGAGGTGCCTGCAATGCCCTGCTTCACTTGACCGTCGACATGCTTGAGATGAGAGACGAGGTCAGAGTGTGACAAAATGCCATGATTGTCTGTTCACGGCAGAGTCAGCATGAACGTGATAAGCAGTCGTAAGCGCTGACCTTGACTGGCACTGGACGTCTTGCGGCCTGTCTGCTGGGGTACGAGCACGTAAGTGTACGGCTGGACACCATAGTTGGCGAGTAGGCGGTCTTGGAGACTCTATCGGACAGTCCTGAGCGAGCAGATGGTGTACATGCGCATGCCGACTGACCTTCCAGATTGCCGGGTTCTCGAAGTCGGCTGCGAAGCCAAATCGACGGATCGATGAGACTTCGCCGGACTGAGGAGGCGTGCTCGGGCTGACGGACGAGTCCACCTTGAGAATGTAATCGATACTGGCCATTTTGAGCCCAACGTCGGTGCAGGCAGGCCACGCGGCAACGAGGACACGATAGGATGACGCGATGACATCGGTGACACGTCGACGACAGCCCCGCTTCGATCCCAAACAGAGCCAGCGCAGACTTGCCCGTCAGTGTTCGTCCTACGACATCGTAGCTCTTGAGCCTTGTTTTACTCGATACCTACCCTCGGCCTGGCATACCTCCCTCATCGACAAAAGACCGTCGGATCTTATGTCTCGAGTCAGCCCAAAAGTCACTCAAGGAGACTGTCAAGTGACATACTCACACGGCACAGAGAACAGCGGAAAGTGGCGATGTCCTTGCAAAACACGCTGATGTGAGCATTGCGCGCTATATTTGGCCGAGCAGATCGTACAGTCACATCTCAGCGCTTGTACGCACAAGCCTCATTCCAGCGCGAGTCAGTCCTGCTTTTGTGTCCACCCGTCATGGCCAGTCGAGGGTACAGATACACTGTCAATGCGATGTGTATGGGCAACATGCGCGAGATCAATGCATCAACAGATCCTATAAACGTCATAGGTGCCGCTGCACAGATGCGAGCGATAGCAGTGCTGCTGTACCAAAGCTCAGAAGAATTTGCAGCAGAATGTCGCGCCAAGGCTGCAGTCTTTGCCAAAGTCGCACACATCCTGTGTTTATCCTCAGCATTGCGACGCTGTCGACGATCTGACCTACACAGCAGTGTTGGCATCCATCATTCAATGTGAACCCGCCAGCGCAGTCCACCGCCGCTATGATACCATCAAACTGTGTCATCGTGGTTCGTCGTAAGGCGGCGGCCACATGGAAAGTGCACTTACCGAAGCAAAGAGATAGCCTGCCAGAATCATTGCTTTCTTCATGTTTGTCATGAAAGTTTGCGGCGCAGGCGTGACATACTCATAGGCGGTTGGACCCTGGCTACAGCCTCTCGTCGCTCGTCCAAAACGACTCGAGTTAGGTCACGCATGGGGTTACTGCGACACGCTAGATGCTAGATCCATGCGTGCCGGACGGGGGTCGCAAAAACGAAACGCCGCAAGCGGCGCAAATCTCGCTCATCTCGCTCTTCTCCCATAGAAGCGCACATACTTGCCATTCCTCGATCTGTTGCACTTTGCTCATCATCATGTCGACGATCAAAGTCGGTAGTCTGCGATGCATAAACGAGAGCGACTATACGCCGATAGACTGCTTGTTGTCGCACGCTGAGCTATCACTCACAGCAAACGATCCGAGGCACGTCGGCATGGAAAGATCCAATGTAGCATGGACGACCAGCATTGCAGCCAGTCTGTGATTATAGTACGTCAGTCAAGACACTCCTCGTCGGTCGTGATGCTCACACAGCAGCTGGCGCACCCATTCGGGAGGGTGAACATGCCCAGGCTTTCATTACAGACTACAAATCCCGCCGCCCTAGAAAGATTTCAGCGAAAGCGTTGGCGACAGAAAGCTACGCACGTCGTGAACCATGCAGCGCTAGCTGCCAGTGTAAAGGCGATCAGGTGGCATCTGATCATTCTGGCGTATCCCTGCGCAGATGGTCGCAATCGTAGACGGTAATTTGCGATCCGAACTGCGATTGCTCAAAGATCACATACTCAAACGCGAAGGTGGCAGCTCACAGATACCGTTGCTGCTCTGTCGAGTCTTCTTATGTTTCTAGCAACAAGAATGGTCCCGTCACTGCAGCCGATGTAAATGCAAATTCTAACCTCAAGCATCGTCAAAGAGACAATGATGCATTAGCTCGCAAAGCTGCACTCATGCCAATACTGAGTGACTGCTGAGCTAATGACCGACATTGACGGGTGCGCAGCATTGAGCATTTGTGACTGGGTTGTAGCAGATGAATCCCTCGGTGCAGGCGATCTGCATGCTGTGATCAGCATCTTCGCCACGCGCTGTAAGAGCTAAGGAACATACACAACAGCTCTGACAGCCTTCGGGCAGCAGCAGATGATTGCTACATAGCTCGACGTAAGCAGCTCTGGCAATGACACGCATGGTCAATTGTGAGATTGCTCATTTGAGCGCACTTACGCAAACACTGCATGAAATGCGATGACAGCGCCTGCGACAAGCTTGCTTTTAAGCATAATGATCTCTTTCGTATCACTCTCTGACGAGCTCGCTCGCAAGGTCACGCTGAGATCGCGAATCGGTCGTCAAAGGCGACGCTAGTTCCGGACGCGAGGAGCTATCCCCCCTTGAGACGTGTGCCTACAAGTTCGAGGGGCAGCAGATGGATCCGGCTCGCATATTCCGCCGCACGATGCCAAGTTGTGGCGCAAAGAACAGAGACGGCAGCGCTCGCGTGTTTGCCTCCTCCAAAGGCTGCAACGCTGAGTTGGCGTCTGTTCTCCAATGCGTCAGAATAGATTCGCGCTTGTTGCACATGGGAATCTTCTTCGACAAGATTCAAGATGGCGTTGCTGTCTTCAAATCGTCCGGCGCGAGATAGATGGAGGGATAGGAAGGCAATCACGTGCGAGGCCACGGGCGCTGTCGGTGCTTTTGCAGCTTTGATGGCTTTGCTGAGCTCGCCCGCGCGAGTCAGACCGTACACCATTTCGTCTGAGCCTGCGTCTTGTATCTGACAGAGGTCGGCATGCGCAGCATGGAGACGTGCGAGATCGACAGAGGTGCGCTGAGCCTCAAAGAGCAAAATCGCATGAAGATCTTGTGCAGAGAGACGTCCGCCCCATCGGCCAAGATCGACGCGGAGCTTATCAATGAGTTGTGTTGTATCGTTGTAGCTCGTACAAGCATACCGAAGCATTTTCCGCAGACGGTCCGGCTTGTGCCGAACATTTTGGATCTTGTAGGCTTGCAGAAGACTAGCGTCACTTGCTTGATGCTCGAAACCAACGCCAGGTCGGTTATCAAGAGGCAAGCTCGGGTCAAAATAGCGCTGCTCGCGGGCAAGACGCGCCACCACTAAAGGCGTGTAGGCTTGAGGAGTGGTGGTCCCCTTGTCGGGACGCTCTGACTGGTTGCGATGTTTGCGAAGGTCTTGCCATCTAGCAAGAAGTAATTTTGCATCGTATTCATGTCCGTGCTCTGTTAGTCGCCGAGTGAGTTGGCCGATGGCCATCTCGTACGGTAGAATGCCTCTGGCGATCGACTGTGAGCAGATACTGTAAGCTTGCCGATAGCAAGCCCGACGAGAGAAGGCATATATACGCCATGTCGTGAGCCATCGCTCGCTGCCGAAGCCAGCAACTTCGAGTTCTGAAGCAGCGAGCTCAATTTCGCCTAGATTGATCTCATTCGGTTTTGGTCGTGTGGCGTGATGCCCGATCTTTGCGAGCAGGGTTCTACATGGCGAGCCCTTGCCCGCGGCGTCTGCAAGTTTTGCCATTTTCAGCGCGCTTGTCAGACGATCTTGCTCTGAGATCGCCAGACGATCGATTGCGCGAAAGAGGGTCTGCTGTGAGACGAGCTCTGGCCGCGCGCGGATGAGTCGCTGCGAAAATTGATGCAACGCGATGCTGGATCCGCTCGCATCCATATGGTGTACGAGTGAATATACGTGTTCGCTCGTTACGTCACCTCTGGACTGCGCGCGAGAAAGCACAACGTCTGCAAGCTGCTTAGCAGCAAATGTGGGTGCGGCGGCCAGACGCTGTGTGAAAGCCTGCCAGAGATCGAGGGGCAGTTCGCGGGAAGATGACACATAGGTCGAATAGATGTCCAGGCTTGGCGCGAGAGTTGGCAAGGCAAGCGCTCGGGTGAGCAAGCTTTTGAAAGAAAGTATGCTCTTTGCAGAGTTCCCCCAGACGTCTGCGTCCTGGAACCAAGCATCTCGCATGGTCAACCAGGAACGCGCGAGATGAATATCTGGGCTTGTTGCAAATATGTGCAGCCAAACGCGATAGACTTCCATAGGCATGCGAGAGACCGTCGTGGCGCCAGACGCAGCGCGTCTCAGCCATTGTTGGGGGATATCGAGTGCAGAATCCTGTAATCGTGCGAGCAAAGCTGCGTAGGCAGACAGAGAGGGCAAGTCTAATCGTTTCTGCTGCAGGAAGGCATCAAAAGATCTGGCGGCATACATGGTCAAGCGGGTCTCGGTACCGAGAGCGGCGATTGAATGTGCTAGATCGAGCTGCGTGGCTGACGGGAGCCAGTGGTGGATGGACTCAACAGTGACCAATATAGCTGACGTCAGCTGGGCATCGTCGAGCTGGAGGGCGCGCTTCAGCAGGATTGCCATGCTTTGCGCAGCGCGCGTCCGGAGGTTTGTGTCAAGCCTGTCGAGGTCGCCTGCTGGCATGAGTCGTTCGAACAGACGTCTCAGGTGGCGTTTGCCTAGGATTGGCACGAGCTCTGCAAGAGAAGAGCTGACGGGATAGAGAAGCATTTCGCGCATGATGACCACAAGCTCGAACGCCAGCTGATCCTGTGCTTCTTTGCGAAGCGCAAGCAATTTTCGGACGAGCTGATCACATGTCTCGAGTACAATCTGTCGTGTCTCCGATGGTATGCCTAACCCCCGCGAGGAGCTATGACGGAGGCTCTGAAAGTACGTCAGGAGATGAAAGTGTGCAGTCATGACATGCGACGAAGCCGAGAATCGGGACACTAGATAATTCGCCCATTGCAGCATGATGACGGGACACTGCGTGCCTTCGGCCTGGGCTCGTTCGAGTAGCGCCTGGTAAAGTGACACGAGGAGGCCATAGTGAGCCGCCTGGTCGGTGGGCGGATCTGGTGCGGCATCGATGCCGAGTGCGAGCAGGTCTGACAAGAGAAGGGCAGATCTGGCACTTGACGGCAGGCAGGCGAATATCTGGTGGGATTGAGCGAATGCTGTTGCCTTGTGCGCATGAGACTTGGTCTGCTCGAACAGTCCAAGCAAGATCGATGTTGGCAGCCTGGCGCGAGCGAGGGCGTTGAGCTGAGTGAAGGCATGCCAAGCCACATCAGGAGTTTCTGAGAAGAGCTCGAGAGGGATCTCGCTCCCAGTAGGCTGTGCGCTTGTTCTCGGCTGCGTTGAAGTCTCGGATGAGCAAAAAGGTTGCGCTCGCCTGACGGAATCACTCGCCTGGCTGCGACAAGCATTCGTGAAGAGCTTGTCTGTAGCTCGTGCGGCTTGCAAGCAGGCAGATTGGGGTCGTCTGCTGATCTTTGAGGCAGCATTTGGACTCCTGCTCGAGTTTGCATAGGCAGGGTACGCATTGAGCAGCAGTTCGGGCAGCAGTGCAGGCAGCAGCAGGCTCTCGAGCTCCTCTAAGCTCGCTCTTGCCGTCGTGAGGAGTGCCCTTTGCATCCGCCAGCGGAGCAAGCGCAGTGACTGCTTCGCTGACCGAGTCCGAGTCGACTCTCGCTCGCTACTCCTCGCGACGCACTGCACCGTCACCGGCGTCACCCTCTCTCCACCCATCTCGGCGATGCAGAGCGTCAGTCCGGCCTCATGCAGTGCCCCTCTTGCGATAGACACGATCGTAGCAGGCTCCTCTGCTCATCCTGCCTCACAGCCAAGCACGTTGCAGCATGATCTCGTCAAGCGACGGATGCTCATCCGAGGCTCCGCAGGCTTTCGTCCTACAGGCTCCACCTCAAGCAGAGCAGGGCAGCCATAGTGACTGCACAGGCTCGGGCAGATGCCGCCTACGCATCGAGCAGCTTGCCCGTCGTACGACACGCTCAGGCAAGAGCGAGCGCACTGGCCGACACCGTCAGGCAATGTCAGCAGCGCAGCAAGGTCCTCCGAGATCGAGTCGACGATCGTGCGTATGCGTCACATCGTTTCGTTTGCGCTGACAAGGTGCCAGTGCAAACACAAGTTCAGGCGCGCAGAGCGGCCTTGAGCCATCGCAGACAGGTATTAGCAACAGCAGCGCAACGACGAGCAGATTTGTGCGCAGAACAAGAGCGTGCAATGAGCGCACAAGAGCTCAGATTGCGTGATCGATGGCAGACGGATGCGGAGGAGATTGCGAGCCACCGCAGAGCGCTCCTTCGCACCGTTCTACTCGTCTTTGATCTCGACGAGCGCGCCATCGTCGGCCTCGCCTTGCCATCGTCTGCCATCACGACGGGCGTCTCAGCAACGGCGTTGCAGGACAAGGATGCGATCAATGCTGCACTGCTCTATACAGCCCATGCTGTTCGCCTCATCGCCATGTATCTCGGCATCAGGCTGCCCTATCGCGTCAATTTGGGGCCGAAGCCCTTCATCCGGCCAAGCAGGGCGGCAGAATCAGACCCTGCCCACAAGTGAGCGGGCATTGCCGTCAGGGTGATCGTGGCTGACATGCATCGCAGACGACAGGCGCTCTATCTCGCGTCCTCTGCAGCAGCAGTGACGCCTGATGACGATTTGCAACGAAGTCCCAGCGCTAGTCGACTACCATTTTTGAAGGCAAAGCCGGCCAGTCTCGCGAAAGAAAGCAGACCTGCTCGAGCAGAGAGCTATAACCAGCTCGCGCCCGCTCTTGCCATGCTAGCATACGATATCCTCTTTCTCGCGAATAGCCAAGCGATCGACGTGCTGCCAGAATCGCACGACGCTATACTCTCCAATCTGGCCCGCCTTTGCACGGACGAAAGCAAGACCCTCGGACATCCTTCACACGCGACTCTTTCTTCTTACTTGCACGTCAGCGAGCATCCTCGTGTCACTTACTCGAGCGTCCTCTCACTCTTCCTGCCAACCGTCGAGACGGCCGCTGCCACTGCACAAGCTGGTCGTGAGACTGGTCGTGACCTGGCGCACAATGACCGATCGGAGGACGAATGGGACCTCGTCGAGGTTCGCAAGGAGAGACCCATGCCTACACGACGTGCCACAGACCCAAAGCCCGCGGCGGATGTCGAGAAGCGCGGCTCCGCCGAACGACGGCATCATCACTCAGTCGAGCACGCGCTCAGCCCAGTGTTGCAAGGAGCTTTACGGCGCTCACAGGCCAAGCTGAATGCGCAAACCAAGTAGGGCGCCGGCCAGTGATACTATCGTACAACTAGATGGACGAGACTGCCAATACGCGTAGACGACAACAACATGTTGTGAGTGTAGATGTAAATGCCCGTCTAAACAATGTCTGTCGTTGTCCAGCCGCTGCCAAACAGAGGTGACCAGATCAGCGCTTCGATAACGATCGCAGCCCGCCAAGTCAGATCTGCAAGAAGGACACGATAGCGTTCAATTGTGGCGATCAGGTGATTGGCAATGCTCCTGCCCAGGATCGGTGTGATTACTGGGATGATGATGGAGCTGAAAAGATAGACGGGCAGGTGAAAGAAGAGGAAGAGCGGCACAAAGGTAAGCTTGAAAAGCGCAATACCCAGTCTTCTTCGCCGCCATTGCCAGCGCTGGCTCGTATGATGATAATCTGGCGGAATCGCGTACGGCTTCAGGCATATCAGATGGCCCAGATAAGGCTGTGACAGAGGGAGCAGAAGGGCTGATCGCATAGAAACAAAGAAGACTCTGCTCGCGCTTTAGCCGTGCCTTATGTCTATGCATGAGGGCTCAAACGCACTGCAGAGATGGCTGAAGACGCGGTGCTCGGTATTGTTCCTTGGCAGCGAGGATGACGGCTTTGTGGCTCTCGGCGGTGAGCGTCGATAGGTCTCCGTCGGTGAACGTGCGGAACGAGACTTGAAGGGGACGGTAGGCCGGATAGGCCGCCAGGACCCGTTCGAGCTCGGGCTCGGATAGCGCATACGCAACGCCCTCTAGCTCTTTAAACGTCTCTGATCGGCCATCAAAGGGGACGCCGGGGATGCAACGCTCGTGCAGATAGCGAATGTAGGCGATCTGATCTTGCTTTTGCTCAACATCGAGCTCGCACCACGGGCCGTCGTTTTGGCCTTGGACGATGCATGTCGGCTGCGCCGGCGTGACGTAGGGGAAGCCTCGGTAGTCAAACGCTGCGTCTGACGCTGAGCCGAGCCGGACGACCCAAATTGTGGCAGCTTACACAGGAAGGTCTGCTGGACGAGCACGTAGGCTGACTTGTGCTGCTCCTTGGTCTCGAGGATTTTCTGGAGTCTGGCATGTGCCATGAGCTGGCCATAGCACACCAACCAGACCATGGACCTGCTGAGCCAAAAAGGGATTACGTGGCAGTCTTGTGATATATCTGATCCCCTTTTTCTTCTTTTCAGTTTCGCAACGTTTATCTCCACGCTTCGCTCGAGTCAAAACAAGGCCATAGAAGAGCCCCGAGTTATGTCAGTGTATGATCCATGCCCTACAATGCCCTCGTGTCGTCCTCATCCTGTCCTCCCTGATGCGCAGGTTCCATGCTTCCTACTTTTCTTCCTCCGCAGCAGACCCTCAGCGACCCGCCCAGCCGGCAGCCCCGGCGAATCCAGCGCCTACGCCTGCACAGAACGCTCCGACCGACGTGACCGTGCCCGCCGCTCGCAACGCGTTTCCGGTGACCGATCCCTCTTTGCCTGGCGTAGAGCGTGCCAACAGTGCAGGTGTGTTGCCTCTCTCGACGGCCACGGCTCACTCTGATCGTCGGGCACCCGTTCCGCAGAGATGGCCGCCGACTTGAGCAACAACTCACCGCTTGATACGCCAGCTACACGCGCTCGCAAGGTACACAGGCTGCCGTCCGGACGTCAGCGATAGCTCATATCGGGTCGGCTTGGTCAGTCAGCTGGCGGTCGCCCCAAGGACTACGTGTGGACATTTTATGAAAGTATGTCGGTCTGCGCGGACGCAGAAGAGGATGATGGAGTTGATCTCGGGGCCTGCAGCGACCGATGATGGCGAGTTGGCAACATGCAAGAACTGCGGATGGCAGACCGAGAAGCCAAAGGCCTTTCGCATTCGCCAGCACATCTCAAGCTGCCCAGAGACACCACAGACGACAAAGGATGAAATTGCACGTCTTCAGGCACAGCGCGAAGCGACTAAGCTCGAGCGTCGCGCCGTCACTAATGATGAAGACAGCCCGACGGAGGCCAACACGCCTGCTAAGAAGCGTGTCAAGGCCGATCCAGCGCTCTTTAGGTCAGTCCCTGACAATCTGCTGTTCTCTCAGCCGAACTGGATGTCTCGTGCAGCCACAACGGACCGCCAGCAGCCTCGACGTCGCGCGTGCCCATCCTGAGCGGTCCCCTGCGTTCGGCGATCACTTGTCATGGCAGGTCGTTCCATCAGAGGCACCCGTTCACGAGCTTACTGGGTATCGCGCAGTCCTTGACTCTACCACGGGCAAGCCAGGCACGGATATGGAAGTGAGACTCGACAAGCTGACCCAGGAAGGCTTCTCCTTCCTCCGATCCTCCTCCACCAATGCAGACGGCCGATGCCAAACCCTCCTCGAACCTGGCTTCCGGCCCGAGATTGGCATCTACAAGCTCACCTTCATGACCAATTCTTACTTCACCAAACGCGGCGTCCTCGGATTCTATCCCTTTGTGGAGATCACCTTTGAGGTCAAGGATCCAATGGAGCATTATCACATCCCTTTGCTGCTCAGTCCTTTCTCCTACTCCACTTACCGGTGCGTTTCCGTGTGAACTGATTGCTTGCGCATGCTGATGATATCGCGAGGCAGAGGAAGCTAGACCGTTGTCGTCTGTCGCAATGCAATTGGTCACGTGGTGACTCCTTTTCCCCTCCAGGTTACCGTCGTCTCAAGCAACCAAAGCAAACCTTTGCCAAGGGAGTCAAGGCCGTTATGAGACAGGTATTGCTGAGCTATGCAGCGCTCGTCCTTCTCCGATCGAGTCTTGCGGCCAGCGTCCAGCAAGACGTCAACCTTGCGCTCGGCCAGATCGGACACGGCAAAACTCGTGACTGGCTCAAGAAGAACCCGAGCTTCTTCTCGGGCATCTTCAATACCTCGCTCGGTGCGATCACATTTGCATCTCCGAGCGATAAGGCTTGGGCTTCGATCGACCCTACCAAGCTGAACGCAACCTTCTTTGGCGACACACTCTTGCCGCTCCATGTCATCCGCACCAACGTCACTGCGATCCAGCAGGACGGCGCGGCGATCTACCGCACCAGTCTGCTTCCTCCCGCCACATTCAGTCTCAACCTCGGCACCGGCATCCCCAGCCCGATCATCATCAACAAGACGGGCGATACTACCTTTGCGGCTCCTCAGCCCGTCTCGGGTGCCCAGGTGAACGTCTGGCCGACAGATCACACGACAAAGGATAGTATCTCTATCTATAGCGTCGATCAATGGTTCGATGTGCCGCAGGACATTGTCACGACGATCAATCAGCCCACGGTGAAGGGCAGCTCGTTCGCCACCCTGCTCGCGACGGCCTCTCCTTCTGGCAGTCTCGTCGCTGACATCCAGGACGCGGAAGCGCTCACCGTGTTTGCGCCATCAGAGTGAGCTTCCTCGCGAGTGCACTGTCAGAGAGCCTGGTCTGAGATCTGGCAGTGCATCGCTCGCGTCTATTCAGAAGGAGCTAGCCTCCCAGCCTGACGGGGCTTTGCAGGCCATCATCCGCAACCACATTATCAACGGCACAACGTGGGTCCACCTGCCGTGTACAGTCTCCATCTCCACTGACAGCTCCAGCTTGACAGGCTTTACTCGACGCAGCTAGTCGATCAGATGAAAGCCGTATCTGCTGCAGGCACAGCAATGCTCTTCATATCCAATTCGAGTGGCACATTCGTCGCAGCCGGCGGCGCGCCTGCTGTCAAGATCATCAAGACTGACTTTTTTGCGGCCAACGGTGTCGTGCATGTTCTCGACGGTCTCTTGAAGGCGACGAGTACAACTGACGAAACGACGGCAGCCGCTGCGTACGTCCGTCCCTTGTGGTAAGGCAACGATCTGATCGGACATGCAGACATGAGGCATACCTCGCGTTCACGAATTCTGGCCAGCTGAGCGCGGCCGGAGCGATCGATGTGCATACGCCGACCGGTCTTTCCTCGTTCAAGGCGCCCGCGAGCACGCCAACGAGCAAGCCGCCGACACCGACCGCGGGAGCTGCTCAGCTCCGTCCTCTGTTTTTCCTTGCTCTTCCTGCCATGGCGATGTTGTAGAGTCAGGCTAGCGTGTCTTGTCTCCTTTGCTCTGACGCGTAGGCGTAATCTACGCGTGAAGCGTGATAGCTTGAAGCTAGAAAACCTGCGCTGCCGTCTTCGAGTCGTCTGGCCGGAATGATCAAAGCATGTGTTCAGAGAGAGTCTGTACTCGCTGCGGCTGATGCTGGACCCCACGGAATGACAGATATGGTCCATGAAGAAGGAGGGCGAGGCGGCCGGAAAGAAGAAGCCACGGGTATCTGCGGCCCAACTGCGAGCTCAAAAAGACATCACCGAGCTAGACCTGTCCTCGACGATGAAGACCGACTTCCCGGATCCCACCGATCTGCTTAACTTCAAGCTCAGGTGCGCTCGGCATGTCAGACATTGTGCCAGACAGGCATTGACCACCTCGAGATTGCTCAGCATCACGCCTGACGAGGGCATGTACAAGGGCGGCGAATTCAAGTTCACTTTTGCGATCAATACCAACTATCCACATGAGCCGCCCAAGGTCAAGCTGACACAAAAGGTGGTTGACCCTGGCGCGTGCGAAGCCATGCCCGGGACTGACTGCGCGAGCAGATTTATCATCCCAATCTCGATCTAGAGGTCAGAGACGACCGCTCGACAGACGTTCGATGACGCTGATCGTGCATCGATGCATCAGGGAAATGTCTGTCTGAACCTATTGCGAGAAGACTGGAAACCCGTCCTCAATCTCAACGCGGTCATGGTCGGCCTTCAGTTCCTGTTCCTTGAGCCAAACGCAGACGATCCTCTCAATAAAGGCGAGCAAGATTGTGCCTCCCCACGTGCGTCATCAGCTGATCTGTCTCTGTCCGGCTCCAGAGGCAGCAGAAGAGCTGCGGCGAGATCGTACGACGTTTGCGCAGAACGTCAAGACCGCCATGCGAGGCGGCCGTGTCAAGTCAGAGGTATATGATTACGTGCTTATCAAAAAGTGATAGACGACAACGTAGGCAGCTCAGCATTGTTGTATCACTCGTGCAGGATTCGTACAGAGCCAATCAGCCAGACTCACGACGAGCGATCGAGGTCAAGACAAGCATCCCATCTGCATTAAGTGACCATCTAATCAATGTGCCCGTGCGTGTCTACATAAGCCAGGCCCAGATCTTGCCATACCATGTCGTTGGCTCGCCTCCTGCCTTTTCTGCTTCAATGACGTCCATCTCGTCAAGCTCGCGTCTGCCAGTCTCAAAGTCTGTAGCATCACGTCAGTGTTTGTGAGAGGGCGCACACAGCTTGCGACATACCCATCTCGTGGAGACGAACGAAAGAGGTGCGCTTGAGGACCTTCCAGAAGACGTAGAAGATCGCAAAGATGGGCAACGTGATGTCTGAAAGCCGCCAAAGGTCAGCACGAGCTCATGTATGGACGACGGGTAGGACTGACAAGCAACGATGAAGTTCTGAACATCCCAGTTACCCGCTAGGAAGACGGGATAGCCGTTGAACAAAATGATCAGGTTGAGCATGACAAAGCCATAGTACGAAAAGTATGGCTGGAACGGTGCCTTGTATGGGAACAAGGATCGATCGATGCCTTGGGCTTTGATGCCCGCGTAGAATCGGATGGCGGTGAGCAGAATTGCCCACCAAGTGAGGAGACCAGTGATCGAGCTGATGTTGTAGAACCAATTGAACACAGTGGTTCCATTGTTGCTGACATTGAGGTAGGCGAGCGGGCCGATCATGACGGTGATGATGAGGCACCAGATCGGTAGACCGCCCTTGGTGCATTTGCGGAAGATCCTGGGTGCTTTGCCATCGCAGGCGAGGCCGTACAGCGTACGCGAGCTTGCATAGAGATCAGAGTTGCCGGCCGAGAAAGCAGACACAAGAATGACCGCATTGATGATCGACGGCAAAGTCTTGATACCGGCATTGTTGATCGCGATGACAAAGGGAGATTGAGCTGCTGTGCCTGCTTGACCGGTCGGCTGCAGTAGCTCGGGCGAGTTGGATGGGACGGTCAGTCCGATGACCAAAATGCCGCCGACGTAGAAGAGTAGAATACGGTAGAACACTCGTCGGATAGCCTTTGGAACCGTCTTTCTAGGGTTGGCCGCTTCGCCAGCTGCGAGCGCGACGATTTCCGTGCCCAGGAAAGAGAAGGCAGCTTGGACGAAGACGGTCCAGAAAGCGAGAAAACGACCCCATGCGCCCGGAATGTCATTCTGCTGAACAAACGGTCCCGGGTTCTTCCAATAACGGAAGCCGAGTCGATCGTGATTGGGACCACCACCGAGATCGATGACGATGCCAAGGATGATCAAGCCGACAATCGCGATGACCTTGATAAGCGAGAACCAGAATTCCATTTCTCCATACCAGCGCTACAAGTTGAACATAGCCGGTCAGCAGGTGAGACGCAGATAGTGAGAGGCAGATGACTCACAACGCCAAAGAAGTTGATCGAGCCTGCATCAGCCTCACTTGTCAGAACCTTTGCGTGAGAATGGGAGGTCATGGAAACGCACAGATGACGACGAGGAAAATTGAAATCCAGACGGCGACATTGGTGGTGTCATCCCAGTAGGAGATGACGATAGCCGCAGCGGTAATCTCGGTAGGTAAGGTGATTGCATAAGAATACCAGTAATTCCATCCGAGCGCAAAGCCGAGCGCCGGATCGACGAAGCGGGCTGCATAGTGTGTGAAGGCTCCGCTGACGGGGTAGAGCGTGCACATTTCGCCCAATGCGACCATCATGCTGTACACGACGGAGCCCATGATGCAGTATCTGAAATCCCAGGCGGCGTCAGCGATCGTCGATGAGCAATACCTGAAAGTCACCCTAGCAGAAGACCGACCGGTCCACCACTCGTGAGTGCACCACCCGAACCGAGGAAGAGACCTGGAGCGAGTCAGCCAAGTCAGCACAGCTTGGTGATAAGGCGAGCGGGGTCGCGTGACGGGCGACTAACCCGTTCCAATCGTGCCGCCGATAGCGATCATCTGGAGATGGCGCGACTTGAGGTTACGCTGTGTGTGACCATCGCCGTGGTCATGGAAGACGTGGTCCTCATTGACCTCACGCTCGACATGATGACCGAGCGAATCATCGTTCTTCTCGCTGACATCGTACGTATTGCTGCCTAGCTTCTCCGGCTCGCTGCCCGCCGCATACGGATCGGCGGTGCTGTAGTGCTTTTCCTCGTCGGAGATGCTTGTCATCGTTGAAGTGTTCTCTGCTGTGGTGTCAAGACAGGGTCAGTGGCGATAAGGAGAAGAGACGGGCGATCTGCAGGCGTACCAGGCCAGGTGTCGCGACTGAGCCGGTTGACACTAGATGGCAAGAACGACCTTCCTGCCTCCTTAATGAAAACTGTCGAGGATGAAAATTCTGCGAGAGTAAACCGGTCGGTGGCTCCTTGCCGAATAGATAGCGAAAAAGTGGCACCACGAGGTCTGCCCGCTCGCCCACGCGCCCCCTCCCCACTCAGTGGAGACCGCCGCTCTCCACGATCTGGAATGAGCTGGCCCTGTCTCTGACTTTGCGCTGGCTGCGTAGACCGATAGAGAAAGAATTAGCTTCTTTCTTCCGACACAAGTCGCACGACCTCGACACGATCAGCAACAGCCTTATCGTGCGCACATCAAATTGATATCCATGTTTCAGCAGTCGCACGCAACGGAGACTTGACCGGGAAAGTCTTTGAATGCATAGTTCTCAATTGTTCCGTCGTGCACTGCATAGCACTTGTCTAGTCTGCGCAGATGGCAGAGATAAGCCAGCATTGCCAAGTCGAATACAAGACGGAGATCTGGGCCTGCACATGCTCGAGATCAGAAAGCTAGAGCGCTCGAACCATGCGGCCCGCGAGTAGCTGTCGATCCTGATCGATCATCAGCCGGCCAGCTGCGCGCTCCCCGTCTGCGATAAGAGCCACCCATTTTCTGCTCTTTGCCTGATAACCCACTCCTCCGTCCAGACGACCACCACTGCCACCGCGCAAAGGGCCCTTGACTGGCTTCCCACCTTTGCGTTTACACGAAACTTCAAGCCAGTACTCTTTCGAGCCGGACAAAATGTCGCACTCCGAAGATGAAAAGATGACCGGCACTCTGACGCCTGATATGGAGAAGACGCCTGCAGAGGCTTTCGTTGTATCTGGCGAGCAGGCAGACTATGTTGACGACCTCAATGATCATGTGCCTCGCAAGACCGGCCCCTTTGCGCCGCTCTGGCGGATGGCCGATCGCCTTCGCACTGCCGGCGTAGAGACCAGAGGCATCGAGCGTGTGCCACCGACAGAACGTCAGCAGAAGCATGTATATGACCTCTGCACGATGTGGCTCGTTCGTCTCAGTCATCCCTTCTGAAGGACATCAGATGCTGACGAACCACTGGACAGGCCGCCGACACGACCATCAGCACTTTCGCACTGTACGCCACTCACCTGGACTGGAGACGCCATCTGACGTCGCGCGTGCAGTGGTATGCTAGGATCCTCCGTCTTCTTCCTCGGGTTCAAGGAAGCCACTCTCGTCATCATCTTCTTCAAGTGAGTTTGCCACCCATTCCTGGTTGTTCACGCGCTCAGGCCGACGGCTAGCTTGCTCTGTACGATCCCTGTCGCCATGTTCTCGGTATGGGGCGCCCGTCTCGGCCTCCGTCAACTCTGTCTATCTCGCTTTTCCTTCGGTAGAGCCAGCTTGGCGCCAGTGGTGCTGAACTGTATCGCTTGCGTCGGTTGGTCGACAATCAATGCCATCGCCGGTGCTCAGTGCCTGCGTGCGGTCTCTGACACACATCGCATACCTGTCTGGGCTGCCGTAGTCATCATCGCCATCATAACGCTCGTCGTCAGCTTCATGGGCTACAGAGTCGTCCACATCTACGAAAAGTGGTCCTGGATCCCTGTTGCGATCATCTTCTTCATCGTCTTCGGCGAAGCCTACACCGAAATGTCCTCGCCGCCCTTTGAACCTGCCAGTCGCGAGCTCACTGGATCCATTCTGTCCTTTGGCGCTGCCATTGCGGGCTTCGCGCTCGGCTGGACTAGCCTTGCAGCAGACTACAGTGTGCAGCTGCCTGAAGATACCTCTGCCTTTGCGATCTTTGCTTGGACATACGCCGGTCTCAATGTCCCACTGATCCTTGTGGAAACACTAGGCGCTGCTATGATGACTACCATCACGGCCAATGCCGATTGGAACGATCGCTACCTCGCCAATGGTTCCGGCGGTCTGTTGTCTGGCCCGCTCAGCAAGCTCGGTGGCTTCGGCCAGTTCCTGCTTGTCATTCTCGCACTGTCGATCGTGGCCAACAACATTCCCAACATGTACTCACTCAGTCTGACTTTCCAGACACTTGGACCGTACGCACAGGCCATCCCGAGGCCCTTCATCACACTCCTGGGCACGATCATCTACATCGTCCTCGGCATCGTCGGTTACTCCCACTTCGAGACGGCTCTAGATACCCTGCTCGTCTTGCTCAGCTATTGGCTTGCTTGCTTCACCACTGTCTTGCTTGCGGAGCACTACGTCTTCCGGGGCGGCAAGTTCTCGAACTATGAAGCCGATGCGTACGGCGACTGGTCTATCCTGCCAATGGGTCTAGCTGGCACCCTCGCTATTGGTGCAGCTATCGCTGGAGCAGTCGTCGGCATGTCTACGGTCTGGTGCGTTGCACGCTGCCGCACAGGCGCATGTGCTAACAGTCTGTCTCGGCTCACAGGTACGTGGGCCGCCTGGCTCTTGACATCACAGCTCCGTACGGAGGCGATCTCGGCTTCGAACTCTCGTGCGGTTTCTCGCTGGTCGCATTTATTCCTATGCGCTACATCGAGAAGCGGTATATTGGTCGATAAGCGATGGTCTATAGATGTGTCCCTGGGATCTGCTGCTCATGATTGGTCTGTAACGTCGGGAATGCATTCGAAGTGACTTTTGGCAAAGGAGGCGTGGCAAAGCATTGCTGATACAGTATGCGGGCGTCTCTGCTAGCAAAGGTTTGTTTGGCCAGCCAGCCCGACAGTGCGATCATGCCGTCGTCTGCGCTATCTAGGCGCTGTATGCAGTCGTTTATCAAGAGTCGAATGCTCTTCTGGTCTGTGCCGGCGCATCTATAGCGTTCGAATATGAAATGGCCCCCGAACGGGACTATGTGTGAGCTCTTGAAGCGACGCGTGTCGTTTGGATTGAGCGGGTCGAGCGTCTCTTGCCAGAGCCCTATCGCTGAGCCGATCGCGATCATCTGGTTGTCATGGGTAAAGTCGACGTAGATGGCACGATCAAGTGGAAAGAAGAGCGTGTGATTGACTTGTGTAGCGTCGCGCACTGGCGTGCACGTGAGGCGAGCGATCAGTTCGTTCACCCACCCGGCGCCTTGGGGTGGACCGAGCGTGTTTGGCCAGCTATAGCTGTAGTGCTTGTTGAGATCGTGATAGTAGGCAAATGAGGCCAGCTCGCTCTTGCTGAAGACGTCACACCAAGGCGAGATCGGCATCTCTGAGGATACGACGCTCTCGAATGCACATAAGCTGATGAGCTCGACAACGTCTTGGGATGTTAGATGTACTCCGGGTACGCGCATGGCCAATCGATGAGCGGTGTGAGAGAGCGAACGGTCGAGCCAACGTGACGTAGCGCGACGAGCTTCTGACAAGTTGAGCGCTGGGCAGCTATTCTCGAGCGTGTCGTTGCTCGTGCTCTCGTCGATGATGAGCAGCGGGCTGATAGGACGGTGACGGGAGTCGCTGTCTGTGAACCTGCGAGAGAAGTGACGAGCAGCTTGGACGACTCGATGGCTTGATGACGCGCGCACAAATGGAGCTGTACGCTCGTTCAAATGGCCATAGCGGCGAGCCAGGAGAGCACCCAGATCTTTGGCTCTGTGGGACTTGAGTGATGGGTGGCTCGCATGAGCGAGTCGACGTACTGTTGCACTCCAAAGGCAGTGAGGTCGTCGACGGCCAGATCATATGTATAGTTTGCAAGAAAGGCGAGCTCGCCCTCGTATCTCGTGGCTGACTGTAGCTTGTGCAAAGCTTGTCGGATGCGCTCATCTGCGGCGCTCGTCGGATAGCGTGCGCCGTGTCTGACGAGCACGTTTACTTGCTCCAACACGCAGTTGCTGGGCGCTGCTATATACGAACACGCTGTTAGCTGATGAGGCGTATAAGGCCCAAGGAGCAGCTGCCGTGGCGCTTGCAGCAGGAGCTGGGCTAGTAGGGGCCACTGCCACAGCATCAGATGTGTGCATGGGTCCTGCCGCAGCGATGTCCGCCTTCTTGAGCAGCCAAGCCAGGACGTACGCACAATTCGGCCAAACTTTGATGACTTATATAATTTCCAAGCAGGCGGGGCATCCCGGCGATCATTTTGATCGTTTGTTCCGCTCCCGATGGAAGTAGCGAACGATGATGGATTGATCAACGATTGACTGCGCGCGCCTTCCCTCTGCCTGTCGGTCTTCGAGGCTCCGACAGAGGCTCACACAATGTCGGATCCAACAGGAGGCTCGCTCCGTCAGAGAGCTGTTGCCGACGAAAAATCGCTTGACAATCGATCTCTGAAGCGCAATGTCGTCAATGATGTCAAGCACAAGGCTAGCGATGCCAAGCAAGCCGCCAGACATCCAAAGAGCATGCTCGGCAATTGGCGCAATGATTGCATCGCCGCCGTCGGCGAATTCTTGGGCACCGTCCTCTTCCTCTTGCTCGGCCTTGGCGGCATACAGGCAGCCGCAACGAGCAATTCCGCCAGTCTGGCCGCAGCGGCATCGAGCGCGGGACAGTCTGACTCGAGCTCTGGCGCGCAAGCGATCAACACTGTGGCCAGCGTCGAACAGCTCATCTATATCTCGACCGCGATGGTAAGCTCACTGGCAGTGTCAGCCCAGCCTCGGGAGGCTTACGATCTTCATGCCAGGGCCTATCTTTGCTCATCGCGGCTTGGTGTTTCTATAGAGTGACAGGGAGTGTCTTCAATCCTAACGTCGGTCTGGCTCTGGCCATGACGGGAATCCTGTCCCCCTTCCGGTTTGTGCTCTACGTCCTCGCCGAGACGACAGGCGCGATTGCTGCATCTGCAATCTTAGACGGCCTCTTGCCCGGTCCTCTCGCGGTGACTCCGGCATTAGGCGCAGGGACAAGCAACGCGCAGGGCGTCTGGATCGAGGCCTTCATCACAGCAGCGCTTTGCCTCGTGGTCATGTTCCTTGCAGTCGAGAAGCATGCCACCACGCCACTTGCACCCGTTGGCATCGGCTTGGTCCGTGTTGCGAGACTCATCAGAAGGCCTGCGCTGATGATTACGCACAGACTCTCTTTGCATCGCATCTCTGGGCTGTCGTCTACACGGGTGCCGCAATGAATTGGGCGCGCGCGTTCGGCCCGTCTGTCGTCACCGGATTCTCTTCCGATCACTGGATCTACTTTGTCGGCGATGGCATCGGTTCCCTGATCGCTGTAGTGATCTACTATATCTTCAAGAGCGTCAACTTCTACGAGCTCAATCCAGGCCAGGACAGCTCGAATGTCGATGACTCGCCAGACCTGCTCGCGCCATCAGATCTGCTAGACGTCGTTCGCAGTCAGTCGGACAACCCAGAGACGCAAGAGACGACCGAGTCTGTCGTCGTCACCTCCAAGAAGGACGCCAGCGGCAAGCAGATCAATGCTACATCCTCAGATCGCCTTCATCCCAATGACTCTATGGTCTAATCGCATGCCATCCGTCTCGCCACTTAATTCTGCAGTAGCACGCCACTTGACTCTTGTAACAGCAACTGCACTCCTTCACGACCGCACAGTGTGTCAGCGACGAGTGCATCAATCGCGATGCGCCCTCTCGTCGTCTTCGAGGTTTACGAGAGCGTTTCGAGTACTGACATGTTCAAGGGTATGATTCTCTTCATCTTTGCTGCTGTTCTGGTGGCTGCCCTCCCTGCCACCAACGCTACATCTCAGCTGACAACCCGGGGGATCTTTCATCAAGCATACGACATCGAATGCAAGCGCCCGATGATGCGCCTCTATGACATGGCAATACTGATATCCGCATGCAGTCGTTTACGAGGTCTGTTGGCTACTCTGACCGGCAGAATCACCAGATACTCAGATCGAGCAGGCCGCCTGCAAGACCCGGGGTGCAGGTCCCGATCCTGTGGAATATGCGCAAGACGATCTTGAGCCAGCATCAGTCACGGTGGTGCTCGACTACAGTGGCTTCATTGATGCAGACTTCCGAATGGCCAAAGGCATGAGCCACCTCTCGCTGTCCACCTTCAGATGGCCAATTGCAATCATCACGTTTCTCGTCTCGGCTCGCTCGCTCAATCTGCCGCTTTATCATTCGTGCTGCGAAGGCTGGATGGAAGTTCAGTGCGTCCCGTCTTGGCCCCGCAGATCATCGAGGTCATCGCTCATGGGCATCCACTAGCGTTGGATTACATCTCGACGAACGCAAGTCGGCACCCAGTATCGCACTCGTTCGCTCACACTGACCTCCTCGGCAGATGTGATCGAGTAAGCGTCCTGATCAGCACTGACTGATGCTCAACAGTCAGACGAGGGCAGCAAGCCAAACGTCGTTGCGACCCAGATGTGCACGCCGTTGTACGAAGATTATGAAGGCGCTTGCGCGCTCGTGCCCGGCAGACCGCCTGCGCATACTCAGTGCACCGTCCTGGAGGCCGATGTCCGTCTCGATGCCATTCCAACGGCGGTCACTCACAGTCTTGCTTGGTCCAGGTACGGCAACCCTTTGCGTTCGATCGATAGGGCGCATTGCGACGGCGCTAGGAGGAGATGGCACTGTCTCCTCGCTTCCTTTCCATGTTTGATTGCAACAAGCCGCATTCAATGTTCCAGTTGCTGGCGTGCTTGACGCTCTTGGCAGCTGTCTGCAGGTCACAAATCACCCTGCATACTTTCCAGCTTTCGTGTAGGTTGAGCTGACAGGCTCGCTCGAAGCTCACAGGCGTCTGCTCGCAACAGGGTATGTCGCTGTACGTTCCCCAGCCAGCAATGCTCTTGTCCGTCGTTCACAGATTGGCAGGCAAAGTGCATCGTCGACAAGACCGAGCTCGACTTTTTGATACCAGAGATAGACCCAGCTCATGTCGATGTCATCATCTCTGGACCAATCGGAATTGACGTCGACTTCGTCGGTCTTGCTCGATAGACCCGAGCACTGCTCATCTGGACAGCAGGAAAACGATTATCTGGTTTGGTCGGCTGAACAACACTCGACATCCTTCCGTACGGTCACTGTGGAGATCATGACACATTTCGTGCCAGCCGAGCCTATCTGTTCGCCGGATCACGCTCCGACCGCGAGGAGAGCTGACAGCCTAGCAGACGCCGAGTGCTGTTCTGCATTCCTCATTTTACGGTCAGGCCTGATCGGGCAGCAATGACGCCGAAGACTGATGCGCGTTGCAAGGGTTCCTATGGGCTGGTTCCATCACTCGCTCCTCGATGCGACGTCTCTCTTTCGCATGCTATGCGGACCGAGTGGGTAGTCATGTATGCATCGCAGCAGCAGGGCTGACAGCATCGCAGATTACGCTTCCGATTTCGAAGCTTGCAAGAAGATCGCGCCCGTCGGTTTGCCTCGGATTACAGATTGCGACTTTGATCCGGTCATGTTTGAAGAGTTCCAAGGACGCCGCAAGTCTGTGCAAATCCAAAAAGTCGCAAGCATGTAACATTGCAGGCTTCACTATGTGGATCACAAGCCGACGCGCCGTGGTGTTCTTCGCGCCGTCAGAGGCGTCCGGGCGCCAATCTCTGCTATCCGCGGTGTAGAGGCTGCTGAAGACGCTTCCAGACGCCTCATGCGTTCTGCTTCCGCACGGTCGCGCTCTGTTGCCATTGCGAGCTCAAGCTCGCTCTTCTTGGAGAACTCGCGGTCAGCGACACGAGCCTCTCGATGTCCAAAGTTCTGCTGCCTGACCGAGAAGAAGATGCCACCCAATTCAGCAAGCCAGCTGTGCACGTGTTGTGAGCCCTCATCCGAGAGCAATCGGAGAGACGTACAAGGGATCCACAGCAGTGACACATTGCATGTACTGCTTGCTTGTAAAGACGAGCTCGTGAAAGACGATGTATTCCGGCTGATAGCCAAGGCCGTAGAGCGCCGATGTCGGATGCAGATTCATCGGTATGCCGCTCCGACAATTTGCATACTCTCCAATACCCTTCGCTTTGGCTGCCTGGTGAAAGTAACCTGCGCAAATGGACTTGCGGATGACGTCCCAGTCGGTACCACACGCAATGATCTCGAGTCGCTCAGTCCGCATGATGTCCTCAAGCTGCTCTCGCACCTCCCTGGCCTTGCGAAGTAGCTTGGCGTGTAAGAAATGTTTTGAGGCCCATTCGTCACGGAAGCCGTTGTTCTTCCATTGCGTGTAGCAATGCAGCAGCGTCAGATGATCGCTCTCTGGCACGAAGAATTTCTCGCGAGCTGCGTCTGACTCCTCCAGCTGCTCTTTCGGCCGATAGAAGACTGAGGGCACCGAGAGCATGGACACGATAGTGAGCATCTCGGACGAACACTTGTAATGAACGGATGTGACGAGCATCTTCGACAGGCTAGGCTCCATCGGGAAGTTACTGAGCTTACGGCCGAGCGGCGTAAGATCGCCGACGTTATCAAGGGCGCCCAGCACCCAGAGCTGATACATTGCATTCGTCAGGACTTGCTGAGGGGGCGGATCCATAAAGTCGAATTCGAGCAGATTCTTGACGCCGAGTGACTTGAGCAGTAAGACCGTATTCGCCAGGTTCGTCCTCTGAATCTCCGGGATCGTATTGGCCAGCAGCTCGTCGCGGAATGCGGTCTCTGTGTAGAGCCGAAAGCAGGTGCCACTGCCAGTCCTACCGGCACGGCCAGATCGCTGATTCGCGTTGGCTTGACTGATGGGTGTAATCTGCAGGGCGTCCATGCCGATGCGCGGATTGTACACCTTGAGTTTTGAGTAGCCGCTATCGATGACGAACATGATGCCATCGACGGTCAACGAGGTTTCGGCGATGTTCGTAGCGACGATGCATTTGCGACGGCCGTCATTCGTTTGCTCAAAGATCTTTGCTTGTAGATCAGCAGGCATCTGAGAATAGATTGGCAAGACAGCGAGATCAGGCGCGTTGTCGACTTGCCCGAGCCTATCACTTATAACTTGACAAGTGACTTCGATGTCCTCTTGGCCAGTCATGAAGATGAGGACGTCACCGCTGCCATGAGATAAATGTATCTGAAGAGCTTGCTTTACCGCGCTGTCTACGTAATCTTCGCAGGGCGTTTTGCTGAAGAGGACATCGACAGGGAACGTTCGGCCGGGAATGGTATAGCAGGGCGCACCGTCATAAAAGGTTGAGAATTTTTCGGCATTCATTGTCGCCGAGGTAACGATGAGCTTGAGATCGCGTCGACGGGCGAGTATCTTGCGCAAGAGACCCATTAGGACATCGGTGCTGAGCGATCGCTCGTGAGCCTCATCGAGTATGATGACCGAATACTTGTCGAGGTCGCCTTCGTTCAGAGACTCTCGCAAGAGAACGCCATCGGTCATAAATTTGATGACTGTATCTTCGGAGGTACAGTCCTCGAATCGAATTGCATAGCCAACTTCTCTACCGAGCTCGACTTCCATCTCTTCGCTGACACGCTTTGCGACCGACATTGCTGCCACTCGCCGAGGTTGGGTACAGCCTACACGACCGAACTTGGTGTATCCCTCTTCGTGAAAGAACTGACCGAGCTGTGTCGTTTTGCCAGAGCCTGTCTCGCCAACGATGATGGTCACCTGATTCTCTCGAACGACTTTGAGCAACTCTTCTCGACAAGCAAACGCTGGCAGGTATTGCCGCTGTTCCTTGAGAGTTTTGCTGCGCGAAAAGGCACTGCTGCCGGTCGCATTGGTCTTGAGGTGAGAAGCAAATTGGCTGTCCTTCTTGTAGTTGCGTGCATCGCTAGCCTCATCCTCGACTTTCATCTGTCCTGGACCGCCATGACCTTGCTTGACAACGTTCTTTGGCTTCTCGTCCAGGATCTTTTGTACTGTCAGGATCCCTTGTCAGCCCAAAGCCACGGAAGAAGAACGAGGCACACGCCTTTCTGAACGTCTGTCTCTTCCGCCTTTTCTTCAACGCCAGTCAGGTTGCCAAGTGTAGTTCCTGCAATCTGAGCTGCCTTTGCAGCTGCCTTTTGTCGCTCGCGCTGCTCTCTGATCTCTCTGACGAGCAAGCTGCCCTTCTTGCTGAATACGGCCATATCAGATGTCGGATCTCGTATAGGATTGACGGGATCGAGCTGCTTTGTGTAGGCCATTCGACCATCGAGGAAGGGTGGCTTGAGATCGTGAACGAGGAGGTGCACTTTGCTTTCCTCGTCGTCATCAAAATCGAGGTCCATCTTACGCCTGCCGCCAAGACCGGACTGCATAAGTCGGTTACTTTCCCAAGCCTCGTTATCTTGCTGATACTGAGCCTGCTTGGCACTCATGCGCTTGGCAAGACCTTTGGCGCTGAGTTGGGATGCCTTTTCTTTCTCAAGATCTGCTTCCTGCTCTTCGTAAGAAGCAAAAGGGTTGGTGGCCTCATCGCCTGCAGTGACGCCCGCCTCGTCGAAAGAATACCAGTCGCGGTCGAGACGCATCTGCTCCTCCTCCCACTCGTGTCCGCCTGCGGTGCGATCGTGAATCTGCTCCTCGGGATAATCGCTGCCCGAAAATCGACTCGATGTGCCTTTTGGTCGTTGTCTTGACAATGTTGTCAGCCTGGGTGTGTCCCATTCTCGAGGTTCTTGTGGATTCCGCTTCCCAGGACGCAGCGGCGTTGAATCCCACGAGCGCTTGTTCAGAGCGGCCATGTTGCTTTCAGTCGAGGCAAGTGAGGAAGGAGTATCATCCACTGTGCCGCGAACGATGCGCCGGGACGTATCGCCACCTCTCGTGGGTGCATCGGGTTGATCGTGGCGGCCCTGCCTGACCGTGCTGTCGCGACCTGGACTTTTCCTGGCGATTCTTTCGGGCTGGCCAGCTCGAGGGTGGTGGTGGCCTGACTGCGAGTCACCGTTCGTTGCCGGTCGCTGTCGATTGCGCGAGTCGGGATAAGTCTCTCTGTTGAGCCTGTTCTGGAATGATGCAAGTTCTTGCCGAGCCTGGCCGAGCCTCTTGCGTTCGTCTTTGGAATCCGCCACGAGATCTGTACAAAGACGCATGAGCTCGATATGCATCAGCACAGTCACGGAGACTTGCCGTGAGAGGACTGCTGAGCAGGGCCGGACTGATCTGACCGATTCCGTCTTCTTTCCTCGAGAACTCGCTTGGCCTTGTCGGACAGACCTGGACCATGCGAAGGCGTGTCGTCCAGTCTGCGCCTCAGGTGGTCGGAGTCCACGCGAGCTCGCTTGTTGACCGAGGGGGCAGATGCGGACGATGAAGCGTCGGCATTGGTACCCAAGAGCGCAGAAAGATCTCTCTCCCTCCGTTTCTCTGCTGCAAGCCTCTCCAGTCCCAGCCTCGATTGTCCAGAGGGTGTGTTGGGCTGGTAGGCATGCTTGAGGCCGGTGCCGGTGACAAGGCCTGACCTTGAGGCCGTCGAGGGCGGTGATGATTCGTGGAGTGACAGTCCACCAGGACGGGCAGGGGGAGGCATGAGGACATCAGCATCATCGTCCGAGGCGATGTTGATGTTCATCTGCTTGCGGCCCCTGATCTCATTGTAGAGAGTGTGGAGATAGTCCGACTTGTTGAACCTGCCGAACGTCTGAGCTGCTTTGACAAACTCGGCTTGACTTGGCAGCGTGTGAGCGAGGGAGATGACCCGTCGGGCGAGGAGATCGTTGGGATTGACCAGGTTGATCTCCCGAGAGAGCGAGATGGCCAGCTCGTGCACATAGCCATCATCCGTCGCCATACGCCGGCCAGGGCGCCAATGAATGATCAGCGCTCAGCGATCAGCGCGATGTCAAAAAGATCTGAGTCGCCCGAATGGAGGGAGCAGGCAAATATTTGCAATGAGCACGAGATACACAGGGACGTTGTCGAAGGGGACGTGTATAAGCAACATCATGCACCAATCGCTGCTACGCGGGCAAGTGACTGCGCGTGCTAGCACTCACTGACCGTCGACTAGGCCGGCTGAAGGCGCGACGAGTTGGCTCACTTTGCCACCCGTCTCGCGCATGCCTACGGGCAGAGCAACGTTCCTTCTCGCTTCCTCTAGTACTCTGTCCGACAGCGAATCAGATCTTCTGTCGTCTGAGCCCAGCACTAGACGTACTGTGGGTCAGGACGGTCCAGAGCAGCTTCGTAGGCCGCAAAGGCTTCCGCATAGCCCGGCACTTTCAACAATGTGTCCGATGGTGGATCATTATCGGGCAGGCGCTTGATGACTGACCATGATCCCGACCCTTCCAGCACGAGCGCCTCTACGTCGCACAGCCGTGCGAACCCCTGGGATCGCAAGCCCTGGTAGACTCCACTGGGCGCTATCCTGTTCGCTTTGATGGCCTTTGACTGGATGACACCCTTGAAGACGCAGAGAAGCGGAGGACTCTTGAAGATGTAGCTGAATGCCGGCGTGACGGAGATGAGCCAGCTGGACGCATACTCGAATAATAAGATGACGATGATGCTGATGATGCCGCGCGTGAGATCCAAGGCAGGCTGGGTGATGATGCGAGACAGCGTCGAGCCTAGGGCGACGTTGACGAGCAAGCTAAAGACCGTCGTCGGTGCGAGGGTCTTATTGCTGGCCAATCGCAGGTACACAAACACAAACACGATGGCCGGTCCGCCCACGATGATGGGATGCAGTAAGCTGGCAGACTGGTAAAAGTCTGCTCTCTGCAAGCCCTCCGTCACCTCAGTCGGACGCTGCCTCCCTGCTTGACCAGTCTCTCGACTGGCTCTTCTCTGGAGATAACATCGAGGCTACTTACAGAGGCGACCACCATATCGGGTCAATCTCGGCGCAAGCTCCTTATTGTAGCCTGACAGACTGTCGCCGCATTGTCCCTGCCTGTGCTGCAGCGTGCCTGGCCGCGATGCCGAAGCGCTGATCCCTGACGAAGCGTGATCGCGATGGTAGCGCTGATTTGCTTGACGCGCTCAGTGGATCTCAGCCGGTGCGAGCCCTGGACAAAGCCTACGAAGGCCCTCGCCTAGGCATGTGTCGCTTCCAGGATGATCTTTGGATATCAGCCTTCTGACCTGTCTACCATGCAAATGACCATGACAATGTAAGCTCGACGAACCACAAGCAATGCGGGGCATTGCCCGCTAGACCTCTCTCCAGGCTGTTTTAAGTCTCAAATACAGAACCCGTTCATTCGCATGTGCAAAGGCACTCTCCTCATCAGAAGGATTGGTGCTCGCTTCACGCATACCGATCAAGGCTGATAAGCGCGCGATATCACACGAGCGCGTCTAAAGTTTTCACGTCCTGCCGCCCAATGCGCTGACGTCTCTACCTCTGACCTGATCCCTCATAGCGACGTGTGACGTCACAGCTATCGTGCCTCTGCAGCGACGAGTCAGTGGTCAAGCAAGCGAAATGGTGTTCAATCCGGCGAGGACGAAAGTACAGCTGAAGCAAGCCCCCCATACGCGGAGCATGCAAGACCGCTCATCCCTCCTGCAGACTGGCTAGTCAGCGTTCGAGAATGCTTGCGGCCAAGCAGGAAGTTTTGTCAAAGAAGTCGAGGAGGGAGATTGCGACGCTGCTCGAGAGAGGCAAGATGGAGTCTGCCAGTACGATAGCGTTCGCTCAGCTTGAGTGTTCGCTCAATCTGGCACGTTAGGGATACGCACAGAGACCGTCATCGCCAACGACATCTCTATAGAGCTGCTTGAGCTTATGGACCTCTACTGCGAGCTTCTCACTGCTCGGTTCGGACTTCTCGAAACTCAGCGGTACATCTCGCATGGACGCGCGCGATTCAGCTGATTTAGTGTGCGACCTGCTCAGAGAAGTCGACGCGGGCATAGCAGAGGCAGTCAATGGCATCATCTATGCTGCACCGAGGTGCGTGCTCATCTCGCACGACGCGCACCGCCAGTCTGATGACTTCTCATAGAACGGAGCTCAGAGAGCTGCATGTATTGCGCGAATTGCTCATGGCGAAATATGGCCGCGAGCACTCGATGGCCGTCATGGACAATCGCGACGGCATTGTCACCGAGCGTGTTCGTAGCGATGCTACACAAGTCGCCGAGCGTGATCTGACAAACGTCGATAGGTCACAGCAAAGCTCAAAGTAGAAACGCCAAGCAGAGAGCTTGTCGATTTGTACTTGCTCGAGATTGCCAAGGCATACGGTATCGAGACGGCTCTGGAGCCGCCTGCTTTGGAAAGTCCAGGGAGGCCCTCGATCGCCTCGCGGGTCAGCCAGGATGCCGTCAAGTTGCCGCAGGTGCCCGCGCTTGCGCCAGCAGATGAAGGGCCCACCATCACCATCAAGACAAGCCTCCCATCTGCTGCAGCATCGCCGACAATCAAGCCAGACGAAGCACAGGCAAAGCTCGACGATCTTGCCAAGCGCTTCGAGGCGCTCCGTCGGCGGTGATCGCTTTGTGTACTCCAGATTACGTCGCAAGTCGAGGCGAGCGAGCGGGCCAGCAGAATAGCACGGTGATGCAAGACTCCGAACAGTGAGACTGTCACCGGTGCCATGTTGTACTCTCCATACGAGGATCTGAGACATCCAGATCTCGTCGATTGGATGCAGCCGCGAGCGCGTCACAACGAGACGGCCGTCCCCACGCAAAGTGCCGCGATGGCCCCACAGTCGAGCTGCCGCGCGCCATTCGCGCCATTCGCGCATCTCTAGGCCAGGACTTCTTTGTTCGGCTGTCCGACGATGCGACGTCCGCGATGGTGTGTCTGCACATGCCTGCTCGTGTTGGCTCAGCAAGCCTTTGCCCACGGCGGAGAAGGTCATGGCGAGACCAAACGGGACGCGAGCTATGCTGAAAGACATATGGCTTGTCAGTCCCTCTCAATGCTTGCAGACGTGCGAGCTGACGAGCAGCTCTTCAGCTGAGCATCATATCGACACTTTCGATCTAGGTGGCTTGCTCGGCACTCACTTTGGCACGGTAGACTGATCTGGCAGGGCAGCATCCTTCTTCCACCTCCACGACCTCAACAGAGACGGCATACTCGACCAGGACGAGCTGACTGCACTCTATGGCGTGCATCATGAGACATCAAAGTCAGCCAGCAAGCAACAGGAGCGGTCGCACGATGACAAGGCGAAGGAGATCATGGACAAAGTCATGGCGACTCTCGACCTCAACAAGGACGGCGTCGTCACCAAGGCAGAATTCCTCAGCGTCGGCAAGGAGGGCTTGCCTGACTTCAAGGAGGAAGGTCTCGGGCATCACTATGGTCTGCTTGACGGCTGCCCGAGCTGTACCTTCTGCTGACGCGCCGGGCAGATGTCGAGGGCGAGTACTACTTACACCACGAGGAGCTCTACCACAACACGCCGGACACCCAAGAAGAGGGCGCTTACACTCACAAAGAGGACCTGGAACACTTTACGAGACATGAAGCGATTGAGCGAGCAGAAGCAGATGCTGATCTCAAAGCCCAAGGTCTGCCACCAACTGATCCTTCGAAACCGCTCGAAGAGCAGCTCCCCCATGACACAAAACTGGACGAGGTTCAGCCGGCCGCAGATCAGGGCAGTCAGCAAACATTCCAGACGAGTCCAAACGGCAGCGAAAACGCCAAATCGGGTGAAAGCGCTCGTCGATTGCGCGCTCAGGCAGCCGATCGCCAGATACAAAAGTTGGCTTCAGACGTCAAGGAGGCGAGCAAGAGAGGCGCATATGCAGCAGACGGGCGCTTTGGTAAGCCTCGTGATGCTGCAGACCGTATGAGGCGCAATATCCCTTACAAATATCGGCTGAAGTCGTCCTGGTTCGGCGACTTTTGATCGATCATGTCTGTGCTCTGTACACCCAATGCATGCAAGCTACCTTCTGCGCCAATGCTCGCTGCTTGCCGAGAGAAGCTCGCTAGTCTAGACCTGCTTGATCTGATCCAGCCTGAACTCGCATTGTCTGACTGAGCCAGTCTGGACCTGCTCTGAATGCTTGCTGCCGACGCATCGTTCGGTCTTTGCAAAGCATGGCAGCGACTGCACAGAAAGAGAGCGCCAAATTTCGGTTCCGTCCGACAGGTCAATGTGATAATGCGCTGCTACTGAGTCGGCTGCGAGCTTCCATAATTGCACCTCTGCCTTGTTTGTATGGCCATCTACTCGCGGAACAGTCCATGCGACCACCCAGACTGCCCACATACGAGTGAACGACGGCAAGTTTAGCACTCGGCAGCACAGTCGCGCAAGTCATCGTGCTCGTTCTGATTCTCGGCTTACGGTCAGATATCAGTCACTGGTGTGGGCGTAATCGACCGATATGGCTGATGCAGCCAATCGTCGTACTTTCTGCTGGCGCATGGCTTGCTCTGCTCGCCACAGCTGTGACAAGGCTGGTGGAAACGTATGCCGTTGCGGCGCTAGGGCTCTAAACTTATATACTAGGCAACGGTCACAGTATAAGTCGCATGCGAGGCCGCCCTTATTCGGCAGGCGAGTTGCGGGATGTCGCTCCTGGCTCGGGCTCACGCGCATGGGCCAGTGGTGTTGGGCATAGTAAGTCAACGCGAGGCAGAGGCTACGGGAATTGAGCAGTGCTAACGACAGGCTGCTTTGCCGGCGTGCTCATCGTCATGGGCGTACTACTTATCGTTTCGAGAGATATCAAGCCTGTACCGAGAGAGGAGCTGCGCGTCTGGCTCGAGTATCAAGATATGTCGGCGCCTGTCCGACCACCGAAAGCGTTTCTTCGAGGAAGATCGAGGTCTATTATGAGCATGTCCTGAATGCATGACCCTACAATGTCTACTTTCGTTTTCGCGGCGAAGAGGGCATGTTCGGTGTACTCGGCTGGACGGGCGAAGTAGGCACGGATGACGCTGTCGACTGAGGCACCGTCGGGGGTACCTTGTCCGCGTAAAACTGACCCGCCTGAAGCCCGATGACGCCCGTCAGAGCGACTGCAATGATGGTATGAGCGCTCGCTAGCTCCTTGAGTACGCCAACGAGGGCTGCACTCGCTGCTGATCCTGCTGAGAGCGGCGGAAGCAAGTCAAAGGCTGCAGTCTGTTAGATTATAGCTCACAGAGGATCGAGACTAGACTTACCGTTGCGGATGTCAAAGTGATACGTGGCGAGCGTGGTCAGCTGGAGGACTGCTCACGAGTCTGTTGAGCATCAGTTCCTCGAGCGCCAGATCGACTGACATAGGCTGGCTCCGTCGAAGAGGAGCGTTGACTGGTTCATCTCTACCATCTTTGCGAGCGTGGAGCCCAAGCCGAGCACGGAGACGCCGTATAGGATGAGGCTGACCCATGCTGGTGCCCTCACCAAGTCATGATAGTAGATGTGTGCAGACTTGACTGATGAATCGAGCAGCTTGCTCGTCCAGAGTGTTTTGTAATCCACTGTCTTGGATCATCAACGACTCGACAGTCGGCTGCCTTAGCTCAAGTTGTACCTGACCAGTGTGTAAAGAATGCACCGAGCAGGAAGGAGCTAGCAAACAGCAGCACTCCGGTCCTGATGCCCATCTCAGATGCGCCTCTCGCCTAAATTCTGCGCGCACAAGCTGAAGCGCACAAATCAGGATCCGGCATTCGGAGCCTGAAAATGTACCTGATAGCTAATAGCTCATAGCGCTCGGAGCTCGACTTTGACGCGATGCATGCATTGTTTGCTGCTCCTACTCGAGATCGTTAAAGCAGGCCCGCGCAGGCTTCTTCGATTTCTTGGCTTTGCGCTTAGCCAGCAAACGCCGCTTTGGCTCGTCCCCAGAACCCTCACTGTCATCCGAGGCACTGTCACTCGAAGGAGCGTCTGTCTTCCGTTTGATCGCAGGCTTCGAGTCAGCCCCTGGTGATTTGGTAGCGACGAGCTCGGCACGCGTGACGCCAAGCTGGACCTGCTCGTCATGTCCCCCTTGTGCTGGCTTCGGCAGCTGCCTTGCCTTTTTGGCTAGCTTCTTCGACCATGGCTCGTGTTGTTGCTTTTTGTCTACGCGCCCGCTTGCAGCTCGCAACGGCTGCCGCCTATTGCTCTCACTTTTGAGCTCCTCGAGACGGCGTTGTTCGCGCTCCCTGTCTGCATAAGCGTAATGATCCCACTGTATGCGAGTCAGGACGACTGCAGAAGCAAATGGCAGCACGCACATCCAGCTCGATCGGGTGCCATGACGCAAGTTCGCAACCCTTGAGCTCGGGCATCTTCGGTAGACGCAAAAGGCCGTACGACATTGCGAGTCCGGGCAAGTCGATCTCGGACAGCTTGAAGATGAATGAAGCCTCGTGTTTCGAATAGGCGCGGACAAAGGACACATACGCTCGCACCGCTTGCTCGTGTAGCGCTCTATCCTTTCGAACAAGCGCACGGACGGACTCGTTGAATACATCGGCGGCTTGATCGCTATCGATGTCACTATCAGGGCCTGCCAGATACGTCGAATTCAACATTGGCATCTTGCGAACGCGCAAAAAGTCTGCTAGCCTATCAGGGCCTGATGTAGTCTAGGGGATGCAGCCAACCAATGTATTCTTCCTCACGCCCGGTAGTGAGAAATATACAGGCAATGCCTTGTCGACCTGCGCGAGCGGCGCGACCACAACGATGACTGTAAACCTTTGGATCTTGAGGGGCGTCGAATTGGATGACTTGATCAAGCTGCGGGAGGTCGAGACCTCGTGCAGCCACATCTGTACAGAGCAGGACACCTGCTCTGCTTTCGTCGAGGTCGACAAAGGCTGCAAAGGTCGCGCTTCTCCTGGCAGCAGTCTGCTTTCCGTGCAGCGAGTAGATGGCCAGCTCTTGTAGCTCGACCTGCTCTCGTAGAATCTGAAAAGACAGTTGAGCTCGTGAGGAAGGCACACTGGAGGAAGCGGACCTTGTAAAAGTAGTCGACGCAGGCGCAAGTAGCGAAATAAACGATCGTCTTTTGGCCAGGCTCGACGTCTGCTCGAGCGAGGCGCCTGACAAGCTGACATAGCTTCTGAGACGGCTTCATGATGCAGTAAGTGTTCTCGAGACTGCTCTCCTGTAAGTCGCACAGTCATATACACCTACGATGCAAACTTGCCTTGCTGGCATCCTGACTTGCTGGCTGCCTCGGGTCGAGTTTGCCTCGACTTTGACGACAATCTTGACAGGATTTCTGAGACCGACTCGAACGAGTGCAGCGAGTGCGTCTGTCATTGTTGCTGAGAACAAGCCGGTCCGGCGCTGTTTCGGCATATTGGCGAGCAGTCGTGTCAACACAGCCTCGAAGCCAAGATCGAGCAATCTGTCAGCTTCGTCAAGTACGAGCATCTCTAGATTTCGAAGTGATACGATCGGGACGAAAGATTTGCGAGCTGGTTTGCCTTTAATGGACTGAATAGAGGATGAGCCGAGCAGAAATTCCTCAAGTCGACCAGGGGTGCCAATTAGGATCGATGGCTTCAGTGATCTGAAATCTGACAGGTCCTCTTGCAGCGTCTTAATGCCACCTATGAGCAGCAAAGGAGATGGTATAACCGCTGAGCTCGTAGAGGGTTGCGTCTTGACCAAGTTGTCAATTGTCTGATGAATCTGTACAGCAAGCTCGCTGTCTGGCGTGTCAGACTTGTAGGGCTGATATGCACGCGACTGACCGAGTAGGTGAGATGATCAATCCCCCGATTTGTCCTGGCTTGAGCATCGCTTGATGCTGCATCATCTCCTCGAGTAACGGTATCGCAAACGCTAGCGTCTTGCCAGAGCCCGTTACAGCCTGCATGCCTGAATGATGAGCTGAGACGTTGGTGGTCTTGGGAGGGATGATGACCTCGACAACGACATCCTTGTGCTGCATAAACAGTGGGATGACAGACGCTTGCACTGGCATCATCTGCTCGAAGCCCAATGCGCCCACCGCATCTCGCCTGCCATGCCTGCTCAGCATTAAGCTTGGTTGACACGTATGTACACACAGCCATGGTGACAACGCCGGCTTGAGCGTCTCCCACGAACCCGCACTCGCTGACATGTCTAACCGGCGCTCAGAGTTAGCAGCTTTTATATTTGCGCGTACGGTCGCCGGCCGTCGTCAGCTGCTCAGGTCCAACAAAGTGCCCCGCTCTCTTGCTGGCGACACATAGCGGATGTAGCGACAAAGAAGACATGCCTGGCACGAAGGCGGGCAGCAAAAGGATAGGCCTGGAGCGGCAGCAAAATGCCCGTCTGCTGAATCGAACAGCAGACCTCACCATAGTTCACCAGGTACGAGTGGCGCGCTCTACCCCTGAGCTAGACGGGCACTTTCGCCACTCGGATCATAAGCATACATAGCTATGTAGAATTGGTCACCGAAATATGAAAGTTTTGGGACTAGTGACATCGAACAAGCGGGCGTCTATCCGTCTGATTTGTCCGCCACAGAAGGGCTGAGCTGAATCACGGTCAGCATACGCAATTTGCGGTTATGGCGAGTAGCTGAAGGACAAGGCTTTGGGTAATCTGACGTTCTTTCACGAGCGCTTAGGCTGTTTTGATGGCTTGGTGCATGTCGTTCTGGCCGACAATAAATAATGATGCATCAGTATACTTATGTCAAGGGTGCTTGAGCGAAATTGACGCCAATATGTTTCGTAACTAGTGAATTCTATCGCGCACTTGCAAGAGTGACACAGTAGGCTGCAGCGCATGTTTCGGCAAAGTGATGAACTAGAGCTCATTGGCGCTCATTTGAGGATGCAGTCGCACTGAACGAGTCTCTTAAAGTGATCATGACCGAGACTCAAGATTTGAGACTGTGGCGGCGAGCCGACTATACTTTGAGCGCAGTCACTTTGGGTTGCTGGAGCCTCATGCACTGCTTGATTGATTTGATAAGCTGCTCAGACGCCGAGCATGATCTCTGTCGGTCACGAGGCAATGTGACGCTGTCTGTACAGCTCTTGGGCACTGTCTCGGATGGAGCGGATACTAACAGTGATGGTCGTCTCGCGCGAGCAGTGTATGCAGGACAAGGAGCAATGAGAATAGGTTGGGCGAGTCAGAGCATGCTTCCGATGATGTGGAGCACATCTCGATCGTCTCCATACTGTTACAGCTCGGTCGCGGTGACGCCGAGGCTCAAGGCGCTGCAGTCTTGGCAAGGTGCTGCAGGCTTGGCATAGTCTGTGCATGCATGAGCGCGTGTCTTTGACGGTACTGATACTCTATATTGTAACAATACTGTCTGTCGAGATGAAGAGATCAATCGACCCTTCAACAACGCGATAGAGGGTCTTGGGCACTGCGACAATTTCATAGCAAGCGTAGTCCATCGACGGCACAATGTGAGTGGCCTACGTGGCGGTCCGGCCAGGGATACCCCAGAGGCTCTTTGACCCGACGAGCAGAGCAGATCTCATGCTTATTAATGTTGAATAACAACGTCGTTCAGGACTTGTCTGATGCTGACGCTTTCGGTCTTGGCTGAGATTGTCTGATCAAGATTTGCAAACACGATTCTAGCTCTTCTTCAATACCTTGTGACGACGCGAGCTCGCAAAGTATTGGTGAGAGCAGAAGAAAGTCGGATGGCGGCATTGCGAGCCTGCCGCAAGTCTATTGTTCACCTATGCTGCTGACAGACTTTTGCAATAGGGAGCAAGTGTGCCTCGAATATGCAGTTTCAAGCCCGGCAGAAATTGATCGTGCAGGGTCTCAGTCTTTCATCAAAGCGAGCATAAGCATGTTTTGCAGCGTTGAGGCTCTTTCGAGTATAAGCCCACGATGCGGGATGGATAGACTGATCGTACCAATGCTGGCAGGACTAGAAGATCATAACATCAATGTCAGCAGACCTCGGCAGCTCCGACGAGATTGGCGACCTGCTGCTCGGCCTTTTGCTACTGGCACGTCCTCGAATCGCAATCAGAGCTTCTCGCATCGCAGCACCATGTTCCTAAATCTCTTGCGAAAGAGCATGACGCGAGTCGATGTCAGCCACTAGGTCGATCTCTTGCTGTGTGTCGTCTCGAAATTGGGCAGCTGATCTCGATAGCTCTGGACACGCTGGGAGCTATAGAGAATTGTCCATGCTGGCAAGCCTGAGTCCCCGACCGCTTGAGCAGACATACAGCCCAGACAAAGTAGTCAGAGCGACAAAGCTCTCTAGAGGCATATTCGTCGATTTGTACGGCATAGACACCAGCAATTCGAAAACGAGCGCCGTCGTGTAGTACATTTGTAGCGGACGAGGGCATACTAAGGTCAGGCAAGTGGGATTGCGAGTCATCACTTTCGACAGCTGCCTTTGTGTGCGATTAGCGCTATCGATGTCAAGCCATGCACCACTTCCTCCCATTTCGCGCGTGCCTATCAGGGCCGGTACGATGTCGACAGTTGAACGTTTGGGGTATAAGGGCCTGTACGATTTCGAAAGGTAGATTTTTGGGATATAGTAGAGTCGATTCGCGAGCCAAATTTGCCCTTGAGTATGTCGGCAGCGAGCCGCGATGTCCCCTCAAAGAATCTACTTCATTTTACTTTTGCCCACGCGCGAACCGAACGCAGGTGGTAAATCTTGCTCTCGCAAAATTTACGTTTATGTTTACTTATCAATTATTCTTTGAAATCGTACGGGCACTTATTGGCGCTGGCTTCTTTGCTGAAAACATAGTTCTCCAACGGCTTCCTCTCGTCATTACGAGCACGTAAGAATGCCAAAAGAAGGGCCAAAAATTTGCCGCGAACAGGTCTCGACCCTGTGACCTCTCCGTATTGCCTCCTCAATGACTTCAGCGGAGTGCTACTCCCAACTGAGCTACCGCGGCTTACAGCAGTTGCTCTGCAGCTCAACTATGTTCTTTATGTGTTTCTTTGCGCGTCTCGGGTATCGCCTCGCAGGCTCGCCTGAAGTTCAATACTCGAGGCGGTTTTTGAGGTCGCGCAGGGTGGCTCCCGTGAGCGGGATGATGCTGATGACACCCTCGTCCACTTTGTCTGCAACCTCGATTTTCGTGGATAGAATCCGGTCGATGTGCCGTCGAGCTCATCCTAAGTTCTCTTTAAGCAACCAGGCGCAGCTACCAGGATGTAGTTCGGTGCCATTGCTTTCAATGCGGCCAGGGCAGTCCGATGGTTGTGAGCGTGTTCGTTTGCGTCCGATGCGATTCTGGGACTGAAGGGCAGACGAAGATGTCTTCGAGTGAGGCGAATGTTCGTCGGGACCCTGGTTTGAGTTGACAGTCGATTGCCGAAGCTCAGTGATCAGACTCGTCTCTGACGGATAGATGATGGGATTCAATTGCAAAGTAAGCCAGTGCCAAAAGCCAGATTTCATAGGTGCCCCACAGGTTCTCTCCAATTGCGGAGAAAATGATGGGAGAAATGCCAGCGAAGGAGGACAGGGACCCCAGCGATGAACGTACTAAGATGGATGAACGTCAGCAAGGACGCTGGGAGTGCTGCACAAGACGAACACGAGAGCAAGAGGGAATGGTGGGAGACGACAGGTGAAACCTACTTTGGCATGGAGAACGTCAGTCCTTGCGCTGGCTCTGAAGGAAAGGCTCGAGCTGACGTGCGCTGTCTCCGGCTGGCGACTGCAGTTTGGTAACACCTGGTGAGTGATATCTGGACAGGCAATGTAGCAGTCGCTCAAACACCCACAGTTACGCTAATTCGGTGCTACAAGCGCTCTATTTCTGCAAGCCTTTCAGAGAGCTCCTCATCCAGTTTGCCCGTCTAGAGCAATATCAAGTACAGTTGAAACAACGCCCGCAAGAGACACTGAACGTAACGTCCCAGCTCGACGCAGAGTCTTCCGACCCAAGCAGAGCCCGTACCTTGACAAACGATGCAGACGTTGCCTTCTCGGAAGCCTCGTTCGGCAAACGGTCACAGTCGAGCGCGTCCGTTGTAGATCGCGAGCGTTTAGCAGAGCTCGAGCGCCAGCGCAAAGCCGCCCTCGCCCGGCCAGGCACCTCCTCTGGCCGCTCTGCTCTATCTGCTGCTTTCGCGCGCAAGTCATCAGCGTCCGGCACGGACCTAGCAAAACAATCGTCATCAGGCACGCCACGACCGAGTACAGCGCCCTCATTCGCCAGTCTGTCGACCGCAGCGCAATCCGCTCATGCCACTGCCAGTACGCCGGCCTCACCGACGAAGCCAAGTGGATCGTCTTTGAATGTCCCTCTGACCAGCCAAGCTCTTCAGAATGTAGCCGCGTCAGATCAGAAAGTACTTCAAGCACCAACACTCTACACTGCATTGCGAGATCTGTTTGTAGCAATATCCTCGCAGCCTAAAGCCCTAGGTACTGTCGCGCCCCAAGCCTTCATCACCCAGCTCAAGAGAGAGAACGAGCTTTTCCGGAGCACGATGCACCAAGACGCCCACGAATTCCTCAACTATCTCATCAATACCGTCTCGGAAGATGTTGAGGAACGAGCGAAAGGTGCCATTGAAGCACTCGATGGGCACATGCGCTGACATAGTACGAACGCAGGGTTCACCCGGCCAGATGGCGAGCTGGCTAATCGATCATCGACATTCATACACAGCCTGTTTGCGGGCCTCTTGACCAACGAAACTCGGTGTCTGACTTGCGAGACTGTCAGTCGGCATCCGGTACACCATGATCGGAGCTGACACACGCCGCAGGTCACGAGCCGTGACGAGGCCTTTTTGGATCTCTCGATCGATATTGAACAGAATAGCTCGATCTCTGCATGCTTACGGCAATTCAGCGCGTCGGAAATGCTCTGCTCGCGGAATAAATTCTCTTGCGATCACTGCGGCAGCTTGCAAGAGGCAGAGAAACGGTCAGCTAGCCCGGGACGGGTTCATAGAGAAGTCACTGAATCTCCACCTGACGCGCAGGATGAAAGTCAAAGAACTACCAAACGTACTGGCATTACATCTCAAGAGATTCAAATATCAAGAAAATCTAGGTCGACATGTCAAGCTTGGCTATCGTGTCGTCTTTCCACTCGAGCTGAGACTCTTCAATACAGCCGACGATGCAAAGGATGCCGACAGGCTGTACGAGCTCTTCGCCATCGTGGTTCACATTGGCATCGGACCTCATCATGGTCATTACGTAACAGTTCTTCGAACAGGCTCACGTTGGCTTCTGTTTGATGACGACAGCGTCACCCTGGTCAATGAAGCAGAGATTCAGACCTTCTTCGGGGGCGGAACGGCATCGGGTGGTGCATACGTGCTGTTCTACCAAGCAGCAGAACTCGACGTCCATGCTCTGGCTGTAAGCACATTCGGCGAGGAGCTTGTCAATGCTGTCGACAATGCCCAGCAGCCTCGCAAAGACATAGTGTTCGATATTGGCGCGGCTTCTCTGTCTTCGACACCCAGCCTCCCGACTCAGCCAAATGAGCCCGAGTTGACACCCGCTATCGTGCCAGCCATCGCCCCTGACACACCTTTGCCCGATCCAAGCAGGGACTTACGCGGGCGGGATCGATCGGCGTCGGGTGTACTGCTGCCCTCTACGGTTAGCAACTCGAACAGCGCCGTCGGCTCACGCAATTGGATCTCGTCACTCAGAGGCAAGCGGAGTGAAAGCGAAGAAAAGCAGTCGAAGACCTCCAGCAGCCCAGAGACGAATTTGCTCGGTACTGACACCTCACCCAAGACCTATCCAAGCGGTTCGAGTCCAGCAGCATCCACAAGCTCAATTGCGTTATCCGAGACGAGCAGCAAGAGCACAAAGGCTTCCAATGGGCCTAAGCGGCTGTCGAAATTGATGCGTTCGGGCAGCACAACGCCACAACAGCACAGCACGCCCCAAGCTTTACCTTCAGAACTGAGCATGACAGCAGCGCCGCGGTCTGCATCAACGGCGAGTGCGGTGAAGATGCCGAGAGATGAGAAAGAAGCAAAACGAGCGGAAAAAGATGAACAAAAGAAACGCAAAGTCGAATTGAAAGCTAAGCAGAAGCAGCTAGACAAGGAACTCAAATCGACAAAGAAGCTCGGCTTGGGTTTCTTCAAGTCTTGACGATCACGCAGGGCAAGCTTCGTATCCGTATGTCTGTCTGTTTGCAGAACGAACAATGCAGTCTACAGTCGCATGCTACATCACAATCTACGTCTAAGGGTTGCTGTTGCTGTCCGGTATCGGTACATCACTGATTGCATCTGCTGCAGCTCTGACGCTGTCAAGGGTGATCTGACCGTCATCAGCTGTGGACGAAGAAGCTTGCTGCGACTTGAGTCGCTCGTATTCTTCTTTCGTCGTCTTTGGCTTTTTGCTTTTGACCACTTTGACAGGAGGAGGGTAAGCCAGCGCGTCGATCTCCTGCCACGACTTGTCTGTCGCAAACTCTGCCTGGACTGGTTCGAGGATATGGTTAATCGCAACAGTGACGGCATCTTTGATGTCCTTCGGATGCAAGTCCTCGCTTGCATAATCCTTTTCGAGGGCGTCGTAGTCTGAGTAGTGTCGCGTGCCTCCGTATTGGTCTGGACGTTCGACGGTGAGGAGAGTTGCAGGAGGTGCATCTGCATGTGCAAAAGGCGATTTGCCAAGCTGAGTAAGCTTGAGTGAGCTGATCGGCATCACGACAGCTTTGATGAAGGCAAGGACGCCGTTGCCTTCGACAATGCCAGGCGCTGCCAAAGCTGCTTTGAGCTTCTTTGCGACATCTTTCGGCCCGTCGAGAAAGTCGATCTTGCTGTTTGGATCTGACGAGGACATTTTACCGCCTGCCAGGCCTGGCACCATAGCGTTCATGAGATGTGCCCTTTGCGCATACCCCAGCTTAGGCAGATGCTCTTCGGCGTAGATGAAGATCTTCCTCTGTCAAAGGATACATCAGCGGTGAGCCTAGACTGCTTCGACAGAGAGCGCCAACCTGATCGACGCCGCCAAATTGGATATCCACGCCCAAGTATTCCTCGTCGAGCGCCTGCAAGAGTGGGTAGAGTAGACCGCTCAGTGGCGCGCTGGTGGTCTGCTTGACGACTTCTGCGCCAGCTCGCTTGGCGTCATGCTCGGAAGTGATGGCGCATAGCTTGTACTTGTCCATGTTGTACTTTGGACCATACTGGTAGGAAGAGCCCGTGACAAACTCGAGCTTGTCGGTCTCGACGCCGATCGATCTCAGGACGGAGAGAAGAACTCGGCGGTAGAAGTCTACGCGGTGGTTGATGAGCTCGATGGGCGCCTTGAGGTTGTCGAGGAAGGCGTGGACGTCTGCGAGGAGGACTTTGACATGGAGGCCTGCTCTGAGAAAGTCTGCAATTTTGGCCAAAGGGACCAAGTAGCCGACATGGGCTGCTGTGGGCGTTAGCCATGGGTACCCAAAGGGGGTTTCAATCACTGCTCACGTCGTCCCGTCGTCGCTGTACCTGCGCAGCAGCGTCAGAGGGATGCATGACGGAGCTGCCCAGCTACGGCAGGAAGTTACCCCAGTAGAGTCGTACAGGTTGACCTGACTCTCGCGAGGCTTCGAGTTTGGTCCGGATGGCAGCACCGCCGAGAACCTCTTGCAGCCGCCGCGTGATGAGCTCATACTGCTCGTCGACCGACAGACCAGCCATCCTACCCGGCGCCAATCTGCTGTGTGGCCAAAGTCGCGCCGCGCCTCGAGTCAAGTCATGCCGAGTCAGAGGATTCGGATGTACCACACTTTCAAGTCAGGCAGGCAGGTGCTCCTCTGTGCGGACAAGGGCATAGTGATGCGCTTGCGATGCTGTGGCAACCGAGCGCACTGTACGGGCATGTATAGCAGCGGAAGTATGCTCAGGGTCAAAGTCGAGACAGCTGATGCAATCCAGGCAGCTTGAACATCATGTACACGCTCTGTACCAAGTCGCGAGCCTATAGCGATGGGCGAGGTCTACAGGCCTGCTCAGCAGTCTCGTGACCGTGTATTGACCACCTTTGCGGGATCAGATAGTTCGCGGCTGCTCTGCTGCTTCGCTAGGCCAGCGAGTGACTGCCGGATCAGCAGTGCGACGAGCATGTGGAGATGCCAGTCAGGATTGGCATCTGCTCGCGCTTCTGTCTGTGATCTCTGACCGGTCGGTCTCTCTAGCCTGGTGTCCAGGGTCTCGAGCGACGATGACGAGGCGAGCCGGCTGTCGATCTAGGCTTCGACGTTGGCATCGATGAACGCCTTGAGCATGTCGACGAGCTCGTTGCGGACAGCATCGGGAACGAGATCAGCAGCCTCTTCACTGATACGTGAGATGGAGGCGCGAGTGTCGAGCGTGTCTGCCCTCGCGAGATCGTCGAGCGCTAGCTGTCGAACGTCCTCGTCCCAGCCGACGCTGACTAGCCTCTGCTTGAGTATCCTGAGCAGTCTGTCGTGCCCGCAGCAAGACAGGTCAGCGCTGGCAAATTGTTCAGTAGGCTGCAGATGCACCTGTTGGCTTCACCACTCTCCCTGAGCCGGTCGAGCAGCGCCGTCTTGAGGGCTTCGAGCTCCTCTTGCTCCATGATGGCTCTAGGATGACCTGGCGCGCCGACGACTGCCTCTGCCTGGCTGGCTGCCGGCTGTGTCGCGATCGAGGCAACGGACGATCACGAGCTGGCCACGAGCTGAGGGCGAACTTGCTTGATCATCACCGGTTGAGTGAGCCGCTTGCCTGGTCCCTTCTCAGCGTCCAGCGCATGCTCGTGAGGCCTGTACGGCAGGCTAGCAGACTCGTGCCGACAAGATTGCTCGCAACAAGCAGGAGCGCACTACTACTACTGGTCAGCGACTCGGACGAGCACATCCCTATTGGATCCTGAGCTCATCCCTTTTGCTCGCTTTGGCTGTCCTGCTGGGCCATCAGAAGTCTGCACGGACTGCGCTCTCCGCTCCTCTCGCTCCTGCACAGCTCGGCCACACTCACCGACGGTCCTGCTCTACCTTGTTCGGAGCGATACTGCCAGGTTGCGCGTACCATCGCAAGATGAGCAGCGCCAGCAGTACTGCCGAGGCACTCGCCAAGCAGCAGCCATCGACCGACTATCGCCTCGGATCCGCTGTCAAGCAAGTCCGACTCTGCAGCTCTCAGACCTCTCACGGCTGACAGCATTGAGCTTGCAGACCGATCCACTATGATCTCGTGATCAAGAGCGATCTCGAGCAACTGGCTTTCGAGGGCAAAGCTCAGGTCGAGTCGGTCTCGCACCCTGTCACGCGCTTCTCTGCTCACGTTGATGGTGACGCCCCAGAGTTGAGATCCTTCAAGAGACCAAAGAGATCACCCTCCATGCGCGGAAGCCCCTGGTCGTCAGGTCAGCGTCGCTCAAGTCCTCACAGCTCAAGACGACGTCCGAGGAGACTTCCACTGACCTCAAAGTCGACGAAGATCTGGAACGCGTCACCGCTACCTTTGCCACTCCACTGCCTGCTGGTTCAAAGGCCACCATCACCTATGACTTCTCGGGCGAGATTGAGGGCTCCATGCAGGGCTACTATCGCTCGAGCTACGACAAGGAAGATGGCTCAAAGGGTAGCTACGCACTCACCCAGTTCGAGCCCACCGACGCCCGTCGTGCTTTTCCCTGCTTCGACGAGCCCGCGCTCAAGGCTACCTTTACCCTCGATCTCATCCACCGGAAAGGCACGGTTGCGCTTGGCAACATGAACGCGATCAACGAGATCGCTTCTGATGGTTCGGTCACTTTTCTCCAGTCAGGCTCCCCGGCAGAGAAAGGCCCGGAAACAAAGTCAGAATGGCTTCGTACCTCATTCGCAAAGACGCCCAAGATGTCAACCTATCTGGTCGCCTATGCCAACGGCGAGTTCGTCCATCTCGAGTCTGCTTTCACGTCGCCTCTGACGAACAAATCGGTGCCCATGCGTATCTACACGACGCCAGAACACATCCACCAGGCACAATTCGCTCTCGATGTGAAGCAGCTCGTCTTGCCCGTCTACGAGCGCATTTTTGATATTGCCTATCCCTTGCCCAAGCTGGATACCCTCGTCGCTGCAGACTTCGATGCTGGCGCCATGGAGAACTGGGGCCTCATCACCGGCAGAACGGCAATCTATCTCTACGATGACGAACGCTCGGGCATTTCGGGCAAGAAGCTCACCGCAGGCGTTCAGTCGCACGAGGTCGCTCATCAGTGGTTCGGAAACATCGTCTCACCAGGCTGGTGGGACAACCTGTGGCTCAATGAAGCCTTTGCTACCCTCATGGGCGAAGTCATCATTATACACGAAGTCTGGCCAGAGTGGAAGATTCATTCTGCTTTCATCAGCAAGCATCTCAACGCCGCTCTCGCTCTCGATAGTCAGAGATCATCTCATCCCATCGAGATGCCCTGCCCAGATCCAAAGCTCATCAATCAGATCTTTGATGCCATCTCCTACTCGAAGGGCGCATCAGTGCTCAAGATGCTCAGCAATCTCATTGGCGAAAAAGTCTTCCTCAAAGGGGTCTCCATTTACCTCAAAGCTCATCTGTACGGCAACAGCCAGACCAAGGATCTATGGGCAGGCATTGCCGAATCAAGCGGGCTCGATGTCGCCAAGATCATGTCAAATTGGACACTCAAGACTGGCTTCCCTGTGATCAATGTCGAGGAGACTTCTACAGGCATCACCGTCAGACAGAATCGCTTCCTCAGCACAGGAGATCCGACGCCAGAGGAGGACGAGACCATCTGGTATGTACCACTCATGCTCAAGACAATGGGTGCCTCGAGCAAGCCGACCGTAGACAACAAAGCCATCCTCGACAAGCGTGAGCTTTCCATCAAGATCGACAACGTCACCAACGCGTCCTTCAAGCTCAATGCTGAGACTGCTGGCGTCTACCGCGTGCGCTACCAGCCCGAACGTTTGGCCAAGCTTGGCGAAGAGGCTGCCAAGCCCAACAGCGCTCTCTCACTCAACGATCGGATGGGTCTGGTCCAGGATGCCTTCACGCTCGCTCGTGCTGGCTATGGCGAGACGAGTGGCGCTCTCGCTCTCGTCAACAAGCTCAACGGTGAGACCGAGAACCTCGTCTGGACCGAAATCAACGCTGGCGTTTCGGATATCGATTCAGCGTGGTGGGAAGAGCCCAAAGACGTCAGAGATGGAATTGCTGCTTTCCGTCGTCATCTTATGGGACCCATCGCTCGGAAGCTCTCCTTCGAGGTCAGCAAGTCTGATGCGCCCGACGTCCGCGAATTGCGAGCTCTCGTCATCGGCTCTGCTGCAGCTTCCCATGATCAAGAGTACGTCCGAGCTATCGAGGAGGTACGAGTCTGATTGCTTGCCATGCAGGATCATCGATGAGTGCATTCGCCGCTTCGATGCTTACTCGCAAGATGGAGACGATCATGCCATTCCTGGCGATCTACTTCGCCCGATCTTTGTCGTTGCTGTACGCTACGGAGCCGAAAAGCAGTACGATGCCGCTCTGCAAGTCATGCGACGCCCGCCAACGCCGCAGCACAAAGTCGCAGCTATCTTTTCGCTGGCATTCGCTCAAGATGAAGCCCTCCTCAAACGCACTTTCAGTCTCATCAGCGATGGCGAAATCAAGACGCAAGATCTGCTTTACATCTTTGGTGTATGTCAATTTTTGGGCAGTCCTCCTCGCACTACTGACCCTTGAACAGGGTCTTGGGTCGAACGCTGCATCGCGTAGAATGGTTTGGACATGGCTGCAAGAGAATTACGATCTGATTTACCGTCGATTCGACGGCGGCTTCCAGCTTGGTCGCATCATTGGCTACGCTTTCGAAGGGTATGTGGCAGGATAAATACTCTGCACTAGACTGATTTTGCACAGACTGTCGACGACAAAAGATGCGGACGCGGTCGAAGCTTTCTTCAAGGAGAAAGAGTACGTCTTTGGGTGTTCTCGTTCCATAGGGCTGACCCATACGTGCAGTACCGCTGCCTATCATCAAGCCCTCAAGCAGGGGCTAGACTCGGTACGAGCAAAGGCGGCATGGCTGAGCAGAGATCGCGGAGATGTCAAAGAGTGGCTCAAAGCGCAGCAGTACTTGGCATGAAGTCCAGTACAGATGTTGTTGATTACAACAGCCAGAAATACTCATACGTCTGCAATTGCATTAAAGAGAAACGACTTGCCAGTATAATCGGCTGGATGTGTCTCGCTCGGTGAAGATGGCGACGACTGTGCCCAGTCCGCATCGTCGGTCTGAGTGCTCACATTGAAGCGGACAGATACTCGGTTCCTGAACAGCCCGACGTCCGGAGAAGCTGAATGACTCGTGGTGCTCTCATCTGGGTCCACAGACAAGGACTGCTGCCTATACGAAAGATCAGGAGTTCCGTCGTCGATCGAAGTATCAATCTCGAGCGCCGTCAGCACTTTGTTACCACCCGCTTCTGCCGACTTGGCCAGCGCATCTCTGCCTGAGCGCAGCAGCATATCGAGTTTGACGACGATGGCAGCATAAGCATGGTCTTGTGCCATGACTGTCTCGAGATCTTGCTCTTCGTCACTTTGTCCTGGCTCATCAGCTGCTAGCGCAGCGTGCGAGGAGAAGTCGTCATGTTGAGCGTGACGACCCGGCGAGAGCAGGCCGGCAGAAGCGAGTACGCTCGGATCGAGTGCAAAGTCGCTATTGAGTCTGCGTAAATTGCGAATCTCAGATGATTGCTTGAGCTTGGCAGTCTCCAGCGAGGCGTTGATGGCGAGCAACGAAGCGTTTGTGATCTCCAAATCCAGAATCTGCTCGTGACGATGATGACGATCAGCTTGGTAGTGCAATGATCTCGCTGACAAACCTTTCGATGGACGCGAGCTTCTCGCTCTCGCTCCCTGGCGTCTGCTTCTTCATTGAGTTTGGCTTTCCAAGCCTCGAGCTCGTCGGAGGCTCCGTTCATATCATTCTCAAGTGACGCACCAGATATTGGCAGGGCTGGCAGAAGGGTCTCGGCGCTGGCTGATGGGGAAAAGGCAGTACGTCTCGTAGGTGAGCTCAGCGGTAGCAGTACAGTGGGGGTGCCTGCAGATGGCACAAAGACGGTCGCGGGCGTTCTATTTACGATTGGCGAGGAGCGAGCGGACTCGCTGCCGCCGATACCACCGGATGAGGATGCAGTGGACATGCGTGATCGTGGTCTCGTCGTAGTGAAGACGGCATCCTGTCCAACTTGGATTCTCGCGTTCGAGTTGATTGCACTTTTCGATCTTGCCATGAGGGGCGAATCTGTTGCGTCTGCCCAATTGATTGCACCTCCGCCCGAGCTCTTTGCTTTGACCATCCCAGCAGGCCGATTGTCTTGTGTCGGAGTAGAGCGAAGAGATGTCGTGGCGCGCGAAACAATGGACGGACGATCCTGAGTTGTGGCCGGGCCGTTTGTCTGCGCTCTCAAGGTGGGCGCAGACTGTGCACCGTAGAAGGGCGGCCTAGTCGCTGTGTTGGCATGGGAAAGGCTGGCCTTGATGACCTTTGGCTGGGCATTATTCAGCGCGCTTGCGTTGGTGTGAGCGACTCGCGCCACACCGGCGTCGCTCGACACCGCAGACGGAGATGACCATCCCGGGGAGCCAGTCGGTCTTGCTTTGGTGTTCGCACTCGAACGAGATGTCACGAATGGAGGCCGCTGATTGGGCGTAGTGTTCCCCGGCTTGTCGGGGCCGGAATGTACAACTTTGCGCAGCACAGGAGCAGTCGTGCCGGAGTTCGGTGTCTGCTGCTGCATAGTGCACCATCACCGGCCATGAGCGTCTGCAGAGCTCATCGTCGTCGCCGCCTGCCTGTCGTGCCTGCGGCCAATGGGACGCGTTCAGTTTGGGTGCGGCGAGTTCCGGACAGTAAGTGTCAGAACAGCTACTCAAGGCGGCGACTCACTGTTCGATTCGGTCGTCAACGCTTGAAGGCAAGTCGCTCGATCACCTTGGCTGTCAATCGTGGCTCATGGCTAGCAATAACACGCAGATAGCCTGACCTGGTCTCCGATCAGCAAAAGACTTGACGATCAAGTCACTGGCCACGCTCCATCCCGCCAGAGATCATGGTCTCCATGCTTCGATCTACAAGCGCTGTCAGGCCAGTACTCGCCTCAACATCTCGCCAGCTAGCGGGTCAGTCAAATGATAGCTTCAATCAGCACTGCGACGATGCTGACACGAGCATTTGCAGTCAGCAGAAATGTACCTGCCGTCGCATGTGCCGGCCATCGTGCCTTTTCGAGCAGCTCTAGGCGAGCGCAGGTCATCGCCAACTCTCCCTTGAGGGCAAAGGAAGCACCCGTAAGTTCAGAGAAGCCATCGTCAGCTTGTCATAGGATGAGGTGGCGATCGCGTCGCCTCGATCCCAATGGCGATGGCGTGACTTTCCCCAGAAGGCGTTTGGCTGACCTCGATGCATGCCCACAGTCCCTCATGTCTGGCAAGTATCCTGTCATTGACCACGAATACGATGCCGTCGTTGTCGGCGCCGGTGGTGCAGGCCTGCGCGCGGCATTCGGTCTCGCTGAGGCCGGCCTCAATACTGCCGCCATCACGAAGCTCTTCCCGACCCGATCGCACACCGTTGCTGCTCAGGTATGCATACATGTTGTCGCCAATTGATGCGCCTGCTGATACGCCGGCCAATGACAGGGCGGCATCAACGCAGCGCTCGGCAACATGACAGAGGATGACTGGCGATGGCACATGTATGACACCGTCAAGTCAGTGCCGTGCTACAAGCTGCGACCGATTGATTGATGAAGTCTTCGCATGCAGAGGATCCGATTGGCTCGGTGATCAGGACGCGATCCATTACATGTGCCGCGAGGCGCCTCAGTACGTTCAATCTGCCATACGCCCTGACCGTCGCTCATTATCTTCCGTACGCAGGGCCGTCCTCGAGCTCGAGCACTTCGGTCTACCTTTTTCCCGCACAAAGGAGGGCAAGATCTACCAGCGTGCTTTCGGTGGCCAATCACTCAAATACGGCAAAGGCGGCCAAGCCTACCGATGTGCTGCTGCGGCGGATCGTACCGGTCATGCTATGCTGCACAGTACGTCCTTTGTCCCAGCTGTGTTGAAGAAAGCTGACATTCAGCTTAGCTCTATACGGCCAATCACTCAGACACAATACCAACTTCTTCATCGAGTTTTTCGCGCTCGATTTGATAATGGAAGATGGAGAATGCGTCGGCGTCATGGCCTATAATCAGGAGGACGGCACACTGCACCGCTTCAGATCTCACAAGACCGTTCTCGCGACTGGCGGTTACGGGCGCGCTTATTTCTCTTGCACGTCAGCACATACTTGCTCAGGCGATGGAGGTGCCATGGTCGCTCGCGCCGGCCTGCCGCTACAGGATCTGGAGTTCGTGCAGTTCCACCCGACTGGTATCTACGGCGCAGGCTGCTTGATCACCGAAGGTTCTCGCGGTGAAGGTGGTTATCTGCTCAACTCGGAGGGCGAGCGCTTCATGGAGCGATACGCCCCCACTGCAAAGGATCTCGCTTCGCGGGACGTTGTGTCTCGCTCGATGACGATCGAGATCAGAGAGGGACGAGGCGTCGGACCTGACAAGGACCACGCTTTCCTTCAGCTATCGCACTTGCCACCCGAGGTTCTCCACGAGCGTCTGCCCGGTATCTCAGAGACAGCTGCCATCTTTGCTGGTGTCGATGTCACCAAGGAGCCCATCCCAGTCCTGCCGACCGTGCACTACAACATGGGCGGCATCCCAACCAAGTACACCGGCGAGGTTTTGACAGTCGGCGCCGACGGCAAGGATAAGGTTGTGCCAGGCTTGTACGCTGCTGGTGAAGCAGCTTGCGTGTCAGTGCACGGAGCCAATCGATTGGGCGCTAACAGCCTGCTTGATATTGTCGTCTTCGGACGAGCGTGCGCGAACCACATCAAGGAGAATCTCGAGCCGGGTAAACCACACAAGAAGATCTCTGCCGACGCTGGCATGAAGTCGATCGAAGACTTTGACGCTCTCCGATCATCCACCGGCGCGAAACACACGTCTGAGATCCGATTGAACATGCAGAAAACGATGCAGAGCGACGCCGCTGTTTTCAGGACACAGGAATCGCTCGATGAGGGTGTCAAGAAGATGCACAACGTCGTTGATAGCTTCAAGGATGTCGGCATCAAGGATCGCAGCACGATCTGGAACACCGATCTCGTCGAGACGCTCGAGCTTCGCAACCTGCTCACGAGCGCTTATCAGACTGTGACTTCTGCCGCAGCACGTAAGGAGTCTCGTGGTGCGCACGCGCGGGAGGACTATCCGGACCGGGACGACAAGGACTGGATGAAGCACACGCTTTCGACGCACAAGTGGGACCCGCTGACGGGCGAGAACAAGGTAGAGATCGGCTACCGTGCGGTTCAGTCGCAGACTCTGGACGAGAAGGAGTGCGCCTCCGTTGCGCCCTTCACGCGTTCTTACTAGGTCGGCGAGTTCGGCTCGCTAGCTAGAAGCACTTGTACAATCATTGCAGGAAGTAAAACCTCCCATAGCAGGTCGACGAAGTGAGAGTGAATCTGACAGCGCTCTGCATAATGTCGATGCCCAGACTGGCTTTACAACAGACGTCAAGTGAATGAGCATAGAGACCACAACGTTCTCGCTCGAGAGATCAGACACGAGCTTCTGATTCCCGTCCGGCGTTGAGAACGACGGTAGAGCTCGAGTCATTGCTCGATGTACTCCGTCTTGGTAGGTCATCATAGAGATGGCGACTCTGTTGCTGATGATCAAGCTCTTGCTCTTCCTCTTGACCGAATCTATCCTTCTTATCTGCCGTCTGACCGTCAAAACCTGCTTGGTCATAGATCGGCAGACCGTCCGGATTCGTCTGAGGGGCAGAATAGCCCGTGTACGGCGGCGCAGTGTTGGCAGTCCAGGGTGTGCCTGGCTGGAAAGGCGCGTCCTGGGGCGCGTAGGCGTTGAGCTGGTAGCGATCGGACGGAAGCTTTGTGCCTGCCTGTAGCTCGTGATAGTAGCCTGCTGCGGTAGATGCCCAGAGCAGAGAGAGCAGGACGGTGACGATGAGCCAGCCGATGTCGAAGTAGGTCCCGCTTGACCAGGAGGAGTTGCAGGCGTCGGTGAGCTGGGCATCGGTCAAGAGGACGCCATCGTCATCTTGCGCCCCCTGGTTCTCGAGGACGCACTGAGCGATGATGTCGCTCTTTGCAACAAAATGAACGACGATGCGTACGAGACCGATGGTGAGTGTCAGGGCGGCGGCGACGGTAGAGGCGATGAAGTAGAGGCGTGCGAACTTGGCCCGCTGCAGTACGGCGGCATGTAGGCCGAGCATTTCGATGAGAGCGACGACTGCAAGCATGCGCTGGTCATAAATCTCGCCATGCAGGGAAGAGAGCACGACCGACGGAGGAGGAGGACGCCGAGAATGATGTCGAACGTCTTGAGCCGGGTGGTCTCGCCGGTATCATTGGTGTCTCTGAGCCAGCGTGCGCCTGATATCGCTCCGTAGACTGACACAGTCGTTCTCGGGATCAGCTTGGCAGCTTGTGAGCTCAGCAGGCTCACGTAGACCGATGATGCACTGCAAAATGATGACGGGTCGCAGGGTGCGCCCGTAGACTCTCTGGACGACGCTAGCGTATGCTGGTGGTCGCTGAAGCCTCTCCAGTGAGCATGAGACTGCAGAATGAGGCTCAACCCTGCTTGCCTGATCGCTGCCCGGCCTGCGCAGAGGCATCCTCGACGTCGTCGTTTGGCTGTGCCGCTCCGCGACCGCGACACGTGTGGCCGTCCTGGCAGCGGCGCCGCTGTCAGCCTAGCCTGTCTCATCCGCCACGTCGATAACCTGTCAGAGTCGAATAACGATGAGCTGGCGAGGACTGGCTCGGCTAGCGATAGCTTCGACGAGCAGACTGCCCTCTTCTTCGTCATCATCGGCTCCAGCCGTAGCAACTTGCTCTCCTCCGCGACGCCCGCTTGATCGTCTGCCATCCGGCTTACCAGGTCCATGTCAGAGTCGGTCTTACGCTACACCTGCGTCCAATCATCTAGCAGCCCTAGCACCAGTCAAAGGCGCCACGAAGAATGTGAGCGAACACGATCGGGTCTCTTGGTGCAAAGCTGATCACAGATGGCTTGACGTCTTTAGCGAAAACGAGTAGGCAGAGGTCCTGGATCTGGTCGAGGCAAGACGGCCACAAAGGGCCACAAGGGGCAAAACGCGAGGGGCGGAGGTCAGTCGCCATCTTGGTAGCGTCTGCTGAGCTCATGCCGGATGCCAGTGCCTCGACGGGGCTTCACCGGCGGTCAGACGCCGCTCAGCAGGACTGTGCCCAAAAGAGGCTTCACACCCCCGTACGGATCTGCACTGTCCTACGCGATGTAGCAGGTCCTGATGCTCGAGAGGCAGTACCTCTGAGCCCAACACAGTCCTGCCACTCAATCGACTGCACCAGTGGATCCTCACAGGTCGCATCGATCCCACGCGACCCATCACCATGCGCGAATTGCTCGAGTCTGGCTGTGTTCACAAAGTCGAGCAAGGTGGCGTCAAACTGCTCAGTGATGTCAGTGCCCAATGTAGGTCACATACCTCGCTTGACTGATCGGTCATTCAGGCTGTCGGTGATCCTGGTCACTCCGTACCTCTGCCGCCCATCGAGATATACGTCTCCAGAGCGTCAAAGACCGCTATAAAGCGTGTCGAAGATGCAGGTGGCAAGATCCAAGCTGTCTACCACAACAGACTCGGCCTACGTGCTCTCCTCAAACCCCACCGCTTCGAGGCAAAAGGTCTCGCTTTGCCGAGGCAGGCTCTGCCGACGACGAAGAAAGATCTCGACTACTATACAGTCAGTCCCCCGGAACGGACCGAGCGTCGTCAGCTGATGTGTCTGAGTCGTACAGGACCCGGCCAAGCGTGGCTACCTCGCTGGCAAATCCATACAAGGCTACGAACGGCCCGCCCCCTCGATTCGACCGTTCGCATACGCAGGCACCGCATCGGCATGAGACCCAAGATGCATTGGTGTTGGTACGCAGCGTGATTATAAGTGTATAAAGGTGAACTAGTCTACATCTTCGATCGATCTCGCTCGCCGCCGCAGTCGTGCCATCTGAGTGCTTGCAGCGCCCTCTGTGACCGTCACCGTTGCAACGCCAGGGTCGGCCGAGGCAGTCGCGACGGTGCCGGGGTCGGCTTCAGCGGTCGATGTAAGCGGCGTGAGTGTGATGCCCGGCAGTGGATTGGAAGCTGTTTCGCCGGACGCGTCTGTGACGACTTGGGCAGGATCAGCAGTCGTCGCCGTGACAGCCCGGTTTTGGTTGTTACTACTATTGTTGTCGTTCGACCCACGAATCTTGAGCACATAGATGACGACGACGACGATGACGACAAGGATGATAGCTGCGAATATGCCGGCGCAGCATTTCCGCTTGCTGCGCGCCCCTTTCGCAGACACTTTGCCTTTGACGAGCTCCTGCTGGGCGGTCTCGACTTCCTTGCTCGCGAATTCGGCTTGCTGCTCAATCTGAACGATCTGTACGTCTTGCTGTTCGATCAGCGTTGCCATATCGTTGAAAAGCTGTGCGAGTTCGGTGAGCGTCTTCTCGATACGCTGGATATCCTGATGCCTCTGCTCGACTGCCGCGGCAGCACTGCGGACGGCACCGACGCGGTTCGTATTGCGGAAGGCCTGAGCGAAGATCTGCTGTCCTTCGCCGCCTTCAAAGGCATCTCGCACCGCAGCCTGGACTTCTTGATCCGATAGATCTGGGTTGACGGTCTTGTATTGACGCGCCAGCCTGTTCTTGCTCTGCTGACGATGGACAAGCTCGACTTGCTGGTACCGTTGAACTGTCTGTATAAACTTGTCCTTGATTCGAGCAGTCTGAGTGCGCCGAGTGTCAATGTCGTTCTGAGCGACATTGACCGGACGGGCATTGCGTGCTTCTAGAATCTTGATCTTGGCCGATGTTTTTGCGTTGAGCGCGCGGATTTGGATCTGTGTCCTGTCCACATCGCGTGTGACAGCCTGACTCCGTATTGTCAGCAAGAGCAGGAAGCCCAGAAAAGCCGTCATACCTCGCTTTGTGCATCAAGGCCCGTCGAATCAAGCTGACGCGCATGCAAATTCTCGACCTGATCAACCAGCTCGGCGAGGGTCTGATTCATGCCATCAATTTCTGTGAGCTCGTTGAAGAAAGTCTCCATCGAGCCATAGGCTGCCTCTAGTGCTCGAGCCTCCAGCGGGCTCATCTTGACGATCTGCAGCGGCTTCGTTTCTGGTCCCTGTGCCCTGGCTGAGCCGTTGTAGGGCAGACTGGGCGCATCAGGCAGAGTTGCGGTTGATTTGTTGCCACTGGCAAGAGTGTACGAATCTGCCGAGCCAGACGCATAGCTCATCGCTTCAGAACGCATCGAGGATTGCCTTTGCGCCCCTCGATACGCAGATTGTGGCGCAAGCAAGCCTCGTTCGGGCTGCCTCGCCGTCTCTGGCATTACGTTCTCTGGTGCGCGACGCGATTGCTTTTGCGAGTTCGACCTTGCTGAATACCCTTGGGCTGGTCGGCCACGCGCGTCCTCTGCGTTTTCGGAGTCATCCGTAGCGCCGGTGTCGTAGCGCTCATAGGATGGCCGCCCGCGTTCGGCTTGTCGAGATCGCTCCTCTGACCGATACCGTTCATCTTGCCGCCTCGAATTTGAGCTCACTGGCTGCATGCCACGAGCATAAGTGCTCTCATTGCCACGTGGATGTTGACGATACAGGTCTTCTTCATCATCCTGACGCGCCCGTGCGTAGTCTGCTGGCTGAGGCGCGAGGGAGGCGATACGGGAAGGCCTCGAGAAGTTGCCGGAGGCCTGATAACTGCCCGACTCTCTACGATTGTGCGTTGGCCTCCTCGGCGATGGTTCCTCGTAGTAGCTCTCGCGCCTGTAGTGAGCCTCCTCGGCCGGCTGTCGGCTCCTGGAGGAGGCCTGTCGCGTCTGAGCAGGATAAGATCGCTCGCCGTAGTCATATTCGTCCTGGTAATCGCGACTGAATTGGTTTGCCGGTCCATTCTGGGCAGCCTGAAGATACGCGAGTCAGCTTGGTAGACGAAGTGCGTCGCTCCATGATGACTCACGCGAATGGCTGCGAGTCTATCTCTCGCCATGTTCTGCTTCACCCAGCCTGGGTTGGCGGGCCGCTTTTGATCCGCAGACCGTGTGCTGCTGTCGGGAACGTCTAGTTTGCGGGTCTACTGGCGCAGCTTCGAGGTATGATGCTGCCTCTCCCGGCCTGTGCGCACTCCTCGGCCGGCGAGAGGTGTGAGAAGTACGCAGGCGTCGAGCCCGTGCGCCTCCGTCGTGAGAGGTTCCAAGCTCGCCAGTCTTAATCGAGCGTCACAGACGGAGCGGTAGGCAATCTCTTGTCGACCAGCGACGCCCAACGTTCGTTCGGTCTGTCCTTGGCAAGGCAAGGCCGCGGCTCGTCAGTAGAATTTATTGTTTTAAGGTTTTCATTGGACGCGATGTCACGTCACGTTATCTTTCGCCGCCACCCTGCCTGACAGCGCTTGGGCCGCTTCTCGGCGAAAGTCACGCCTCTTCCTCGTCAAGCCACGATACTCGTTAGCGTGTGCGCATGTGAATCATTCCCTTCGCGGCAGAGGCTCCCGATGGGGCTTAGCAAATCCCATAAGGCCTGCGTCAAGCACCGCATTCCATCCTCTCAGCTTCTCTCCAGCCAGCTACTACCAGCCAAGCAAATCATCGGTGCAGGTCACCTAGTCACGCACATTACAAGACACACTTTGACAGTATGAAGTTCGTCACCTCCACATTTGTCACGCTCGCACTCGCCTCAGTTGCGCTCGGCCACGGTGCACTGGTTGCAGTCCAGGGAGAGAACGGCGTCACGGGCAAAGGCATAGGCATTGTTGACTCTACACCGCGTGATGGCACACGGCGCGATCCCTTCCAAGCCGATACGAGTATCATTCGAGACCGTGAGATAACCGCAGGCACGGCAGGCGTTTGTGGCAGAACCTTAGCGGGTGGCAACAACGCGAACCCGGAGCTCACGCAAGTCCGGGCCATGATCGATGGCGGTCAGATGCCTACCATGTTCAAGGATGGCACGGTCAAAATGACTTTACATCAGATCAACGGCGATGGTGGTGGCCCCTACACATGTCAAAGTATGTCTTTGGGCCCTTGCTGGCTGATTGTCGCTGACGCACATGCCTCTCAGTGTCGGTCGACATGGGTGCTACATTCACAGACATGGAAGTCGTCACTAACATCCCTGGCGAAAACTCTCGTTCTCGCGCCAAGGCCACCGACTTCCCACTCGTCGCTCGTGCTACCACTTTGCCAGACGGCCCGGCGATGGTCCGGTGTCGAAATGCCGCTCGTGCTGGTCCTTTCGGTGGCTGTGTCATGGTTGCGCCTCCGGCCGCAGCTGCGCCCGCAAAGCGATCACTCAATGCCTCGGTCGAGGAGGATGAGTATTGAAGAGACTTGCCACGGATGTATCAGTTGACATTACACTCACTCGCATTCACATTGGCTCGGTCTTGGCGTCACTTACTATGCATTGCATCAAAGGCCCGTCCTCGCGGAACAATGTTCACAATGGCTGCTCGAAGAATGACCTAGTCTCTGCGAACGTATTTGAAGCCATCGACGTATACTTTGATCCTGCCAGGATTGAATCGAAGAAGAAGCTGGCCTGGACGCAACCTTTGCATCTTTGAATGGCGAGGAAGAAGTGAGCTCCTCAGAAGGGACTGTCGAGCGAAAATGAGGATCAGTCTCTCCGTCTATGCAGCTGGCATCCGGCATTGCAATCGAGTAGCTCAAAAGGACGGGCGGCGAGGCCCGAGCAGGCTCAGGCGGAGCTGATCAGTCGTTGGCATGATCAGTATTATTCACGACGAGGCGATGCTAGACGCAATGATGCCCTTCAAAGCGCAAACGTCATCGAGCACAGTGTTGCTCAGCTCGCTGAGCACAGTGCGAGCTATCTGCTTGCGACCTCCAGCAAGAGGCGGCCGTACGCTCCGAAAACAGCGTCGGATCTTGCGTACAAATCTTAGGCTGATCTTTCTTGCCGAGTGGAACATTGAGTATGGCCATACCATGCTCCTGCATCGTTCAGGACGTTCAAGCGTTGCTGAGTGGTGTCGGCCATGAAGCTGACTGCGAGATGAGCCACTTAAGCTGCGTAGCATGCAGGCCCCATGCATGGCCGGCTACGAGGATGAGCCGTGAAGACGATGTGAAAGGGATAGTATGCGAGAAATACAGTCGTTCGCAGGATGACTCAGCAGTCAACAGCCACGCTGCGAGGCGGCTCAAGTCACAAGCTGTCGCTCGCGTGCAAGCCGATGATTGATGATCATCGGCTAACGATCTTTGATGAAGGCATGGCCAATTCTGCCCAGAAGGACGCCAGTCTGACATGCTCTGCTTGCGAGATGACCTCTCTGGCTTGTGACAGGTGGCTCGTGACTCGCCGACGTTGCAAGGTCAGACGGACGCGACGATGTCAAAGAGCAGCTTCAAACGCTCAGCGCTCAGCTGGCGAGCTCCTGGATCATGACCAGCAGACCGCACAGAGACAAAGAACATGCAATTCCGGAAGAGCGTTGAAGCTCTGGCTAAGCTCACAGTCCTTGCCGATCTACGCTTGTCGTTCTTGCGTGATCTCTTCTCTTTGTTCGTCAGTGTTGAACTTGGGTCGGACCGGGCTGTCAGACGAGCTTAGTAGGTCTCGTAGGCAGCCTCGGCCTTCTTCTTGGCGTCATACTTGAGCTTCTCGCGGTCGTAAGCGTCCAGGCCCTTTGTCTCAACGAGGCCATCGACAGCAGCAGCGGCGAGAGCGGCAAGGGCGGCGACTGCCTTTTCGTGCTTGATCGGCTCNCCCTTTGCGGCTTGGTGCTTCTCGTAGCTACGTGTAGCTTCGTAGGCAGCCGCGGCAGCGATACCTTCGTGGGTCAGGCTCGCCTTGTGCTCGTGGAACTTATCACCGTACACCTTGGAGTGTGCCTGAGCTTCCTGTCGAGATGGCGTCAGGTCAGCGACTGCGCAAGTGCGCTGAATATAGAGCCGGCGAGGCTTGCTGAGGCACCCAGAGAGATAGAAGAAAGTCTTGCTGCTCACGGCAGGCGGCAGCCGCGGGGCCCGACGAGGGACCAAACGAGTGAACGAGAGCCATTGGTCGGCTTGAGCATGCTGGACAGACGAAACAGCACGGTGAGGCCAAGAACGAAGACAAGGAGAGATCAGGGTAGAATGACAGCCGTGAAAAGACTTGCATCAGAGTCGGACGAGAAGAATCCCTGCCAAACACGTGTCAGCGATCGATTTGACGCTTCATGAGAGCAGCGTACCATTATTAGAAGAGTGCTTGCTGGAAGAGATGAGAGACGCTCTGCTGTGCTTGTCTGAGTCGTTGGCTGTCGAATGAAGCGGTCAAGTGACCCCAACGAACCTCGTTCGGGTTGAGCACGCCACAGGGGCAAAGCGGTGCCTGAAGCATAGCAACGGAGCCATCCTCGAGACGCGCGCGCACAGGGGGTTTCCCTTTGCAGAATGAAGAGGAGAACCAAGGACAGATCGGATCCGCGCGGGAAGCAAGATCGAACACAGTTGTGGATTTGATGATGGCAGAGGCCAAGGGCTCCTTCGACGATTGCAAGCACAGCGCAGCAGATGCAAAGTTCAGCCGAAGTCAAGATGAAGAGGAGACATGTTCGAGGAAGGGCTTGCGGTTTGATTGGACCAAGCGATTGCAATGTCCGCGTGATTTATGATGCTACTGTGTGAGCGTTGTGGCGTAGCGGGGCCGGTGGCCCGCAGCGCCCAGCGCGCGGCTATTAATAGGACGATACTAGGCGCGCAGTCGTCGGCACCGCGGTCCACTCGACGTATCGACTTCAACAAGAGAACAGAAGCTACAATGGTGCTGCTGTCTGTCGCGAGCTCCGCTGGAGTATGCTGACGAGTCACGATGTCTTGCAGGGATTCTTCAGCCACGACAGCGATGAGCGTAGGTGACCCCCTTTCATTCCCTCCCTCGAGCCCCCAAAGATACATTCCTGCGCTGCCGCATCGCCCGTCGAGTCATACGGCACAGGCGAGGGGCGAGACACGCGATCCACCACCTGATTGTAGCGCTTGGCCCATATGAGCTTCACAGATCCGCTACTGACTGGTACAAACGTGCGCAGAGCGCGCTCACCAAGAGGTTTACCAAGGCGGCGAGCAGCACAAGTCGAAGTTCTCGCACGAGCTGCTCGCTTCGGCCGTCAGCTTTGCAGCTGTTCACGAATACGAGGAACGCCAGAAGAAGGTCAATCCAGTCTGGCCTGCCTGTATGTCAAGCGAGCGCTGATCGCTTACCTTTGTAGGAGGGCAAGCCCGTCAAGCACGAATTGTCCGGACCTTTCTCGTCCACATGACGTATAGTCTGACACAGACGAACAGTGCTAAGGAGATGATTGGCGGTATCGTTGGCGCCGAGACTGACAAGCTTTTCGAGACCAAGGTAAGCCCTTATGCGACCAAGCTGCAATGTCTGCTTGACGCGTCTCCCTGCAGGGCCTCAACGAGTTTGACCGTGAGAAAGTCAAGTATGAGGCACGCAACCGTGCTGAGCGTCAGTACGACAACTACTGAGCGGTCACTCTTTGCTTCCGTCACATAAACGACAATAAAAGCCTAGCGAGCTACAAAAGGGCGACAGACAACGAAAGCACAAGTAACACACTCTCATGAAAGCTCTCCACATTCGATGCATATTCATGCACTTTCATGCTGTTCACGCAGACATTAGACATAACTTTTGACGCGTTGATGCTCGTTGATATGCCGAAGCGCGCGCGGCAACTCCGATCGTCCTTGACCTGCCGTGCGCTAGACTGCTCCTGCCGCCTCAACAGCACGCGATGGCGGCAATGGAGCTACTCCATGCGGCCTTGTCAGCTTCGACTCCGACATCGCTAGTGGACTCGCCCGAGCTCACATCTTCAAGCTCCGGGTCAGAGGAGGATCGCGCATCGGAATGTGAAGAGCCCAACGATCATCGTCGGCAAGCTCGGCAGTCTTCTTCGAGCAACACAGCACCCATCTGGTGGGCCAACTGTATCCTCTTCTGGGGCCTGCATCTCTTTGCGCTCGTCGGCATCCTTGTACTCTCGCCAGTATGGGAGCTCAAGCTCAAGACGGCCATGTGAGCTCGTCCGGCTGTCCCGTGCCTCCTACTCAAGACCACGAACAGGTTGTGCTTCTTCTCGTGGCAGCTTGCGATCTACGGCATCACCATGGGCTATCAGTCAGTCTGGATCCAAAGAAGACATGCTACAGGCTAAACAATGAACCTCTGCAGCCGTCTGTGGTCTCACAAGGCATACGAAGCTCGTCTGCCTTTGCGAATCGTGCTAGCCGGCATGGGATGTCTCGGCTTCCAAGGCAGCATCCGCTGGTGGGTTTTGCGTCATCGTCTACATCACCGCTGGACGGACAGCGATGACGACCCGTACGTGCTCGAACATCTCGAAAGACGCCCGGCTGAGCTGCCTGCGCAGATACGACGCGCAAAAGGGCCTCTTCTTCAGTCACATGGGATGGATCTTTCGCAAGCCGAGCTATCCTAAGATGCCGCTCATTGAGCGCCGCGACCTCGACTCAGATCCTGGTATGCCCCTACCCGATCCTGCGCGGCTCGACTCATGCCTGGCTTTCTTCAAGTCGTACGATTCCAGCACAAATACTACTTGCCACTGACCCTGTTCTTCGGTCTCGCCCTTCCGACACTACTCGGCGCGTCTTGGGGTAAGCTCGTTGGCTCGACTACCCGGCAGGGCTGAGATGATCTCACAGGCGATGCGATGGGTGGCTACATATACGGCGGCGTCCTAGCACGCATCATGATCTGGCATACCACCTTTCTCATCAACAGGTCCGTCTTATCTCCCATGTTGCCCGCTTAGCTCAAAGTGGCCTTGCAGTTTTGCGCATTACATTGGTGAGCAGAATTATTCTGAGGAGGTCACTGCGAGAACGACGCTGGTAAGGTATCGCAGATCGCAGAGGTCCCGCTGATGTGCTATTCAGATTCTTGCTATACTAACTGCTGGCGAGGGCAATCATGATTATCACCATGGTAGGAGCTGTCAATTTTGCGTTCTGTTTGACGCTGAAGGCTAAGTGCGCTGTACAGCCTTTCCTAAAGATTTTCGGAACGGACCCGGCATTGCTGACTACGATCCTACCAAGTGGGTGATCTGGATGTTACATCGCTTTACCTCTCTGGTGCCTGTCATCTACGCCACGCCAGAGCATGAGATCCTCGAAGCGCGCGCTCACGTCTTGCATTCCAAAGCATCGCGATTGCAAGATCTCAGCAGTGATTCAGAAGCGCCAAATTCGCGCATACCGAGTGACGACAGCCTGCCAATCTGGCGAGTCGACGAAGTCACCGAGCACGTCAGGCTTCTCACCGCCGACAAGATGGCCAGAGGTTCGCTGAAGAGACCGCTCGTCATTATCGTCGATAGCTATGCGCTCGACGTTGCGTCATATGCCTCGCTGCATCCCGGAGGCTTCGCAGTCCTGCGATCACATGCCATCAAAGGTCGCGATCTGGAATTGCCTGGCGACAGGGGTCGCTATATGGATGCAAGCAAAGCCTTCCATGGCGGTCTGAACGATCATCAATGGAGCGCACGCGAAAAGGCAAAGACGTTTCGAATCGCGAGAGTAGTCGGAGAAGCACGGGCATAGTCACTCATATTGCACATTACCCAAGGAGACGTCCCTTGTAGCACGCACGTTGCTCTCATGACCGGCAGCATATTAGATTGTGTCAAACTGCATTGTATTTCTACAGTCTGCTTCCGCTCCTGAGACAGTGCGGCGGTTAGCTAGCGAGACTAGCTGGCTAGACCGCAACAGACCTTACTTTGAGGAGAGTGCCGCGACTCCCGGCAGATCTTTACCCTCGAGCAGCTCGAGACTCGCGCCACCGCCTGTGGAGACGTGAGCAAGCTTGTCCTCGGCATCGTATTCTGCACAGAGCGATCAGACGTGTCCTGTGAGAGCGCACGCTGTACTGACTAGCAACGACCGTCGCAGTATCGCCGCCCCCAATGATGACAGTTGCGCCGTTCTTTTGCGCTTCGATACAAGCATCCAATGTCGCTCTGGAGCCGCCGGCGAAGTTGTCAAACTCAAAAACGCCTGCTGGACCGTTCCTGCGACGCTGCGTCATTCTCTGCGTGACATTCGAGCCGAGAGAAAACTTGCCAGAGGATGGTCTTGCTCTCGAGAATCGTCGTTTTGAACAGCTCGCGTGACTTCTCACCCCTGCCGACAGCTTGCGCGATCAGATGCTATAGCATGGGAGGCAGAGTAGAGCTTACGCATCGAGACCCATCCAACCATCTGGAATGCCTTCCTGGTCTGTCGCTTTGCCAACCTTGGCGTCCTTCTTGAAATCATCCGCAGTGATGTAGTCCACGGGAAAGACGAGCTTGACGTTGTTCTTCTTTGCCTTCTCGACGAGTGCCTTGACCTTTTGCGATCCATCCTCGTCAAAGAGTGATTTGCCGATGCTGAACACACGGTTCAGCCGGAACTTTTGAGGATCAGGCAAAGCCTTGCCTCACGCCGTCGAGTGTCTTCTTGAAAGTGAAAGCCATGCCGCCGCAGATGATGAGCGAATTGACCTTGTCGAGCAAGTTCTCGATGAGCTGAATCTTATCGGACACCTTTGCACCGCCTAAAATGGCCAGGAAGGGTCTGTCTGGCTTCTCTAGCGCTCTGGACGATGCTGTGTCAGCTTTGAAGAGCGAAGGCAAGTTGTTACTGACTTTGCGAAAAATTCAAGCTCCTTCTTGACGAGGAAGCCGGATGCGCGTTGGGGCAGCTCGACGCCTACCATGGACGAATGGGCACGGTGAGCTGTGCCGAAAGCATCGTTGACATCTGCGCAGTGTCAGCACGCTTAGCGGCTAGTCCTGAGCTGTACTGACAGACATCCGCAAGAGCCTGATGAGGTCGAGCGGAGATGTTAGCTGATGCGCTGTGCCAGGCGATGAAGACTCACAGTGAGAGACTTGCGGAATTCCTTGACCTTTTCGGGATCAGCTTTTGTCTTCTTGCCGTCCTTGTCTTTGGATGAGCCTTCTTCCTCGATGTGAAAGCGCAAATTTTCAAGTAAGATGCTGCAGTTGTAATTGGTCAGCGCGAACAGGCTACGAACAAATGCGGGCGACGCTAACATTTCGCCGCCTTGGGCGGACGCGCATTCCTGTTCGACCTTGTCGCCAACGCAGTCGTCGAGAAACTTGACATGCTTGCCGTCGAGAACTGCATGGCTAGTTGAGCATCGTCAATTATACGCGAGCCTTGCTTTCACTTACGCTTGCTGAGCTCGTCTGCGACAGGCTTGAGCGAGTACTTTGACTGTACCTTGCCGTCCGGACGGCCGAGATGTGACATCAATATGACCGCCTTTGCCTCTGCATGTACAAGTCAGCGGTCTGCAAGCCTGATGACGCTGCCGGCTCGCCCTTCTGGATGGCATACTTGATGGTGGGCAAAGCAGCGACGATTCGCTGCAAAGTTGGATGAGATTGAGCCCGAATTGGCGAGCGCAGGGACGTACTGCGTTGTTGGTGATCTTGCCGTCACCGAAAGGGACGTTGAAGTCGACTCTGAAGGGGCGTGCAAGGTTGAGGAAACAGGCAAGCAGCTCAGGCAAAGAGAAGAGCCCACCTGATGAGGACTCGCTTGCCCTTGAGATCAACGTCGCTGATCGAGAGCTTGTTCGAGAGCGACTGTGTACCTGATCATGTCAGCCAGTTCGTGGCTAAGCTTGAGCAGCGACTCGCCATGTTTGACCGCTTGAGCTGATCCGCCAATCTCGCGCAATCTCTTTATCGCGAGCGTGTCGGGCTCCTCATGGCCTGCATGACTTCCACTTCCTGACTCATACCTGCCGACCCAGCTCTTCCACAACACCGCTACATGCAGTCCATCCTCCTCTGACTGGGTAGCTTCATCACGCAGCAAGGTCTCTTCCGACAATACCAGCTTTGCATTGGATAGCGACCGTACAATCTCGCCAACAGTGCGAGCATTCGGACAATTACTCACAAGAGCCATCAGGCCGTGGGCTCCGCTGTCGGGTGCTATGAGAAGGTCTGCTCATCGCCGGGCTCTCCGCCCCAATCAAGAAATAAGAGTCAATCTGTCACGACCGATGCCCGAATGAGGTCCGCCGATGTCATCACTGCTCGCATATGATCCTCGAATGATCCCTGCAGCCTCGTTCTGCAGACCGTTTGCCAGGGAACATCTCCTCTGTGCGCGCGCGTCTCGAGGATGGCTCCGTTGCTATGCTTCAGGCACCGCTTTGCCCCTGTGGCGTGCTGAACCCGAACGAGGTTCGTTGGGGTCACTTGACCGCTTCGTTCGACAGCCAACGACTCAGACAAGCACAGCAGAGCGTCTCTCATCTCTTCTAGCAAGCACTCATCCAACCATGGTACGCTGCTCTCATGAAGCGTCAAATCGATCGCTGACCCGTGTTTGGCAGGGATTCTTCTCGTCCGACTCTGATGCAAGTCTTTTCACGGCTGTCATTCTACCCTGATCTCTCCTTGTCTTCGTTCTTGGCCTCACCGTGCTGTTTCGTCTGTCCAGCATGCTCAAGCCGACCAATGGCTCTCGTTCACTCGTTTGGTCCCTCGTCGGGCCCNGCGGCTGCCGCCTGCCGTGAGCAGCAAGACTNTCTNCTATCTCTCTGGGTGCCTCAGCAAGCCTCNCCNGCTCTATATNCAGCGCACTTGCGCAGTCGCTGACCTGACGCCATCTCGACAGGAAGCTCANGCACACTCCAAGGTGTACGGTGATNAGTTCCACGAGCACAAGGCGAGCCTGACCCACGAAGGTATCGCTGCCGCGGCTGCCTACGAAGCTACACGTAGCTACGAGAAGCACCAAGCCGCAAAGGGNGAGCCGATCAAGCACGAAAAGGCAGTCGCCGCCCTTGCCGCTCTCGCCGCTGCTGCTGTCGATGGCCTCGTTGAGACAAAGGGCCTGGACGCTTACGACCGCGAGAAGCTCAAGTATGACGCCAAGAAGAAGGCCGAGGCTGCCTACGAGACCTACTAAGCTCGTCTGACAGCCCGGTCCGACCCAAGTTCAACACTGACGAACAAAGAGAAGAGATCACGCAAGAACGACAAGCGTAGATCGGCAAGGACTGTGAGCTTAGCCAGAGCTTCAACGCTCTTCCGGAATTGCATGTTCTTTGTCTCTGTGCGGTCTGCTGGTCATGATCCAGGAGCTCGCCAGCTGAGCGCTGAGCGGTTGAAGCTGCCCTTTGACATCGTCGCGTCCGTCTGACCTTGCAACGTCGACGAGTCACGAGCCACGTTGTCACAAGCCAGAGAGGTCATCTCGCAAGCAGAGCATGTCAGACTGAAGCGCTCGGAGCAGCATTCATGTCGTCGCACAGCTCGCCCTTCATTCTCACTGCCATCTCCCGCTCGAGCTATTTTGAGGAATCGCCGTGGACGGTCTGACATCAGTTGGCGGATCCGACAGCGAAGCCTTCAGCAAGGTCAGAGCAATCGCTGAGCGTAAGACTGAACCAGATCGTGATGATTACCCCACGCTCGCAGATGCAAGATGGCTCGCAGCATGTCCAGCAGCGAGAGAGCTCGCTTGGTGCCTCCCTCACAGTTGCCCCCGCTGTGGCTGCTGTTCCTGCCAGCTCGACGACAACGACAGCCGCAGGCGAGCTGAGTGAAGCCACCGCCTCCTCACTCGGCATACGCACTCCCCTCGGCTTTCTAAAGAGCATCACAGGCCGTAAGACATCGTCTGCGTTGCCCATGCCTACGCTCTCCAAGCCCGCTCTCACGGCTTCCGACAGTCTGTCCGGCTTGCTGAGCGGTCAAAACACCTTCGCCAAGCCAGGAAGCGCTTCTTCAGGGCCGCTTGCACCATCCACATCATCAGCAACGTCGCCCGTCGCCGCCCGCGCAAGATCTACGTCCATCACGGCTGCGAGTGCCCAGACAGAGCGCATTTACAGAGCTGACAAGAGCTCGACTCTTGCCTTACGATCTGCAAGCGGCAGTACGCACGCGCATCCCGTCTTGAGCAGTCTACCCACTCCCTCGCTCGGTCCAATGCAATCTGCCCCTAGCACGCCCGCAGCGGGCGCCAGCGGCACGGGCTCCATCCTCTCTTCGCCCAACGGCAAAGTTGCATTTTCGCCCGCAACGACGCCAGGCCCCAAGACGCCGACAATGGGTATGCTTGTCGCTGCATCGGACGAGGTTGCCATAGGTCCCTACGACGCCATGCCGCCCGCGGTGCTCATCTCTGACTATCAGCGTCATGCCGGCAGACTCAGTGGCGCGGCTCGTGCAAGTGAGCTCATCCGGATCGCACAGTCCATCCTAGTGCACGATGGACTGTCGGACGAAGAGATCTCATATTGGCACGCCTGCAGTCCCTCGATAATCCCTAGTGAGCCAGACGATGTACGCTGCGCTGCACTGCAAGTGCTAGACGCTTGCATCGTCTCCTCAATGTCAAGCCTCGGTCACAGCACGGGTGCCGTCGACAGGGCATTCTACTATCTCGTCATGCGGGATTACGACGTGCCCCTCGAAAACCGAACGGACAGAGAACTCGACCTGCTGACCGATGCTCTCAGTAGTCTCACTCGTGGCGGACGGGATGTATCGGCACTTACAGACGTACCCGATCTTGTCTGCGAGTGGGCCGGTGAGATGTTCAGACGAGCTCAGATTGCGCGTGCCACACTCGTCAGTGCAAACGTTGAAGACCCGCTTTCACCGCTCACAGACCCACATCTCGCTACACCATTTGTAGAAACCAGCAAGCTTGGCCCGACGGCCGCACTCCGATTGCTGGTGACTCTTCATAAGATGTCATTTCCTCGACTGACGCAGGCGTCAATTGATCGCGCCTGCGCTTTCCTCATGGCACTCTGTCATATAACGACGTCTCCTGCCGATATTGAACAAGGACTGGCATATGTGGACACTGTCAATCGATACGGCTACGTGCCTACCCGATACCGCGCAGAAGTCGTCTCGCTCGTTGCCCGCGTTGTGGCTCTTGATGGCCGCATCGCCATTGCCAGTGCGCCATCTACCTCTTTGGCCACAAAACGCAAGTCCTTGCTCTCGAACGCTACTGAAATCGTAGTCCAGCCTTGCTCATCGTTGCCGAGCTTTGATCTGCCTTCCAGAGCTCGCCAGATCATCAGCGATCTACTTCGGTCGCCTCACAATCAAACACTACGCTTCTTATGCGACGCCATTTCGCCCAACACGCCACACTCTTCTATCTTGTCCACGCCCGCTGTCTCCTTGACCGGTTGCGATGACGTCCTCGTTGCCGGCGCCATCGCCTCGCTCAGGCACGCATTCTCTGATTTCGATGCTTCCACGCAATCCCAAGACATTCAGAATGGTCACCCACGACCAACAGGTGGATTGCCAAGTCTGCTTGGTGTCGGCCTGCAGCTCGTAGTCGCAAACCTGGTCCTCGTAGTCGAGCGCTGTGGTCCAGTTGTCCTGTTCGAGATCGTCGGCTTGCTCCGTGACTGCCTATTTCCGTCTGAAGGAAAGGCGCCTGCGAGCTATGACGATGCCGATCAAGCTCTCGACTTGCTTGAGTCGATCATTGCGTCTTGCAAAGTGCACTATACGCGACAACATGGCGCTGGCAAGTGTACTTTCATGCCTGTGATATACTTGATGCTTATCCCGGCTGTTGCAGATGCTGCATCCTTATCAGCTGTACTAGCAGCGACCCACTCGTTGCTCGCGCAAATGGCAGCCGCTCTCAAGAGAGGGCAGTTCGACGGGCCTCTAGACAAGCTCAAGCAGTGCTCTATTTCTGCACTATCGCTGCCCACAACCGCCGGCCGCTCCCCCTTTTCCCGTGCTTCTGCCATCACTGAGCTGACAAGCCTCAATCCGGCAAGTATACGATGGCTCGACCTTACTCAGCGACTGTGTCAGACTCTTGATATTCGCCATCAAGCGGATCCCGAAGGCCAGATTGCTATTCTGCGGGTCTGTGCAGATACGTACAGCCATCTCCGAGAGACAGACGATGAGCGATCAGAATATGTCAGCGAAGTCATCCTGCCCGTCATCAAAGCTATCGATGGTGTCCAGCTACCATCAGCAGCTGCACTGGTACTTATGCGCTTGCTCATCGATGCCTTTTGCGATAGCGTGAAGCCATCGCCAGATGTCAAAGTTGACGAGGCCGGCAATTTGCTTCTGCCAGGTTCTCTTCTGACGGTACAGGTCATTCAGACTTGGCTTGTCAATCTTGCAGTCCAACCGTCCCCGCTGAGTGTGAGAGGCGAGCTCGAAAGCGAGGAAGCTCCTCAGCTGTCTACAACCGAGCAGCCTATGATCTCTGCATGTGACATGCGATATCTCTGTGGCTCTGACGCGATCGATCTCGCACCTTGCGCTTTGATCACTTGCTTCAATCGACTGCTCGTCAGCCCGACGTATAACGCCAGTCAGATCTGCCGAGCGCTCTTCCGAGATCTTGTTGAGCTGCTCGCGCCCTCGCCATCTGCTCAGCCGGAAGATCTGCCCGATACACAAGGCAGAGGTATGCAGAAGGAGCTACTCGCATCTCGACGTGGACGTCTGGTCATTGCACAATGGCTTGTCCGGCTGCGTGCCGATCAGAATCATCGCATATTTCTGCGTCGCATGCCACGCAATGCTCACTATGCGCTGCCATTGCTACATCGAGGTTTCGATGACAACAAAGCCGAGGCTTTGCCCGCTATCCAGACGGATTCGCCGCTCGCTCGACGTGAGACTCGAGGCCGTACGGCTCGACGGGATGCTGTCTCGCCGGATCGACGAGAAAGGCAGTCTCAGACTTCTGGGAGCGACGCACGTGCAGCGAGCCGCATGAGACGCTCTGGAAGGAGCACAAGTCGCGGTCGAGAAGTCGCAGAGTCGCAAGAAAGGCTTTGGCTGTATCCCGAAGAATTGGCGTTCACGACGCCCGAAGTGCTTGGCGGGCTTGGTCCGGACAGCTTGCTTTCATTCGATCACGATACTGCCGGGCTGGTCCCCGAAGATGCAGAGCGTAGAAACTTCAGTAAACGGGTCTCTGTGCTCCAAGTCTCACTGTATCTACGAGCGGTGGTGCGATTGCTCAAGACGGAATCCGACTTTGAAATACTGGCGCTTGTCCTGTCTCACCTGCCAGTACAGCTAGCGAACAAGCATCTCCTATGCGGTCCCCGAGTATCGGTACAGCTCAACGCCTTACGTAAATACCTATGCGAAAGCCTGACGAAGGACGCATTTCTGGAAGGCGTTGACCTGCCAAGCACTGTCAAACGGCGAGAGATACGTGCGCTCGGTTTTCACTCATTGTCCGTCTTGGTCGCGTACAAAAGCATCTGGAGCCAAGCTCAGCGTGATGAACTCGTTCTGGCGTTCTGCAATGGGCTCGGTGGCGGAAAAGACGTTGCGCTGCCATGCATCCATGCGCTCGCGGTGGCCTGCCATGAGATGCAGATCGCTGTGACAAAGGCGATGCCAAAGATCCTCGAACTCTTGTCACGCATCATGTCCACAACCGATATGGCCGTACATATACTCGAGCTCATCGCCTCCATCGGCCTTATCCCGAGTCTATACGCCAACTTGACGGAGACCGATTACCGGCTAGTGTTCGCGATCAGCTTGCAGTACATTGCCACGCACATGCAGAGTCAGCGGGATGCAGTTCCATCGCCGCAGCATCTAGACAGCCTCCGCGATGGCCTCGTCAATGCTTTTTCTCAATATGTTTTCCATCTAGCGTTCTATGTCATCGACCTATGGTTCATGTCGATCCGGCTTAGCATGCGACCTCTCTTCGTGGCATTCATCGTGGGCAGGCTCTATCGAGCTAATCAAGATGGGCCAGAGCTCGACGAGGCCTCTCAAGTTTGCATGGACATGCTTGCTCGCTATGCTCACCACTCAGCCGATGCTCGACTGACGCGCGGGTCTGTTCCGAACGCGGACTCGCTATCTCAGACTTGGCTGATTGGTAACACGCTCCTCACAATCGACCAGCTTCAACAAGCAAGCACGGCTGAGATAATTCTGCGGCGCCCTTCCGGCAATCTGTCGCTGACGGTCCACGTGCCCACACGAGACAATACTGCTGAGGCTCTCTTGCCGGCTTTTCTGATGCTTCAGATCTCTGGTTCGCCATCTGTAGACCAGTCCACGCCACCTCTGGGCGTACCGAAGCATGATCGCTTCAAACGGGCGCTGAGTGTGCTAGACAGCATCCCTGTCGTCGATTTCCACAAGGTTGGCGTTGTCTATGTCGCGCCTCGCCAGACGCGAGAAGCCGAGATTCTGCAGAACGTTCGCGGCTCAAAGTCTTACCATCGCTTTCTGTCTGAGCTCGGCGATCTCATTCATCTCAAAGATCGTGGAGACGCCTACGTTGGGGGACTCGACGTTGAGCATGACATTGACGGCCAGTATGCGTACGCTTGGGGCAACTCTGGCACACAGATAGCGTATCATGTCACAACAATGATGCCGACAGATCGCGAGCGGGACCCTCAATGTACGCTCAAGAAGCGACACGTCGGCAACGACTTTGTCAAGATCATCTTCAACGAGTCTGGTGAACCATACAGCTTCGACACCATTGACGGACAGTTCAACCTCATTAATGTCGTCATTGTACCTCACACCCCACAGGGTGTTCCTTGGCGTCGACCCGGCATGTCGAGCAACGCCGAGTATTTCAAGGTGTCTATACAGCGTCGCGAAGACATGCCCGATTTCGGGCCACTCGGTCAATACAAGATGGTCTCTGCCGACGCACTGGCGCAGTTCGTCAGGCACTTGAGCCTGCACGCAGACATGTTTGCTCAGATCTTCCTTGAGACCCACGGCGTGCCTGGCTCCGGCGCGACGCACAAGATCGAGTATGTGTCCAACTGGCGTCATCGCCTACAGAACATCAAGCAGATCCGGCAGCGCGTGGTCGAGCACCTCGCAGGAGAATCTACGCCTGCTGATGCAAGCTCGGGCTACGACTTTACTCGCTGGACAGAAGTGCAGGAATGAGTGAGTCGCTGTCATAGAGGGCGCCTAGGCGTGTACTCATCTACTGTGCAGAAGCCGGACAGTCAGTTGACCTGTACATGTTGTACAACAGAAAAGAGTGTTACGATGACGCTGCATTAGTGTGTGGACTGAGTCGAAGACGGCCTGCTTAGCGAGTGCCTGGCCTCGTTACATATGCTCGCGAGGGACCGAGCTGCGACGAGAGCCTCCTGCAGCACAGCCGCGGCTTCATCGTCTGGACCAAGGAGCGCGCGGAGCTCTGAGAGGCACGTCAGGCCAGGCCGATGAGCAGATTGCACGCGCACCTTTGTAGAAAAGCGCGAGGCGCGTGATACGCTGAATGGGCATAATGACCACGTCTGTCATTGCTAGACGTGACAGACCGGCAGTCGCACCGATCTTCTCGTAGCGTCTGCTGCGTGCTCTGGGCGACAGGACCGAAGTGAGCTTGCTGAGCCGTTTCGAGTTATTGCGTCCCGCTACGTGTGTACCAGACCGCTCGCCAAGAGTGGTAGCGGTGTGAAAGGTGACGGAGCGAGCTGCTTGCATTGCTTCTTCTGCAACGTGCGACCACACATTGTAGGCGGTCTGGAGCTCCGCCTGTGATGCAAACAGCGCACCGGCAGCGCCGCTTGCGGTCGGATTGGCAGCAAGCAGACGGGAGAAGCGCACAGAGACTCTGTGCAAGGGTGCAAGGTACTGCCGGAGGAACTTGCACTGGTCGAGTAGCACCGCGTCTTCAGAGTCGATCTGAACATGTTCGGCCGCATCATTGAGTGCTGCAGTATTGCTGTCGAGTAGCTACAGGCGAGCATGAGCAAAGACCGTGCCAATTGTGCTAGCAAGTACCTTGATCATAGAGTTGAGATGCATAGCGTACGTGCGCTCCGATTCTCGCAGCTCGCGTAAGACAAAGAGGACGCGCATGTGCATTCGCCAGTCGTCGACATCGGGTGTCTCGTTGATCGCGAACTTCTGACCGAGCTGCTCGACTGCCTCTGCAAAGTCTTGGTCGTCTTTGATGCACATGAGCGCGCCCAGAACATATGGCCGCTGTGCCGGAGCAATACTCGAGAGGCTGCCCCGCTCGAAAGGGTTCTGTGTGCTCTCTGCTGAGAGAGGCGCAGCGAAATACTTCTCAGCCACTGCTGGGATCATCTGCACCTGCGCTGTCGAGACATCGGACGACTCGTGCGCAATTTCAGGACTGGGAACTTCGCTAGCGACGCTACTGAGGAGTGCAGCAGTCGGCGGGGCAGGATCGCTTGATGCTGTGCGTGTCCTTCGCAGCCCAGCCAGGAAACTCCTTCGGCGGCCGTTGATGGTGCACGGTATCTGTGGGCCAGGCGAAGGGGATCCCTTGTCCTGCGGGCGCCTGGCGAGTATGATCGTAGCAGTATCGGCGTACGCCTGCGGCGCGACAGTACCAGGCAGATCAGTCTGCTCCCTGAACCCGATGGCAGCCTCGAGCGGCGCTGCGCTCGTCAGAGCAGCTTGACCGGACGGACCTGTGCTAACAGCTGGCGCGGGCGGCAAGAAGAAGGAGTTGCGCAACACAGCTCGTACGCGGTCAGGCTTGCAACGCAGTGATCGCGTCCGATGCGGCGCCAGATTGTTTGCATTCCCAGCATGCGCTGTGACGTCCAAGCTGTCGCAATCGTCGTGCATCTGCGTGCTTCGCGCAGTGGCAGATATCATGCTGCCGGCCAGCCCAGCATTTTGAACCTTGCGAACCCGGGGCGTCCTCTCAGGCGAAGTCGCTAGAGCCTGCTCGGGCGATGTCAAGAGAAGCGTACTGAGCCTGCGCGCGTGACGAAAGGGTCCTCCGGGTGACACGGTAGTCTGGCTCTGACGGTCGCTGGACGAGTAGAGGCTGGACGCGACTGTCGGTGTTCTATAGGAAGCGCTGCTTGTTGACTTGGTACGTCGTTTGAGCTTGGCGGGATGCTTGGAAGACCAGCTGCAGCTGCTGGACGCGAGCACGGTATCATCCTGGGCGTAGACCGGAAGGATACTATCGAGAGCTTGCACCATGTCGTCTATCGCAGAGGCAGCAGCGTGGTTCGTCAGCTTGACGGAGCGTGTCGAGGTGGCTGCCGTGCTCGTCGTGGTTGCACGCGACGCAGTGCTCGAGGTCGAAGCTTGTCTGATCGTAGTGACGCTGGGCGAGCGTGCGGCCTGCATTGCGCGATCGGCCCCAGACAGTCCTTGCTCGAGCAAGGGACGAGAAGCTGCTATCTGGTCCGCGTGAGAGACAGCGCTGGTAAGGCGCGTCGCGAGTGAGTCGTAGTGTCGCCTACTTCGAGGCAGGACAGGCAGCTCGACGGGCAGAGGCGGCAGATCTCTCGAGACGCTCGATCTGATCACGACGGCACGCGACTGTGTCATCGGGATAGGCGGCAGAGGCTTCCTGGGCCGATAGGCAGACGCAGGCTGATCCAAGGCAGCACGCAAGTCGGTATAGCTTCGAGAGGCCAATCGGTTGCTCTGTTGGAGCAAGTCAGAGCGTCCGGTCGCTGTCTGTCCACGTCCGAACAGGAGCACGGCATCATTGTTGCTTAAGGACCGCTGACGTTCCTGCTCTGCTGTCCTCGTACTACTCCGTGAAGGCGCTCGCGGCACCTGGACCGAGCCAATGCGATCGTTTGCGTTCGAACAGGTCAGAGGCATCCTAACGTGCAGTTCTGGCGGGCTCTGTGGAGTGCGTGCCGAGCTCATCATGGCCGTATAGATAGGACTTTCTTGTGTGATGGCCAATCCGAGCTGAGGCTTAGCTGTCGTGCCACTTTTGCTTGCACCCCTTTGCTGCGGTGCAGTCAGAGTGTGCGTTCGAGAGCTCGATCTGCACTCGGCTCGTGCGGACTGCTTCTGCCATGCAGACGGCGTGCAATCGTACGAATGATCGTGCGACCTTGTTTGGGAGGCACGCACGCTGTCTGGCTCTCTCTGGTTTGGCTTGAAAGATTTCATCCAGCTCGTCATCTGACTGGACATCTAGCGAGATCGAGTAGCCTGTCATGTACAGACAAGGAGGAGTCCGCAGAGTCAGTCCGTGAAGAGATGCCGCCAAGGACAGGGAGGGAGGTTGTCTGCTCTGACAGGCCAAGACAAACTCACCGCGAATTGTCAGCGATCTTTTCACGGCACGGCAGGGCAAACGTGTGGATGAGCACCACCACACACCATGGTCTCCTTCCTCTCCCTCTTTCCACGTGCAGTCCGACGCTAGCACGGGAAGCAAGACTGGCCGCGAGCGTTGTCGACGGCGCCAAAGATGCATTTTCGCGTCTTCGGGGTCAAAGCGCATCCCCCTTCATCAGCTCCGCGGAAGGAATGCATAGTCTGTCAACGAAGCTAGCGAGTGTACTGCTCGATGGGGGCGCCTCGGTGTAAGGTCAGGAAGAAGGTCTCTGACGTATTGGTGCTGCGAGATCGCACGCGCGCGCTTTTTACGGTCGATGAGCCGAGAGGCTACCGCGCACTTGTCGCGCACAGACATTGAGAGCCTTCTGTAGCGGAATAACTGCATCGCTGCTGGCCTTGCCTACAGCCAGATGACGGCTAACATCGAAGAGAATGTGCCGCTCAAGACGGAAGAGGCCCAGTGGGATCTTGATCTCTCGACGCCGTACCGTGATCCAGCAAAGCTGACATGGCTGACGATCCTCTTGATCACTACGCTTGCCGGGATGCTGTTCCTAAGTCTGGCTCTCAATGGACCCGAAGACGCAGACGATCGGCCGCTCCATCCGCGCTTGACCGTCATGCGTGACAACTCGATCTTTCCGGAATGGCCGGTCGCGGTCAGAGAACAGTGTGAAAATGCGATCGAGGCAAATGAGCACTGGCCGAGCAAGGAGGCCTATCTACGCGGTCGGAAGAACACGACTGACGTCGACGTGGCTGGCCGAACAATCTGCGATCGCAGTCTGACATTCTTGCTCGACGACAGCTTCGACTTTGCCATGAATGTCAATGCCGTCCTACAGGCCTTTGCGTATGCAGAAGAGACGGACAGGGCGTTCTTTATTGACGAGTCGCAGAGCCATCGCTCGAATTGGTCGACGCTCTTCGAGGTGGACTGGTTGCCCACGTGCGCTCCACCTCCATCAGAAGAGATGCAGGGCTGTCCGAGCGCATCACGACATCTGATGCTGACGCCAGAAAGCCTGGACTGGTACTTTGGCGACGAGTACATCAGACGGTTCGGCAGGCCTGACGCACGCGGCGCGTACCGATTCAGGCCCATCGCAGAGCGCGCCTTTTCGAGTATGGACACCGTCTTGCAGCCCTCTCGAGAGTTGCAAAGGCTTGTGTCGAAGGCAACAGCCGAGATGGGTCATCACGGCAAGCTGTATCGACCGTATTTGGGCGTTTTGCTCGACGAGCATCAGACGACTGGCCAACGACGCGTGTGGAATTCGCCAGAGTTGACCTGTCATCGCATCAGAGATTTGTGGGCTAATCTCAGAGAAGAAGATTTCGAAGATCTTTCGCCGGAACCTGTGCTGTAAGCCTGCACTATTGAAAATTGAGGGCAACCCTCATTGCGGAGCGCAGATGGCTTGCTGGCAGCCAGAGAGCGATCGTTGAGTTCGAAGTCGCTTGCAACAACACTCGACGGTTCTCGCTCACGCAATCACATGACGAGGATCTGCGCGGTCTGAGCGAAAATCGCACGCTCGTCGGACTGATGCTCGACCAGGCGATGCTGGCTGGCGGCTTCGGCGTCGGTCGTGCGCAGCGAGTCGAGATGGAGACCGGGACGGACAGGCTGCTCGAGATTGCGCACGAGGCGGGAGGTCACCAGTATTATCGAGAGAAACGGGATGCGAGTAGACCGAGTCCGGAGGCAGTACTGTGTCGACAGGAAGGGGATCTGTGTAAGCTTGCGGCAATCCAGCTCGGCTTCGACAAGTCGATCGCAGACAGCAGGTGGGTCGACATGCTCGGCCGGACTCAGGACCCGTACATGGTCTTCAACACGGGTCGTGACAGAGCTTAGCGGCTCGCTTGCAGATGCAATGATTCGTCGGCTGATCTCAGTCCAGTCCGGGCGAGCTATCGCGTGCTCTCCGATTGCGCTTTGTCCCTGGCTTTGTCCTGGCGGGTGCAGGAGTCGATTGCGGCGCTTCTGTGGATACCTTCTTGACGATAGGTCGAGCAGAGGCTTCAGTCGGGACCAGTCTGAACCGAGCCAGCGTGACTGCAGCGGGAATGAGCATGGGCTCATTATGAGTCGGTCGAGCTGGAAGTGATGTCGTGGGCAGGCGCGTCTTGCGTTTTGCGGTCCGTCTGAGATGCTTCGGCAGATCGTGATCGTCATCTTCGCTCTGGTCCGGTTTTCTACCCGGTCCGACTGCAGTAAGGTATGGTGTGATCAACTGAGCGCGTCAAACGTGCTGTCGACTTGCCTGGGAGCTCTCTCAACAAAATCTCATCGCCTGTAAGCTCTTCGTGTATAGCAAGGTAGCGGTCCTCTCCGACAACGACGAGCGGTTCCTTTCGATCAAAATCCTGCGCGGGGTCGCTCTTGAGTCCGCATGAGCTGTCATGAGTGGCCAGGGACGGACATAGATCTGGAGCTCTTCGGATCGTCCAACGGCGTCCTTGCCTTGAGCAGTCTCATTGTCCATGATGACGAAGCTGACTTCCTCTGTCTGCCACTCCCAGTCATCGTCGTCTGCTTCAGTGTCGATGGGTAGACGAGCATGGTACTTCCACTGAGGTCGGATCATGGGCTCGTAGTCTCGCACAGGGGCGAATGCAGTCGCATGACTGCCTGACAATTTGGTAGGCAATCCGGAGGCTCCTTCTCCGGCGTCATCCATGTGTGCTGCAAGCTCAGCAGCTCTGAATTATGCGACTCTGACTCAAGACGTTGGAGTGAGATCCCCAGTCAGACGAAGAGACATGCCACCTGTCATAGCTCGGTTGATGATCACTCGATCAAGTCTTGCTCGAGCTTGCTCGGTCGCGCGCTGACGTGCTGACGTGGCACATTACACATGATCATGGTTGATCACGATGATGCGTTCGTGCTCATACGTTCGGAGCCTGCCATGCCCAAGAGGCGCAGTTGCGAAGCAGGAGGAGGTTCGAGCAAAATTGCAATCTCCGTCGACACTATATGCACGGACTCGTGGCCACTCTCTTTAGTCATCCTGACCGTAAACTCGGTTGAAGCTTGGGATCTGGGTGGGATCAGGCTGGCCGCTGCAGACGAGCGAGCTAACGACAAGCGAGAAGATCAGTCTGTGTCGTTCTGGTGATCCAGGACAGGAGAAACGCACTAGTAGTTCTTTAGCGCTGTCTTGCCATCTTTGGAGGGCTGGTAAGTTTGGTAGCCCGTGCCGCCGAGGGTGAGCATCTCAACGGTGTAGTTGGTCACCATAGCGGCCTGAGGGCCCTTACCGGAAGCTGCGATGAAATTGAAGAGGTACGGAAACTGAGGATGGGAACCGGAGGCCGAGTTGGTCACTATATGCGCGGGAAGCCGTTGTCACTACTGTTATTGGCGCTCTGCAGACGCAGAATCTCTTACCCATAAAGTCGGTCCAAGTTGCGTCAAAGTCACCGCCAAGAGGGAAAATCTGAGCGACGGCAAAAGGCTTGATGCCAAACATGCCCATAAAGGCGCTCTGCCAGGTCGTTCGCTATGTCAACACACGCTCGTACCGACAAGGCAAGTGGCACGTACGCCATCCCAGATCAAGTTGAACTGAGCGAGGCCGACCCTTCTTCAGCATTCGTCTGCAGTTGCTAAGGCTCAGACTTACCATCGTCTTGAAGCCACCAACAAAGCCAGTGTCTCGTGTGATCGCAGGGTCGGTCAGGTTGAGAAAACATGTCGTCACTCCTCCGGTGATCATGCCATTCGCATCGCGATGGATGATAGGTGCAGCGGGCAGCTCCCAAGGGATGTCTTGGTCGGCGGGCGCACGCTCGAAGAGGTCTCGCTCGTTCACCTGCTGGGGAAGGCTGACGGCGACCGCCACGCTTGCCAAGGCGATCGAGGCGAGTACAGACTTGATCATCTTGCCCATCTTGATCAGCTTTGCACGTTGTTGAGCAGAAGAGGAAGCAACAGTAGGAGGAAGGGGCTCGACAGGAGCCTTGCGACGACATGTGTCGCATCTCGACGGCTAGGAGGGGCGCGAGGAGCTCAGCGCCCGCTGAGCCAGTCAAGAATTTGGCGACTGTCACGTGTTGTCCCATGCTTGTACGAACAAAAGCAACAGAGTCCGATAGCTACACTGTCTTACTGTACGCGTTCGGTCAGCCAGCTGTCGAAAGCGGCCTTCTTGGATTCGGCAGGTGAGCCATCATGTTGGGCGTAGCGTGTGGGAGACGTTCGTACGATTGAATCGCCAGTGTCGCTGACAAAAGCCAGTGCATAAGACTGCGGGTCAACTCGCGCTTCAAGCCCGCCTGATTGCTTTATTTTGACTTCCTTGAGCGGCGAGCGCGATAGGTTCCTGCAGAAGCATCATCAGAGCTTGTAGTGCAACAAGGCTGTGCGCGCACCGCTTGAGGAAGGGCAACTTGACGTCCCTTGGTACACCTTCGGTTGCGTTAACGAGCACGAACGAGTCCACGTAATGCTCGAATTGCGCCTCGGCAGAAGCAGCGCTGTCCACCGTCGTCTCTACCGGATCGAGTAGCTGAACGGTCAGAACGCCCGGATCAGAAATCTGCGCTCCGCTGACTCAACCATCCTGCTGTACAGGCCTGTATGCAGAGAACATACCCATTCAAACTTGTACACGTCTTCTTCAGTACCGATGATGCTCTGGGCTTCCATGCGATAAGCGATTTGCTGACGCCGGGTGGTCTGTGTCGCCCGGCGATCTCGCTGCATGAGCGCCACAAGCTCCTGACATTTGGGCTCCGAGTTGATGGCGTGTACCTGCTTGATGATCCCGCTTACAACTTTGTCGACTGTGAAGAGGAGATATGCCTTGATGCCCCACATGTATCTCAAAGATTCTTCAAAAGTCGATTGGTCAATCTCCCCATCGAAGAGACGCTCGCAGCACTCGAGCAACAGGCCATAGAAGTTGACCGCAGGATTCTCGCCTTCGTCAATCTGAGGCACAGGCGTAGCTAGTCCGAGGTCGACAGCCAATGGATTCAGCCTCTCGTGCTTCGGCGCATCAGCCAGCGCAGCCGCGGTCTGCTTCAAGCTTGTCAGGCGGAAATAGAGCAGGTTGACGAGCCGAAGCAGGCAGTAGAAGACAGAATTGCCGTAACAGCAGAGTGGGCGCTTGCCTGTGTCTGCTCCCTGGGTCGCCAGCGCGCTGTCCATCTTGGCCTCGCCAACGATGTCTCTACTAACAGCAGGCCGCTTGCCTTGAGCTGTAGGGGACAGCGGCACCGGCGCTAGACTTGCCGTGATCCAAGTCGCGTCGCCTGATGCGCCATAGAACGCTTTGCGCTTATCAACATCGTCTGGAGAACCTTCTCGAGACTCGGTAGGCTGCGGGGTGACCGCACGACTACCTGCAGCCCTCCGTTCCATGGCGACATGTTGCTCGAGCAGCTTACGACGCAGACCAACGTTCGCTTTGCTGCGAGAGGTAACGAGTGCACGGCGAGTTGCCTCCTCAGCGCCCGAACCGTTAGTGCCCTCTCCAACATCCGAATCGAGATCCTCGTCGCCGTCATCTTCTTGTCTAGATTCCGTAGCAGGCGCAGGCGCTACGTTGAGCGTCATTTCTTCATCATCGATATCGAAGAGCATTGGCATAAGTATGCGCATCGTACTCTCGACTCGTTCTTTCTCGGGCCCGCTAAAGCCGCTTTGAGCTCGATCGAGGTACGAGAAAGCCAATTTGAACACATCAAACAGCACGGCGCGATCAGACATGCCCAGCTCGAACTGATGGTTTGGTCGCAGACTGGAAGTCTCGGCCGGTATGAGCACTCGTTTCTGCTGCCTATCACGTCGCAAGACTTCTATCTCGGTGATGAGCGCCTTAGGATTGATATTTCGCTTGTCATTTGTCTTGAAGCCGACCCCCTGATGATCAAGTGCTCTGTAATGATTTTTGACATCGACCTCGCGCCATACTCGATTCCACTCGCGCAGAGCCTTCTTCCAATCTTCGTCCTTCTGCTTCAGTCGGGCAAGTACAATGGGCACTGCAACGGCAGGATTGTCTGACAGAGCGCGTAGCACCTCCGTGCCGTGCTCGTTGCGAGTCTGCGGCATATCGCCGCCGTAGATCTTCTTTACGATTCGCTCGACGATGCTACGTCCTGTGCTACCCAGGCCGGGTGGCAATCTGAGCCGGGATCGCTCGTCCGCGTTCATTGTCGTGATGCGGTCGTTGATGGGCTCCAATAACGCGATCACGCGCTGGAGCGATTCGATCTGCTCGTGCAGGTCAGCCATATTACCGGTGTATCGAGCCAGATTGACTTGCCTGGACGGAATACCAATGTCTTTCCTGCTCTGAGTTCGCTAGAGCTGTCTCATACATATTGCTCTTGTGACCGCCTGTGCCCTCTGATGCCCACGTCGCAAAGACGACATAGTGATCGTTGAGGACACTCCAGCAGTGCGCATCTCGACCGGAGCAAGCAAGCTCGATCTCGTCGCGTGGCAACTTGCGATAGCTCGGGCCGAATGACTCGAGCGACTGCAGATCTAACTTCGGTCTCTCGAGAGCAGCGCAATTGTCTATGAACCATTCCTCTCCGTTGACATAGCCACTTTTGACAGGATCCCATCCGACAAGCTCCTTGAACGAGTCGAACAGATCTTCGTCTCTGCCGATGAATTCGAAGACTTTCGACACGAGGGTCTCTTCGTCGACAATCTCTTGCGAGTAGAGGTTGAGTGTCTTTAAGAACTCGTGATAAGTCTGTCGATCGTCGATGAACTTTTTGACTTTGTCGAAAAAGCTTAGCTCTTCGGCGCTGACAAGGGCTTGACCTGGGAAACCATTTGGGAATAGCAACGGTGGTGCTGGAGGGATTGTAGGTGGAGGCGGAGGCTGTACGGGCTGCAAGTAGGTACCGTAAGGGTCAAACGGCTGCGCCGCATAATCTACATCGAGCTGCTGCTGGATGGGCGACGTGCTTCGGGGACTTTGCAAACGTTGCTTCGGCCGTCGACTTTTTCCGCTCTTTGACCGAGGCTCGTGCGATACCGGCATGCCATCCATATCATATGCAGGGTGCCTCCGCTTCTTTGAACGAGACGGATCAGATCGAGATGCAGATCCGGTCGCATTTTTCGAGGATCGTTTCGAAGGCGAGAAGCTGGCACTGTTGTACGTATCGCCGGGATAGGCGCTGTTTCCAAACCCTTGACCGTAGCCTGTGTTGCCGTAAGGATCGCTGGCTGGTCCGTCAAGCATGCCAGGCGCATTGAGCATGCCGCCAGGGGCGTTGAGCATGCCGAATAAGCCAGACGACGTTGTGCCGGGCTGACTGGTATCGGGTAGGAATTGTTTAAATTCATCTAGTAAGTCTGGCGCATGCTTGAATAGAATGGTCACAGAAGCGTATACCTGCCTGGATGTCAGCTCCTGGCGCAGGTGGCTCTCGACGTGGCTCACATCCTGTATCGGGCGCTGCTCCTTTTGATAGGTCTGTAAGATCTCGAGAAAGGTCTTGTATGTTTCCGGATCGCCAGTGAAGCGATTCTTAATCTTGTTGACATAATTGATAGCGTGATTGAATTCGACAGGAGGGCGCTTGGGATCATGTATGCCCAACACGCTGGCAGCTCCAGGAGTAGCAATGGCGGGATCCATGATGCCCATTGCGTCCATCGGGCCTGGCATCGGTAGCTGATTAAGATGCAATCCAGCTGTGAGCTGATTCTGGGGCAGCGGCGGGAGGAGCACAGGCCGCTGTGCGTAAGACATGAGTCCACTTGGCGGTATTGCTGCATCTTCTTGCTTCTTGCCAGCTTCGAGGGGCGAGCTTCCCCCGGAAGTCTCGCCAAAGATAGGACCTCCACCGATTTGTGTGCGGGTGGTTGTGCCCGTCGGTGTGGTGACCGTGATGAGGTTGGCGCCCTGACCTGCAGAGGGATCGGCCGCAGAGCATTCTATTCTATAGCCAGGTGGTAGAAAGGTGTTGAAGCCTTGTATCAGTGCAGGATGGCCCCGAAAGAGCGACGAAACACGGTCAATCACGCCTGGTGTGTCGATTCTGCGAGCTCGTCAGCCCGGCCTATACTTGACCTGCCAGCAGCACTGACGCCTGCGTCTTGAAGTCTGCGAGCTCCTGATGTCAGCGCTGTCCGGCCTATATCCAGGGCGTACGTACCTTTCATGACGTCGAGAAAGCGGTTGTAGACTTCGGGCGCATCCCTGCCATGGCTCAAGTTAGACAAGGCGATCTGGTCAGCAGATCGATTTACCTGAAGCGTAGCTTGACTTCATCGAGATAGCTCAGCGCATCCTTGACGTTGAGCGGACGATAGTTTGGGCCTAGGCCGACGACACCTGCCATTGCTATCGAAGGATCGTCCATCTCTTCACTCCCTATTGTAGCCGGTCACATGAGCTCCTCAAGTGCTCTGAAGCGCACAGCACAGACCATGAGCAGGGTTGAAGAAGATGTGCTCTGCCTCGGCATGCTCGCCGAGCACTGGCGCTCCATTGGCATCTGTCGAGCTATGCGTTCGCACTCGCTCGCCGTGCCCTGCTGCGCTCAGGTCTTCGCCTGCTCTGAGCACGCCCGCAGAGGTGAGCATGCTCTGCGCTGCGCTCAGCGTCTGCGCATCTATGTTGTCCATCCTTGCGAGCGCCTACTCACGCAAGCGGGCGGAATTGCCTTCGCGCGACTTGGTTTCACCCTCGGTCCATCTCGGTTGAGCTGCTACACACCACACGCTAAACAACCTCGTCTCATATTGCTTGCTGTGCATCGCCGGATTGCATGCAAGGAAACACACAAATCTCTTTGTTCATTATCACATACTCCCTTACCAAGAATTGTCGCTTTCACTGGATCCGCGAGGCATCTGTTGATGAGCAAACCATGCATGGACGGCGTTGGCTGCGGCGTCTGGATCGCTACCATGACTAGCGTGGGCGTAGCCTTTCATCTGGCCTCGGACGACGATCTGAGCAGCTATTGATGCGTTCTTTTCTGCCCCGGCACTGTGGAAACGCATCAGCCAGAATCAGCGCACAGGCAATATCCTTATGTCGAAGGCTTGACGGGATCAGGAGGAGGTAGAAGGCGAGGTCGTTCTCGGTATGGTGCACTAGCTGGCTGTCGCTGCGATGCGGTTTCATTGTGGTCCGGGCGTGCGCAAGAGTCAGTTGGCGATGAAATGGGGGCCTGTCGGTCATAAGTTTGCAGATTCTCGCGTTGTTCCGTAAGGTGTGCGATCGTTTCATGAGCTCTGCGACGACTTCTCAGCCTGCAACGAGCTCTTCCTTGACTTCTTTCGGCCTCTTCGTGGGCAGCAGCGATAGCAGGGTCAAGTTCTTGACGATGCTCGCGACGAAGGCGCATCTCTTGGTCATTGAGGACACGGTGACGAGCGGCCTAGAGTCGAAGTCGAAGAGCGTGCTGATAAAACAATGCCTCGTAGTTGGTCTTCATGGCAGTCCAAACGCTTTCCAAGCTCGGCAATTTTGCGCTCGGACAACTTTGATCTTGACAGCCTGCGCTGCGTGACTTCGCCTTGGGTAGGGATTGCGAGCGGGATTGTAGAAGTGCTAGTGATGCTAGCCGGAGGAGACTACGTCGGATTTCAAAGCTGTGTGAAGACTTTCAAGTGGTCTTCATGCATGCGTGAAGAGGTCAGGCGAGGGGCCGCTATTGCTCATCATCAGGAATGTTTCGTGAACCGATCGAAAAGGCCCGACTGTCGGGTCTAGGAATCCATCACTGACGATCATGATGCTCCTGCTTAAGCTCGAATGTCATGTCATATTCGTAGGAGCATGACACGCCGTCAGAGACATCGTTGCTCAATGATGGTGTAAAGTCAACAGAGAGCCTGGCTGACGCATGCGAGGGACCGGACAAAGCTACGAAGATTGGAAGATGCGTTGCTGATGATGATTGTACACACCTTGGAGATGAGTCCTGACGAGCGCTGCTAAGATAGTCCGGATGACGCACCATCCGGTCTTGTCCTGATCACCCTCGCTTGCTCGGACCGTCGCGGAACCAGAGACTGTCTGAGGCGGGACTCGGTCTGATGTCGATGACATTAGTCGATAAGATCAGTAAGGCAAGGTGTGTGTAAGGCATGTGGAACGGCAGCTCGCGGCGAATGGGTTGGACCTCTCACGCTTGCTTCGGGCGAGCTCTGAGCCAGCCGCTTCCTTACTGTGCCCTCGTTGCGTTCGCCTTGTCGCCTGACTGGTCCCCTTTTGTTTGACGAAGTCATCTCCAACGAAAGGCAGAACATTCGAGCGAGCGTAGCACAGCAGAGAATCAGCTGGTTTGTGGAAGGAGTTTCGTTCAGACGGCAGCCTGCGAATGACCCTCAGGAGCGGGCACCAGCCTCGCATCGTCGAGGCCTTGAAAATTCAGCTGCGGCAAACGAGCATGCCTGCTGCACTCGTACAAGCGAGTATTCGCTCGCAGAAAGCGTTCCGTCGTCAACTGACGGTTCAGGCGGATTGCGGTGTGACTGTTGCCTCCAATGAAGGACGATTCAAGGACGTGCTCAGTCACCACTACTCACTCTATCTGTGGGTGCGTCGAGCCGAGCGCTTCATCTCCGCTTGACGTGCTACTGGTGGGAACGAGTACGTCCCAGCGGATCTTTTGCTTCGATTCACGAGATGAAGCGCATGCCAGGCAGGCAGATCCTAGGGCAGGAGTCAGATCTGAATCGCGAACAGTCTTGCGCAGGGCGAGTACACATCGGCATGTTGATGAGAGGCGGATGGCGACTGCAATCGGTTAGCAGAGCTGCACTGAGCAAGAGAGGGAGTAGCCATAGACTCGGGGGTTTTGGCAGTGTGGCGAGGAAGCGAGAGAGATCGTTTCGTTCGCGACAGCTCCCGACAGCTCTGCGTGCCTTGCAAGTACGCCAGTGGACTCCAATCGACGCAGTGACGCTCCATGATGGCCGACAACGATGCACTGCGCAATGTGCGAGCGAAGTGGTGGCCAGAGGGCGTTGCTGACGGCGTTTCACAGATGCTCGAGCAGCTCCACACGACCACTCAGTCGACAGGTCGACAGCTCAAAGTCGTCCGGGGAACGATCCAGTCTCTCGAAAAGTACGATTCGGCACTTCAGCCGCCGCAGTGGAGCTGACAGTGCTGGCAGAGAGACCAAGCTCGTCTCCCTCACTCAACGCGAGCTAGCGACTATACCTTTGAGCGACGAGGGCACGCGTTACTACAAGGGAGTGGGCAAGATGTGCGCCTATGCAGTATGACATGACTTGTGCTGACTGCCGAGTAGGTTCATGCAGGAGCCGCGCAAAGCAATCGACCAGAATCTAGCGACCAGATCGAAAGAGGCCGAGTCAGAGACGGCTGCCTTGCGAAAGCGACAAGCTGTATGTAGCAGGCTCTCGTCAAGCGGACTCCTTTGACCACCGAGGGCAGTACCTCGATAGAGAGCTCCAGCAAGCCCAGAGGAGTCTGCAAGAGATCTACAATGCGCAGAGCAATGACCAATGATGCGACGTCTTGCCCAACCGCAGTCTCATACGACGGACTCACAGGCTGAGTCGAGCCCGGTCTGAAAGTTGGCTAGCGACGTGGCCGACAGCCAGACCCGATGTAGCTATCGCCGGGGAGCTGACGAGTATGTGGAGAGTATGCGCACGCTCGTGCATTGCGCTGCGCCGTACATCATTTCGCTCTATGCAGAACCTGATCCGTGAGCGTCTCTAAACTTTGACGCGCTTCTGAATCAGGTAGACGAGCGAGCGCTCCTTTGGCTGTTGCTGCATATTCTGCTGCGAGCGAGGCTGTCCTTGCGAGTCCTGATGACTTTCCAACAAGATGCTTTGCCTATCATTTCGCATCAGGACGCGTTCGGCAGAGACACAAAGGGGACTCACGAGGTCGATGTCACCATCATGCTCGAACTTGCGCTTGATAAGCTCGCCCATCTCCGGGAATTCTTCCCACGCAAGGAGAGCCGGTGCTGTGGCCAGCCCGAGCTTGAGGTCCGCGCCTTGGCCTGGCTTGCCTAAGATGGAATCCTGCGCGGTATAGTCCAGCATATCGTCCACGAGCTGTGTAGATGTCAGCTCTAGGTGCCGTCCCTCGGCAGGCGAAAAATCTCACCTGGAAAGCGATACCCAGGTTGCGACCATAAGAATAGGCCAGATCCTTGATGTACTCGCCTTCTGGCCAGCCTTGACGTGTGCCAGCGCCACCGAGTATAGCAGTCGCTCTGGCAGATTTTGCAATCAAGCTTGCAGTTTTGAGATATGTCTTTTGCATGTAGTGCTCGAAAAGCTCCGGCGACATTCTCGAGCCTGATGAGGCTCCTTTCATTTGCATGACCTCGCCTTCGACGAGGTTGGCGAGAACGCTGGCGACGAGCTCGACGGCTTCGTTGCTACCTAGTCGACTCAATGCGACGGAAGCGCGGGCAAGCAGGAAATCGCCTGCGAGAATGGAGAGCTTATTGCCGAACAGTGACGGAGCTGAAGGAGCGTTACGGCGCATGTTCGCCTCGTCGATGACATCGTCATGCAGTAAAGAAGCGACGTGAATCATCTCAGTGATCTCTGCCAGGCGTCGCTGTGTGGGTAGGATTGCGCCATGAGTCGCGCTGGGTATAGACTCGCTTTCATCGGGGTTATAATCGTTCAAGATGTCTGAAGGCGAGAGAGGCTCATTGATACCTTGAGCACCTCCTGGAGAATGAGCTGTCGATATCGCTGTCTGCCGCCGCTCCTCGTAGACGGGCGACAAGCCATTCATAGCCTGGGACATGAGCAAGACGATCAGCGGTCGCACGTGTTTGCCCTCGGCCTGTGGGCGGGACTTGAGCTTTCAAAGTGGGTGCAATGACCCGATACTGACCTGAAAGTAGTACTTTGCGATTGTGTCGAGCGCTGGATGGCCAGAGCCGAGCAACTGCTTGATGCTCGACCGCAAAGAGCCTAGCTCATGTCCAACGAGTTTGAGAGGATCGACGAAAGCTGCCTTCTCTCGCACTTGCGCCGTGAATTGGCCGTCCCTGTTGCCGTCTGCACCAGCGAGTCCGATGGCCTGCCATGCGCTCGTCCAGGCTGATCTGCTCGCATATCGTGAAGAGCTCGTGGACAAGTCTTTCCTCCGAGCAGCCAGTCGTCGCCGCTGCCTAGCAAGCACGGCAGCAGACGGTTGGGACATCAGGCAGTCGCATATTGGCACCGGTCTGCCGACAGATCGCCGCATGCGACCACTCACGATTCCGACGGTCGGGCGGCGGCGAGACCGAGATATCAAAATTGTTCGACGCACGCGAAAGTCACAGTCATGGTCAATAAGTCATGGTCATCGTCATTGCTAGTCACAGACATCATCATAGCTACTGGGCACAGTGAGCGACCAGTGTATGCCATTGTGCTCTGTCCGTCGATGCAGGTCTGCACCCATCAACGAGCGCATGCAACAACGCGACACCTGAGAGCGAGATGCGAACATCGTGAGCGGCTCCGCAGAGTCACTCATTGTACCTCCAGGCGAGACAGTCAGCTGAGTATTCGTCGAGCGATGCCTTAGCACAACGGAGTGTGCATGTGCCAGACATCGTCAGCATCAGGCACGAGCTCGCACCGAGCCGGATCCGCTTGGAGCCGCAATTGCAGAGAGGCCCCAACCTGAAGCAGCGCCGATCCGGAAATGACGCTTCCCCATCGAGCGAGCGTCAGCTCGAATGTTGACGAAGCCAGTCAGACAGATCAGCCAGGCTCGCGATGGTCTCACGAGCACATTCTTCGTCGAATTGATCGTCCCAGCCTTTCGCGCCAAGGCCCGGCCTCTTGAGCCAGACTGACCGAAGACCTGCTTTGCAAGCAGCGTCATAGTCTTCCTCAGGATCGTCGCCCACGTAGAGTACTTGATCGGGCCTGAAGCTGTCTTGAATCGCACGCAAAAAGATGAGCGGATCTGGCTTTGCGACCCGGAGTGCCCAGGACGTTTGAACAGCAAGGAACTCGTCCGACAAACCAAGCGACTTGAGAACATCATGTAGGCAAGGATCCGTATTCGACAGCACGCCCAGCTCGATGCCTGGCCATCCAGACTTGACTGTAGCGAGCGCGGGTCGAACATCCTCATACAGTTCGTAAGCTCGTGATGATGAGAATCGCTGGATGAGAGCAGATGTGAGACCCGGCAAAGCCGTCTGAAGCTCGTTCCCGGTCACCAGATCCTCAAAAGTGCGCTCTATGACGAGCGACCACCATCTGGAGGGATCGAGTTGCGGCTGCCCGTAATTTGGATATTCGGCATTCGTGCGACGGAAAGCTTGCTTGAAAGTCCTCTGCACATCGTTATCCTTCACAACGAGATTCTGCCGACGTGCTTCGTCCGCCTGACGAGTGCACAGATGAGCATTGCTCGGTGCGGTAGTAGCAGTGTACCGCTGACATATTGTGAGTGGGGCGCAGTACGAGGCTTGAGCAGTGTTCCAAAGGCGTCAAACAGGATGAGACGTATGCCTGCCGTCATGCGCTGGCCCGTTTGACTGCAGCAAGCCAGGCAGGCAGACGGATTTTTCCAGAGGGCGCGTGGCCTGCTTTGCGTTGTTTGGAAAAGAGATGACGAGCTGGGATAAGAGCAAAGAGACCTTCAACGAGTTCGGACTCTCGGTCGCGCTCGCCGAAGCTCGAGCCGGCTTCGATGAAGGTGGTATCCCGATCGGCGCCGCGTTGATCCGTTCAGACGGCGAGATTATCAGCAAAGGCAGAAATCAGCGTGTCCAACTCGGTAGCGCTACCCGACATGGCGAAATAGACTGTCTGGAGAGAGCCGGTCGTTTGACTGCTTCCGTATACAGAGATTGCACCATGTTTACGACGCTGTCGCCCTGCCCAATGTGTTCAGGGGCAATCATCCTCTTTGGCATCAAAATCTGCGTTCTCGGCGAGAACGAGACCTTCATGGGGGGCGAGAAGACTCTCGAGCAAGCGGGGGTCTCTCTCGTCAACGCAAGCAAGTGGTCCACTTCCGAAAGAGTGGTCCACGCTGATCGTTGATCTGTCAGATGATCAGAGGTGCAAAGACATCATGGCCGCATTCATCAAGGCTCACCCTGATGTCTGGAATGAAGACATCGGAGTGTGATGCCGTCCACTGGCTCTCGTGCTCCGCGGTCGCGGCCTACGCAGCCCATAGCCTGGAAAATCTGCGTACGAGTGGGAATGGTCACCGCTCCTTCGCTAAACTACCACGCAAGATCGACATGCGCGCACACAGAGCGTCCTGCCTTGCACAGTAGACAGTCACGTTTCGTGCAGCGATACATTGTAAGTAGCACATTGCATGTCATGTTCCGCCATCAGCTTCCACGTACGCGCGGCGGCGACGCGGCATTAGCCTTTCCGATCTGTTCGCCGACCGCCGATCGAATGATCTTCCCGTCGACGAACCCCGCAAGATATAGATCTACCTGGCCTAGCGCGACTGCGTCATTTGAAAGCGACTCGCCGACGCCGCCATTGCCTTGCCGTTTTGAGCAGCAGACTTGAACAGGGTGCCTGATCTCGAAGCGCAGCGTCAAATAACCATCGCCTGACTGCACTCATATATAGCACATCATGTCAGGCCCAGGCGAAGTCAGCATGGAGGGCCGTCTCGGTCATCTGGATGAGAAACAGGTAAGCCTGACATTCGCCTGCACGCGCTTTGCTGAGCCTGGCATGCCGGCTACAGACAAAGTGTCTCAAAGAGGTACGCACATGTGCACGTGTTTTCCCTACCGTAGCTCATGTCCCGGGATCAGTTCTGGAGCAAGTTCCTCAAGTTAGCAAAAGAAGGCGAGTCGCCCATTGCCGGCGTCAAGGCCAGCAAGCAAGGCGCCGAAGATGGGCAGGGTGATGAGAAGAAGGGTGGCGCCGCAGCGTTCGGGGGCAAGGCCAAGGATGACAAGGCGAAGGACGCGCAGGCTGCCGAAAAGGAGAAGAAGGAGCTCTCGGCACTCATTGGCAAGCACGGATCCGAGAAATTCCACGACGCCTTCTGGGAGTTTGCTCGAGGGTATGTCCAGATCGCATTGACACGCTGTTTATTGCTGATGATGCCCGATTACTTCAGTGAAAATCCGGACGCCCTTTGCCTCCGTTTTCTTCGTGCAAGGAAGTGGGATGTTGATCGCGCCTTTATGATGATGGCGGCTGCCGTCAAATGGCGCATCGAAGAAGGCGTCGAGGAAATCCGACGTCTTGGCGAGGAGGGACTTTGCAAGGAAGATGGCTTCCAGCTGCAATACGACAAAGGAAAGTCGTACATACACGGCACAGACAAGAACGGCAAGTTTTCACACTTCACGCTGGGTAGTATTGACGATGGTATTAGGCCGACCTGTCGTGTTCATCCATGTCGCCAAGCATAAGCCTTCTGAACAGTCACAAAAATCGCTGGAACGATTTACGGTCAGTCTGCCATTTCTCGACACTGCGCTTTAGCTGATGTTTTGGCTACAGATCTTCAATATGGAGACTGCAAGGTACAACCTAGCAACGACAGCCATCACGAACTGAAGTGTTGCTGGCAGAACTCTGATGGCATCGAGCGAGACTTTCCAGGGCACGCTCATCTTCGATATGACAGGCTTTGGCCTGTCCAACATGGATTGGGGTGCGCACATCGTTGTTTGCTTTCAGCTCCGTCGGTGCTCACTCAATTGATCCGCAGCATGCGTGTCGTTCATCGTCAAATGCTTCGAAGCGTACTATCCAGTGCGTAGCTTGCATCGAGTATTGGTTCAAAGCTGAATCAGCAATCCTTTCTTTCCTTCGTCATTTCGCGCATTCGAATTACCGGTCGCTTTACGCAGGAGACACTGGGTCTCGCGCTCATCCACAAAGCACCGTGGGTATTCCAAGGCATCTGGAAGATTCTAGGACCTTTGCTTGATCCAGTCGTACGATCAAAGATCGATTTTACCAAGGCTAGTCACTTTGCCGCACTGGATCAGGGTCATGCTTACATAGTCTGCAGAACGAGGCAGCGCTCGAGAAATATGTTGATGCTGACCATCTCAAGACTGCCATGGGCGGGCAGCTGGATTGGGATTGGCACTTCAATCCGCCTCTGCCAGATGAGAACAAAGCCCAGTCAGATGAGACTGGAAAGAAAGAGCGCGTTGGCAAATGGAAAGAGATTTGTAAGGTGCGTGCATCCCACTCTACTAAATACTGCTCTCACTTCGATACAGGAGTGGGAAGAGACCACCCAGAAGTGGATCGACGGCGACGAAAAGGCGGGCGAGAAACGCAGTGGCGCTCTGACCAAGCTCTACACTATCCGATGTCTTGAAGCCGATCCATATGTGCGCGGCCGCACGACATACAGTCGAGACGGAACCGAGGTAGGCGACGGGCGAGTCAAATGGGTCTATAATGGCAAGACAGAGGAAGCGGGCACAAGCGCGGACGACTGGCGCAAAGATCTCGGCATTGAGGGCAAGTGCCCACGCAATGGTGGCAAAGAAGGAGACACCGGTGATTCCGCTACGTCTGGCGAAGGCGGTGCCGCCGCGGCAGCTGCAGGCGCGGGAGGTGCTGCTGCGTCCAAGCCGAATGGCACGCTTGCCAAGGTTAAATCGAAGACAGCTAACGCGGTCAGCATCGTCACGCCTGGACCTTCAAATGCAGAAAAGGAAGCCGAAGCGAAGAGAGTTGCTGAGGAGAAGCAGAAGGCCGCTGAAGAGAAGCGCAAGAAGGAAGAGGCTGCCGCGCAGAAGAAGAAGGAAGAAGAAGAGGCTGCTAAGAAGCGCGAAGAGGAAGAGCAGCAGCAGCAAGCCAATGCCAGCTACATTGCCAAGACGCAAAGCGCTGTCAATGGCGCTGCCACGAAGGCGACAGAAGTACTCAGTCCGCTCGCTAACAAAGGTCTGTTCCGATCCCCGTGACAGTAAACATGCTGACAGTCAGCGAAACAGCCGCCGACTATGTACCAGCTGCGCTCGGTGGGGATGCGCTCAAGGACGCAACTGCGCCCGCAGAAGCCAAGTAGACGATACCAATCTTGATTCTCGAAGACCTGAATTTCAACAATGCGAACATGCCCTTCACTAATCTGTCTCGACAGCAGTCCCTTTGTGCACTACCATCACAGCCTGTAGGACATTGCAGCGGGACCTGGACAATGCGCTGGAAATGCGACGACCCCATATTGAGCTTGCGAGTGGGAGTGATGACGCGGTGATGTCATCGATCGCGTGCGCACAGCGTCAAGCGAACACGGACCCATACAACAATGGCCGCCGTACCTCCGACTGCAAGTGCTGCTCGTGACCTGTCTGCGTGGTGCTGACATGCCGAGTAGCCGCATCCACCGGGCGCATTTCCAGACACGCCAGGATTTGGCTCATCCGCACCTTACAGCCAAAATGAGGGTCCTCTGGAGGGTGCAGGCCGTTCAGTCATCAATGCGCCCCTTCTCGAAGAGGAGTCCAATGCCACTGCTATATCTGGCGTTGACGGAACGCCCAATGCCGCTGCAGAGGGCCTTGGCGTCTTTCAGGCCACTCCAGACCGCAGGGGACTGCCTGCCCTCACGAGTGATCATGGACTCAAGACGGACAGCGTGCAGCCAGAGGGACATGCTGGCAACGTTGAAGATCTGGGCCAGACAAGTACGCTTGGGCATACCCCTAACACGGATGGTGCTGTGCCGGGCGTTGAAGGCGTCCCTGAGCCTGCCGCGGAGGGTCTCGGCATGTTTCAGGCAACATCAGCCCAGCGAGGTCTACCTGCCCAGATCGATGAGCATGATGACAGTCTAGGAGAGCATGTTCGCTCGCCCGGTCATACTGGCAATGTCTTGGGCGAATCAGCCCGCACCGCAGATGAGTCGCCGCTCAGCAATGCTGCAACCGCACCTGGGCCAGTTGTCGAGACCGAGGATGCTTCGCATGATGCGAAGCGTGGGTTGATGGCTGCAGGAGCGTCTGCCGCTGTCGTGGGAGGCGGTCTTACGACCAATCAGCTTTTCGACGGTGATGCACGAGAACCGACGTCCCCACATGGCGCTTTACTATCGGACCTCAAGTCTCAAGGTAATCAAACAGAACCTGCGACATCTGTACAAGCCGTAAGAGGGGCGCCTTTTGCAACTGATGCTATCGATGAGCCTACGTCCTCCGTCGAGCCCGCTGCTCTTGCAGCAAGCGAGCCCGCTCAACTCGCGACCGGCGCTGCAGCGGCCAACCCAACCTCGTCGCCAGCACAACCGCGCCAGCTCCCTCGTGCTATCGGCATGTTCAGCGCCCTTCCCACTGCGCGCGCCGATCCCACAACGGTCGAAGCGATGCAAGCCCATCCGGTACCAGAGTCCGAGGACGTCAACATCCAGGATGCACTCGCCGACGCACCCTATCAGGCGCCGCTCGGTGCTTCATCCTCAGTCGAAGCCACAGGCCTTCCCTTGACGGAAGCCTCGCCTCTTGTTGCGAACGACGTTTCGAACGACGTCGACATCCCGAACGACGAGCTGGCACGACACAGCGTCGCATCTGAACCGGTGACGTCGGAGCCAAGGCCAGAGCAGCTGACTGCACGAGAGCCGGAGGCTATCGCTATTGCTGCACCGAGTTCAGCGGCTGAGCCGGGTCATGTCGAGGGCCTGACAGCTGGACCGGACCATGAAGCCAGGCACGCAGCAGAGGCCGCTGCTGCTCTCGCTGCCGGTACTGGAGGCGTTGCCGCCGTTGTTGCCACCCACTCCAGCGTACCTGGTGGATCCGTTCAGCACGAAAGCTTTCAGCAAGAGTCCGCGCCCGTCAGTGGCCTAGCGCAAGACTCTGCACCTAAGAAGAGCCTTGACTTTAGTCCTCGCCATGCTCATCCTGACGCATTCGAAGCTCAGGTGGCGACACCGCCCGAAGCTGTCAAGCAGGCTCATGCACACCCAGCATTGCCAGGATCAGTCGTTCATGCCAGCCAGGACCAGCCCGCAGCGATCAAGACAAGCTCGGCTGCACTCGCTACCGCCGAGTCGGATAAGGCACGCAAGTCGAAGCATCGCACATCGACAAATGAGGGCAAGCGCAGCTCGCGTGCAGAGCCCACTTCACCTAAGCCGGCATCTCCGCGCGTCCAGAACAATCGTGCTGATCCGAGCAAGCGCGCCTCGACCGCAGGTACAAACTACGGGGGCAAGAACAAGACAGGGCCGACACCCAAATTCGCTGGACCTCCCGATGGCAAAGTGCCCGACAAACCAACGACTTCGGCTGCCCATACCAGTCCCTCGAGCGGTGAGAAGAAGCCTAGCTTCCTCAAGAAGCTGTTCGGCAGTGGCAAGTCAAAATGATCATTCAAGCAGACCAGGCTAGGCAGTCGATGAATGGACATCTGAGCAACCCTTACCAGCAGTCATGTAGGATCAGGAATACCCCGAGTCGATGCATCTGTTCTCAAGTGTCTCGGCATGACATGCATCAAGTCTTGTGTGCTGCTTTGACATCGGCCAACGTGGATGCGCGATGAACGTCGGCGCCGCGTCACTGGCATGATAAATGACACGCGGCAACCGACCAAGCAAGTGACCTTGACCTACGATGGTGCTCAGGATGCTGACCCTTTGTGGCTGGTGGCTTGCTCTACTACTCTCGCCAGTTGTCAAAGCCAGGGATCAGATCGCCTTCAAGGCGCCCCACCGGCCAAATGTACAGACATTCTCGCTTAGCCACGGCATTCATCTTGGTGGCCACGCCTATCCTGGCCTGCATCTTGAGCGCCAATTCAGCGGAAAGGATCGCATAGACGTTCGATCGAGCGATGAGGCACCGTACGATGTCTCCAATCTTGTACTACGATCGACACCTCAGCTTGTCTACAAGCCGCTCATCAAGGGTGGCACGCCCGCCTACGATCGAGCAAGGCGAGCACTCGCACAAGCAAGGCGACAAGGCAAAGAGCACGAGATAGAAGTCATGGGCTGGGATATTGTTACCGTGCAAGGGCCCGATACAAGCGATTGGGAGACCCTCAATAGCTTGGGCAAGATGTCAAGCAACGCTTACACTCAGCCTAAAGATACTTCCGGCTGGATCGATCCCGGCATGCATTGGAATCTCGTAAGCCCTTGCTCTGTGGGCGCGTGACCGAGCTGACACCCCGGCCTCAGAGCAACTCGTTTGGATGGGAGCAAGATGGACTGCGAGGTCACGTATTCGCTACGCCTGATAATGCTACGGTCGTCGTCGCGCTCAAGGGCACGTCTGCGGGTCTCGTGGGCGGAGGCGGCAATACTGGTCGCAACGATAAGCTCAATGTAGGTCGACCGTTCCCCGACGCCAGCTCAAGCTAAATCTCTCGCAGGACAATCTACTTTTCTCATGCTGCTGCGCCCGAGTCGATTGGTCATGGGCGACCGTGTGTGACTGCTTTGCGGGCGCATACAAGTGTAATCAGGACTGCGTGGAGCAGGCCCTGACCGACAAGAGTGTATACTTCCCGCTTGCTACTGTACGTCAGATAAATCGTAAGTACATGCGGATTGGCTCATGCTCGCGCAGGATCTATACAACAATGTCACCAAGATCTATCCCAACTCTCAGATATGGCTGACAGGTCATTCGCTGGGAGGCAGCCTCGCGTCACTGCTCTCAATCACATTTGGCACGCCGTGCGTCACCTTCGAAGCGCCAGGTGATCTCATGGCCGCTAAGCGACTTCATCTGCCTCTGCCACCTGCTCTGCCTTCGTCACCCGATCCGAGCAATCCTTCAGGCGTTGCAACGACGCACGTCTTCCACACAGCTGATCCTATACCTGAAGGGGTTTGCACTGGCTCTCTGGCGTCGTGCGCATTGGCAGGTTTTGCCCTGGAGAGCAAATGTCATACCGGTCAACAGGTCGTATACGATACCGTCGGCGAGCTGGGTTGGAGCGTTGATATCCGGACTCACTCGATAGGTCAGGTCATCGACAAGCTACTCCGGCCAGACTGGGACATCCAGACGGAGGAAGTCCACCTCGACAGCGAGCGGTCCTTTTGGCGATCCTTTTGGCCAGGATGGGGTCGTCGTGGCAATGGCAGCGAGGGAGATCACAAGCAGAGCCAAGGCGTGCCCAAGCCTGTCACTGAGCATGACTGTGTCGATTGCTTCAAGTGGAGTTTCGGCAATGGTCCCGACTTTACGCCCAAACGCAAGCCCACCCCTGCAGCATAGATTCTTCGGGAATTCTCTGTTTGTGTAACATCTGTCTGCCTCACGTTGTAGTATTGTTGACACCTCGATGCATCCACTTTACATTGACAATCAGATTGAGCCTTGATTGCGCACGATGATCAAGATGGACGCTGTAGCCACAGCGACGACGACGGCAACAAAGACAAGGTGCGCAAGTGCGCCGCTCTGTGCAAAGCCCTTGTGCGCTCGAAGATCGCTCGTGATCTTGAGATGTCCGCTGACCCCGGCGACGACGCAGACGAAGGCAAGCACATAGAACAGGATACTCAGCTGTTCCCATCATCAGTACTGCCGACAGGGACGGAGCACGCGGCTCACGACTTTGCCTTCTGCTCGAGAGAGCATCACGCCGCCATCGCTCGAGTAGCCGCCGAGGTTGAAGTGCAAGATGAATGCAGTACCGATGACGACGAGTGTCACGCTGAGCTTGAGCCAGCCGAGGAAGTTTCGCTCTCGGGCTAGCAGTACAGTAAGCGAGAGTGTCAACGAGTGAGAAAGTCATACCGAGGTAGTCCCTTGCGGTCGACCCTTCATTATCGATCTCTATCTGACCTAGCCATCGCTGATAAAACAGCGGCTTGATCTTGCCACGGTCTTCTGCGCTCATGCGGCTTCTGCGTTCGCACAGAGGCCATTTATGCAGGGCTGGCTAGTGGCGTTTATCTAGTACAGTTTGAGTCGCGCTCCTCAGGTGGCGTTGTGGCCGAGCGGTTATGGCGAGAGGTTCAAGTTTTAAAGCTTAGGCTTTTTGTGCCTTTCTCTTGGGAGCGATCCCTCACGTGTTCAAATCACGTCAACGTCAGACGTTTTTTGCCGCGGGCGTTCTTGCGGCAGGACCGTTCTATTTTGCTTCGAGATAGCTGTATATCTGCCTGATGGGACAGATCGAACTGATTTGTGCTATGAAACCCCGGGCTTCCTTGCAGTTCACTCTCGAAATGACATTGCGTCTGCGCTGCTCAATGGTCTGTCTCACTTATCAGACAACTTGCTTTCCAACGTGAGCCCAGCAAGAGAGAGCAAGAGGAACGATGTTGCAGACATGATTCTCGCTAATTCTTTCTCGTCTGCTTCATTTGTTTATCGCTGCTACAGTAGTCGCAGCATGTTACAGCGAAGACTAGCGATTGCTGCGTGCCAAGATCGATCAGATGCGGCAATGGGGCCCTGCATACGTCAACAGTTACCGCCGGCAGCTTTGACGATAGTCGTACTCAACGAGAGGTCGAAAGTATGAGCGACAGCGAATCTGGAACGACATAAGCAGTAGTCGGTGCATCGACAGATGCAGGCGTAACGTGCGAGTGACGATTTGCTTTGTTACATCCATCGCAGATGTAAGGTATGATTGCCTGTCTGGACAGTATGATGAGGAGACTCACCGAGTGTGATGCATCTAACGGCGATTGCGAGCGCATTGCACGCATGAAATGTGTGTCACAGTCAGTTGATCTCGAGTTGCGCGGAGACTGGAGCGCTGATACCGCTCATTTGACAGGCTTAGCAAGCCAACCGGTCAACGAGAGCTTTGTATCGTTGTATCAGAGGGTGATCAGCATTGTTGTCGAACAAAGCTGATGACGGAGTGGGAACACGGTATAAGAATACAGGCGGCTGGATGATCGACGAGCAGCAATCGTCATCGTGAGAGATACTAATGAGATGAAGGGATAATGTTCAGGAAGGGCAGAATGCGTCACGTATCGAGGCATATGCATCGCTAGAATGTCGACTTTCGACGAGCTCGACGACGCGCTGGTACCGACCGGTCCGTGTCTGTGGTCATGGTCACCGGACTGAGCGTGGCGTAGCGTCGAGATGTCTCACAACTAGTCTGTCCATCTCCGGTCTACCATGTGATGCGTCCGACGCAAGCACTGGCGGCTGCGGCGAGCCTGCTCGCAGTGCTTGCAGCATTGCTGGGGCCCTTCAAACTCCTCTTTGCCCTCTTGCGCTGGTCGACGTTTGCCGCATTGAGCTGGCTGCTCCTCAATGGTCTTGCCATCATACTGCTACAGTACAGACGAACGCAGGTCAGGCAGCAAGCAGTCGCCAGAGGACTCAAGGCCAGCACGGATGGCAGATACGACATCCCGCCGCTAGCATTCACCACACCGGCCGCTTGGTCTGCCCTCCAGACACGCTTAGCATGGGCAGACCCGGATGAGACGAGAAGACCGCTCCATCCGCAGCTGTCGAGCAAAGTCTCTGAGGAGATCGATACCGTCATCAAGCTCGTCATACGCGATTTCGTCCTCAAATGGTACGACGACATTGTGCCCGCCTCTGCACCCGGCAGGACATTCCCACGCATCATAGAGGACATCATTCGACACAGCCTGACGAGCATACTGCAGCGAATAGACACCATCAACATCACCAAGCTCATCGCAAGCACCGTCGTACAGCGCACGACAGATCATATCGAGGCCTGCAAGGCGGCCGAGCGCGACCTCAGAGATGTATCGGATACTCGCACTCGCAAGCGAAACATCAAGCATGCCGAAGCTTTCACGCTCAATACCTCTGACTCGGGCAGCGAGGATATTGAGCTTTTGATGGCCAAACGCTACGCGAGTCATCTGAATACGACGCGCGCCCACTCTCACAATAGCATCAAAGGGCTTCACAAAGCCATCGATGTCGCTGCGACTAATACGCGACCCTCCGAGGAAGCTCACTTGCGTGATGTCGTTGGGCGTTTGCTAAGGAGCATCCTGCCAGACTCGTCAGTCACCTCACGCGCGACCGTATAGCGAAGCTGATACGTCAACAGAGCGAATCAATCGCCTACAGTGCGCATCATGGCCAGAGAGATCGTAGCATGCTCGATCGTCTTGCCGGTGCTCGAGATGCTTGCAGACCCAGATTTATGGAATAGGCTCATCGACGATCGTGCTGGCGCGGCACTGCGCGAGCAAAAGATGGTCTCACAACTTCGACAAGCCCTCGATGCGGCTCCTATCGGTCATCGCGTGGCAGCTGATGAGATATCCCATCTCACAAATCAGGCTCAATTCGACGCCTTTGCGCGCAGTGCTGGGCGTATCAAGCAGCTCTCAGAACTCAAGCGATTGCGTAATGATGTCGCTCTAGGTCTGCGACGATCACAACTACTGCTACAGAGCAGCACGGACAAATCCGAGATCGACCTCTTACGCTCCCACATCGACCGTCTATACCAGGTCAAGGTCAAAGTTGATGATGCCGTTCGTGGCGTGGAAGGTCACAGAGGCGATACTCTGGCTCGCGCGATCTCGAATACGCACAGTGCTGCGTTCAATGACGCAGCTCGTCCGCGGCTCAGGCAAATACTTGGCTCAGCATCAGCCGTCTCGTACTTCATGGAGTTCATGGATCGTCGACATCGCGCCCTGCTCGTTCAGTTTTGGCTATCTGTCGAGGGCCTGAAAGATCCACTGTCCGAGGTCGATGTTGCACACGTCAACGGCGAAGAATCTAGCACGCTCGCAGAGGATCTCGAGATGATATATAGAACCTATTTCGCGAATGACCAAGTGCGCTCGGACGACATCCAGAAGCTTTATCTGCTCGAGGCGTTTGCGAACAGCGAGACCACCCTCGCAGATTCATCTCGCCTCCTCAAGGTTCGCGACGCTGTCGTGGGCTTGCAGGTGGACGTGCTCTCGCAGATGGAAGAGTCTGACCTGTCCGACTTTCAGCGCTCAGAGCTCTACTACAAAGCCCTCGACGCTCTGTCGGCTGCACAGCCGACCACGCCCGACGTCAAGCTCGTTCTTCCGACAGAAGCGAGTGCGGAGCTATCGCAACCATCAACGGGCATCCGTACACCCATTCTACGCGCCCTCTCCGCGTCCACGCTGCCCCTATCGATGCTGCAGCAAACAGTGCAAGCCCGAGCGGTCTCGCAACCTCTCACCAACCGTCCAGATAGCGAACATGCAAAGCGCGACGAACGCCGTGACGGACTTGCTAGGCCTGATACCTCACCTACGCGCTTGTCGGCAGCAGTTTTACCGCCACGCATGTCGGACAGCATCGATTTCTTGATCGGATCCAGCGAATCGGCCGAGACTCAGCAACGACCGCCGCTCTTTACTGACGAGAAGGCAGAACAGGCTGCAGCGGAAGCACAGACAATGCGCGATGTGCAAGATGCCCTCACAAGTATCCTAGCCTCCTCAGAGTCTTCCAAACAAGCCGAGCGTGGGCGCGGACGACCAGCATCGGTACGCAGTCACGCATCGACGGAATCAGTTCTCAGCCGACCAGACACTTTCCTCGTCGCTGGCTTGCCTGGCAGCATACCAACTCGACCTGCTGAGAAGCGGACTATCTCCGATACGACCAATATGATGTCTAGGCGCGATGCAGAAGCAGCATCGGCGCCGGCACGACGCAAAGCAGTCTTTGAAGACTTTGATAGCGATCTGGAAGACGGCGAAGAGGCGGATGCCAGCCAGGAAGCTGTGCTCGTGAATTCGGCAGACGACACAGCGGCCTCGTCACCCGATGTCAATCGCATCACGGCCCGAATTGAAGAGCTCCAAAGCCAATCCGGCCTCATCGAGACATTATTGGCGCGTGCAGAGCTGACCGGGAATCAATCCGAAATGAAGATACTTTCACGTTCGGGCGACGCACTTCGTCGTGAGCTCCGCGAACTCAACTATCGCCTTCAGCAGATTGAGAATCAGCGCTCGCAGAGCCGGATCAGACCAGATCGGACGAGCATAAGCATTGGCAGCGTGACGCAAGGCCAAGCTAACGGCAGCACATTCGTACTGTACCTTATCGAGGTACGACAGCTAGCCAATGATGGATCTTTCGAATCGGGCTGGCTGTGCACTCGGCGATACAGTGAATTCGTCACGCTCCATGCCACGCTCAGAGCGAAGTATGCGTCCGCGCGCGGTATCGAGCTTCCGAGCAAGAAAGTCGTTTCCTCGCTCGCTGCGACTGACGCCTTTGTCGAGACGAGACGGGCGGGTCTAGAGAAATACCTCAAAGCGCTCGTCTGTGATGAGCAGGTCAGTCAGAGTCCCGAGCTGCAGTCTTTCCTTTCTCGTCAGCATATCAGCTTGCCGAACCTGGAGAAAGGGGCGGCTGTACCGGTGCGTGCAGCAAGCCAAGGCGTTGTGAGACAGATCGTGCGGACAGTGACGACCGGCATCGACGAACTGTTCAGTGGCCCGTCAATGATCGACATGATCGTCCATCGTCTCAGTCAACAGGCAGCCGACTTTGCGGGCTTGAGCGGATCTGCAGCAGACGAAGATGGCATGATTGCACATGCTTTGCAAGTCACGCAGAGCAGCAACACTGTCGGCCTTGCAAGCAGCAATGGCGAAGGCCTGACGTATTTCACCGCGCCAATCTGCGATCTCCTCATCGAGGTCTTTGATCTGAAGGAGAAGAATAGCTGGCTGAGGCGACAGGCTATCCTTATCTTACTCCAGCAGGTGCTTGGCGGGACCATCGAGCGGTATGTCGTCAATTTGAGAACCCAGCGCAAGTCTGACATGAGCGCAGGAAATTTCGCGAAGCCGTCGCTGCGCTTGTACGCGAAGACAGTCTGTTGGCAACGATCGGACTAGTCAAGTCAATGATGTGGCCGGGCGGCGTGCTCAAAGCACCAGGCGTACCGCGGACGCCAAGCGAACGGCTTGCTACACGCGACGCCGCCTACCGGAAGCTCTCCACTCTCATGCCGGGTCAGTGGAGCGCTGATGCGCGTGTGTATCATGGCTGACGATGCGAGCGCAGACGTGGCGGCTAACGTCATTGGAAGGTCGAATGCTCGGAGGGGAGCGAGGCGCGTCTTCGCCGCCGTCCAATATCGGCGCCTCAATCAGCATCTGATCTACTCTATCCTGGACGATGTGAGTCGCTGCTTCACGCGTTGGTCGAACACGACTGATCAGCTCCAAGGTCATCCATGCTGCCTTCCCCGAAGTGGCAGATGTATAGCTCTAATTGTTGTCACCCTTGACTTTTGTTTGTGGCGCGGTGCACGCGGTTCTACGCGCTGAGGAGCCCAGCTTTCTGGCTGAGCTCCGACTGCTTGCTGCTCGCCAGACGAGTATGACGACGATGCGGCAGAGACCGTCCGGTGATGGCACGGAGGCTGCCATCCCTCTCCTCAGCCCGGCCAATCACGATGTGGACGAGGTCGACAATCTTGGCAGGCTGTCAAGTTCACTGTCTCGTTCACCCTCGCGCTCGCCTGCTGGCTTGCGAGAGGCCGAGCTAGCCAACGGATCTGCAAATGGCTTCTCCTCCATCAAGGCAGGTCCGCCGGCCAGGGAGAGCACGAACCTGCAGGTGGCCGGCGCGGTGACGTTCTACATGGTGGCCGCGTTGACGATGATTGTCGCCAACAAGTGGGTCCTCAACGCCGTCGCACTGCCCCTCTACTTCCTCTTCCTCCAGCTCGTGGTGGCAGTCATCTTGCTCTGGATGACCGCCCTCTTTGGCTACTACGATCTCCCGGCGACGTGGAACAAGAAAGTCCTCCGCGGTCTCGCGCCCTTTCTGACCATCAACACGCTCGGACTGGCACTCAACACGTTCACGCTGCAGTATGTGGACGCTTCGTTCTATCAGATCGCCCGGGGCCTCGTTTTGCCCTTCACGGCTATCCTGTCATACCACTTTCTGACAGTTGTCCCGAGCAAGGCCACCATCGCGTCTATTGGCGTCGTCTGCATTGGCTTCGCCCTCGGCGTCGGGTTTGAGGACATGTCAGTCAGTCTCCTTGGCATCATTCTCGGCGTTGGCAGTTCCGCTACCACAGCGGCCCACGCTATCGCTATCAAGCGTGCCCTCCCGGTCGTGCAGAACGTAAGCCTGCACAGCTTTCTATGGGCAGAAGCTCATAGTCTTGTGATTTCAGAGCACCATGAATCTGGTGTGGTATGCTAATCTGATGACGGCCCTCGCGCTGCTACCGTTCGCAGTCATCGTCGAGACCGGTGGCTTGCTGAGCTTGATCGCAGAGGGCGGCCATGCGCTGTACACCTTCGTCGCGGGCACGCTCTTGACTGGCTTCTTCGGCTTTGCCATCTGCATCGCTGGCTTCATCTCCATCAAAGTCACCTCGCCGACCACACACATGATCTCGTCTGCCGTTCGAGGCGTTCTGCAGACTTTCCTGGGCGTCGCCTTATTTCACGATATTGTCACCTACGGCAGAGCCAGTGGGATTGCCGTCATCATCCTCGGATCCGTTTTATACACATGGTCCATGAGCCGAGCTCCCCCACCGCCTAAGAAGCCCGAACACGTCGCTTTGCCTGGCGATGACGAGGCTATTGAGATTGACACCCTGCCCAAACACCGCAGCTCAAACGAAAAGTAAGACTCGCTCGCCGGATAGCGCGCTGGAGCGTGTTGTTGTACTCGACTGGCCATTCATAGATGATCAAAGACGCTGCTCCTTACGTGCGGAACGTGCATTGATTGCGTGCGAGGGAAGATCGCTACATGCCCCGGCCGCGACCACCGCGGAAGCCTCTCGTCTTTGCTCCCAGACCGCGGCTCTGACGAGGCCCCTTGGGTACGCCTACAACGTCGAAATGTCAGCATAAGCAGGGCCACACTGGATTGAAGAGCTCACCATCGTAGCGCGCTCGCTCGCTGTTCTGGAACGCGAATCCGGTGCTCGGTGGAGGCGGTGGCCATGACGCTCGACCCGTTGCTGGAGTGACATAGGCGGGTATAGGTGCGGATGCAAATGCTGACGTTGGTTGCAAGGCTCGCGGTGCACTCGGTGGCTGCTGGGGCGTATTTCGATAGCTCGCATGAGCTGGATGTGTGCCCTGAGAAGTGAAGCTAGACGAAGATCTGTAGCCTGGCGCGGTATTGAAAGCAGATTCGCGAACGAAGCCCGATGGTGGACCGCCCCCACGACCGATGTACACGCCACGGCTCCGAGGGCCAGAGGGCGGTTCGATCCGGCTTGGTTCGGAGCCGAATCGATTGTCTTCTGCGAATGGGTGGTTCGCAGGCTGCATTGGATAGCGTACGCCTGTCTCATCGCCCCGTTGTTCGAAAGCGCTACGCCCAGCTAGATCGTCGCGTCGCCAGATAGTTGGGCGCTCGATCGCTCGATCGCTTGACGATTGCATGCTGTCGTATGAAGGCAGACTCGCTTGTACGGGCGGTGAGCTCAAGTCGCCCTGTTCATTGGGCGTGGTCTCTCTCGCTGGCGTATGCGGCATCACAGCGGCGGGAGAGGCCTGTCTATGAGTTACAACTGGCGAGATAGATCGCTTGCGGATTGTCGGCGGGCTGGTATCGCGCGGCGGAGGCGCGTCGAGAGTCTGAGATATCCCAAGCTGAGGAAAATAGCTAGTATCCGCCGAGAACGACAAATTTGAGGGTGTCTCTGCCGGGGTCTCCGTCATGGGCGTGTCGCCGACGAGTGCAGCGCTGGGTGTATCCATAGATGCACTGATGATGTCTGCCTCCGCAGCATCTTCAATTTGTCCACCCGCGGGAAGGGTGTTCTTACCGCCATCGAGCTTGTCTTCCGTCTTTGCGACAGTCGGCGACAAGGGCTTCTTTGAAGCGAGACGTTTCCGGAAGGCTGCGAATGAAAGCGTCGCCTTGGGCTTGACAGGCTCTGGCGGCGGCGGCGGCGTAGGTGTCTTGACTTGTGGCTGCTCGATTGGCATTTCGATGGGCACTGCTGCCGTTTCGATCGGGGCAAGGAGGGCCTCCTTCGCAGGCGAATCCACTTCAGCAGAAGGTGACGCATCCTCAAAGATACTTTGCAGCTCTTTCGCTACAAGCGCAGGCTCTTGCGAGCTTGAACGGGCAACAGATGGAGCTCTAAACACTGCGGGTTCTGGCTCGGGCGAGCCAGCGAGAGGATCAGTGGCATCCGAGTCCGAGTCGTAATCGTTGATCATCTTGCGTACACGTTTAGCAGATGGAGGCGGTTCGACGTCCTCGTCTATGGCTTCCGATGCAGGCGTGACAGGTGCTTCCGACTCCTCGGTACGCTTTTGGTCGTCTTGACCATCCGAATCGTCCTCAATCAGCTCTGGCAGTTCGTCCCGGCCGAGCCAAGATCGATACATGCCAACCAACGAGCCTAGCTCTGGACGTTTGCTGCTGTTGTGCTTGCGCCGAGTAGCCTTTGATCGACTGTTCGCGCTACCGCCGTCACGGGCAGCCAGCAAAACGTTCTGCAAAGCTGCTTTGACTGCATCGTCCTGAGTTTGAGCTCCTCTGCCTGAAGCAGTAGTAGCAGCAGCGAGCCGCCACATCCAGACGACAGAGCAGTCTTTGCGCTTTTGACAGGCACACGTAGTTGAGCCGAGCAAGGTAGCGAGAACACTAGCCATCTTTCGCGAGACGTCTTCTATGGCATCTGGCTCGAGCGACGGCTCCTCAGACAGCAGTAGATCGGGAAGCAGGTGCACAAGATGATTGTCATCCCAGTCCCACGGCAGTACGATCTCGTCTCGCTTGGCAATGAAGGTCAAAGCAAAGACGCCAAACTTGACAGTGGGTTTGCGCAGAAGCTGAACTGCTTCGTCCTCCGTATACGGCTTCGGAGCGACAATGACAGGAAGCACGACAGCATTGGGATGACAGCCCGTGCGAATGAAGCGCGTGTCGTTGCCATATTGTCTGGAATCGATGGCTAAGCTCCAGGGCGCGGTGAGTGATCGCACGTAGGGCTTTGGCACGCCCATGCCGGCATACTGATTGACAGGTGACTGCCTGTATTGTTCGAGAGTGGAGATCTCGCCGCGCAGCTCTGCAATGAATGAGCCTGTCGAAATGTTGTCATTTGCATAGACAGCATGGGTGATCGGCCGTGGGTAGGGGCAGGCCAGCGTCGGCGTAGTAGTCAATTGTGCAAACGGATTGGCAGTGGAGGGGGCAAGGCAGAAGGCGTTAGGCTGCAAGGGAGCAATGACGAGCTTCGCCGGTGCTGGCAGCTCGTCGTCCAGATAGACAGGCGTTAGAGGATCTGTAAAGTACTGTAGCGAAGCATCATAGGATTTGCTGGAACGTTTGCCACGAATGGCTAAATAGCCATTATCTGCAGCTTGTTGCCTGACAAAGTCTTGGTCTGCAACAAACCACTGCATCGCCGTCGTCAGACGATCGCTGACGGCGGTTCTGTCGACGAGACGGTTGTCGTCGATGGCGGTGTATTCATACAGCCACGGATCCTGCTCCTCAACATTCTCAGCAGCTGCAGCAACAGTGTCTTTCGAGAGACCAAAGGGCGTCGCGAGCGCGCCAGTGGTCGAAGGTCTCAGTTCGCGTCGATTGCTAGTCTCCTGACCGGGAGCGGGTGTGGCAGGCGCACTACCGCCCTGAGCATTCATGGGCGTCTGAGGCAGGTTAGCCTGAGTAGGGGGTCGGCCGCGTTTGGCTGACTTCTGTCGTTTTCTGGCTCCTGCCAGAGGCGGCGTCCTCTGACGTTTGCCCTCGTCGTTGTTGTCATCTTCAACTGTCTCGAGTGCGGTCTGAGGTGTGAGCGTGCTTCTCTTCCGTTTTGGCGCAAAGGAAGAAGCAAGGACATAGTCGCCAGAGTCTTCATCGAGTACGAGCAGTGCTGCTGCTGCTCGCTCGCGTGCCTCGGCAGATTCGATGCCACGGTAGTACAGCTCGTCATCTTCGGTCAAGAAGGCATTGGGGTCTCTGGCAGCTTGCAGCTCAAATTCGTACTTGATCCTCAGTTGCTGACGAGCCCTAGCTTGGGCGCCATTAGTCTCTCTGGGCGCACAGAGCTCGCAAAAGTACTCGTCCGGGACAGAATCTGGATTGATGCGGACACAAATGGCATGTTGCCAGTCTGTACATCGCTCACATTGGATCGAGAAGCCATCATCGTCCTCGAGACCGCAGATGCATCGGATGACGCCCTCGTATTCTTCCTGCTGTTGCTCTCCGTCTTGGGTCGTCAGGGCGTCAAGGATGACCTCGTCCACGCTGTCGGTGGTGGCGACGACCAGTTGGCCTTGCTCTACAGCAGGATGCGGGATGACTGCGGTGAGGTCAATGGCAGGCGAGTCTGATGACTTGGACGAAGGCGACTGGGTCAGATCTTGATCGAGTCTGCCCATGAGCAGTGCCATGTTGTGCGACATTGGCATCGTCCGCCCGGAGCTCTGAGCGATGGCGTCGGTGAGAAAGCGTTGGGTATGCTGCTGAGCCTCTTGACGGCGCATGCTGAGCGTCGTGTGATCGTCTGAGCTCGACCGAACGAGTTGGTCTGACGGTCGTTCGAGGTGTTCACGGGCGTGTGCTTGTGGAGGACTGTTGACCGTCCGCGTAGGCTCTGCTGATCGACTACGGCTCATGCTAGCCTGAGATGAACCAGCCAGAGGTTCACTCAGGCCCAGTGCGGCTGCAGAGAGCAGTGCCATTGTCGTCCTTGTTCTGTCTGTCATTTCTGACTGCTCGATCAGATTCAGCCCAGTCTGGCCGACGGTGAGAGTCTGACAAACTCTTCCATCGTCTGGCTGAGCCGAGTCAATCTGAGCTCCATCAGAGCAAGGCAGGCCGAGAGAGCGTAGGAGGAGTTTTTGAATTATTTTTATATCATCTGACGATCTTAGACAGACCACTCCGACCGCCGCTGTTTCTCGAGCCCCGACGGCCCGACAAGCTGCCAACGATGGCGGGCAAGGACTTTTCACAATACCAGTGCGTATGCTGTCTGTCGAGTGAGCAGCGGGGCGCTCATGCAGATCGAGTCGTAGGTACAATGCCATGAGCAGCCTCGTCCTGTCGGCGGACAGGTCTGCCATCCGTCAGAGACAGGACGAGCCGACGGGCGAACCAGAGACGCTCGTCGGTCGTATAGATCCAAAGGCGATGGGCTCACGCATCACCCGCGACACCGCCAACGTCGACAAGAAGAAGAGGAAAGCCGTCACCGCCGCCGCTTCTGCCTCTGCAGACGATGAGATTGCGCTGCTCGAGCGGAAGAAGCGTGCAAAGGCATCTTCAGGTGCAATGTCATCAGGCTACAGGGACATCGTCGACGCAACAGATGAGACAGAGGGCATCCGCTATCGACCTCGTACCACAGAGACACGCGAGATCTACCAACTCTTGCTCTCCACCGCTGCAGCCATCCTCGGCGATCAAACAGCCGAAGTCGTCAGATCAGCAGCCGATCTTGCTCTCGAGACCCTCAAAGATGCCAATCTCAAGGATTTCGACAAGAAGAAAGAATTGCAGGAGCTCTTTGGCGCAACACTCACCACTGCCCAGTTCACCGATCTCATCAATCTCGCGAAGAAAATCACAGATTACAACGCCGACGAGACCGACGAGGCCGCGCTCAGGAATCGCGAGGGCGAGATAGACGACGAGCAAGGTGTCGCGGTCGTATTCGCCGACGAGGATGCAGAGGACGATGAGGAGGGTGGCTACGTCGTACGCGATGGAGAGTCTGCCGATGACGATGACGGTGTGGAGGATAGCGACAATGCAATAGACGAAGATGATGGTCAGCCTGGCTTGCTCGATGGAGACGGCCAAGATGACGATGTTGTTATCGGCGGCACGAACGGTCAGACTGGTGCTGCTACCGACGGCAAATCGTCTTCTTCTACCATCATCGAACGCATACACGCTCGCCAAATCGATGGCTTTTGGCTACAAAGGCTCATCTCCCAGTCTTATGCAGATCCACAAGAAGCCACCACCAAGACTTCAGAAGCGATGGACATCCTCTCTGCCGAGCAGTCCACAGGAGAATGTGAAAACGCTCTCGTCACGCTCTTCGACTTTGAGCACTTTGATCTCGTCGCCACCCTCGTCCGCAACAGGGACGTCATCGTCTGGTGCACCAGACTTGCGCGAGCCGACGACGATGAAAAGGTCGACGTCGAAGTCGCTATGCGTGAACGCAACTTGGGATACATTCTGAAGGAGCTGCGAGGCGGTGCTATAACCAACGGTGCAACAAAGCCTGCTACGAATGGGAAGGCGATCATTGACATTCCAAAGACGGCCAACATCACCGCAGGCTCACTTGTTCAGCCGCGCAAGGCGCTCGATCTCGAAGCGTTAGCATTTGCAGAGGGTTCTCGTCTCATGTCGAACAAGAAGATCAAGTTGCCGGAAGGATCCATCAAGCGGACGAAGAAGGGATACGAGGAGATTCACGTGCCTGAGCCCAAGCCCGCTCCCGCTGTCGAAGGCGAAAAAGTCATGATCGATGCCCTGCCTGAATGGACAAGGCCTGCCTTTGCTGGCGCTGTCAGTCTAAATCGCATCCAGTCGAGACTTTATCCGGTCGCTTTCGGCGACGATGAGCCAATATTGCTCTGTGCGCCAACTGGTGCTGGCAAAGTCGGCCTTTGTCTTACTGAGTATCGTGACCTTGCGCTGACATGGCTGTGCACAGACTAATGTGGCCATGCTGACCATTTTGAACGAGATCGGCAAGTTCCGTGACGAGTCAACGGGCGAGATCGATTACAACGCATTCAAGATTGTCTACATTGCACCGATGAAAGCGCTCGTGCAAGAAATGGTTGGTTCGTTCGGCAAACGGCTAGAGCCTTTCGGCATACAAGTCAGCGAGCTCACGGGCGATCGTCAGCTCACCAAGCAACAGATCGCAGCCACTCAGATCATCGTCACCACGCCTGAGAAGTGGGATGTCATCACGCGCAAAAGCACCGATACTTCCTACACCAATCTCGTCAGGCTCATCATCATTGACGAGATCCATCTGCTGCACGATGATCGAGGACCTGTGCTCGAAAGTATTGTCGCTCGCACAATTCGTCGAATGGAGCAAACCCAGGATTACGTTCGCTTAGTCGGCTTGTCGGCTACATTACCAAATTACCACGACGTTGCTCGCTTTCTACGGGTGAACCCAAACAAGGGTCTTTTCTACTTTGACGCCACTTACCGACCATGTCCCCTACGGCAGCAATTCGTAGGTGTCACCGAGAAGCGAGCCATCATGCGGTATCAGGTCATGAACGAAGTCTGCTATGAAAAGGTGCTCGAGCAGGCTCAAGCTGGCAATCAGACGCTCGTCTTTGTTCACTCACGCAAAGAAACTGCAAAGACCGCCAAAGCGTTGCGAGATGCTGCCGTCGAGCGAGAGACGATCACTGCCTTCATCCAGTCGGGCGGCGGCGAGCGGCTTGTATTAGAAGAGGAAGCCAGCAAAGCAAGCGATCCGAATCTCAAAGATCTGTTGCCTTATGGCATAGCGATACACCATGCTGGCATGAACCGAATTGACCGCGGCACGGTCGAAGAGCTTTTTGCAGAAAAACGCCTCAAAGTACTCGTTTGCACTGCCACGCTGGCTTGGGGCGTCAATCTGCCCGCTCACTGCGTCGTCATAAAGGGCACCCAAATCTACAACCCTGAAAAGGGTCGATGGGTCGAACTTTCGCCCCAAGATACGCTTCAGATGCTCGGTCGTGCTGGCCGTCCGCAATATGATAAATACGGCGAGTCCGTTGTCATCACCAATCAAGATCAATTACAGTACTTCCTCAGTATGCTCAACCAGCAGCTGCCGATCGAATCTCAATTTCAGGGGCCGAAGCTCGCCGACAACCTAAACGCTGAGCTCGTGTTAGGAACAATACGCAATCGCGACGAGGGCGTTGCTTGGCTTGGCTATACATATCTCTTTACTCGCATGCTCGGTTCTCCTGCGCTCTATGGCGTGCCTGCGGACTACGAAGAAGATGATCCTTCGCTGATACAGTATCGCGCCGACCTCATACACACTGCAGCTGCATCCCTCGAGAGGGCTGGCATGCTGAGATATGATCGTAAATCCGGCGAAATGTTCACTAACGACATCGGTCGCGTCGCTGCTCACTACTATATAAATGTGGCTTCTATGTCGACTTATGGCAAGCATCTTAAGCCTGATATCAACATGATTGCGCTATTCCGGATCTTCTCGCTATCCGAAGAGTTCAAGCTGATCCCTGTGCGCCAAGAAGAGAAGCCAGAGCTCGCTAAGCTGATCGAACGCGTGCCTATACCCGTCAAGGAGAGCATTGACGAGCCGTCTGCAAAGATCAACATTTTGCTACAGTCTTACATCTCGCAGCTCAAGCTGGATGGCTTTGCGCTGGTAGCGGATATGGTCTACGTCACTCAGTCTGCAGGACGGATTTTGCGAGCCATCTTTGAGATCTGCCTACGACGGGGCTGGGCAGCATTGACGCATCAAGCGCTAGCGCTGTGCCAGATGGTCGAGAAGCGCATGTGGCCATCGATGACACCTCTGCGACAGTGCAAGGGTGTAACGGCAGACATAATCCGGCGAGCAGAGCGCAAGGAATTTCCGTGGTATCGCTACTTCGATTTGGAACCACCCGAGCTCGGAGAGCTGATGGGTCGCGCCGAGATTGGTCGTGCTGTCCATAATCTTGTTCACCAGGTCCCAAGAGGTCCGTACATCGCTTCTTCGTCTGCGTTTTAAGACTAACGACCAAACCTGGATCAGTGGAGCTATCTGCGCATGTTCAACCGATCACAAGGACTATGCTCAGGATCGAATTGACTATCACGCCCGATTTTCAGTGGAACGAGCGAGCGCATGGCGGCGCGGAAAGCTTCTGGATACTAGTGGAAGACGTCGACGGCGAAGTCATTCTTTTCTCGGATCAATTCCTGCTCCGACAGCGCTTCGCTCAGGAAGATCACTTCGTGACCTTTACAGTACGATTGCTTGAGCCCCTCCCGCCCAACTACTTCATCTCGGTCATTTCTGATCGATGGATGGCTTCAGAGACGCGGTTGCCCATCTCTTTCCGGCATCTGATCCTGCCTGACAAGTTCCCACCGCCAACACCGCTGCTCGATCTGCAGCCTTTGCCTATCAGCGCACTGCGTGATGGCGAGTACAGCGCAGTGTTTCAGCGAGAGTTTAACGACTTCAACAAGATACAAACGCAGTGCTTTCAGGCGCTGTTCACATCTGACGATAACGTCTTTGTCGGCGCGCCAACTGGCAGTGGGAAGACTGTCTGCGCAGAGCTGGCCCTCATGCGGCTATGGTCTCAATCCGAGCCGGGGAGAGCTGTCTGCATCGAGCCCTATCCAGACGTTGTCGAAACCCGCGTCGCAGAGTGGCAGAACAGGCTTGGCAAACTTCGTGGGGGCAAGAACATCGCTGCGCTTACGGGCGAGACATCAACCGATCTTCGCATTCTCAGTGAAAGCGACTTGGTGATCTGCACGCCGACCCAGTGGGACTTGCTTTCCCGACGTTGGAAGCAACGCAAGAATGTGCAGCAAATAGCTCTTCTCATTGCCGACGAGTTGCACTTGATCGGCTCAGAGATTGGTCCTACATACGAGATAGTCGTCTCCCGAACCCGCCTCATTGGCGCGCAAACCGAGCACAAGACTCGCATTATCGGGTTCGGCGCATCGCTCGGCAACGCCAGAGATCTCGGCGAATGGATGGGTGCAAACTCGCAGACGATCTTCAATTTTTCACCAGGTGCTCGACCTTTACCTTTGCAGGTCCATTTGCAGAGTTTCAACGTGCCGCACTTCCCCTCGCTGATGCTCCAGATGGCTAAGCCGGCCTATCTAGCCATCATCGAATGGGCAGAAGCTCGGCCGGTCATTGCTTTCGTTCCATCTCGCAAGCAATGCAAGCTCACCGCGACCGATTTGCTCACGTACTGCCTCGCCGACGAAGATCAGAATCGCTTCCTCAACGCTGATGTGACGGAGCTCGAAAGCACATTGGAGCTTATCAGCGATGAAGATCTGAAGGATACACTCAGGCATGGTATCGGCTTCTATCACGAAGGCCTATCCAAGCGCGATCGCAAGATTGTCGAACAGCTGTACGGCCTTGGTGCTATACAAGTCATCGTAGCTTCCAAAGACACGGCCTGGTCGATACCTATGAAGGCGCACATGGTCGTTTTGATGGGTGTGCAAACATTCGAAGGCAAAGAGCATCGCTATATCGACTACCCATTCGCCGATGTACTTCAGATGATGGGCAGAGCCTGCAGACCTGCCGAAGACACGTCTAGTCGATGTGTCCTTATGTGTCCACAGGTACGGCTTCTATACTCAGGATAGTCACACTTACTTATTGCGCAAACAGGTTCGCAAAGAATTCTTCAAGAAAGTCTTGAACGAAGGCTTGCCTATCGAATCACATCTGCATCTCAGTCTAGCGGACCACTTGAATGCCGAGATAGTAACAAAGACGGTTGAGAACAAGCAAGAAGCGCTCGACTACTTGACCTGGACATATATGTATAGGCGCCTCGCAGCAAATGCCAACTACTACAATCTGCAGGGTGTCTCGCACAGGCATATCAGCGACCATCTTTCCGAACTCGTTGAGAGCACCGTATCAGAATTGTCGGCTTCAAAGTGCTTGCAAGTCGACGACGATATGGACCTCTCTGCGCTTAACTTGGGCATGATCGCCGCCTACTACAATGTCAGACATATCACCATCGACATCTTTTCCCTCTCGCTCACCGAGAGAACCAAACGTACGTTCCCTGACTGTGTATGATGCGCGCGCTTAGTCTTGCTTGACAGTCAAAGGTCTCTTGGAGATTGTGTCATCGGCAGCCGAGTTCGAGGATGTTCCGATACGGCACAGGGAAGACTTGCTGCTGCAGAAGATCTACGATCGTCTGCCGGTCAAGCTTGCCTCACCCGACTTCGATCAGCCGCGGATCAAGACGAATGTCCTGCTTCAGGCTCACTTTTCGAGATTGCGCTTGCCTGCCGACCTTGCGTCCGACCAGCTGGTCATACTGGGACGCGTGCTGAATCTACTGTCAGCCATGATCGATGTCATGTCGTCTTCCGCCTATCTCAATGCGACATATTGTGTCGACCTGCAGCAGCAAGTCGTACAGGCAGTCTGGCGGTCGAATGGCCCCGAGCCTGTGCTCAAACAGATTCCCCACTTTACGCCCGAGGTCATCAAGCGGTTCGTGGACGCAGGCGTGGAATCAGTGTATGATCTCATCGACCTGGAAGACGATGACCGGGACAAGTTGCTTCAGATGGACAACAAACAAAAGTCTGCTGTAGCGGCCTTTGTCAACGCCTATCCCTCGCTCGAAGTTACGAAAGAGGTGATCGACGAGAGCGACCTCAGTGCTGGAGCGCCCATCACGGTCATGGTCACACTGTCTCGCGGCGAAGACGAAGAAGTGTCGAGCGTCGTCGCGCCATTCTTCCCTCTGCCAGTCTCGGAGCAATGGTGGGCCATCATTGGCGATCCCAAGACGAACAACCTGCTCAGCATCAAGAAAACCGCACTGATCAGTGCGCAGACACTAAAGCTCGAGTTCATCCTGCCTCAGGGTCACCACGAGCTGGAGCTGTCTGTGCTGTGTGGACAGTACATTGGCTGCGATCAGAGCTTCGAGCTCTCTCTTGATGTCAAAGAGGGTCAGGACAGCGATGAAGAGGACGAAGAGGAAGAGGACGAAGAGATGGAAGATGCTTGATTGTCATGCGGAAGTAGTAATGCAAACATACAATTGCCGCCATGCTCTACTTGCGACCCCTGCCTCTGCCTCTACCTCGAGCTGAGCTGCTTCTGCCCTCTGCAGAACGTACAAGAGACGCGGCACCGCGACCGGCAGAGGCAGTGTTGATTGCTTTGCGAGCATTGACGGTGGACTCGCCCGCACCGAGTCGTTTGGGACCCTTGGTAGACAGATCGCGCAGCAGGGTGAGTGCCTTTTCTCGCTCATCGCCTGCAGGCATCGTTGCTGCCTCGAACTATCGACAAAGTCAGCACGATGCGATGACGGAACTGTGCATTGCATTCACCTTGCGTTTGACACCTCGAACTTTGCCTTCGCCTTTGAGCTGGGTGTCGTAGCGACCGAGACTAGCGGTGCTCTTCTTGGTCGTTGCCAACTCGCTCTCTAGTTCTCGCTTGCGGGCAGCCTGCTCTGGTCTGTCGAGTTTGGCGCCCGCGAGAGCTTTAGAAGCAGCGATAGCTTGTTTTTCCTTTGCCGCAGCAGCGGCAACAGTGGTTGGCGCAGTGGCTGTCCTTGTGATATTGCGGAGGCGCTGTTGCTCGTTCTTGAGCTTCCTCGCCTTGCGCTCGTCTTTGCTCGCTTTCACGGGATCGAACGACGGGTCGGCATTGTTGGGTACTTCTACAATCCATTGATCTTCAGTCTGCTTGTTCTTGCCTTTGTAGCCATAGCTTGGCACCCTGTCGCATCGGATGAGCAGGCTGATGAGCATGTGCAGCAGATGCAAGGGAGGCGTACCAGTCCTGCTTCTCCTCGTCAAAGACGAGACGATCCTTCTTGGCCTTGGTCGTGATACCCTTTGATCTGGCGAATTTCTCCCATTTCGTTGGCGGTTTCGGCTTGGGTAGCTGCGGAGAAGCCAGTGACATGAGCATGGACTATGTCTGAGTGCTTGCTATGCTCACAGCCTTCTCTCTGGGCAGCATGAGGGCAGGCGGTGGCAATTGAGCGAGTGGACCATCCGAGGAGCTCTGTATGCTCTGTGCAAAGATGGCATTGATGAGGAGTTGGGTTCCATCCCTCGCATTTGCTCGCAGAGTGACCTCTCTGTCTTCACTGTAGCACTCGGAATGGATGAGCCGGGCGAATGGGGAGCCTTGAGGGAGAGCAAGGCGAGCACGAGACTGACGAGAATTGCTGAGCATCCAGGGCGTTTGGGTCGGTCAGCATGAGATAGCCCAAGTCGAGATTGACAGGCAGACGACGTTCCACTTGCACTTGTCTTTGCGCCGCTTGGGCTGCTTCCACTGCGCCGACTGCCGCCATTGGTCTTCAAGGAGATCTTTGAGCTTGATGGCGACTTTTTCTGGCCAAGTCGATACACCGTCAAGACTTTTCTGATGACCGGCGATGCGCCGGCAGAGGCGAAAACACCATGCTACGAGCCATTGCCCTCTACCGCTATCCCAGCCAGACAGACAGACTACATGCATAATCATCAGAGCACTCTGTCATGACTCACAGCAGCTAGCTCGAGCTGGAAGCAGCGAGCCACCGATGTCTCAGTGCACGCAAGCGGCCACACTTCTTCGTCACTGAGTCTCCTCAAGCATGGCTTGAGCGATTACATGCTCGATGATCTGCTGGCTATATTTCGACCTGCCCCTGCTCGTCTACTCTCGGAAACTTAGCCTTGACAGCAATGTCTGCGCCAGCTCTAGTGCTTATGATGGCTTGCCTCTCACCCGCTTCAAGAGCACAATCTGATACGAGGGGCATCGTTGATCGTACGCCTCCCAGATTCATGGCGCTGCGGATATAGACTACCATCTTAGCAGACTCGCCGAGAACAATAGAGACAGCGTATTTGTTACGCGTCAGGCGTTCTCCAGGTAGTCAGCCACCGGCCAGCGTTGTTGTTGGGCTGCATCTATGGCTACAGACGGCGGTAGGTCAACCGCTGACATTGTCGCGGACCTCACACGCGTCGCTCTAGTGGACTAGGGCGAGAGACGACCGTTCTTGTTGTAGGGGATCGACTTCTGGTTGCACTTGAGACCGCCTACGCTATATTGGCCCTGCCAATCCCGCACGAACATTAGGATCACTTCGGTCTACGAGTGAGTAGATTGCATACATCGAGTAGCTCGCCACCATTGACAAAAACTTGACCCACTTGGAAACCAAAAGGCGTATTGGTAGACCAATGGTGGTCAATTCGCAAGGTGACCGCAACGTCTGATGGCCAAGTGTCCTGGTCTGCCATGGTAACGTGAAGCGTCCAAGCACAGTGACGATTGCCGCCATCCGTGAAAGAACCTCTGCCTTGTGCCCAGCCGGGATTGGGCCAGAAGTTGCTAAGCTGAGCGTTGTTCCAATCGGGGGAGATGTTGAGCTTGAACTCCTGCACCATCAAGACCGATCCATCTGTGTCGTCAAGGCTCAGCGCGCAGTGCAGATCGGGACCCCAGGCCCGTTTGTCGAGCGGGATGTCATCGGGCCGGATGGTTGGCACGCTTTGCACGGTTGCCAGCACGGCGCAGAGCAGCAAAGCTTTGAGCATCATCGTCCCGTCGAGGAGGACAGTTGACGAAGAAGTTCGGACAGGACAGGGGAGGAAAGTGGCAGATGCAAACACGTTTCAAGCGTGAGTCTGCAACAGGCGCACCGTTGACGGCTACGTGTATCGTGAGAGAAACTCAGCATGCTCGCTCTGAGCGCGTAGCACAGTCGAAATTGATTCGGGGCGAGAGCGCACAGCGACTGCACGAGCACTACGCAGACACTCATCCCTGGCCTCGGGCTCGCACACAATGGCAGAGGCATCTAGCTCAGGCTCGCAAGCTCAGGTGACCCTCGTAACGTGAGTTCACATTTGCGCTCTTCACGCTTGTCATGGCTTGCGTCGAGCACGACCGCGCTACCATGACTGTGCTGTACACACGGACAACGGAGCTGACCACTGTCTCTGCCCTTCCCATTCATGACGACCTCTGCCTCTGTGACGGACCCTTGTTCGTGCGCATATCATCGCCTCGGCCTACGATCATGTCGCTGTCGATGCCCTCCCCATCTTGGCATGCTCGCGTGGTCTGACCATGCCTCGTGAACTCGCCTTCGCTGGCTTCCGCGTATCGCTCTTGTCTGCTCGTCCGCTCCGGTCGACGCACCGGCCTCTGCTCACGCGACACCTTGCTGCCATCATCTGGCTGCTCTGATCCTCATTCTCTTTGGCTCTCCTGATCTACCTGACGACAGTGCCGACGATGAGAAGTTCAAGGTCGACAAGGAAGTCGCCAATCGCTCAGTGCTGATCAAGAACATGATCGAAGGCATGGCTCCTCCTCGCGTCTGACTCGCGATCACTCGTTCATCACTTGGCTGACAGATGTTGGCGAATCGGACAACCCCGTTCCGCTGCCCAACGTCAACGCTACCGTGCTCAAAAAGGTAGAGCAAGACATCGGCTGATGAGCTATCGAGGTCTCACCCTTCGCCGTCTGCAGGTCCTAGAATGGTGTGAACATCACCGCAAGGATCCCGAGCCTACGACGGACGAATTTGACGACCGCCGAAAGCTCACCGAGATCTCTGAATGGGATCAAAAGTTCATCACCGTCCGTGCTACTGCTCTCCAAGTCTGGTGCAGATGACTCACAGCATAGCCAGGTCGATCAAGAGATGCTCTTCGAGATCATTCTCGCGGCCAACTATCTGGACATCAAGCCCCTGCTGTGCGTTCGTTGCCCGCTCGAGACGATCCCCACTCATGCATGATCGATCGGACGATCAGTGACGTCGGCTGCAAGACAGTCGCCAACATGATCAAGGGCAAACAGCCGGAAGAGATCCGCAAACTTTTCAATATCGCAAGTCTCTTCTCACACGCACTCACTGCTCTGCTGACCGGCTGATGTGACAGACGAACGACTTCACCCCTGAAGAGGAGGCACAGATCCGCAAGGAGAACGAATGGGCAGGTAGATCTGGTCCCCCACCTGCGCTCCTGCCTCCTTCTGATCCACTCGTGCTGGCAGAGTCATGAAGAGCGATCGACGAGATGGACACGTGTCCATGGGCGATTCTCGGAGAGCGAATCTAGTTTCAGCTTCTTCCTCAGCTTCTCTAGGAGAACGCTCTGTGGCCGCGTTGTACTCATTGCCATACCGTGTAGCGAGCCTGCAGCTTAGCCAGTCCCGTCCCGCGTGCTCTCCATAGCGAGCATCAGCGACTGTGACGCGCCTGAGGGATCTTCATGCCAAGCGACAGGCGACGATGATGAGTGAGTCTGCGCAGGCCGATGCTGGCGCAGGGCCGAGCACGAATGGCAAGCCTGTCAAGGGCAGAAGCCAGTTGTCTGCGTCTGCCATGGCCTTTTCGCCCTCACGGTCAAGGCATTCGACAGCTCCGTCGAATGTCAACCCGATCAGCAGCTCGTCCAGCAAGGCCGCTGCGGCCAATGGACCCTCCTTGCGTGCAGCGTCAGATGCTCTTCAGTCATCTCAAGCTGCAAACACAGCGCTCGGGCAATCTCCTTCCTGGGTGCCTCCCTCTGCAGCATTTGGCGACGCTGCCCTGGATACCCAAGCACAAGCCAGGCCTCTGCAGCTGCAGCAGCAGCCCTCACATCCCGTCTATGCTCAAGCGAGCGCATCAGGCTACAGTGGCGGTAGCCCTGCAGACTCGCCCCTTGAGTCGCCTTACCACCCACAACTTGATCAACCTCCGCTTGTCACCATGCGACAGGGTCTTGCAATGGGTCCAGATGCCCGCGCTCGCCGCGGCCTGGCTCACAGAGGACGCGGCGGAGCAGGCAGAGGCGGATCAGCGCGAGGGGCAAGTCCATCCTCTTCCACTTCGCCAGGACCCCGACGAGACGGTCTACCACCGCCAGACGGGGAAGCGGACAGGCAGCCGTCACCTCCCGAACGAGGTCCAGTTTCTCAGAAGCCGAGAGCGAACAGAGCGTACATCAACGAGGCCAGGATCGCTCAGACGGGCGGGCCCAAGCGCGACAAGCTCACAGAAGCCCAGCTGACGGCCAAGCTTGAAGCGATGAAGCTGCAGAATGCGAACATCATGTCACGGAAAGTGCAGGTCGATGCTGACAAGGCATCTTACGATGTGATCGAGGCAGAGAGTAAAAAGGCGGAGGAAGCGGCTGCGAGGGAGAGGAGGGAAAAGGAAGCGAAACAGCATCAATTCCAAAAGGACATGGAGTCTGAACGCAAAAAGATCGCCGAGCGCAAGCGTGAGAAGCTAGCAGGACGTGAGCCGTATGGACCATGTAGCTCTGCCGTTTGCTCATCGTGTCGCTGATCCGCAGGCGAGTGGGACCTGAGCAAGGAGTCTCAGCGCTCTCAAAATGCCTCTATCGACTTGGATGAAGAGCAATATGACTACTCAGCGCACTATCATCGCGGTGGCAGCGAACGTGGTCGTGGTCAGCCGAGAGGCCGAGGCAATCGAGGGAGGGGCGGAGCTCAGGCGAATCATCCTACGATGACATCTGCGAGTATCGACGACAAGTCCAGCTTTCCGAGTCTATGACATGACAGTCCGAGCATCTCTTTGTCAGCCGCGAAGGGCGCGAACAATTCTCAAGGCAATGCAGAGGCAAGCGAACGAATCGAGATTCACTAGAGCCGCGACTGATGCAGCTCGCGCAGTGCTGTGCATTCTGCGCGCCATTTGCTGGCCTATTCGAGCTGTACAGACTTGGCCAGCGGTAGAATGCCCTTGCGTAGATTGCGAATGACAGACACGTTTCTGCCCCTGCTCTCGTTCAGGAAGCTCGCCGAGCAAGTGAAGCTGATGGGGATGAGATCCTGGTACCTTTGAGATCAGCCAGACAGATCAGTTGGTGACCCAGCTTGCCTTTTCACGCCGGACGGGCTGTCCAAGCAGACTGAGCCTGTCTCGAACGCAATAGACAAAACGCCAAGGCAGCTTCTTCTCCACTCCTTCGACTGCAAATGTGCCTGCTGTGCGAATGGCCAGCGAGGCATTACGACCGAGAAAGTCTCGCGCGAGATCACTGTCTCTGCAGACTCGACGCAAAGCCGGCGGGTTCTGGAAAGCTCCGTGATGATAAGGATAGCCAGCCTCGGTTGAAGCGGCATAGGCGATGAGCTCCGAGACCGGGTCGATAGCCGACACGCGAAGCCTGATGGACACTTCCCGGAAGCCCTCCTGGTCTATGAGCAGCGTGATGAATTCTGGCGCGTCGGCTGGCAGGTCGAGAAAGCTAGGGCCAGAGTAGACGGATTTATCGTAGTGCTTGCTTTGTCTATCGCAAGTCGGCGAAGATGGCTCTTGTGCGCTGCTGTGTCGACGAGGCCTGTGTTCGAAAGGACTGGTCTTTGGCTCGCTTGCAGGCGATGTTGCCGGTCTTGGCTTAGTTGGAGGACTTTGGATCAGCAAGCGTGCTGACGAGCTGTCGGTGAATGTCGAAGTGGAGCATGTGTCAGTGGAAATTCCATGGGCGAAGCGGGCGTCCGCAACATATTCATTCGTCGCGTGGACTGTACGGTCGATGACGTCTTGCAATTCATGCGATGAGATGATGGTCTGCGCAGGAGAAGCAGAAGACACTATCAATGCTGGCACCCGTCTTGGAGTCTCATCTCTTTCGTTCCTGGCCGGCCGTCGAGGCGTCAACGGATGCCTTGCTGTGCGACGAGGAGTCTCGGCGAGCGCATCGAGGAGCGATTGCGCTGATTCGGCGGGTGACGGCGCAAGCGAGGAGCAGGATGAGTAGCCTGAATATCTCTGCGGCTGATCAGAAGGATCAGACCGGTTTGTGTCGAACGAGGCCGCGCCACGAAGAGCCTCCAAAGGGTCGCTTTGGCAGCTCGGCGAGTACGAGCCGGTCGAGGATCCCGCCACGGTCTGCGGGAAGTCTGGCAGATGGCCATAGACAAAGCAGCGCGCTTCGGAGCTGCCATCAGAAGGCACTTGAACAGACTGTATTGCGTTGGGCGAGATCAACGAGGGCGTGTAGAAGATGGGCAAGCTGATGGCAGAGTCGGAGCTGTCGCGCTGTTCGTCACTCCCAGCGTGAACGGTAGCAGACGCTCCCGCTTGCGTGTCGAGACGAGGTAGCGTATGAACTGCGCTTCGCGATCGATGGCTTGCGATGCTTGAGTCCGCGCCGTAGTAGTAAGTAGCTACTGTCGCTGCGCTTGTTGCAGACCAGCGCCTGATAGCATCGTCTCTCTCGCGTCGCAGTGAGCTCAAGCACGGCACCGTTGCAGACTTTGGCACGTCCGACATGGTCTGTCGGGCTTGCCTGCCGGTCTAGGAAGGGGCAAGGACGGCTCATGAGGATAGCTGCAGCGGGTCGAGGGCATTGCTTGCGCGAGCACGTCCTCGACTGGGCGCGAAGGAGTGGGCGAGTCTGATCGGATGGCTTGCTGACCGCTCATGCTGACGATACTTGCAAGCTGGTGAGAAGGAGGGGTGAGCAGGCGTCTCCCTGCTGGCATCTGCCTTTTGCTCTTCATCTCGTCGTCGCGTCGTCGTCTAGCAGCTGGATTGGCTGGAGCGGAGTCAGCTCAGAGCGCTCTCAGCTCGGGCATCCTGAGCTCGATGGCAAAGCGCAAGCGAGCTGCTGTCGGTCGAGACGATGGGCCCGACAACAGTGCACTCACCGAGCCATCGAGCTTGACGGACGACGCAGATTTGTCCGCAAACGTCGAATCAGAGCGACAAGAGCTTTCGTCAGCTTCGCCGACCTCTGAAGCCTCAGACAGCCTGCTGCAGGCTGTAAAGGTGCCTGACCTTGCCAGTAGGCTTTCGTCTCCCCTGACGAGCGGCGTCTCTACCGCTCGATCGGGTCTTGCGCACCGCAAGCCTCGCCTGTCTGCAGCAGCTCCGGCTCGCAAAACCCCAGCAAGCGGTGCGGTTCAGCTTGACAGTCAGTCCAATACATCAACGTCTCCATCTTCCGCGAAAGCGACTGACAGGCAAACCTCACTCTCGGGTTTGTCCGCCCCTACCACCGCGACACAAAGCAGCAACTCGGCGGACAGATCAGTCAGTCCTTTGCCGCCGCTCGGCACCAGATCGTCCAATCGACAGAAGACTGGCAGCGATATCAATCTGAGCGTGTACGAACAAGTACAAGCGATCGAAGCAGCTGCTCGTCTGGAGGTCACACAACTTCAAAACCAATCGCGCGCTGGCGAGAGCGAGTCTAGAGAGCTTGCACCGGACCACATCATGCCCTCGGAAGCGGCGCCTGTCAGTCGGATGTCAGAAAGTCAGACGGTATCGGAGACGCCCAATCTGCCGCCCGCCAAGAAACCGCGCTTGAGTATCAGAGGAATGGGCAAAGCCCGTGCACGAGCCCTTGGGACAAGTGCTAGCGCCGATGACGCAGGTATCGCAGACGTATCGCCATATGAAGACGTAGCGGACATGTCTGATGCTACTCTGCCTGTCACCGCATCTCTTGCTTCTCTGCCAGACCAGCCTATGCGCAGGGATAAGAGTAAAAGTGCCATCGGGAGTCCACAGATTGCTTTCTCATCAGCATCTGGGCCGAGTGATCTCGCTGCGCCTACGGACGCAACTTTGGCGCCACTTCCACGGCGAGATACTGCATCTGTTGCAGCTTCTGGCGACTTCCGACTCGAACGCGACGGGCTTACTGCGTCGACCCACCGTAGTGATGCAGATCAGATGCAACGCGCCGGCTCAAAACCCGCGCAGCAAGATCAAGTCTCTCCCTTGGCTTTGCCGAGTGTGTCGACCTTCAAGACTACGAAGTCTGAAGCTTGTGCGGACTCCGAGATCTCTTCGCATGGCCACACGCCCTCTGCAACGCCTTCGGATGTCGATGCGACGCTCATTCCCAAGCCTTGCCCGGATATGCAGATTGCATCTGATCAAAGTGTGCGAAGTAGGTGTCAGCATTGCTTTGCTAGCCGACATCGCTGATAGCTCTCGTCGCGCGTGATTCTTCAGGCACACAGACAGACGTGATCAGCCCGCTCAAAGGAGCAGAGTTTCCGGCATTGCCGCCCGCTGAAGGTGGTGCTGCTGTTCTGCCCGAGCATTCGCAGTCAGCTTCTGCCGACCCGATCGAGAACACGTTGCCTGATGTGAATGCCAGTGCGAATGCTTCTGAGCAGCTCAATAGTGACCCCTTAAGTGCGGTCGCGAATCAGAATTCGGCAGCTCGTACGAAAGATGAGCATGGACAAGCTCAAATTGAGCCATATCACGTCGTCGAGATGCTAGCGGATCCACGTACGAATACGCATGCCGGTAGGACGCCGGTGTCTTGTGCCGATCCTCCCGCCCCAAACGCGCAAGCACGACCCGTAAACCCGTCTTCAACATCAGAGCGTCGGCATCATCGCCCTCGATCATGTAGTCCTGGTCCGTCCAGGATTCCTGCCGCGGCAACATCTCGCGATAATGAGCGATCGGGCGATCGACAAGGCAGCCACGGCAGAGCATCCTCTAGAGATCATCGTTCTCATCACGACCGCCAAGATGGGCCTCAATGTCGTGCAGGTCTAGGCGCACGTGATCATCGCGAACTCTCAGAGGACGCTCATCGCTTTGCTCGCCGCGACAGCATTGTCACAGAAGACGAGCATCGCACTCACAGACATAATCGCTCGGATCGCTCGGATAACGATTCTTCCACACGTTTCCATGGGAGGCAACATCGGGATGATAGGGCTCGCGAGTATCGAGGGTCTTCGTCCCATGATCAGCTCAGCGTCGACGATCGGGCCTTGTCGTCACGTGTCAGACAATCCGGTCGGGCAGATTCGCAGGAGCCAGTCAATCGCACGCAATATGTGCAAAGATTGAAACGCCGAAGACTAGACGAGGAGGAACACTACACCGCCGAGCCTGCATTTACGGAATACATTCAGCGTTATGACGGCTGCGAACGATGTCATCAGTGCCCAGCGGCCCATAATTGGCAGGAATGCACCGGTCCAATCATGGCCATCAGTCCTCTTTGGTCCATTGATCTGAGCAAACCTCCGCTGGACTATCAGCGCGAGCGTTACAAAGGCTTGGGTGAACGTTACTACGGCGGTTATCGCACGAGTGCAGTCCAATTCGATTTGCTCATTCAGAATTCTCTTTGCCTTCGATGTCATTCGATCCCTGTCAGGCGAGAGACTGGTCACTGGCTCAGCCGCTGTCAGCAGCGTATCGATTACGGCGAATCGAGCGACAGCCCACTTGAAGCTTACCTACACAATAAGCCGCTCGAAGAACGTACCCTCTACGAACTCGCATACCTCAATATGTGGCGGCTTTGCACCATTTGCGCTCAGCTCGGACACAGCGCTCGCTATTGTACTAACCCATCGGTATCTCTCGATATGGCTGATCTCACTCTTCGACCGGACAACGCCCGAGGATATCCAAGCAGCAAAGATCAGATTGCGTTCGCAAGATCCGGCAGAGCTTGTGCAGTTTGCCATTCGCGCGATCACACCGAAAGTCGCACCTGTGACGATGTCATCACAGACTTCTCGATGGACCCGTTGCCACACAAAGTCAGCCCGACAGTAAGTGACCGAGACCTGGACACATATGCTCGTCAAGTCCTCGCGTCCGAAGGCCGGCTGCTGACAGGCATACGTGCACAACCCAGAGTACGTCTCCGTGCATCTACTTCAGGGTTTTGTCTGACCTCGTCATGCCGATAGCAAATGGCTGATACTGCTCGCTTCCGAGATCTCTCAGCGGTCTCGATTGGACCAAGGTCAGCTGTAGCGGCAGTCGATCCAGTGACACAGCACGAGCATCCAAAGGAAGATGGATATCGAACTATCAGACGCTCCATCGAGGACGATGTTCATTACTCTGCCAATGACGAATTCACAGCCTATGTGAAGCGCTATGCGGGCTGCAATAGGTGTCATCAATGCCCCGCAGCGCATACATGGGACAAGTGCACAAATCCGATCATGGCGATCAGTCCCTTGTGGCTCTCACACACCGACCGGCCGCCCCATCATTACCAAGGCGAACGGTTCCATTGGTCCGAATCCGGACAGCGTCATCGAGGCGGCTATGCGACAAGTGCAAAGCAGTTTGACCTGCTGATACAGCACAACATATGCCTAAGATGCCATTCACATGCGGTAGATCGCGACACACACCACCCCGACAACTGTCGGGTGAGGATAGAGGACAGCGCTGTGTACAATAGCCCCCTGCAAGACCTTCGGTCGCCGGTACAGCATCTCATTGGACTCGCGGTCAATGTCTTTGACTATGCTTACATGATGATGTGGCGACTATGCACGAACTGCGGTGGTCCCCGGCACGGTGCTAAACGCTGCAATCATGCGCCAACAGATCGGCGGCCCCTACATCATGCAGATCCGCCAGACGCCTCCGCAGGATATCCTTCCAGCAAAGCACAATTCGATTTCTTGTCCGGCGAAGGAGGATGCTTGCGCTGCCACTCACTAGAGCACGAACAGCGTAGCTGCACGGCCATTGTCAATGACTACATGCTGGATCCCCTGCCTTTGCGCCCGTCACGCAGACTGCAGATACGCGAACTACGAGAATACGCAGAACGTGTGTATCAGTCTCGCGGCCGCTCACGCAAAGGCGTCCGCGTCGAGGTTCAGGACACACCGAGGGTAAGCATCCCCAAACAACGGCAAGGTACGTGGCCCTTACTGATGCACGTACAGGGATCGAACGATGACTATCGAGCGAGCGGGCCTCTTATGGACCGATTGTCGCCTGTAAGCTCAAGGGGGCCCCGAGCGATGCAACCCACCGAAAAGCGATGGGCTCTTGAAGGGCACTCCTCTGGTTATCGAGCGCATGCATACAGCCATGATCAGGCTTCTCACAGTTTCAACTTGTCATACGGCAGTCCAGTTGCAAGCATCTCGCCAGCGCCCAGCTCTACCTTTGCTACACGCCCAGAACCGTCCTCATACTCGCGACCGACCTCGACCCAATCAAGCCTTGCTGCCCTCTCGGCGGTACAAGCCGTATCGGACCGCCGGCAAGGCTCAGAAAGCGAGGGCTCCGAAGCTGGCGAGCTCGTCGATGCTATATCATTTGTGCATAGTTCGGCCTATGCTCAGCTGAGAGACAGGGTGCTCGCTCAGCTAGTAGACACCGGCGATCTTGATGACGATCTGATGGAGCGCATCGCGGCTTTCGATGACGACGTTTATGCACACTTTTGCGACGAGCTTAGAAACTCAGAAGCTTGGCAAGATCTAACTGTCGCTTACGAGGCGGACTTCCCGCAAGGCGAACTGTGGCAGATGGACTGGGACTGCAATTCAGTCGACGACATCGTTGTGAGTGATCTAGGGCCTTTGCCTGGATCAACAGAATGGCTTGAACTGCAATCAGACTACATCATGGCCGACGCAGAGCCAGCCGTGCCAAGCTTTGCAGAGATTCTGCAGCGACCTGCGGGTGCATCACGTTTCGAAGATTACGAGCAACGTAACGTACTTGGCGAAGGCACTTTTGGTATAGTGTACGAAGCCAGTCGAAAGGATCCCATCAGCGCGGAACAGACGCGCAATTACTCGCATCGCACGCTAGAGCATGTGCGCCAAGTCTACGCGACTGGCGGCGAGCTGGCCGGTCCTCTGCCAGAGGCGGTCAAGCCAGGCACGAGAGTCGCCTTGAAGGAGATCCGTCTGCATCGGCCTGATCTTGGTGGCGGCAACAAAGGTCCTATACCTTCAGTGCGTTTCCATCGCTTCAGAGCATTCGTATACCTGACGACGAATTTGTTCTAACGTACAGTTTCCGGTCAATGGTCTTAGAGAAATCAGAACGCTAAAACGCTGCCAGCATCCGAACGTCATTGAGTTGCTCGAGATGGCCCATCAGCAAAGTCAGTCAGGGCTCTGTCTGCTCTGATAACGACTGACGCGACGTGCAGCCGATTGGGAGACCTTTGAGCGAGGCAAGCTCTACATGGTATTCCCACTGATGGAGCACGATTTGGCCGGTCTTCTGAAGAATCCGGAATTTCAACGAGATATCTTAGCCGACCTTGGACTTATCAAGCATTACTTCTCCCAGCTGCTGCTTGGTCTCGATTATCTACATGAGGCAAGCGCGCCGCAATCTCATAGACCTGCGCTGATGCACACGAGTCAACAGAACGCAATCATCCATCGTGACATCAAACCTGCCAACATACTAGTCAGTGCTGCAGGCGTCGTCAAAATCGCCGACTTTGGTCTGGCACGATTTGTGCCCCATCAGGATGTCGAGAAGCGATACACCAACCAGGTCGTGACTCGATGGTATCGTGCGCCGGAAGTCATCATGGGCGAACGCAATTATCGAGGCGCCGTTGATATCTGGAGCGCGGGCTGCATACTTGGCGAAATGTTGATGGAAAGTCGCCCATCTGTTCTCTTTCCAGGCACTGCAAGTGACGCACATCAGCTTGTCCTGATCTGCAACATGCTCGGTACACCTGCGCGCGAATATGTAGCATCCATCCGCGAATGGCCGAACTACCACAACATGTTTAAAGGTCAGCCAGAAGGCAGGGAGCTGGCAAAATTCTTCGATCCGGATCTCACCTATGCAAACCAGCTCTCGACTGCTTTTGCTCAGTAAGTGACATGCGATCCTGGTTGACGATCTGACTCTCCTGCAGCTTGCGCAACAAAGAAGCGAGCTATAGCACGATCGATGCTAAAGCAGACATGCTAGAACTCTTGTCAGCCTTGCTGACATTTGATGCTGGCAAACGCGTGACAGCAAAACAAGCGCTCTATATGGATGCTTTCTGGGCAGAGCCGCTTGCTGCTAAATCACATGGCGAGTATGTACAGATGCCTATCCAGCGAGATGCAATAGCTCACATGGGGTCTTATCGCAGCATTCCTTATGTCATGTCACGAGAAAATGGGCCGGGCGTGGTCATCGACCCTCGTCGTCGTTTGCCAATTCCTCAGCTCGCAGGCCGCCCTTCACAACCTCGTGGGCAGAGCCAGTCGCAGCCTCAACATACCCATCGCTCGATTCGCACAGTAGCAGTGTCTCCGTCACCTTGGCACAACGGAGACTCGTCTGCCGCCGACGCTGCATCGCCAGCTCAGGCGCCAGCTCCTGCTCACAGAGGCCCGCCCAGGCCATCAGGTCTCTCGTTTTTACAGTCACAGCCAGGTCTCCTCCGACCCTCTGCAGGTCAAGGAGGCGGGTTGGCTCCGAATCGTGTCAGCAGCTATTCGCACCTTGCCCGCAGGACCAATCCAACAGGTCGTCAACCCTAGTTTACTCAACCAGCATAGTGTTGTTGCTTCGAATATGCATATTTGCTAAGAGACCACTGGCTCTGTTGCCGTCATGATGATCTCGACTCATACGTCTATTGCGTCCGCTCTGACTTGTCGCTGCGCCAACTCGTTGAACTATGTTCTTCGCAGCTGCTCAGGCGACTGCACAGGACCGTCCTTGCTTCGAAAGCCCAGAGCAGCGCCAGTGATGTCAACATGATGAGCACAAACGGTTGAAGCACGATCAGCCCGAGCGTTGTGGTGGAAAGACCGACGAGATATGGGAAAGCAACAGACATCGACATTGCGAAAGCTGCTAAGAAGCCAACCGCTGCACTGTGTAAGGCCTTCGGCAAGCTTCCGGTAATCAGACTGAGCGCTATCGGGTAGAGAGGGCTAAGTAGGAGGCCTTGTAGAAATAAAACAGCGTCGATGAGCTGCTTTTTGTTGCTCGTCAACAAAATGACTTGGCATCCGCCAAGGCTAGCGAGGTACACAAAGACGGCGCATCTTTCGCCCATCCTGGCCGAGATTGGCGGCAGTAGCAGTCTGCCCATGGTGACACCTGACCACAGGATTGCGATGGGCAGCTCGCCCTGATCTAGATGTTTGACTTCGCTCAAGAATGGAACAATCTAGGCAATTATTCAGTGTTTGACGGCAGAGCAGGGAGAGGACGCACCCAAGAGCCAATTGCAGCATTGACGCCGACGCTGATGCCGAGGAAAGCAGCAGCGCGCCAGATATACGGGTTTGTCAAGACGGTGCCGAGCTTGTTGGCTGGCGGTGTTTCAAGCCAGGTGTGTGAGTCAAATTCTACGCATCCGCCGCATGCTCTGCTTTGAGCAGCACGGTATTCTTTCATTGATGTCGGAATAGCGCTGGCTGATGATGGTCTAGGCGAGACGCAGTAGACTGGGGGATCAGTAGAGCAAGAAGCTGTCGTCTGCGGAGTTTGTGGCAGTCGCAACTTGCCGCGAGAAGAGTCCGTTCGTCGGCATCTACCAGCAAATTCGCGCAGCTGGTCTTGCGAGTGAGTTGTATAGCCATTGTTAGCTACAAATGCCCCAGCCAATGTGAAGAGATTGATTGCGTTCAGCAGGGCGAAAAGCGAGTAAATGTGGTTGATCTTGCGGAGACCAATAGCTTGCGCTGCAAAAGGCGCGACGACTGCACCGAGTCCATAGCTTGCATACAGCGTCGATATAGCTCGAGATGGGTTGCCTGATGCGCCGGCAGCCCATGCGGTTGTCTGAGCATCCTGAACGGATATGCCAGCCCCAATGAGCGCTTCACCAGCCACGAAGATCCAGAAGGCCGGTCTGAGAGCCAGGACAATATACCCTGTCGTCTGTATCGTTGCTCCAATCGCAAGCGTCCAGCCGAGACCGACGCGATCGAGGACGAATGACGAGGCAATGGATGCGACGATGAAACCAGCCGCTTGACCGATAAATATCCGGCTCACGCCCTCATGTGTGAGGCTATAGACTTCTTGCAAGCTCGACAGCATAGCGCCCATGACAGCAACGTCTGCGCCGCCCAGAAACAGAGCATAATTGGCCGCACCGAAGCGGAACCATCTCACAGCCCTCTTCATCTTGGTAGCGAAGGCGCAGCCTGGTGGGCAGCGGACGACACGAGAGACCAGATGACATGCGAGCACCAGTCTTTGCGTGAGATGAATCTGTTAAGCTAGAGCATCGGCTAGCTTCCTTCGCGAGTGGGTCCAAGCGCGATTTCGAAGGACCAGGTGCATCTTAGGCCATCGTCATGTGGATCTCGTCTTGACAGAGCGTATAAGCTGCTAGTAGTTTCAGTCTCAGATGTTCGCGCATAGTGATCGAACACACGCTTGACATGCAGCACCTCTTGCCAGTCTGGCGGACAATCTTCCTCCGACGGACCCCGCGCGTGACCTACGCAGAAGATTTCCGTCTTGCTGTCTTTGATGGTGATCGCGCCCTGTCTTGTATTGCTCAGCCAAGACGATTGTCATGGTAGAGGGCTTGTACCGAGATGGCAAGCACGTAGTACGAAAAGGTGGTATAGGCATCGCAGCTGCTTGAGGTTCAGCACGCAAGGTGACTTCGTCGAGCCGACTTACCACTGACTCCACATATAGGCATGTGGCTGCGGACTGCGGACATAGAGCCGCATGTCGGATACAGTCATCAGGACGCCTTCCTGATCACGGCTGCGCTGTTCATTGAGGAAGTCAACCTGATCGCTGCCGGAACTCTATGATGCAAAGTATTGGGTCAGCTTCGCCACAGTCGAAAGCAACTTGACAACCTCCGAGACTCGCCAGTAGTCGAGGCTCTGTGTGGGTGGCTCGAGAATAAAGTCGAGACGAAGGGCTTCTTGGCTTTGACTGGGTCGAACGAGTTGCAGGGGAGCAGCTGACCACGCACTGCTTGCGGAACAGATTGCCTGAGAATGATCATGAGTGGAGCTCTCGTCTCGAAGAAGGAACAGGCTGACGCTTGCAGAGACTGCATAAGATTGATCAGTAAGTCACCTATGGAGGACGAAAAGACTAACGGGTGTAACTGTACTCGATCTCTTCCGGACTACCCTGTACGACGTATCCAGATCCTGGTTCGACGATGCAGAGCGTTATGGCTGTCGGACGACGTGCTGAGTGCAACGCTCAAACTCTTTACGACAGACGTACGCTGTGGGTTGCCCAGCGAGACAAGGCTGCAGTGTGGCTTTTGTTGGTCGGGCGAGCATTCGAGCCAGTACCATGTCGTGTCAAGTAGCTCTGCGCGCTCGCTCCAGACATCGAGGTCGAGAGATAGGCTCATGCGAGCCGTGCAGCAATGTTCCCATGGAAGCACAGCGGCGGTGTCGCCGAATTCAGACATCTCGATGTTGACCTGTACGATAGCGCCCTTGTTCGTGATGTCGGTGGCAGTGATCGATCCCGCGAAGGGCAAGGCAGCCTGTACAAGCGAGCGATGAGAGGACACTCAGCCACCGCATCGGATGACGAGCCTCTTCCTCTACTTCATATGGAATGTCCTCATCCATTGTCCTGTGTCGGACGATGACGTCGAACTTGAATGGCTGAGAAGGAGCTTGGTTGATCTTGAAAGGTGGAAGAAATTCGCTGGGTGCACACGTCCCCTCGTACCAGATCGCAATCTTGAAGCGGGTAACAGGCAAGCCATCGGAAGCATGTATAGAGCCGATCGAAGCAGTACTGTCGAATTTAAGCTTCCGAGAGTAGACGAGAAGAGGCAGGGCGAGATAGAGCCAAATCATTGAGCGCTAAGCATCGCTCAATCGCTAGCCTGACGCGGGCTGGCTTGCGATAACAACTTTTGACGCGTTAGTGCCCCAGAAGTGCACAGAACAGGTGACCGGCGCGCGAGCGACGCTCCTCAACTCGACTGAGCTCGATTCGACCCTTGTCAGCTCGCTTCTGGGCGACGGACAGTCAAAGGCGAGCCTCAAGAGCAGCCAAGCAACACTATGTCAACTCCAGCAGGCAAGCAAGATAGCAAGCAAGGCGGAAATATCAAGATAGCAAGGCGGGCAATGCGAGTCTCATTGCCTCCGTCTTCATCCTTCTACTAATGCTCAGACGACGCCTATACCGGTCCTGACTATACAGGATGACGCTTGTGAGCGGACACAGTCATGCTTGTCTACTAGTGCTGCGTTGCTTGCACAGTCGCAGGCCATGTGGTCATCGACAGAAGAGTCAAGAGCAAGACAGCGAGGAAGGCGAGCAGCACTTGCACTCAAGCGGCTCGTCTTCCCGTCAAGCCTTTCGATCTGTTCATCGCTGCATGCTCTCTCTCTTGCCGCTGATGCTGCGCTGACCAGCCTGTCAAACTTGATCATCCTTTGTCGCGCGGGAATGCATTAGGTTGACAACTATCGAGTCGTCCGTCGGATGCTCGCACGGACTCGCTGTCGGAACCCATCTGTCTCTCTCCATCTCCCCTAGACATATGACGCAGCGTCGCTGGGCGATCCTACACGAGCTACTGCGATGGCTTATCGCATTTTTCCCCTCTGTCTCGCAACGATCCGACCGGCGAGCCATTCCAATGCTTGCCTTTGCAATACTCGCTTTCGCCGGCTGCGTACTGGCAGCAAGCGAGCAGTCGAGTGCGTTTGCTATCCACGATACAGCCCGTCATGTGCCGAAGGCGTGGAAGCCCGTCGCAATGGACACAGCAACGCGCAACGGTCAAGTCCATCGCTTGCACTTTGCACTCCGTCAGAGCAATCTCGCCAAGCTCGAAGCAGAGACGACGAGACGCAGCGACCCGGTTCATGCTGATTATGGCAAGTACTTGTCGCCGGACGAGATCAACGGCTTGATCGCTCCGTCGTCAAGCACGGTCGCTGCCTTTGAGAACTGGCTCGCTAGTCATGGCATCGATCGATCAAGTATCGGCTACAACAAGGCAAAAGACTGGGCGCATATCGACCTGAAGCCCGATCGTGTCGACAAGATGCTCAACACCAATCTGGAAGCTTACAAGCATTCCAAGACGGGCGAGACGATTCTACGTACTTCGGCGTACTCGCTGCCTTTGTATCTGCATGAGTATGTCGATGCTGTACAACCAACGACCTACTTCGGACTCGGCCGTGCCGGTAGGAAGCTCGCCGACGAATCGGCGCAGCATAGTGATGTCGACCCTCGGACGCTTGATAAGCGCCATCCTGACAGTCTCAGTCGAAAGCCCAGCCGTGAGCCTCAGACTTCGACGAAGAACATTCGCTCCGCTTATACACCGAGCAAGGCCCCTCCATCCTGTCCTGCTGATGCCGACATCTACAACCCTGATTACGTTGTGCATCGAGACTGCCTACGAAGCTTCCTTCGGGTAGACACATACCAGGTCAAAAGCAGATCCACGGAGCCCAAAGCAGGCGTTGTCGGGTTTGACGGATTTGTTCCTGCGCCAGTGGACTTCAGAAATCACAGTCTGCACGAGATTGGGCCGGAAGCATGGCATTACACCTACGATCTTGTCTCGATCAACGGCGGCTCGACAGTCTTAGATCTCGCTACTGACAATATCGAGCCCTTCCTCGATGTCGACCAGGTCGCCAAGATCATCTGGCCTTTACGTCAGGTCTATTATACGATCGGTGGTCTGATAGGCAAGAATGATTTCCGTCCATCGGCAAACTCACCGACGCCTGACTTAGACGAGCCTTGGTTTTCGGGGATGACGGCGCTGTTCGATCACGCGAAGGTACCAAAGGTTCTCGCTGCTTCATATGACGACGATGAGCGGACTTTCCCACCTATGCTTGCTCAACGAATCTGTGCCATCTTCACAGCATTCGCTGCTCGGGGGGTGAGCGTCATAGTCGCCAGCGGTGACTATGGACTGTCCGGTGGCGCCGGTTCCTGCACGTCTGCAGATGGCAAAAGCGAAGAGCTTGTTCCTGGCTTGCCTGCAAGCTGTCCATTTGTCACCAGCGTAGGCGGCACGGAGCTCTATGATCCGGAAAGGGTTGCCGGCACTCACATTGTCGGCACAAATCTGACAGCTTGGATGAGCGGGGCTGGCATATCAAACTACTTTGAGCGACCTCAGTATCAGCGAAGCGCTGTCGCAGCGTACAAGGGCGCCAGCGTTCCAGAAAATATCAAATGGAGTAAGACTGGAAGAGCCAGTCCTGACGTATCGATCACGGCGACCAAGTCGGCAGTGTGGGCGGGAGGGCAGGAATTCCTCGTTGGTCTGTCCCAATCAAACTCATCGTAAGCTCCGCCAATGTCTTTCTCACAGGTGGCACATCGAACGCAGCGCCCACCTTTGCCGGACTCGTGGCCTTGCTCAACGATGCACTTGAAGCAGAAGGCAGACCTTCCATGGGCTTTCTGAACCCTTGGCTCTACCACGTCGGAAATTCAGCATTTCGCGACATCACTGTTGGTGCTAGCTATGGGTGCGGACCCCATCACAGCTCTGCAAAGTTTGCTGCTACGCCAGGATTTGACTTGGCGACTGGCTGGGGAACGCCAGATTGGCCCTCACTTCTTTCGGCTGCGCTTGCAAGCGGTCCCAGGTAGCGAAACACTATGTGGTCATCGATCGCGACAGGTCGTGGGCAGGATCACGATTGTATTGTCAGCGCATCTTTACCATATTGGCCGTCAGATCAGTCTGTGAGCGGTTGACTTTAAAGGCAAAGCGTAAGCTTAGCTATAAGCAGGCCTGAGCAAAGCAGTAGGCAAGAGCAAGGCCGTGTGCAAAGCGATCAGCATTGTTCAGGACGGTAGAGAAGCGGTTCCAATTACCGAAGCTGGGCGATCGATTGCATGCTAGCCGAAGCGCTGAAGCACAGGATGCATCTGAATACAAGCGGACGTGCAGTCATAGGCTGATCGATTGACTGAGGGCGTCTAGCCGTTGGATGAGGTTGTTATTCTTCGCCAACAATGTATACAGAGGCTTGAACCGAATCTTTATCGACGTCACAGTCTGCTTCAACTATTGGATCGCGTTGAGTCGAAAGAGTGTAGGAACTTTCAGACAGCTCACCCGGTTCTGGAGCCTCATATCGGAGGGGATCACAGCTGGGGAAGCTGCGGACCCCTGCCGAAGAGTATTCACTGTCGCGACATGTGCTGCGACGGCGTCAGCAGCGTTGAGCGGGCTATCTGAATTTACGAACCGACGAGCTGTTGTGCTGCGTAGCTCGGTAGCGCCTGGAGTTCATATGAGTGATCATCCTCGAGGTGCTACAAGTCCTGCCTGTAGCCAAGTCGATGTCAATCAGAAATTCGACTCTCTACGGCACCCGTCGTCAGCTATGTCAAGAAACGCTTCGCTACGCACAATGCGGCAACAGACTTCGTAGAGCTCCTGTTCGAGGTCGCTGGCCAGGGCGTGATGATCGATTACCTCATCGATCCATATCTTCACAGGCACAACGTAGCCCTCGAAGCCAATCCGAGCATCACTTTGCATGATCTGATGACCGAAGTAGTGCGTCTCGCCAGGCTACGAATGTATAAGCATGCGCTAAAATGTGAGAAGACCCAGCGCACGATAGGCTTGTGCACGAGCGTATAGCTCCCAGGATCTTCCTCATCAGTTTCGAATTGGATCATTCTGTGTTCGACTGTCCAGATCTGACCGACTTCATCGCAGCTCACCTCAAAGGATGCTTTCGGGTGAGTAAAGTCAGATATGACAACGGTTGGAAAGAGGCGGCTGACGAGTGAGCGTCCAGCCGCGATGGCGCAGGGACCAGATCGGAGCCGCTTGTATCTCGACTCCGGCGAGGCTAGCGACGAAAGACGTAAGATACAGCAATCCTAACATGTTGAATAAAGCTGGAAGACAAGAAGGGATGCGAATCGACGACGTCCTAGGAGTTTTCGGAATTTTGGGTTGCGGAGTCGACACGCGCTCGACAGCGGGCGCCTAAGTATCACGTGACACACGCTCGATTCGAGCGGTCGGGCGACGAGGTGTGACATGAGCCCATGCCAAGCGACGACGTGGCACGACAGAGCTTCTTCGTGCAGGCAGGTTTGTGCGCTCTTGCCGCTGCCGAGCTAACAAGTGCTGTCGGCATAGGTCAAGCCGACATGCGTGCGACTGCTCCACTTGGCGTCCACGCCAGCGACGACAAGCTCGTCGAGTTTGTCGGCTGCGACGGCCAAAGAATGCGCCGATCAACTGAGAACGCTCCAGCAGCTTCTACACGGGCGAGACCAGACAATCACGCTCAGCGCCTCGCTGCTCGGCTATCTCTTCTTTCCGCTCGTCCGCCTGCTCAGCTTGCCCGGTGACGACCTCAAAGCGAATGAGACAGTCTTGGAATACCTCTTACTGGTACTGCAAGAGTGGACTGTTGCTTGGCAGCAAACAGAGAGCGGCGCACAAGCTACTTTAGACCGCGATTTGCTCAGACAGCTCTGGACTTTTTGCATCTTGACGCTCGGAGGACCGCTCGACAATTCACTCGGCGCCAAAGGTAGACAGAAGGTGGTCTTGCCAGTATGGTCTGAAGAATCGATACTCGCTGCCCTGGGTCTGCTGAAGCTGTTGGCCTCATTCGGCCCAGGCAAGTCACGGCAGACGGCAGCAGATCCGCCTGTCGGTCCTTTCGATGCAATGGAGCTCAACGATGGAGCTACAAACGGATGTGCGCCGATCATAGCGCTACCCGTATTAGCGCACAGCGTATCGACAATGCTGCAACTCGCGTTGCATCCAGAAGCTCCTGTTCAGCGCGCGGCATTGTCTGCGCTCGAGGAAATCCTGTCATGCCAATTGTCCGCAGCTGGTCAGGAGCACATCGTCGCACGCTTCTTGCCTGGCATCACATCGAGCATCCTTAAGCTGCTACCTGGCCACTCGCCAAACCAGCAAAACGGCGGTAATACACGCTCAGAGGTGCTCGTTGCGGGGCTGTCTGTGCTTGAGATTGCCATCCCGCTGGCTTTTCGCGGCATCGACAACGCTAGTGATGCAACGGTCAAGCTACAAGATCTGACGCTGCCGTCGCCTGCCGAGCAGCTGGATCATTCATCAATGGACAACGCAATTCGCTCGGCCAATTGGGTTCGGGCAACACAGGCGCAGCTTCGCTTGTCCCTCCTCGCACTACGTCGTGCTGGTCTAGCACAGCACCGCTCCTCTAGTGTGCAAGAGGCGTATGCATCCTGCTTGCTGCACATTGCATCACCTCTACAGTATCATGAAGCGGCAGCCCGGCTCATACTAGAAGAGCTGCTGATTCTATCACGGGATGACTCTTCTATAAGTGACCGCCTGCAAAGATGGACAAATTCGAGTACGCCTTTGCGCTTGACAGTCGACCACCTTCTCAGGCAGAGTCTACTGGAGCTACCACAAGCGATACTGTCACGAGGCGATGATGAAGCGCGTCTAGGTCGCCTGCTCCAGCTCATCGAGGCATCTGCACGGCTACTCCAGGGGTCTGCTCATGCATCGAAGACACAGGCCTTGCAGGACGCGCATACCTGGCTGCGCAACTTGCTTTTCGCGCTGGCGCCTGCGAAGCTGCCCAATGTCGCCTCCCAACGTGCTGACATCGGTCTCATCACACCCGCCGCCATCGCGCAGACTACTTCTGTAACGGAGGATGAAAACTTCCCGATGGCTCCTCTGGCCAACATACAGTCTCAAGCGGTGGTCACTCAGCTGGCTGCTGCCTTCGAGAGCTTAGGCTCGTTACTCGCTGTCTCTGATGGACTCGAGACCTGCTTCGCGATTTTCACTTTCGCAAAGTCGAACGATCTTCGGATCGCATTCGGAGCGCTCTGGTTATTGAATGCGCTTCTGCTCGGCGCTGCTCATGCACGAAATACCGCGAGTGTCACACATCTAGCCGAGCAGCTTTCTAGAGCGGTCACAGATCATCAAGAGGCAAATAGCGAGCCGCAAACAGAAAATGAGAACAGTCTTGTGCCTGTCGAGCGCAGCAGAGGCGATGCCGCTCTCATCGACAGGCTCAATATACAAGCAGGGAGCACCTCACGAGCGTCGGCTGCGCAGAAAACATTTCCCAGTGACCTGGTTCAGCTCAGGTGTATTCAACTTCGGTCGATGGCTACTTGCGCAGCGATCTTGCAGGACGCGTTTCATCAACATCTGATGGACGGACTGTACTTTGTGCTCGCGCACTTGGGCCCATTGCAGCATCCGCAGATCAGACTATACGCCAATGTCGCGCTCTATAAGCTCGCATATCAGCTTGGCTACGCATCCTCATCCAACTTGATTCTAGCGCAAGTTGACTACATCATCAACGCTGTTTCACAGCGATTGACACTTTTCCGTCTCGATCTTGAGGCACCTATCGTGCTTGTAGCTGCCATTCAACTCGTAGGCGCTGCGATCCTGCCGATGGTGCAGGATCTAGTCGACGAGATCTTTGATGCGCTTGACACGCACCAGGAGCGCGAAGATCTCTGTGCGAGACTCTTCTCGGTCTTGACGGCTCTGACGGATGCGATGAAGCCAGAGGAGTTACCTCCAAAGGCGATGACGGAAGATCCAACAAGGCGCTTCCGTGGCGACACTCATATCGATGGACTCAACGCACCTGCTGCCCCGCCTGTGGACGCTGTCGAGCAAGACGATGATATGCCGCCTGCAAACCTGTCATACGAGGACTTCAAGCGTCTGTCGGATGAGTCAAACGAGCGGCGGAAGCAGGCCCATCAGTCCGTTGCAAACGCAGAGGCTGAGGTCACTCCAGATCGTAGCCAAGTAGTCTGCAGCATGATGCTCGGGAAAGCCGTCCCTTTCGTTCAGCACGAGTCGTCTTTCATTCGTTCACGCGTCTTATCGCTACTGGCGAGCGGTATACCTATCTTGGCATCGAGTAGCCGCCAATCGGACGTCATGATGATCGTGCATTCGGTCTGGCCTTATCTGATCAGACGCTTAGATCCGCAGACGGAGCCCGAGTCTTGGGTCAGGCTAGAGGCTATCAACGTCATTCGAGCTCTTGGACGATATGTGGGCGACATTGTGTCGCGCCGAATCGTCGAAGACGTGTGGCCCAAATTTCGCGTAGCACTTGCTTTGTCCTCAGACAAATCGACGTCAAGCGCCCTTGTACTCAGAATGGCAACGCATAGCTCGGTTTACCAGCTTTATGTGTCGATTATATCGACCATGTCTGGCATCGTGACAAGCTGTCACCTGCCGTCGACGGTCTTATGGGAGATCTGTATGACCTTTCGAGACTTCTTCGACGAGCGCGCTCCGAAGGCACTGCAAATGGCTTGCAATGAGCTATACGCGGCGCTCGCGCATTGTGAAGGCGATTCTGTCTGGCTGTGTTTACAGGGCGCAGTCGATGACACCATGCCTGAGGTACTGCGACTGCACAACAAAGGCGCGTATCGGGCGATCAATACATTCTTGAATGCAATGTTATGATACATCTACAGTAATGCAGAGTTGCGAAGCAGGCAGTAGTCTCCATAGACCACTTGTCGCCTGTAGTGGGGTATCGGAAGCCAAAGTGCGCGCGAGAGCTGTGGCGTCAGCTGGCTGTCTAGGAAGTCGAAGCAGATAACGCGTTCCCATGCCGGATCAATCGCGTATCGCTTTTCTAGCGAGCTAGCATCTGGCGCCGGTCTGTGTAGGTAATCGAGATCGACGAGATACGAGCACGTCTCGATGGAAACAAAGCGGCCCTCTGTCTCCTCCCGATTGACCGCATTGAAGCCTGTGGGAATCTTGCTTGCGACAGATTGACGACCCTGCCAACCGGTCTGTATGGCGCTCTCGAACTTCTTTGGCAATTGGCCGTGGAAGTCGCTAGCGATAAAGTTGGCCGATACTTCGTTGGGGATTGTATGATGGCCTGTAAAGCGGTACCACTCCTTGCCGTAGCAGATCGAAATATTGAGGCTACGCAACGGCGCCAGGTCTACAAACTCTTCGGCAGAAGCGATGGCTGTTGCGTAGTCTTTGCTCCGATCTGAGAGTACTTGGGGGTAGAGCTCAGGGAAGCGCTTGAGCGCCAGCGTTGGCAATTCGATGGTCGAGAAATGGAAGGCGACGTCCATTGGCGCATGATAGTACCGTTGCACTGCAAGAATCCTAGATGCCGACAGAAGCGTGGCCAGGGTCAGGATGGCCATTGTGAAGCGAGCAAAGATCTTCGTCTGGGATGCCTGCGCGAGTCAACATCAGCAATGCCTACATAGTCTGTCCGAGTAGACAGCGTGCCTTGAAAGCTGATTTCGTATAACCCGTGTACACTTTCTCGATCCAGCCCCGGATACAGTAGAGCGTAACGGCCGCGTTGAAGCACAGCAGTGGGTAGGCAGGGAACATGAAACGCTCCTCCTTATGAGGCTGCGAGCTGAGCAGGCCGAGCCAGATGTACCAGGGCGCCAGACGAACCGCTACGAGTACAGCATTGGATGTCCGATCTTTGTGTGACAAGCCTGAGCTGATTCGCTTGCTGTCGAAAAGACGCGAGAATGCGAGGACAGGTAGCGATACAAGTGACAAGGGTAGGGCCAGATTGAAATTGAGCGCGAGATTGAATAGGTAAAAGTACCAGGGTTCTACGCCATAGATCTGTGGTCCACTTTCTGGCGACGTGGCTAGGATATTGTACGTGACAATGTTGAGCGGGGCAACGACGAGCTTCTCATACCAGAACGAATCAAACGCGATTGCCACGAGAAGCACAAGCGACGCCACCAATCCTGCAGCGAAGAGACGCGCAAATCTATCTCTCGCCCAGATAGCAGCTTGCCCCGGCTTGACCGTCTGAGCGCCTGACAGGACGAGCTCTTCGAAGACGAAGGGGACAGCGAGAACGATGGAGAAGGGCCAGCCAACAATCGCACCTGCCGCAAAGCAGACAGTCGCGAGGACTGTTCGCTGAAAGCTCGAAGAGACTGGTGACATTGCGAACGAATAGGCGAGCATGCTGGCATACATGGCAAAAGTTGACGGCAGAAATGCTGATCGGCAAATCAGCGCCGTTGCAAAGCAGGTCAATAGGCTCACTCGTTGCCGCATTCCACATGCCTGCCGAGAAGATCATCAGAATCAGGGTGTATCGTCCGACACGGACGTTGACTGATTCGACGATGGCGCGGTAGAACCGCGCTTCTGCTGCTGACGAGACAAAGCCGAGCATTATTCTGAGCGCAAAAAAGACAGGACGCTGCCAAGCAAGGCTCAGCATGTAGCTGCATAACAGCAAGTTGCCGACCTTGTCATGGGTATGTATGCTTGAAACAAGCCAGCCGGGCCAGGCATGCAGCGCGAGATAGAACCAGCTCCTGATGGCGTACAGTGGCGAGTACTCCCAAGTCTGGAAGCCGTAGCCGTAGAGCATGAAGTGGAGAGGCTCCCAGTAATTGAAGACCTCGTCGCAGTCCATCGTCACAGAGGTATACATGGCAGCAGCGACCCTGATGAGGATGATGAGCCTGAACGCGGTCGAAAATGAGGGATTCCATGGAGGTTTCTCTGCTCTTTTGAAGGTTCATCAGAGTCAGGCTCAATCTCTGCCGGTCTTGCGGGCTGCATACCGTCGTGTGAGCTCACGCAGGAGGCCATCTTGCTGTTGGCGTCGTTTGAGCATCTCGCCGAATTTGTCTTGACCGGGAGGAGCTTTAGGCGGTGCCGCGCCGCTGGGCGTGGAGAAGTACGGCCGCAGTCGGACCGTGCCGCCATCGTTGGCGCTCATGGCGAGACTGATGAAGGGTAGAGGCTCGAGCCCGCTCGTCAAGTCGACTGACTCGTCGCGCTGTCGAAAACCAACTTTGGCGCTGTAAAGTCAAGCAGCCAAAGGGGCAGCAGCTCATGACTCCACTCGACCATGACGCCCCTCAGAGTGTGCAGCAAGCCATAGACTGATGTCACAGATGGAGATAGCCTGGCACGAGACCGGCCAAGCTGGTCTCGGCGATTTGACCTCGCTCTGTCTGGACACGCACCAGGCCTTGCTTTGGACGGGCACCCCCCACGGTCATATTGCTTCCTTCTTCACCGACAGTCCGGCCAGTCAAGGCAACGAAAATGAGGTGCCTCCTGCCTTCCAGCAGCGATACACCGCCTTCAAAGGCTCCAGCACGCATGAGCCCATCAAAGAGCTCTGGACAGATGAAGCCGGCGTATTGTCGCTCGCCTCGGACGGCGTCAAGCTCACTCACCGCAGAGGGCTCACCCTGTGGAACACCTTGTTCGTCGAGCAGTTGTGCGTTCATGCAGACGCAGACTGATGTCATCCTGGACAGGGATCCGACGCATTCTCTCGTCAGCATGGCCTATTCGTCTTTACGCGCCAGCGAGATTGTCGCCGGCGGCTCGAGACTGGCAGTGACGTCTCAAGGATCACACGTACAGCCGCTCGTAGGAGAGCCAGACCTGCTCCTGCTCAGTGCAAGCACCGGGACGATCATTCGCAGAGTACGTGCCACGTACTCGACGCGCTTTGTTCGATCCTCATCCGAGCGCTACCCAGGTGCCTAGCAGCATAGCAGTACAGCACCTGAGAACGTCGCACCAAAACGTTGTTCTGGGCTCTGCAGAAGGTCGCGTGCATCTCCTAGACCCGAAGAGCCTCAAGACCCAGTCGTCCATCGACGCGCATTCTGCCGGTCTCAGCGTGCTAGAAGCAGAGGGACATCTGCTCTACACTGGTGGCTTCTCCCTCAAGTGAGCAGTCAGCACTCTCGTTCATGACTCTGGGGCTGACAGCCAGCCCAGGCAAGGACGGCCTGTACCAGACCCGCTCGTCAAGGTCTTTGATGTTCGCATGCTAAGACCGCTCGTACCCGTGCCGTTCCCAGCAGGACCGGCGTTCATCAAGCCGCATCCTCGTCTCTCGACTACGATTGCAGTCAGCTCGCTCAATGGCTCATTCCAGATCGTCGATACGCTCCAGCAAGGCACCGTTCAGTTTCATCAGCTCCCTTTCACTTCCTACCTGACCGCGATGTCAATGGCGCCATCCGGGGAGGGTCTACTGTTCGCTGATCAGTCTGGTCTCGTGCGTCTCTGGTCGAGCTCTGATGACGCAAAGTACACACGCTACGGACCGCAAGACATCGAGCTGCCTGATCCTGTTGAGCCTCCAAAACAGATCGAATGGACTCCTAGCTCGCCACTGTCGCTCATCGGAGTCCCGTTCTACGACACCCAGCTGCTCTCTGTCATCCCGATCGAAAACTACGCCACCAAGTACTCGGCCATACTCAGACCGCCCACGCGACCCGATCCAGCATTACATGCGACGCTCAAACAAGTCGATTGGATTGGCTACGCCGTCAATCCGAAGGGATCGATTCGCAATCTTGCCGTTGCGCATGACTCTCGCGCCAAACAGGCTTCAAATCGACGTATGGATGTGCCACTCTTTCGCTCAGAAAAGGAAAAGATCGCCCAGGAAAGGCGGCGGAGAGCGAGAGCAAGCACCGACAATGCCAATGCATCCGTATCGCTCGAAGACGAGGAGAGCGAACTGACGAGCTCGACAATGCCCAAATACTACTCTCGCGTGGAGATAAAGTACAGCCGCTTCGGCGTCGAAGATTTCGACTTTGGGTAAGCTACAGTGTATTCCACACGACTGTTGAGGCTGACATGTCTACAGCTTCTACAACAAAACGCGGTACAGTGGTCTCGAAACTCATATCGTCAATTCGTATACCAACTCATTCCTCCAAGTGTTGCGGTTCATCAAGCCTCTTGCGGCTCTGGCGCTCGCTCACATCCTGGTGTCGTGTCCAAAAGAAGATTGCTTACTATGCGAAGCTGGCTTTCTGTTCAAGCAGCTCCAAGATGCGCAAGGTGTCAACTGCCAAGCCAGCAATTTCTCTCGCGCGTTCTCAGCCAGCAGACAAGGTCAGTCTCACATGCTACTTGGGGAAGTAAGAGCAAGCAATGATGTACGTGGCAGCCGAGGCGCTCGGCCTTATGGATCACAGCAACGAAAGTGCCAAGACCGCCTACGCCTCCCTGATACAGACGTTCAACCGCTTCATGATCGAACAGCTCGGACAAGAGGCAAAAGTGATGCATCCAGATCTTCGGCTGAGGCGGCATATGGTCTTGCTGCAGGAAGAGTCATTACCTTCGCCAGTCTCGCAAATTTTCGGGATCAGCGCACGCACAATGATGGCGTGTGTCTGTGGCGCGCAGTCCAGCAGGGATTCTAGCTTTAGTGTCATTGATCTGATCTATCCGCGCAAAGCCCTCTCAAATGAGCCGAAACCGGCGTCGGACTTCCACACAATCTTGAAAGCTTCGATTGGCCGCGAGACCGCAACACGAGCGACCTGCGCAGCTTGTCGTCAATTTGCGCACGCGCGCGTACGCCGCGTTCTGACGAATGACTTGCCACCGGTCGTGACGATCAATGCGAATGTTAACACTGCCGATCACATGGAGATGTGGCTTGATGGGAAGACGAGCAAAGACAGGTTTTTGCAGCCGAGCTTTGTCATCTCTCGGGGCATGTCAGGGCTCAGCATACAAGACGAAGCCTCATCAATCGCGGCCGACACCGATTCAGTTTGCTATCAGCTCACTGCGATAGTCTGTCAGATCCAATCAGATGACGATCCTGCGCATCTGATCTCGCTCATACGCATCCCACGCGAGGAAGATGAGCGCGCCGGAACTTGGCACCTTTTCAACGACTTCCTGGTAAAAGCTGTCTCGGAAGACGAGGCACTCGGCTTTCCCGGCAGTTGGAAGATACCCGCAGTACTGTGCTATACGCGTATTGATGCGTCGCGCATGCTTGACCTTTCCGTTTTGCCAACAACACTTGATACCTCGATTCTTGAGCGCGATTTGACAATCTCGCGTCGACGCGACCCTAGCAAGATCAAGCATGAAGTATTGTCGGCGAGCGAAATTCCCCGAAAAGGCATGCTGGTCTCTATCGATGCCGAATTCGTCTCTCTACAGCAAGAAGAGGTGGAATATAGATCAGACGGGACACGATCCGTCTTGCGGCCATCTCGTATGACGCTTGCGCGCGTCTCTGTGCTGCGCGGGGAAGGAGCAAAGACCGGTGTGCCATTCATCGACGATCACATATCGACAACAGAGCCAATCGTTGATCATCTCACCGAGTACTCCGGCATACGCCGTGCGTCAGATCACTTTCATGTTATGCCGCTGAATGTTATAGCACAGCCGGCGATTTGGATCCATTCGTATCGCCGCATACGCTTGTGTCACTCAAGGCAGCCTACAAGAAGCTGCGGATGCTAGTCGACCTTGGGTGCGTCTTTATCGGCCATGGCCTGCAGAAAGACTTCCGTATCATCAGTATGTCACTGTCGCATGTTTCGCTAACAGGCTGACGATATCCTGTAGATATATTCGTCCCTCCGGGTCAGATCATCGACACTGTCAATATCTACCACCTAGCAGCGCGACATCGTAAGCTCTCGCTCAGATTCCTTTCCTTCGTCGTGCTGCAGCAAGACATACAATCGGGCACGCATGATTCGATCGAAGACGCTCGTACAGCACTACAGCTTTATGAGGAATATCGCAGGCTCGAAGCGCAAGGCAGCTGGGAAGATCGGCTAGACGAGATCTACGTCGAAGGCAAAAGGCTCAACTTCAAAGTACCTCAGCCCGAAGCAGCTGCCGAAGTAGCAATGGACTTGAGCTCCCAAAATATGCCAGCTGCGAGTGTCGCACTGGACGCACGGATCGCGAGCTTGTCATCTGCTTCGCCGATCTTTGTTCCTCGTTCAACGCCTAGTCCGCCGTACTTTCAGAGCCATCAACCCAAGTCACCCAGACGGCGTCATCGACCGCACGCTCGACCGTGAGGACTAGACAGGAGCATGATAATGATGGCATCCATCATGTTGTTGTGTATCGCATGAGTGCATCTGCAGACAAGGTCTGATACTCGGACAGATGCGACAGCACTGATGCAGGCAGCAAAATGACCTGGGGCGGGAGCGTCTGTGTCTACGCTTTGCGTGGGCCAGTCTTGAGACCTTCGGCGAGCAAAGCTGGAAAGTCAACCGTGCCCAGACCGCTTGCCAGATCGAAGCCAGGTACCGCGTCAAGGGAAGCGGCATTGCCGTCTTTGCCGCAGCCGTAGCTCTTTCCGACCTTCATGTCTCTACAGACATTCGCATGATGATACTGCCAAGGATTTAAAAAGCCCATTGACGGCCGACCTTCGGCCTCCAGCGCGTCGTTGAGAAGCGCAATCAGTCCCGCTAGAGTTGGCACTGCAGAGCTCGTACCACCTGCTCGTTGATAAGCACTGTTCGTTTGGCTGTAATCTGGAATCTACCGAACGTGTAGGCCCCGCCGAGCGCCCAAGTCGCACTGCCAGTGCCCTGACCAGATACATCGGGATACCCAAGGTTGGTGTGGTTGAATCGAATCGAGGACGGAACTTGCACGCCAGGGCCGGATAGGTACGCTGCGACCTCACTTGCTTGATGGGACGGACGGTGAAATATGTCGCTGATACCACCTCCGGACGCCCATCGCGCCAAAGCCGTTCTCAGTCGAGTTGAGGAGCGTCGCGCGTCGGTCACCTGTTCTGTGCACTTCTGGGGCATTAACGCGTCAAAAGTAATCATCGCAAGCAAGCCCGCGCCAAGCTAGCGATTGAGCGATGCTTAGCGTCGGCGGCAAAAGCCCGAAAGGTCTGGCGGGGGCAAGCATGCACTCGTAGTACAGTTCTGATCATTCACTACTGTCCGTCTCTTCTTCTGCCTCGGCGAGTGCAGCGGCGTAAGCCTGTCCGATCTGACGAGTCCTATCGCCTGCTTCACCACCAACGGAAGCAAAGCGAGCGCCTTCTGTCCATCGACCAATCGCAGCCTCTGTGACGATGTCATCGTCATAGAAGATCTGCAAAAGCACAGAGAAGTAGCGTGCATGCTGCACACTTTCAATGCAGAACTTTTGGAGCAGCAGGAGCGTATCGACTTGTTCTTCTGTCTGTGGACCGGTAATGCTCGTGACGACTTGGCTCCACCGATCGAAGTAGAGCGTCAGATGTTGGCGAATGGCTGCTGATGTACTGACAGAAGCAGGCGGCGTGCTCTGTGAGCAGATGAATGGCACGGCCACCTGTCTGACTCGTCCAAGGGTCACATTGGAGGCCATGCGGAGCGTGGTGAGTTCGAGAGCAGTATCACTCGGTTTGAGATTCTCAGCGTACGCTCGTTGTAATGTTTGCGTGCATTCAGAGGCGAAAGCGCTCTGAGCTGCTGCCGTTGGGTCGAGCGAGGCAATGTTACCGATACGTGGTCCGTCTGCTGCATTGGAGGTGACTGACAGGGCGTCTAACGAATCGCTCGATGATGAGCGAGACAGGCTCGATGCAGATGAGTCGCAGTCCAGATCATCGATGTCTTGCACGCCTGCAAGGTTTATCAGCTAGGCTCGAGCAGATAGTGTTATATGTACCTAGCTTCGATATCCGCAAGTTGCGCACATCGAGAAGATCCTCGTCCTCCTCCTCCTCTGCTGATACCTGTTGGATGACTTCCTCGCTGGGCCAGATGAAAGCCGTGGCGCCCTTACCCAACAAGTCGATATCATCAGAGGTTGGATTAAGATCGAATTCTGCCCATCTCTGCGCCGCGATGCGATGACCTGTTAAGCGGGCTTTGCGACCAATGACCGAACCTGGGCCTATCAAACTGCCGTGCTCGATGATGCTGCCTGCCAGGACGACACAGCCAACGCCGAGTATGCTGTCTCGGATGACGCAGCCCTCTGCTATCTGGCATCCATCGAAAAGATAAGAGCCTTGTACGGAAGACTCGGCGCCGATGCGACATCGTCTGCCCAAGACAGACTGTGAGACGATCGAGGAGGATTCGAGGAGACACTCCGGTCCAATGAGCGCGATCGGGCCGATCTGGGCCGTCCGAGCGAGTTGATGGCCTTCGCGGGAGAGATATACGTTACTCCGCCTTAGCTCGTACTGCTCTTCGTATCGATCGCCAGCCTCTGACAGTCTCTGGAGCGGATAGATTTCATCTGGACATGAGGGATAGAAGCAGCGTGCCAGCATTGCGCGGGACGCAACATCATACGAGTGAGTGTCTTCTATTCTGATCGCGCTCTGCCTTATACGCGCCTGACCAGCATGCAGTATCGGAGCCGGATCGTTCATTGGAGCCTGTGAGGCATCGTCAACGACGAGGCAACCGATCTGCTTGCCGAGTATGTCAGAGGTGATGATACCGTTGATGAAATCTGCCCGAGTAGCGTAATCAAAGTTTTCTGTGTAGAGCGGTGGTACTTCGGCAGTACAGAGCTCGATACCGGTCCACTCGAGGTCGGTACGGATTCGCAAATCAATACCTGCTGGATCTGCAGACATGAGATGCGCCGGAAACTGCAGACGGCGGTTGATGGGGTACAGTGGCTGTGAGTCATAGTGGAGTACGAGGCCTTGATCGGATACCGCATAGAGGGTCGCGTCTTTCGGTCGGCTGCAAATGGCTTGAGCACGGGCATGCAAGATAGCAAGGGGACACTGACGTCAAACAGGCATCAGAGACAACAGACTCCATGACGAGCGAAGGATTGCTTCGACGCTTCTTGCTGAACTCTTGCAGTACGTGTCCAAGGTGGATATTGCCAATGTAGCCGACATTGAGAAGCAGAAAGTCAGACTCGAGCGTGACTGCGCCGTCTACCTCGCGCATGAGTTCGCCGAGCGTTGTAGCGTTCTGTGTCTTCTGTAGGATGACGACCATGCCGCCTGCCTCGCCTGCAAAGGTAGTCGTCAGATCCGCATCGTCTGACTCGTCTTGAGCCTGGCTGGTTGATCTTTCGTAGTAGCTCGTCGTCCTGAGCCAGGCAAGAACAGCATCATGGTGCTCACTGTTGACGAGGACAGTGGCTTTCTCGAAGCCAGACGAGGAGAGTGACTCGAGTGACCAAGCCAGCAGAGGTCGATTGAGGAACGGCAACAAGCAAAACGGTCTCTCTCCCTGGCTCGTCGACGCAATGGCCTGCTCAGTCTCACCATCGGATCCAAAGTCGTCTTCTTGAGCCTGAGAGATGATGGGCCCCCATGCATGCTCCCTGCCTGCGCTCGGAAAGAGCTCTGCAACCACCAAAGCTTGCAGCACTTCTCGCTGTTGCGTGTCTTCTTGTGCTGCTTTCGCCTTCAGGGCAGCAGCTGCTTTGCCGGATGGCTGAGTCGGCGTCTTGGCCTTGCCACTTGCCTTGCCCTCAGATGCTCGCTTACCCATCACTCTAGATCTCCAGGCAACACACTCAAGCTCAGACGACGACTTTGACGCGACAGGCACGGGCAAGCCAGTCATCATTGCATGGAATACGAGCGAGCAGCTCAAGCTAGTAGCCATACGCCTGGCCTACCGTGGCGGCCTCGTGGGCATCTACATTCTGCTAGACTTGTTCAGCCGCCGCGACTTGTAGTGCGTAGAGACGAGAGACCAACCCTACTGTCAAAACCCTCCTGGGCAAGCCGTTCGCGAACGTGGTCTGCGAGACGCGGGTGAAGCTGTATATAATCTTTTGAAGGCTCTGGCTCCAGTGGCGGCTCGAGCTCAGCGTCATCAGCTAGCGTACACGGGCGCGCTGTCTTGATCCGCGAATTGACGGAATAGAGCACAGTGAGCTCGTACGTGCGACCCATGACAAAGGGAAGCGGCAGATAGACGTAGGCGGGAGCGGACATGAACAATACGCCTGCTGCAAAGGCGATGACGAAGGTAAGTAGGTTCGTTTCGAGGGATAACCGCAAGAGCTGCTTGAATATTTCGATGGCCCTGTGCTGGCAGTCAGCACGCGCGAAAAGCGTGTACGAGTGACATTCGCAGCACTTACGCCTCGTCGTGACTGGCACCGACGAGACCTGAGATTTTTGAATGAGTGAGAGCAAACGAGAGCTGTTCAAGTATCAGGCCATACCTGAAAGCAGCCAAACCATTTGCAACAAGATCGTCAGATCGGCAGCAGCAGGTAGCCACAAGCTCATAGCCTTGACGAAGCGAGGGCTGTTATCTGCCGTGAATCTCTGAACTTGGAAGAGAAAGACTGTCGTGACCACACCGGCCACAACGCCGCCGAGGGCGAGCAAGACGATACAGGCTGGCGAGCAAAGCGATCTCCGAGAAAGCACGTATACTCGCCAGGCGTAGAACCCCTGCTCGTTCGGTGAGTCTCAGCATCAGGGTCCTGACTGAAACGACTCGCCTGGACGATAAAGGCGACGGCAGCCAAAAGGGCTGCATGGAGCGAAAATGCCCAGCCAAAAGTATCGACTGATTCGATGTGGCCATTACCTGGCAATTTTTGAGCGGTAGACTTCTGGTACGAGCAAGGTACGCACTCAAGACGAGCCATTGATCGAGTGTCATCAGCACAAAGATAGTGTCGAGGGTGTTCAGACTCGCCAAGACAGTGACCTGTCAAGGGTTAGTCAGGCTGGCCCGTCAAACAGGCTCGGTCAGTCAGACCATGAGCTTGAGCCAAAGGGCGTCGAAATGCGAGCTGGAGAAGTACTTGATCATCTGTGTCAGGTTGAGGCCTCCCAGAAAGATCTGCTCGAACGGTGTGGCTCTGTAAGACTCGTCGCCTTTGTAGGGTTGACGGCGTACCGAGATGAAGCAAGCAGTGAGTAAAGACTCGACGCTGCTTGGTGATCAGACTCGTCGCAGCCGACGATCTATGGTATACCTGGGCAGGAGTACATGCTCGAGGGCAATATCGGTGGCCTTTTGCTCGGATGTCAGGTCGATCATGAGGCCGAGATGTACAGGAGAGATCAGATAGACATCGATCGTTCGAAGAGGCAAGACGCGACAGTTCACGAGGAAGATTCTTCGGGGATCAAACAGTGTGTTGGCGCAAGTTTTGTAGCGAGCAAAGTGTGCCGCCGACGCCGCGCGTTGCTCGTCGCGGAGAAGGTGGGGTCTTTTTCCAGAGAGGGATGCCCAGCGCGTCTCTCCTGGCCGACGGCGCTCGAGTGAGCGAACAAAGGCTGTCCCGCAAGCACAGCGATGGCGGCTCCGAACCAGTCTAGCACCAGCCTTCCCCCTCAGATCAAGTTTCCGCGCTTGGCGAATGAGATCCCGAGCACAACAACGGCACACAATGCTGTAGGCACCGAAGGCGAGTCCATCTCCTACTCGCTCCCAAATTCCGGCTATCGAGGCAGCATTGGGGCTTCTTTTACTGCCTCGCGCGATCTTCTATCGCTTTGAGACGCGCAGGAGAGCTGACTTGCTTTGTAGGAGCCGGGCCGCTTGGCTCGACTTCGGACAGCCTCAGACCGCCAGCAGACGACGATGACAAGCTCAGCGATATCGTCATGGACTCTCGAGATCTCTCACGTGTAGGCTCACGTCAGGTATGTCTACTCCAGGCTGTTGGCTTACCTCCGGCTAAGTCAACGCTGCTACAGCCCTCGACGGAGGACGAAGAGATGGCAGATGCCGGTCGAGCTACGAACGGCGCAACAGAAGACATCAAGCCCAGGCACCCTCTTGCATCTACGTCTACCATATCTGCAGCTGCTAAGCCACGCACCAGCACCGGTCGAAACGCCAAGAAGGAAGAGGCCGGCGACGATGAGGATGAGATTTTGTCCGAAGAGGATGAGGACGATAGCGATGATGAGCCCACACCCTATGTCGGTGATGATGCCAACATTTCGCCTGCTAAGCGCCGCGCATTGCTCGAGAAAGAAGAGCGTGCCAACATCCGGCGGGTCGAAAAGGTCAATCGTCATTCGATTGAGCTTGGAGCGCACGGCTGACAAGCTGTACGTCGATAGGCGAAGAAAGCGGCGCAGAATTCCCAGCTTGCATCTCGCAAGACTGGCAATGCAGCCAAGAAAGCAGCGGATACCATCAAGCGGTTCTCCTACCTACTCGGCCAATCTGATATCTTCATGCACTTTTGCAACCTCAAGAAAGAGCGCGAGCCAGAGTTTGCCGCCATGCTCGAGGAAGCGGAAATCTCGCGGAATGCAGACACGAGTCGCAAGTCAAAGTCTGTAGCTGCTATTTGCGACGAAAGCTGCGCTGACGATTGACTGATTGACAGGGCTAAGGCGGGAGCCTCACGTGGGCGGAAAACCGAAAAGGAAGAAGATGCTGAGCTTCTCCGGGAGGATGACGAAAACGATGGAAGCAAGGACGACCTCATGGTCTTCACCGAATCTCCTGCCTGTTCGTGCCTTGATCATCAGATGGGTGTGCTTTGATGCTGACCATATTTGCGTGAATAGATGTCAAAGGTGGCAAGATGCGTGATTATCAGATACAAGGTCTCAATTGGATGATCGGTCTGCACCACAATGGTATCAATGGCATCTTGGCAGACGAAATGGCAAGCAGACTGCGCGCCAGCTGAGTCAGCTGCTGACGTGCAACGGGTGCTCTGTAGGGACTTGGCAAAACGCTGCAGACTATCAGTTTCTTGGGATATCTCAAGTTCTACAGGGGTATCACGGGACCGCATCTCATCGTCGTGCCCAAATCAACACTCGACAACTGGAGTCGAGAAGTCGCTCACTGGGTTCCTGGATTCCGCTCAATCATTCTCAGCGGTCCCAAAGAGGAGCGTGCGGAGATGTGCCAAAGCACGATCATCACTCAAGAGTTTGACGTCTTGATCACTTCCTATGAGATCTGTCAACGCGAAAAGTCGACTCTCAAGAAGCTCGCGTGGGAGTATATCATCATCGATGAGGCTCATCGCATCAAGAACGTCAATTCCATCCTGTCGCAGATCGTTCGACTGTTCGATTCTCGCGGCCGCCTGCTCATTACTGGCACGCCTCTGCAAAATGATCTGCACGAGCTCTGGGCGCTGCTCAACTACATTATTCCGGATTGCTTTAGCGATGTCTCCGACTTTGACAGATGGTTCGAGCGCAAGGGCGGAGAGGGTGAGGATGCGGATAGTGTCGTCAAGCAGCTCCACAAAGTCTTGCGTCCTTTCTTGCTCCGTCGTGTCAAAGCAGACGTCGAGAAGTCGCTTTTACCGAAGAAAGAAGTCAATATCTACGTCGGCCTGACGGACATGCAGCGACAGTGGTACAAGTCCATCCTTGAGAAGGACATCGATGCTGTCAATGGCGCAGGTGGTAAGAAGGAGGGCAAGACTCGCTTGCTCAATATCGTCATGCAGCTCCGAAAGTGCTGCAATCACCCTTATCTATTCGATGGTGCTGAGCCCGGACCACCCTTCACGACAGACGAACACCTCGTTCAGAATGCTGGCAAGATGGTCGTGCTCGATAAGCTGCTCACATCGATGAAGGCAAAGGGCTCTCGCGTGCTCATCTTCTCGCAAATGTCGCGTGTGCTCGATATCCTCGAGGATTATTGCTTCTTCCGAGGCCACAAGTACTGCCGCATCGATGGCAGCACAGATCATGCTGACCGTATCTCTGCTATCGATGACTACAACAGACCAGGCTCAGAGAAATTTGTCTTTTTACTCACTACACGTGCGGGCGGTCTTGGCATCAATTTGACCACCGCGGACGTCGTTGTGCTTTATGATTCCGACTGGAATCCTCAAGCCGATTTACAAGCCATGGACCGAGCGCATCGCATTGGTCAAACAAAGCAAGTATACGTTTTCAGATTCGTCACGGAAGACTCTGTCGAGGAGAAAGTGCTCGAGCGGGCTGCTCAGAAGCTTCGTCTCGATCAGCTCGTCATCCAGCAAGGTCGTGCAACTGTTAGCAAAGCACAATCGAAGGACGAGCTCGTAGAGATGATCCAGCACGGAGCCGAGAGGATCATCAAAGCTGACGCGCCCGCCAACTCGATGATGATCGATGATGATGTCGACCTGATTATCCAACGAGGCGAAGCACGCACAGCTGAGCTCAACAAGAAGTATGAGACGCTCAACATCGACGATCTAGCCAACTTCAAGAGCGAATCGGCTACGACCAATTGGGAAGGCGAAGCCTATGGCAAGAAGAAGGCGATCGGCATGCTCTGGATCGAGCCCAGCAAGCGAGAGCGCAAGACCAACTACTCGGTCGATAATTACTACCGCGATGCGCTTCGTACTGGTGGCGAGAAGAAGGGACCTGCGCGCAATCGCGGTCCCCGACAACCGCAGACTGAAGACTTTCAATTCTTCCCGCCAGCCTACGCAGAGCTGCTCGAGAAGGAGCATAATCACAATCGCAAGCTTGCGGAGTACAAAGTGCCAGCAATAGAAGACCCCTCGCGAACGCCCGAAGAGCTAGAGAAGGAGCGCGCTGAGGCTCAAGAGATCATCGATAATGGTATGTTTCCAGCTCTGAGTAGGTGACAGAGCTGATGGACGTCACACAGCTGAGCCATTGACGGAACAAGAAGCGCTTCTCAAAGAAGGCATGGGCCTGGAAGGCTTTGATTCCTGGCATCGCAAGCACTTCCAAGGCTTCATCCGGGGCTGTGAGAAAGCTGGCAGGCGAGTATTTTAGCTTGGTAGAGGACGATGGCTTACACGTGCTTGAGTTTCAGAGAGGATTATGCAGGCATACAGAGCGAGATTCCCGACAAAACGGTCGAGGAGATTGAGGATTACGCCAAGGTCTTCTGGGAACGCTATCGGGAGGTAGACGGATGGGAGCGTCAGCTGCAAAAGATCGAAGTCGCCGAAGCGAAACGTCAGAAAGACGCTCATATCACGCTGGTCTTGCGCGAAAAGATTAACGAGGCGAGCCATCCATATCAGAAACTGGATATTCCCTATGCTGCGCAGAGCAAGGGCAAAGTCTGGTCGGAGGATGAAGATCGGTTTTTGCTCATCAAGCTCAACCTATACGGCATCGGTACAGATGACGTCTATGAGCGCATCAAGGCGGACGTGCTCGAGTGGCCTGGCTTCAGATTTGATTGGTTCATTCGCAGCCGGAATGCGCCCGAGATCAATCGGCGGTGCATCACTTTGCTCAACTTGATCGAGAAAGAGGTGCGCCACACGTATCTGCACACATCAATACGTGCTGACGTTGATGTCCTGACAGGCAGAAGAGAAGGAGCGAAAGGCAAAACGCGCGAAAGACTCGTCGTCGCCCGTCAAGAAGGCGAATGGCAAGAATGGCAAGATCACCGTGACTGTCAAACCCAACGGCTCTTCCAAATCAGCCGCAACGAAGAAGCGCAAGACCGACAGCTCTCGCGCTTCGACGCCATCAATTGCCTCTGCTTCAGGCAACAAGAAGGCAAAGAAGTGAACGCTCTCTGTCGCGTCCTGCCCGGCCTGCTTCCGCCCCTGTTGTAACATCGATGCCAAGATGCATCTATAGACTCGATCATTACGTCACAGTGTCCTGTACTAGCAGTGCATGGACTGCCAAACAGTCTCGACGCCGCTGAAGCATCGATACGACCCGAACACGACAGAAGTGCGTCTGCTGAGCCCTGACGACGTACAGCTGCACCGCCCGTCGGTACAGACTCATGCATGGTCTCTGCGCTCCGCAGACGCCAGACATGTCGGCAAAGCAGGATAAAGCGACTGTGCTCATCCTCGCCGGCCTACAGTACGGACCTACGAGAGCATTGGTCACCTACCTTTCTCCCTTGGCTCAGCACATCCGCATCGTCGACAAGGCCCTCGTCATCTTGCCCGGTGCAAAGAGCGAGCAAGATGGAGGGAGCACGAGCAAGAGCGGAGAAGAGAGCGTTTGGCTCTGCTACTCTGATCCGGAGTCCAAGGCGGTGTTCGAGCAAGGCGCACGAGACTGGCTTGTGAGCACCGACGACTCTGCAGGACGGCGTATAGAATACCTACAGGGCAATCTGCTCAGAGAAGGCTCGTCAATGTAGTTGCTCAGACTGATGTCAGACTGAACCGTCATCGGATGGACAGACACTCGACAGAAAGCATTCAGCTTGCCCAGCGCATTCAGTGGCAAAGCGAGCAGCTACGACTATGTCTTTGACTTCACGGGCGAATACGACTTTGAAGGCGATGAACAGGCAAGCTCCTCGTCCAAGGAGTGCAGTGCATTCGGGCAGCCTGACGAACGTCGAGCAGCTTCATCTCGAACGAACAACTCTGCTCGCCGCCCAGCTCGGTAAGCTCGCTGCTGAGCTCAGAGTCAAGGCCTATGTACGACTTTTGCCGCCCTACTATCAGATCAAGGGTGACAAAGCAAAGCGATGGAAGACGCCCATCTCAGAGTCAGATCTTGCCTTGCCTTGGAACCGGCGGGCCAGGTGGCATCACGAAGCCGTGCGCGCACTCGCCAGTATACCCAGTCTCAACCTCGTCATTGCTCGTCATGCCACGCTCTACGGACGCTACATGCTCAACGGGCTAGCAAAGAGACTGCTCATCGGCTCGGTCTATCAGTACCTGCAAGAGAAGATGGAATTCCTGTCGGTGCGCGTGTCTTAGCCGGCGGATGCAGTCTGACGCTTCAATCACGACAGTTGGGGCGAGGATCTGCCACAGTACACCGTGCATGTTGACGATCTGTGTCGCGCGATGTGGGCACTGGCCGACTGGATGAGCAAGACTGGCCGGATCAAAGGCGATGAACTTGCCAGTGCAAATCTCGCGCCATGCCGTCCCATACCAAGCTGGGTGAATGATTATGTAAGTACAGCAGCCGGCAATCCTGCGGAGAGTAACGAGCCAACGCAAAATACCTTGAGCAAAAAGCAAGCAAAGGCCGCAGGTCAGCCGGATCATTGCTGAATTTATTGAATCTAACAAGAGCTCCGGGTGTCAGCGGCCGCATACGACGATACCGAGATCGATACTCTGCTTGCCAAGCGTACAGCAACAGTGACGGCGCCCTTGTTCAATATCGTCGATCAGGGAGCAACAAGTCAGGGGCACATCTCGGCTATCGTGGCAAAACTAGTCGGCGTCAAGTCTGGCTTCCATGGTTCGCTGATCAATCAATTTGCCAAGCTCAATATGGACGCTGTCCTCGAAGACGCCAATCAGAAACACCTAGAATGCTGGCCAGAGATGCTCGCTACATCTGATCCGCCCATCTCGAACGCATACCTGACCCCATATCTCGCTCGAGAACAGCTGCTCAATGAACCCATCATCCTCAACGGCGACAAGCTATGCAAGCTACTTGAGTTCGAATACAAGCACCCGCGAGTGACCGAACAAGGCCTGCGGGATATGCTCGATGCCTTCAGAGCGCAGAATAATGTGTGGCCGAACGCCAAGAAGAGTTCCTCATGACTGCTCACGCGCGGCACTGCACATAGACACGTCAGCTGCTCTGACCTTTTCCAAAACAGCAGGACTATTAGTAGCGTGCATGTGAAGCAATGCATTGTGACAGATGTGCGGTGCGTCAGGCGCGTGTGACCGTGTAGTGTGAAAGCAAGGCCAGCTTGCATGACTAGTTTGCCGCGCGAGCAGGTCGAGCAGGCCGCGCAGCGCGGTTCTTACCGGCTCCGGCTGCTGCACGGTTACGGTTGGCTCCCGGTCTGCGCACCGCACGACCGACGGCTTTGATAGCGCCTTTGACGGGGTTGGCTCGCTTGCCAAGTAGCCGCTTCACTGCCTTTTCGAGACGATTACCACCCGCGCCACCAGCAGCTGGAGCAGGACGAGCAGCTGCAGCGGGACGAGGAGCCGCAGGCGTGGTGGGTGAAGGTGGATCGACGACCTTGTCGAAGCCTGGTGTCACTGCGCGGATCTTACGGATTGCGGGCATCTTTGGCATTTCCGCATTGGGTGTCTTGGCGTTCATGGCGGCGAAGCATGCCACGAAGGGACCGTTGGGCGCTGTGTTGCGTGAGCGAACGAGGCAGATGTTGTTCTGCACAGGAACAGATTAGCTAGTCCTCAATGTACCTTACCAGTATGTACCTGAGGTCCTCCGCGACAGTTTGGGGCATTCACTTTGAGCACGAGAGGATATTCAGTCGTAATGAAAGTATCTTTGCCGTTCTTTCCGGGCACTTGTGTGACCACCTCACATGGTCTGAACGTCTGGCCGCCATCTTCGCTGACATCGCAGTCGAAAGGACCAGCGCCGTCTTCCTGCAGTCGTAAAGCTTAGTCAGGGATCGGATCAGAGATGGATGAACTTGCGTTGACGACGTCGACCTTGATAGGCATCTCGCCCTGGGCCGAAAAAGCAGGCGTGTTCTCGTCTGTGGCGGTACGGATACCCTCGGCGATGTTGATGGGCCCATCGGCAAGCGTGCGACCGCCTGTGTTTTATGTATCAGCAATCGAGAACACTTTTAAGCAAGCCGAACTGACATTGACCACTTATGCCCTCGTCAATCTCACGCTGACGGTAGATGGCTGTGTCCATTTGGTAAGGATTGATAGATGCTCCCGTTCTCGAAAAGGATGTGATGACGCCTAATGCTGGCCCGGTAACATTATTGCTACCCATCACGGCCGTGAACACGAAGTGGGCAGACACGCTGTGTACTGCCAACAGGACGGTGACGAGACTGACGCAACGAGACATCGTCGTGAAGAGGTGTCGAGTAGTAGTGAGCAGCTGGACCACAACTCTCTCAAGATGAGTCTCGCCAGATTGAGCTCAAACTCCACATGGCGCAGCGCCCAGACGCCATGGGCATGAGCGTACACAGCCATATTTCCTGCGGTCTCACGCCTGTCGATGTCGAGGAGTACAGTCTGCCTCAGTCGCTCGATTGGGGCACAATGCGCTGCTCGCGAGACTAGTGGCTGAGAGGTGCGTGCGGAGTGGCTTGCAGACGAGGCTGATGTAAGTAAGGACAATTGAGAGCTAGGGCCTCTCGTCGACGGCTGACCGCTGAACATGCGACCACGTCACACCACGCCGCGTGAGAAGCTGTCTGCTCGAGTGTTTGATCGCGTGGCCGATCTCTATCGCAACTCGCGCCTTATCAGTCTCCTCCATACCTTTCGTCTCACCCTGTCCGCAATGCAACCCTTCTTCGACGATCGTCGTCAACTCACAGAACATGCACGCGAGATCGCTGCTCGCCTTGCTTTCAGGCAGCCTCGTGCTGGCTTCCCGCCTTGCGACGTTCAAACAGCCGTACGATGATCTCAAGCAGCAAGCTGTGGCGGCCGCAAAGTACCCTGCTCAAGCGATGAAAGTGCCTGTCGACCACTTTGACAAGTCGAACAAAGACATGTTCGAGCTCCGCTATTGGGTGTCGCTTGAGTACTTCAAGACCAATGGACCCGTTGTGATCCTGTTGGCTGGCGAGACCGATGCAGAGGGTCTCACCTTTGCCTTCGATGCTCCACATCTCGGTGGAAGGATCGCAAGCCGTATCGGTGCGGCCCTCGTGGTCGTCGAGCATCGCTTCTATGGCCAATCGCACGTCACAGCCGATCTCTCAACTGACTCGCTTCGCTTCCTGACTACCGCTCAAGCCTCAGCCGACTATGAGTACTTTTCTCGTCGCTTCAACTTTGCTGGACACGATCTGTCAGCGCCCAAGAGCTTTCACATGATCACGGGCGCGTCCTATGCTGGCGGCATCGCCGCACGCTGCAGGAAGCTGTACCCTGGTGTCTTCCCAGCTGCCATAGCATCGAGCGCGCTCCTGGAAGCACAGCTAGATTTGTGGTCGTACTATGAAGCTCCTCGCAAGTACGGACCCCCTCAGTGCATCCGGAACGTGCAAGTGTCGATATACGTAATCGATCAGCTCCTCAAGCACTCTGTAGAGATGAGCAGGGCCATCAAAGATGCCTTTCACGTCAAAGGAGAGGCTCACAACGATGACTTATCATTCTGGCTCGCTATCGGTCTTCAGACTTACCGGGAGAAGAATTGGTACACCAAGCACACGTCGTTTGACGCCTTCTGCTCAAATATGACCGCAACGATGCGTCATTCGGCAGCCGACAAGGTCACAATGGCTCGTCTTGTTGAACAATCCGGCTTCATGACGTCCAAGTGGCATGAGCACGAGACAATCGACAAGGTGACTGAGGTGATGCTCAACTACGTGGTCTGGCAAGACGCCGTGCAGCGGGCATATGGCTGCAACGGCTTGGCCTTTGATGCATGCTGGAACTTCCACGATTCTCACGTGGATCTCACCTATGCCAACACCGGCAGGCTCTGGCTCTCGCAAGTCTGCAAGGAAGTCGGGCTCTTCCAAACGGGCTCGGCGCCTGTCAGTCAGCTCTCGCTCGTCAGCAGAGCATACTCTGTAGCGAGCGAACTTGAGGTCTGTCGGCTGAACTTCCCTCGTGGCGACAGGTTTGAGTTCCCAGCCAAGCCAGAGGTCAAAGCCTGGAATGCTGTCACTGATGGATGGAACATCGACCTACCCTGGCTAGCCCATTTCGTTGGCGAGAAGGATATGTGGCGCGTCATCGGACCTGCAGCACCTGGTGCGCCCCCTCGCAAGAGCACGCCCGAGAAGCCATTCTATATCATCGAGGGCGGCTACCACGGCTCAGACGTGATAGGTCTGGACCCCTCCTTTGGCGATATTGAGGTACCACGAGCAATCTTGGCTGCTCAGGAGATTCAGAACGAGTTTGCTGAAGCGGCTTACGCTGCTTGGAGGGCTCGCAAGGCTTAGCTAGCCCGAGCCGAGGCTGACCCGTGATCAATGCAGCTCTTGCGATCTTGCTTGCTTTCTGCCGCGTTCGCGTCGTGGCCTGGTTTTGACATCTGCTCGGAGCGTGAGCCGACCTGCCCGTGCGTCAGTCGACTTGCCGCTCGAGCAGGCCATTGGCGTCTGCGTATGGACCCATGGAGCGAGTCACCGTCTTGCACCAGCGGATAACGCTCGATGTGGACTTGCTGAACGCCAGGGCAGCATGCCAGACCGAGCTGACGGTCATCCCGAGTAGTGCTGACCTGGCGACGGTCTACCTCAACTCTCGAGGCTGTCGAATCCAGCACATCAGCTTGTCGAGGCCACAGGCCGGTCCGGACGAGGATGCCGCGACGACAAAGCTGGACAGGGCAGAGTTTGAGCTCTCTGACCCGTTCGAGAACAAGGCAGACAATCCTACGTTCCAGCCGACTGATCCCAACAACTTCAGGACGGCCTATCCCGAGCTCAAGAGGAAGCTCTACTCGGCCACGCACACAGCTCAGCAAGGCGAGCTAGCCATCGCAATCCCGCCAGACTTTGTCAGACCGGTACAAGCGAGAGATCCCTCAGTCTTCAACGGCTCAGACTCGCGCTCGAGGGGAGTCAGCCCTGCCGTGCTCGCAGCCTCTGCTGGCTTTGAGGAGATCACTATCTCCATCAGCTATACCATCAGCTCGCCCAGGGATGGCTTGCACTTTGTCAGACCCGACTCGACTGGCTCTGTCCGTGTGAACGAAGAACCATCCCGCGCGTGAGCTGACGATGTGATGCCTCACAGAATGTTCCTCATGTCTACACGACCTCCTCATCGCCCGAATCAGCTCGCTACTGGGTCCCCTGTGTCGATACCTTGTGGGATAGATCGACTTTCGAGCTCGAAATTGTCCTGCCGCGCTCACTCGGCCTGTCAGACGACGATGGCTTCACCGACGTGGCCGGTCGAAGACGTCTGGCGAGCACAGCAAAGAGGATAGAAAACATGGCAATAGGCTCAGGAGATCTCGTCGAATCCGTCGCACATCCGGCTCAATCGAGCAAGAAGATCTGCCTCTTTCGTCAACTCAACCCCGTCTCGATCCACCAGATGGGCTTTGCCGCCGGGCCTTTCGAGAGTCTGGCGCTCACAGCTGCTCTCGCAGGCCTCGCGCCCGCCGGGTCCGGTGACGACGACGAACGCGGTCCTCAGCTACGCGCATTTGCGCTCGTCGGTGCACACGATCAGCTGCCCGCGACGACGGGCTTCCTGCAAAAGGCAATGCGTTTCTATGAGAAAGAGTATGGCTCCTACCCTTTCAACACGTTCAATCTCGTCTTTGTGGATGATTCGACCTTTAGCGTCTTCAATACAGCCACGCTCGCCATCCTCTCGTCTGACCACTTGCATGCAGACAACATGATCGAGCCCGCATACGATACTCGGCAAGCCCTATCGCATTCATTGGCCTACCAGTGGTTTGGCATCAACATCATCCCGAAGGCCTGGTCAGATGTCTGGCTTACTGCTGGCCTAGCGCTCTACATGGTGTCGCAACTGACCAAGCACCTTTTGGGCAATAACGAGTATCGCTTCAGGCTGAAGAAGGACATTCAGCGTTGCTGCCGACGAGATATACGCATGCCCCCGCTCTGTCAACCCAATGTGCCTCATCCGCCTGACAATGAGAGCGCGGCCTTCTACGCACTCAAGGCGCCCCTCGTTTTGACCATCCTCGACCGTCATCTCAGACGCTCGGGCAATTCCTTAGGTCTCTCTCGTGTCATACCCAAGTTACTCATCTCCGTCATGGCCGGTGAGCTCAAAGACAACACGATCGGCACGCCGGGGTTCTTGCGCATGTGCCGCAAGCTCGCCAATGCTGGCGTGGACTTGCGCCCGTGGGCAAATCAGTGGATATACGGATCCGGATGTCCACACTTTAACGTCGTCATCAACTTCAACAGGAAAAAGATGATCATCGAAGTTGACATCACCCAGCACCTGCCAGCTGCCAATGATGCGGCCACTCAACCCTGGTCAGCTACAGCGCATACCAATCCAGTACAAAGCTTCGATGGCGCTCTGACAATTCGTATACACGAATTTGACGGTACGCCGTATGACCATGTGCTCGGTGTCAAAGCAGGCTACAAGCGGCACGAGGTGGCATACAATACGCGCTTCAAGCGCATTCGATCTGGCATCAGATCTTTCATACCACGGCAACATGATGCCAATGACGATCCTGGTATGGGCATAAAAGCTTCCGAGTCTCGCTTCCACCTGCAACTGTGGGAAGATGCAGCTCAGCGCACTCGGTGGAAAGTTGCAGACTATACCGAAGAAGAAGTGGAAGCGATTGCCAATACCCCCTACGAATGGATTCGTATCGACGCAGATATGGACTGGATCTGCTCGGTCGCATATGTCCAGCCAGAGTATGCCTGGATTGCTCAGCTCGAGCGCGACAAAGATGTGATCGCTCAGCTCGATGCAGTCCACGGTCTGCTTGCGAGGCCGAGTCTTATGGCAGCTAGCTCTCTCGCCAAGACGCTGCTTGTCGAGACTTACTTCTTTCGAATACGTATCGAAGCAATCTACGCTATGCTTGGCTGCGCCACAGACGCTTTGCAGCAAAGAGGCCTGTTCTATCTGTTGCGACTATTCTACCAATTCTTCGACACCGGCAAGACGCCTTTCCCTGCAGATCACAACGAGTATGTCTGCGTGCCGTCGCCCAACGATTTCAGCAATGTGCCCGACTATCTCATCAAGAAAGCTTTCATCTCTGCTGTATCGCTCGTCAGAGACGCGAGTGGCCTGTCGCCGCATGTTGCCAAGATCATGCTGATCGATCTGCTCGCATACAATGACAATTCTCGCAATGCTTTCGATGACAGCTTCATGATCTCAGAGGTCATCTCAGACCTCGCGGTCGCTTTACTTGCCGACAAGACGGATACGTCTGATGCCAACTTCGTACCCACCCCTGCCGATACAGCACTTGTCCAACGAGCGTCGGACGAAGTGGAGCGATATCAGAGTCTCGACAGACTCGTGCCATCGTATCAGAATCTTGTGACCGTTGCTGCACTCAACGTGAGCACCATCATGCATGCCAGAGGCTGCACTGACCATCGCAAATGCTGCAGTTCAAGTTTAGACTGATGGCCGCTTGCTGTGTGCCTTTGAACTTGCAGACGTTCGTTGCCGCCTCAAGGTGTGTCAAACCACTGAATAAGTCATGGACTGACACGCATCACAGAGAGGGCAACCATCTTGCTGTGCGCATTGCCGCGCTCGACTGTCTCATCTTCTTCAGAGCGCTGCAAGATCTCACGCTCGCCAGCTACGTCTTCTCGATACTCGTTGGGGACGCATCGTTTGCGGTGCGCCGTTACGTGGCGCAAAGTCTTTTACAGTGCATGCCGACTCTGGCGCTCCTCGACGATTTGAGCGATAGCAGTAATAGAGACACTGGTACGCCGGACAAGATGCACCGAGCCGTCAGGAAAGAGATCGGCCGGACCACCTTCGTCCGAGAGAGCATTCTCACTGTCTTGCTGCGACCCGATCTGGATCTACAGATACGATGGATTCTGCTGAAGCTCTGCGAGGTCATTGCAAAGCCAGCGGAGGAAGCCCTGCCGCGAATCAAGTTCAAAATGCCCGGGACAGCAGCCTCGACCGCAAATGCGATGGTCAGACCAAGGCTACGCATGTCTGGCGATGGAGCTGCTCTGGGTGGTCAGCCTTTGAGATTCGTTCTCAACACCCCGTCTGTCGAGGTGGCCACTGTCCAGCGACACCGAGCTGCGCCCAAACTGAGGGGCCAGAAGTCTGGCATGTCCTTTGATGATCTCAAGGCATGCCAGAACTGTCTCAAAAAGATTCTTGTCCACCGATCAGCAGATCTTTTCCGCAATCCCGTTGATCCTGTCAAGGACGTGGCACCAAGATACTTCGAGATCGTTAAGGACCCAATGGACCTATCGACGATGAGTTACAAGCTTGAACAAGGCTACTACGCGAGCAAGAACGAGTTCAAAGCCGACTTTGAGCTCATGATTCACAATTGTCATCTTTACAATTCTGCCGACAGTAGGCCGGTACAGTTGGCAAATTCACTCAAGGCTGCCTTCGACAAACAATGGGAACGTATCCTTGCAACTTTGGCGGCCTTGCAGAAAGCTCAGCCAGCGCCTCGGGCAGACATTCGACTGTCAGCACCCTCAGCCCAAGCGAACGGAGGCGGACTGACTCTCAAAATCAAGTCGCAGCCATCTATCACGCCTGAGCCTGGTCGGTTGGTGATCACCAAGCCTTCCCTCAAAGTGACGGCTACTGCGCCTCATCGCAACGGTGCCACGACTGCTCGTATCGTGGACCATCGCATACCTTCACCTCGTGTCGAGTATAGTATGGCGAGAGCCAAAGCTGTCATGCGCAGTCTGATCGAAAACGAAAAGTCAGTTTTCTTCCGGCGGCCCGTCGATCCTATCTTGGACGGCTGCCCGACATACTATGACGAGATCAAAGATCCGATGGATCTCGGCACGATGATGATTAAAGTGCGCGAAGGCCGCTATCGAGATACGCATGAGATCACGCGCGACTTTACACTCATTGGCAAGAATTGCCGTATCTTCAATCCGCCAGGAACACTACCGATCCAGCACGCCGAAGAACTCGAGCGCGCATGGCCACTCGAGTGGTTGGACGTCGATCGGATCATGCCGGGAGAGAAGCGATCCTTGCAATCCATGCTCAAGGCCGTCAGTGCACTCGACACTGCCAGTCTCTTTCGAGAAGCTGTGAGTATCTGCCTATGGTAACAGTCGAGCATTAGCGCTGATGCGTGTGCAGGTCGATCCGGTGGCTCTTGGCATCCCTACCTATTTTGAGATCATCCCGCGCGAGGATGCACGCGATCTGTCCCTCATCAGACGAAAACTCGAAGCGGATCTTTATCGCTCCGTCGGAGATCTGGATGCAGATGTCCGCCTGATGATCTTCAACTGTCTCAAGTTCAATGCGCCAGTACCGCCTGTGGTTGCGATGGCAAAAGACTTTGAGCGTGACTACGGCAAGCAGATAGTGGCCACCAAGGTCAGCTTGGGCATCGCAGCTGGCAAGGCCGGCAAGCGTGCAAGCAATGCCACAGTCAAAGGTCCGGCAAAGAAGGCAAAGTTCGTCTGATGTGTCTCAATGCAAGCAGTCGAGATGCTGTCGCGCACAAACAGTGATTACAATGACTACAGACTATCTACTATCTGCGCTAGGTGACGTCGATCCGCCGAAGTAGGACGCCACGACGTTCCTGCCTGTCTGCCATAGACCTGTACCCTCATCTTGGCCATCATAGCCATCTTCCTCGCCAGGTTGCAGATCTTTGTCCGTTGCAAACGACGTGCTTTTGTAGACCGAAGTATGCTGCGAGCCGCCGCTCTGCTCATAAGCGCTGATGATCGCACGCAAGTCTGGGTGAGAGGCATTGCGCGCATGAGCCATGTGCGCGAGATTGTCATCTCGCAGGAAGACACCCGGAGATTGAGCGGTGATCGAGCGAGATCGACTCAAGCGGCTCGAACTGGGTGACGTTGTCAACGGTGCCATAGCCGGATGGCCCGCTGGTGTGCCCGGCTGTGACTTTGACATGAGGAGAGATGAAGCCGGCATGCGGCCGGATAAGCTCGGCCGGCCTGACCGCGAGAGAGACTCGCTCGTAGATGAGCTGCCGCTAGTCTCGGTCGAGGGACCGCTGGGTCTGCCGCGAGGTACGGCAGCACCAGATGGCGTGCGAGATAGATCCTGCTGTGCCGTGAGCGATGCGACCGCGCCTTGGAGGCCTGTGCTGCCCCTCGAGTCGTCGTAGCCCTCAGAGACTGACGAGGATTGGTTAGAAGACTGGCCCTCGCGAGGCGTCGGATACGAGAGCTCAAGCTTGTCATCGCCACTGCTCTCAGAGTCACTGGTCCGCTCGCCTGCAGGCAGCTTGATCGTATTGTTAGCGGGGCTTGTGGGCAGTGATCTAGCCGCGAGCCGCGCATTGTGTGTGACGTTGCGAGCATCTGACATGAGCTCGGCGTCCATTGTAGACCTATCGACATTGGATGGAGGTCGACGCGCAGACAGGGTATGCCTGATGAAGCGTCGACAGGATTGTAGTGCAGCTCGTGACGCTTCGAGGAAGAGGAATGCCTGATGCACGTGCGGACAATCCTCGTAAAGCTCATGCTGGACCTGCACGCCGGCCATGCTTGCTTTATGTGCCAATAATGTGCCTTCGTCGCGAAGTACTTCAGCGTCGCCTCCTTGGATTAGCAAAGGTGGTAGTCCAGTGAAGTCGCCGAATAGAGGCGACACATAAGGATGTGTGACATATTTGTTCATTCGATCCGGGTCGCCAAGCAGACATTTGACCGGATTGAGATGCCCGTCTGGCTTGAATCTTGGTAGATAATCAAATGGCTGCGGTAGTATATCAGCGGAAGCCTGTGACATAGCAGCGAAGACGTACAGCATTGGTGTCCCAGCTTGCACAGCTCAGCGTGAGATCCACCCAGGGGCTCATGAGGATTGCGCCTGACGGGAGAGGGTAGCCCTCGTCGCGGAGGTACAAGAGCAAGGCGGCAGTCAGGCCGCCGCCTGCTGAGTCGCCTGCGAGTACGATATTTTCGGGGGGTATCTTGAGATCATAGATCAATCTGAAGTAGCCAGCAACGGCGTCGTGTAGCTGTCCGGGGAACTTGCACTCTGGTGCGAGTCGGTAGTCTAGCGCGAAGATGCGCGATTCGGTATATTTACTGAGAGCGATTGTCAAGAAACGATGCGTGGCCGGGCTCATGACAAAGTAAGCGCCGCCGTGAAGATAGAATATAACTTTATCCTTTCCGATGTGACTGTTCTTCTCCGCGTTGGCAGTCGGTGAGCGTGAAGGCGAGCCGTTGGTCTGAGTTCGCGAGGCATTGGTTGCGGTAGATGAGAAAGAGGCTGATCTGCCATTGTTCATCGGTGCGCTACTCTTGCTGGCTGACCGTCCTCCACGCTTTGGAGGATCGCCATGGTACTCGGCTTGCATACGCATCCACAGTCGCTTGTTGATGACCCATTCGCCGTTGAGTTCTCTCGTGCCAGTTTCGGCCGCGTCAGACTCTGCCAGGAAGCCCTTGAGCCCTCTCCGCTTTACCTTGAAGCTGACAGGCGTGACAATGCCATCTTTTGGTGTCGGCAATATCTGGCCGAGATCGAGCATCTGCCGGAGCAGTCTGATATTTGACAGATGGGAGTAGTCTGCCGCTTCTCGAAGGATAGTGGTGAAGATGGTCATCTCTATTCCCCATGACTTCTTGGGCGGACCGAAGATATGATGTGACGCAAAGGCTGTGGCGATTGAAGAGGCTGACGCGGCAAGTCAGTCAATACCTTACGAGAGCTGTGAGCGTACCTTGATGAGCAAGAAAGGGCAGATATTTCCAGGATTCTAATATGCCGAGTGGTTTCTCTGGTTGTTGTGGAACATCTTTCAGCACTCTACTGCCTTCGGGCACCTCCGTCTTGTTCGTAAAGGGTTCCAGCAGGTTATTGAGCGTTGCAGGGGAAGTCGGAGCTGCTGCGCCCGCTTTGAGGCGTTCCTGCGCAGGTGTGACGGCATTGTCGCCTGCTTGTAAGGGCGAGGCAGATGTCCTGATGTCGGCGGATGGCCCGTTGGCTTTTCGCGATTCCACGGTTGCCTGCTCCTCGTCCTCGGCCGGCGAAACATTGACGACGGGTTTGCCGCTGGCTGATGGAGATGAACGACCATTGCTCGCCTCGCGCTGCTTGCCGCTAGCAGCATCGATCGTGGAGACTTGCTTCGTTGTCAACATGGATTCTTTGACGGCCATGCTGATCTAGCCAGACAGATGACGCGCAATGCTGAGTAGATGGGCGTTGTCGATTTGCCCCTGACGAGATCGTGCTCGCAATGAGAGCGACCGAGCAGCCGACTATGCGGGGGACCGTGCTCTCGGCTGAAAAGCAGTGTTGGCGCGATTGAATAGGCCGGGGTTTTGGGTTTGCAAGTCAAATGACCTATCAACGCGCGTCGCCTGTGCTCTCCGCACGTCTCTTGAAGCGTCTACCGTCTAAGATACACTGTGTACGATGCAGAGTGTGCCAGCTTGTGGCCGCTCGAAACCCTGCTGAGTCACCGCACGTCGCCAAGTGACAGAGAAAGGTCACGCGGCGGGTGCAGATGATCGGACGACACGGCGTAGATCTCCGCAGCTGGACGGAGACAACTGTCCGGTTGGCTCTAGCCTTCCTTGGGTGGTTATCGCCTGCTGACGGAGAGCGAATGACCTCTAATTCGTCTCTCTGATAGACGAAAGATGAGAAGTGCTCGGCGATGTCAACCCTTTGCACTCGGACCGCCACTGCTGTTCGAGACCAGCTGGAAAGCTTGTCGGACCTGCTGAAAGGCGCAACGATCTGCACGCTGATCTTCCCAAGCTCGTGGAGTAAAAGGAAGCGGTATTCTTGGATGCCCGCACTGTTTGTTAATCGTCATTCGCGAAATTCGGCTTCGAGCCCTTTTCAGCCCGATCGAGCGATGACGCCGGGAATTTGAAGGTTCACGATGACACGTATGAGCCACAAGCCGAACATTGCAGAGTAAGTATGGACAACAACAACAACAGCAACAGTAGCACTTCATGAGTGGTAGTATGATGGATACGTGGCAGCATGCTCGAGATTCGTGCTCGTCAAAGTCGACGGCTTCAGCGGGCTGTCGATGCGATGCATGCATGCGATGATGGTCAGTAGGCTTCATGCGAGTGAGGCGCCGCATCTTGCCTGGTAGCGTCGCCTACGCTGGCAGCGCCGTTGAGCGCATAGCCCCCATCGGGCTTGTCATCAATCGATGGATCCAGCTTGACCTTCTTAGCCGGCCTGACCTTCAGATTCTTGCGTGGGGTATACTTGCGCCTGGGCTGGGCATCGTCTGGCAAGAACGGAAGCGTCTCGTGATTGTGGACCGAATTGAAGACGGTGAGATTCCACTGGCTGCCGTCAAATCTACCTCTGATTTCAACAGGACATTCTGACTTGCGGGTCTTTGTCTGACGTTGGCGCTCGAGGGTATTGAGCAGATGGGTATTGCGATATTTGCCGTGACGAGAGCATGCAAGGAAGAGATACTTGTCGGCTTTGGAGCTACGGGTCACGAGCGTATAGCCATGTTGACGAGCAAATCTTCCGCACGCTTCGATAGCTTCATTCATCGTCAGGAATGTACCAGACAGCGTGGGCAAATCGTTACGAATGACGCCGTCGCTAGTGGCCGACTCTCCTTGGTGTTCAGTAGCCGAACACTGCGGCCCTCTGATGAGCGCATTCTGACGTTGCCAGCGTTCCTCAGCGGGTGTAAGCAGTGGCAGACTGCGCAGGTACTGTGCAGGAGACTGCAAATCGTAAGATAGGCTTGCCACTTCTTCTGGGGGCGGCGCCGAAGGTGAGCAGTCCTGATTATCGCAGATGTCGAGTCGTGCAGGCACCAGCGCTGCGAGCGGAACGGAACGCGAGCGACGCGTGCCGTCATACATGAGCGATTTGCTGGGGAATATTGTCGGGATGGGTGATGGCTCGCGGAGGTTCAGAGGCTGTGGCTCGCACACAACGAGAGCATGACTATCGGATGGGATCTCGTCTCCGTCGTAATCTGGCTGCTCGCCTAAGTCTGCGGAGTCTCTGAAATTCGCTCTTCTCTCGCTCGAGTCGGACAGATTGGCAGTCTGAGGATGCATGAGTCTGATCTGATCTTCGACCATCTTGGGATCAAAGCCGGTCATGGGAGCACAGATCGAAGCACGGGCAGCTGCCTCTAGCCGTTCTCGTTCCTCTTGCTCAACTGCCATCTGTGTTCGCGTGAAGATGTCTGCCGCTTGCACCTCGTCTAGTCGGGCTTCTTCGCTCGATCGTGTAGTGGCATACAAGAACGCTGAGCCGTCGTCAAGAGGATCGAGCGAAGCTACTTGGGCCTGGTAATGATCGTGTTGCTCGCGTGTAGGCACGTCTTGCGAAATCTCGACGGTGAGTACCAGCTTGGCTCGATACTTTTTCCGTCGTTGGAAGCGAGTCTTGAGCAGCAAATAGTCGTCCTCTGTTCAGGGCAATCCAGACTGAGCATGTCTAAGGATGCGCAGAATTAGAAACTGACCGTCTTGAACTGTCTGAAGCTGACGTGAGACCGGATAGTGAACCAAGATCGAACGATCCCCTGCCGAAACACGATCAGCGCAAGATTCCAAGCCAGGGAGGGACTTACTGGGCACAAAGACGGCAGACTTGACTCTGTCCAGCCAATCCTCGAACGATAGCCTGTACCGAGTCGAGAGGTCTGCCTTGATGGTCCCATCTAGCCCATTGTCCCTTTCGAGACAGATGTGCATCGACAGTTTCTCCATTCTGCCTGTCAGCCATCACATCCATCAGCCGCTTTTCAATGTCAATGTCAATGTCAATCTCGGCTAACCTTGCTTGCGGACAAAGCTGTCGTCGATGAAGCGAAGATCCGAATTTTACAGCTTTCAAGCAAATCTCGGTGAAAACGGACCGCGATCCCGCTCGAGGCCACCCTCGCAAAAGTCGAGTGTCAACCCAAGTCACTGCCCGTCATGGTCCAGAGAGTGACACTGCCGACCCGCAAGTCGTACAACACCCGTTCCAACCGACGGAGGATCGTCAAGACGCCAGGTACGCTGGAGCGATCGAGTGGAGGCCAGGAGGACATGCGCTGAGGGTCTTGCTTCTCTTCGCTTGCTGTCCGCCTCGTTCTGTTGATCTCGTATGATGACGATGTGATGACACACGATGGATACTAGGCGGCAAGCTCAGATATCTCGCTGTCAAGAAGAAGGCAAGCTCGCCCAAATGCGGTGATTGCGGTACCAAGCTGTCAGGCGTGAGTCGGCCCCCAGTCAGGATGACAACGAGCTTGATTCACTGAGACGTGACCCGTACAGATCCCAGCGCTGCGTCCACATGGCTACGCGCGAGTGAGCAAGCGAATCAAAACTGTCCAGCGTGCCTATGGCGGCTCGAGATGCGCAGGATGCGTTCGCGACAGGTTTGTGTCGATGCTTTGCCGTTGGCATACTGCCACTGACTCCAGCATCGCCAAACAGGATCGTTCGCGCCTTCCTGGTAGAGGAGCAAAAGATTGTCAAAAAGGTCATCAAGGCGGCCGCTGCTGGCAAGTAGACGTTTGCCCGTCTTTTGTGCGATTAGCTTTGTCTCCGCATGCATCTCATGTGACTTCGAGATGCTAGTCTATGCTCTGCGCAGTGGAAGTCTGGCTTGGCACATCCATGCGAGATCAAGGTGCAATTGAAGCGATACTGTACAGAGGAGCAAGCAACTCTATTTTTATGCGCTTGCTGCAACCTTCTCGATCGCTTGTCTGAGCTTGGTCGCATCTGCGCCACTGTGATTGCCCTCTCATCAGCCTCTGGCAGGCTGTAGCCAAGGGCCTGACTCACACTACTTGGTCGACCTTTGCGCCATCCTTGTAGACGATGAAAGTGGGCATCGCTCGGATATTGTTCTCTTGTGCGATCTCCTGTACGCCAACAGGCTGCCATCAGCTCCTGTGAGCGACCGAATGCCGGCACGACGCACAGGCTCTTCGTCCACGTCGACCTTGAGGAACTGAACGCCGGGAAATTCGCTCGACATGGCTTCAAACTTGGGCGAAATGACCTCTGTTGACATTCGTCCACACCATCAGCGCACTTCCATCGGCCCCGTCATGGGAACGCACTGCAGGGTCCGCACCATGTCGCCCAAAAGTCAATGATGGTCGGCTTGCTCTGTCCAATCTGTCTCGCCACCTTGTCGTCAGCTCGAGCGCTTTGGATGCAATCGGGCAAGACCTACATGCTTTGTGAAGGCTTCGAGTCCTTTGATTGCAGCCACCATGTTGATAGATGGCAAGAGACTGACGACTGTGGGATGAAGGCGCAATGCAAGCGATCAGCTGAACTTGCTCTGACTGCTCCTTCGTGGACTCGAGCGAGGATTGGCAGCCGATGAAGTGGTGGTGTGACGAGACGAGCGACTCGACCGACCTTATATGACACTGCCCGCTCGACGGATGATTCACCCAAGTAGGTTTCGACTGAGTCAGCAAGGCGAGAAGCTGCTTCAGGCACGTGACCGCCACCGACCGCGTCGCGCGGCTGCAATTTCTGTGTAATTCGCTGGCGAGCCTCACCAGTTTGCACCAGATGCTGCCGCGGCTTGTGCCCTTGGCGGCTCAGAGCACGCTGCTAGGGCTACTGATCAACCAGGCGACGCTACAAGGACCGCTAGATGTGCTGCAACTGCTTGTGCTCGGCGAATTTGCCAAACTGCTCTTGTCCAGTTGTATCGCCATATGGCAAGCCCCCACTACGTCCCAACAGGGAGCGTCTACCTCCGCAAGACTCGCGACGCGCATTGCTCACTTCAGCGCGACGCTACAAGAAGCAAGCCGAGGTCCCAATGCGATAGCAACAAGCGTATGTTAACCAGCTCTTCGGGATGTCTCTTCAGTGCTCACAGGAGAGGCAGCTTCTCTTTCCAGCGCTCGCCTATATTGCTCAAAACATGCTTCTTCTATCTGCTATGCTCTGTATGAACGCCGGCGTCTTCCAGGTGACTCGGTCCGGCTGTCAGCTCCCGCGCGTGCTAACGCGGTCTCGCAGATGGTCTACCAAGCTCGTTGGCTTGTGTCCATGGTAATCGGTACTCTCGTTCTTCGTCGATCAACGTCTTCTCGTCAGTATGCTTCTGTCGGTCTCCTGCTCTTCGGCACTTTCCTCATGTATCTCGACGCGAGCACGACGCTCGACAATGCACGCGCCGGCCCGAGCAGTCCTGCAGCCCACCAACGCGAGATCCTCATCTCCACCTTCAAATACAGTCATCGCAATGATTCTAGCTTCGACGGCAGGATCGAGCCCTACCGAACCTCATCGCCTTATCCGCCCATGGGCTCCTCGCCCGGCGCACGAGCCGAACAAGTCTTACAAGAGCTCGCACGTTCAGCTGAGATGTCGAGCCACCTCTCCAACGGTGTCCTGTGCATTCTTTTCGCTGCCGTCATTGGCGAAGTCACCGCGAGCTACCTCGAGGGCTTCCAACGTTGGCTATCGGCAGGCGTGTCTGGTCTTAATCTCACTTGCTTCGAGTTGCTCGGCAGGCCCTATTCGTCCAAGGACCTCACCTCCCCCTTGCCGCTATCTTCTAGTACGTCCAGCACGAGATCCAATCTGCCTCTGTATACGCCCGTCGGCAATGCCTTGGAAGGCGTCCTCATGCCGCCTGCTTATGTCTCCCCCGACTGCTCAACGGGCGACATGTCTGCCACGCTCAACAATAGCATCGACAGCCTCACAACGAGCAAGTCTGCTCTTGACCTGAGCAAGAGCTTTGCAGACTCGGCCACCTCGCGCCGCAACGGTCTGCCGGCTCGGAAGGACTCGGTCAGCTCGACGTCAGCTTTCGACATATCCTTTGGAGCTCGCGTCAGACGATGCTCAGAGCGAGGCAATACAGAACTGTTCGGATCGAGATCTGCCAGTGGCGCCAATACGCCCATCTCTGCCACGGCACGCTCCTTACCCTTTGCGCTCGATGCTAGCATCGGCAAACTGGATCTGCAAGCCCGCCGTTCGAGCACAACTCCCGCCATCATCAATGTCATGCTGGCCGCCATATCGCTCGCATTCTTGCTCGTCGCGCGTGTCTGTCTATCATCTTCGGAAGACGATGCGAGCCTGTTCAGCTTCCCCGCCCGGCAGAGCAGCTTCCTTGCCTGGGCGATCATTGCGCAAGCATCGCTAGGTCTCATGCATGGAATCGTGCTTGTGGAAGTGCCAGCACAGACGAGGTTGCTCGCTGCACCCATGTCGCTCATCTTCACTGTCATCTCATCCGTCAGTAGCTCCCCTTGTCGTCAGGCTAGAGAGCTGATTCCTCGAATATTGACAGGTCTACACGGTACCAGATACTCGCTTACACACTAGCACTGTCATCGGCATCTTGGCCGTTGCCATAGCCAGCTACATGATCAGCAAGACGAGCTTGGCTTCAACAAAGGAAACCAGCGATTCAAGGAGCGCCTTCGCAAGCCCTGTCTCCGCGTCAGCCAGTCCTGCAGTCGAGCAGGTCGACATGCTCAAGGGCTTGCGCCCTATGATGATGGAGCGTACGCGTAGCCAGCAATCACTTCTGCCTCGCACGCGGTAGATCCGCGCTCTTTTATGTACACACTCGCACCTCGCATCACACCGCGTTAGAGCACGTTGTAGACATCTTTTGCATGCATGGGGATATCAACAGGACTGTCCAACAGACAGAGAGCAGATGAGAGTGAAAGTGATCATACAATAGTCGTGTGGTGCACGGACAGATCGGCCCGTTGCTGTAAGCGCTTGTTCATCTCCGCCCATCGCAGCTCCATCGTAGACTTTCCAAGGGGCGCACTGTTTGTGGTCGATGCAAAGCCTGTAGCTGTAGCAGGCCTGGTCGGAGGCGCGAACGGAGAAGGTATTCCGCCCCCGAAACTGCTTGTGCGGCGATGATGCGCTTGCGGTAGATCGACCTCACTTGGCCTGGGCGGCAAAACAATCTCGTCGACTTCTGGCGGCAAATGAGTCGGTGTCAAGAGATGTGCCGGCAGCGTGACTTGCTGCAAGAGCTGTGATGCGTGGAATGATGCAGGTCGTGCTCGGGGACCCCGAGGCTTGCTTGCGCCCGCATCTGGAGCAGACGCTAGCCTAGAAGATACTTTTGGCTTGCTGTCGTAGGATGGCGACCTGGAGCCGCGCGAGGCGAGATGCGGAGGTAAGCCGAGTCCGATGGTCGAAGCCGACTGAAGACCGGCTTGAGGGGCAGAAAGCGACACCTCTGCGGGTGCAGTTTGCGTGCGCGTACGTGGCTTACTCGCGAGGAAAGCGAGCGGCACCTCGTCGTCCTCTGAAGGCTCCATAGAGGATTGTCTGGTGCGTGCATTGGGATACTGAAGCGACTGACTGCCAGGAGATCGATTGCGACTGGGCGGTCGCGGTGGCGGGATGACGATGTGTTTCCTTCTATGCCTTTCGACAGCTGCCTCGTCTAAGCTATCGCAGCTGGAACTTTCCGACATTGGCGTAATAGACTGATCAGAGAGATGCTCTTGCTCATCCTCTTCGGATACGCCATCAAACTCGCTCATCCTGGGCGAAGTAGGCTCGCGATAGACGAGAACAGGTCGATCCATCATCGGTCGTATGGGTTGAGGCGCCAGAAGAGCCGGAGGAGGTGTCGATATCGCTGGAGTAGACGCGGATCGCATCGCTTTGGGTTGGATAGGGAAAGCGTTAGCAAAAGCTTGAGCAGCCTCGCGCTCCTCTTCCGGCGACCGCAAAGGCGCCAGAGTGAACTTGTTCACACGCGGACTAGCGGTGTCAGCCATGTATGAGCCTGGTCTAGAAGTTGCTGGACTTGCGTTAAGCCTGTCATGCGAGCGTGGATGAGGATCTCCCGTGAGCACAGAGAGTGATGGCCGAGTCGTGCGAGCATCAGAAGGTCGTCTCGACCAGGAGGGTGGTTCTCCTTCCGCCCAGCCTTCGTGCAATGACGTGCTGGAGAAAGATCTCAGTGAGGAAGCAGATCGCATAGCTTGAGCAGAGCGGAAAGCTGCCACGGAGATTGTGGCAGGACTCGTCGGTACGGGAGTGGTGGGCCTGCTGGCCTGAGCTACGAAAGCAGGATGAGTGTTCTGATGATCAGGAGTCGCTTCTCCCTCGTTGACTCTAGCAATATTGCGGACTGACTTGACTGCAAAGCTCGACTCGCCCTTTCTGAGCGGCGGACGAGCTTGCGCAGACCTGTCCGACCCAGCAGAAGCTTGTCCGCTGCTTCGCCGTCTTCCGAAGCCAGGTATGCTAGATCTGAGTGTCGCACGTGAAGACGGCCGTGCGGGCAAGGTGACGACGTGATCATCGACAAGTGTGGTCATCGTCTCATCCGACAGCGCCGAGGATGGCTCGCTTTCAGTCGATGGGGCCGACTCAGACAGGCCAGCACTAGCACTGCGACTTGATGTCGGCTTGCGAAACAGGTTGCGCAGACCGTCGCTCAACCTCCTTGGCGATTGCCTTTCCGGTGCTGATCTGGTCGAGCTTGACAGCGCTTGGGCAAGCTTGGCATGCCCATTGCTGTAGTTGATCGGTGCTTCAGACTGATGTGCACTCAACTGACGATCATAAGCGACGGTGCTCGGCTTTCTGCTGGGTCTACCGAGTCCGAAAGGCATCGCTGAGCTGGGTGTGGCACAGTGATCTCGTCAGCCCAACGGACCAAGACGGAGTCATGCGTGCTGACCTGTGACGATGCTTGGGAACACTGAGTGAGATGCTATTGCTGCTTTGCCCGTCGGAGAGACCACGCCATGGACGGCTGATCAGGCACAGACTGCGCTTTCTTCGTCGAGATTCGTGCTTTTGATCCGATTAGCAAAATATCAGCGCGTCATTAAGGAAACTATTGACGGGATGGCACGCAACCCGGCTCATGACAGGACGACACACGATGAGCGGATGCAGCTCGGCAAAGAGGAAATGCAAAGAGACTGGTATAGGTGATGGTTGCAGACACAGTCATCGTCAAAACTCGTTCAATTTGGCTCTCTTCCATCTAACTTCTCTCTGTCTCTCTTTCGTTCTTGGTGTCCCACCCCTAGATGGGATCGAATCTCGAGCAGGAGCGGTATTTTGAGTTGTAGGCCATAGGGAAGGTGCGAGCCTTATTCGTCGGCAGCACCGGAAGAGCGTGTCTTCCTCTTTTGCGCGCCTTCGTCCTTGGCTTCTCTTGCCGTCGCTGTCGCGTCATCTGCCTTGTCACTCGCAGCCGCAACGACTTCATCCTTCTTGGCCGCTGCCTTATTTGCTGCCTTTTTGGTTTCTTCTTTGATCTTGGGCGAAGCAGCGAAGAGGCCGAAAACTACATCAAGAGTTCAGCACTGAGCTATGATCGCAGCGCAAGAGGACGTACTGATTGCCAGAACGCCAACAAATCCAGCGATCACGGCAGCAAAGGCAGCAGTGACATCGGGGTAAGTCTTGAGCGCGCCAATTGGATCCACGACAGCGAGGTCAATGAGCTTCTGGAACTTGACCTTGACGTGTCCGATCGGATCTTCGTAGATGCTCGGTACGTCCTGGTCAAACGGATCTGCAGCTGCAGGCTTGGGCTTGTCGACTTCCTCCGCTGCTGTCTCGACGGGCTTCTTGACGTGAAAAGTCTGCTTGGCGAAGAGCTCGGCGTCCTTTTCAGAATGTCCAATGTAGATCTGCAAATCATTGGATGAATCCTTGCTCTGAAGGCCCCGGACAGAACTCACGTTGTCAAACAGAATGTCTTCTTGCATTGTCCAGAGTTCGAATCCGATACCCCCCTGCACGCACGTCAGCTGCGAGGCGAGCAGCCAGAGGAGCGACCTACAATCTTGTTAAAGTTGGCAGGCGTCTTGTCCTCAAAGTAATCCGGGTTGGCGATCTTGCGAGGTGCCCAGATACCCTTGTAAAGTGGGTTGTCGATCATGGGCGCATACCACTTGCCCTTGTAGGCAGGGTTGGCAATCGTCGGTCGTCTCCATTCACCGCAACCCGCCACATCTGGGTCCTCGCACTTGGGGTTCGTGACGACAGGTGCGATCCAATCGCCGTCTTCCTCGTCGTCCCATTCCTCCGGCTGCGAAAAGGTACACAGCAGTGTTAGTAGGCATTTAGCGAGCAGGACCTAGCAAGATTTGCCTTCTCCGCGCTAGGATCGGGAATAGTCAGGGGCTCATCATCAAGCCAGGTGTCAGGCTTGGTGGCAGACTCGTCGGGAATGAACTCGAGCGCATCCTCGTCCCAGTCATCGGGCTTCGACGCATCGGGATCGACAATCTTGGCATCATCCACCCAATCGCTCGGCTTCTTGTCCTCGGGGTCAGAGATCTCCTTGGCCGGATTGACAGCAGGGTCAAAGTCCTCGAGCAAGCTGCCAGACTTTGCAAATTCGCCGTCAATCTTGATCTCGTACGTCTGATCGGGTCGGGTGATGAGCGTGTACAGCGTCGTGGTCTTGGTGATCCTTGGCTGGGGTGGGATCTTGAGATGCTTCTCCTCGAAGACGCCCGTGTTTGGGTTTTTGTGTCTGAAGATAAAGTGGACCTTGGATGTGCTGCCACACTTGTCAGGCCCGAACATGATCGTGTAAGGCGTCTTGTCAGAGTACTCCGCTTGTGCGATGCCCTACGCAAGCTCATCAGACACGCGATCACAGAGGGCAAGCCACGAGACGTACGGCATCCTCGAGCGTGAGGAGCTTCATGTAAGCGCCGCCACATTCGAGACCTTTTTCGAGCTTGACTTCGTACTGAACGACCAATGTCTTGCCTGCGGGATCTAGAGGTGCCTCAAACGTTGTCGAGATGGCATGATGGGCTGCCTTGGAGGCTACAACGAGACCCTTGTCGCCTTTTATGCCTGGGTAGACCTGAGGCTCGCGGTTGGTCCACTGACCGACGTACTGGAACGTCTCCGTGCCCGCTACTTTCTCTACGCTCGCAGCAGAGGGAGACCACCTCGAGAGGTCATCGAACTGTTCGACGAAGAAGCCTTTGACTGAGGAGGGCTGAGCACGAGAAGCCAAAGCGGTCGCCACGTCAGTCGAGTGCATAACGACGTCAAGCCCGAGCAACCACTGACCTGGTACGTCGGCTGCTCGATGACGGTCTGCTTGACCGTATCGGCTGCCGCCGCTGCGCCCTCGCTTGCTGCATCGACTGCATCTGACGCTGTCGACTTGACATCCTCTAGTACATCACCTCGTACTGAGCTCGTCGCCAAGGCGGCACCAAGCACCGCAATGCAGAGTGTCGTTCGCATGATCGACTATAGATCTATACGCAGCCGTTCCTGGACCTCCTCGACCCGCGCAATGCCGCGTCGTATCGCAAGTTGAGCTGCTCGGGCGTGAAGCGACAAAGTTCTGGCAAGGCGCGCGCCGCTCATTAGGGACAGCCACGTCGACACTACACTCAGCGCGTTGGAGCCAATCCACGATTGGGCGACTTGCATCTCGAGCAATCAGTACAACAGGTCCATAGCCTCATTACTCGCAGAGATGGCTTGGATCATGTCGGCCTCGAGATACTTGCTCACCCCGATGTCGTCGCCTAGACCTTTCCGCCGTCTCGTTTTGAGACAGAAGTCGCGCGCAAGATGAGGTGCGGGACTGGGCTCGAGCGGTCGCAACTTGATGGACTTGTCCGTCGGATCACCAGGTACCTGTCAGCTAGCATGCTTAGTACTGGTGAAGTGCCGACAGGGTTGCAGACTCACGATAGACCAATGGTCAAACTCTTGCTGGCAGAACGCTTGCCCATTCGTACTCGTACGAATATCAGTCTCGAGCCCGTTGGCATCGATGACGGGACACAGCGCGTGGACTGTATAGAGCGAAGAGCCGGGCTTGGGTATATCTCGCGTGACATGTCCTCTCCTTCGCGCGAGGACAGTGTAGACTGCCGAGACTGAATCTGCAGGACATTGGATCTCGACACGATAGACGGGCTCCTGCAGTCTCGGTGTGGCCATAAGGAATGACGAGTAGCACACACGGCGTGCTGTTGGAATAATCTGTCCGCCTCCACGGTGTATCGGCTCTGTCGCCAGCGTTGCATCGAGTAGCCTGAATTTGACATTTCGTATCGCTAGTATCTTTTGTCAGCTCACATCCCACGTCAGTACATGTGTTGCTCACGTTCGTCGCAAAGAGGACCTTCTCGTGTCCCCCACTGAAAACCTTGTTTGATAGAGTCGCGCACATTGAAGAGCAGCTTCTTATCCACCTGAAGCATCGTCGCAGCGTCAGCTCGAACAACGAGCTCTGAGGCTTGTAACGCACTTCTGAAGGCAATGTGTCGTCCATGAGAATGTTTGGACCTTGCTCATCAGGCCCGAAAGCCCATATCGAGCGCGAAGCGAGGAGATCCCAATTGAAATTTCCTTGAAAGAATTTACCAATCTCTTTACCAGGCATTTTCATTGTCACTTTGCGGTGTTCTATCGCTTCGGCGATGCCTTTTTCCATCGGCTCGGCAATCATCGTCAGCTTATTCCTGTGCACAGCCACGGCCGACACGGTTAGCCAAGATGACGACTGAAGCAGCCGAACCGCACTTCTTATTCGGCGTATCGGCATAGCATTTGAGTGCAGAGGTATCCACGACGGTCTCGCAGAATCGCACGACCGGATCCGATATCTTGATCTCTATGCCGGCAAACATGATTCGAAGATCGTGCATGACGCAATCGAGGTAGAGCTCGCCTGTGCCCAGTATGATATGTTCACCTGACTCTTCTACGCGCGTTTCTACGAGCGGATAGGTCTTGTTGATTTTGCGCAGGCCTTCGAGCATTTTTGGTAGCTCGGACGGATGCACTGGCTCAACGGCAACTTTGAGAACGGATTGGGTCATGTGCCGTATCGGTCTAAAGATATAGAGATCTTCCTGGATGTCGGCATCGACGATAGTCGCTGTTTTGCTGATCGAGGCATCCACACCGCCGAGCAAGACAAAGTTGCCCGCTTGCATCCCGTCTGTTTCTATGGAGTATCTGCGGCCGAGCCAAGGCTCAGCTTCGCAGGAAAGTCCGAGAAAGATGACGCCCTACCTAGCTTGCGAAACCCAGACGTTCTCGATGGTGGCCAGTCGTGAGTCTTCGTCGTCATCGAGCGTGTAGCCTTCTCCCAACACTCTCACACGTTGCCCTCGCGAAACCGTGCCACTGAGCACCCGCCCAAAGGCATGAAATTGCTCTGCGTCCTCGGACGGGATGAGCTTGACAATCTGGACGATCAGTGGACCGTCTGGATCGCAAGAGAGCATTGACTGCGCCAGTCGACCTTCGAGTGGACCGGTATACGTATCGGACGTCTGTTCGCTACACAGTCAAGATGCGCCAGGCACATACTACAAGCAGGCGGACCTTTCGTGCAGCGGCAGAAGCAGGATCGGGTACGTGTTGGACGATCATGTCGATAAGGCCAGAAGCAGGACCGAAGAAGGCATTGAGAACGAGCTTGAGGAGCGGCCTGACATCCATCTTGTAAAGCGCAGGCTTGAGTGTGATGCCTAAGTTGTACAGTGTATCTCGTAGCTTGTCCGTATCTGAGCTCAATACCTGGCAATGACAAAAAGCTCAGCTTCAAAGCTAGCAGCTAATGATATCGAATGAGCGTACCTGAGTATAGAGCTTGTACAGAGGCTCGAGTATGAAGTGGACGAAAGCACGATCGCCGTCTTGAGATCGCTTGCTGAATTTGCGAGTCTGGCGAGAGTAGTAGATATTGCCCCAAAGTCGCTCTGCGAATGAGTCGAGATCCATACCGCCTGGCAACAAGGTCATCAGTACAGGGCTGAAAACGTGACCATGCGCGACGGACCATAGGTATCGGCGTACATCTTTGCGAACGACCGAAGGGTGAAGCACCAGCCCATGGAGGTCGACGCAAAGGCGACGTTACCCTTTTCCGGACTGACTCGTAGCTCCGGACTGGGATCGATGGCACTATGGCGAGACAGCCATAAGCACGAAGGCATGGCAAGACAGAGTCAAGGCAGACCTTATGAGCGTATTAACTTCTTCGATGGTATGCTTGAGCTTGTAGTAAGCATCAGCTGGCGGTAGACGGAGTTCGAGCACGAGTCGATCGACTTTGTTGATGACGAGGGTGATGGGTATCCGTTCTGCAATGAGATGACGAATGATCGTCTCTGTGTTGGCGAGTGCACCCTCGACTGCATCGACGACGAGCAGAGCGCCGTCGCATACTCTGGCAGCCACCGCCACCTCGTCCTGCGCGATCCACGATTCTGTTCAGTCACTGGATGGACTAGCAGCACGGCGGACTCGCCTGGAAATTGACATGGCCGGGTGTGTCGATGAGGTTGAGCAGATAGGATTTGCCTTTTGAAGTAGGAAGTACAAGAGAGATCGGGGTCGAGGTGAGGGAGATCTTGCGAGATTGTTCGAGCATATGCGCATCTGTATAGCGGATCTGTCCGAGCAGATCAAAAGCTCAGCTGTTCTGCCCGGTGGGAACAGCACACGACGCGACTGACGGGCTTGTCGGTGTCCCAGTCGAGTACGTGAGTCTCGTGAACGAGCATGTCGAGCAAACTCGTCTTGCCGTGATGGAGATGACCGACGACGGCGACGTTCCTGATGAGTTCGGGGTAAGTGGAAAGGTCGAGCAAGAAGTCTTTGTCGAATCTCGTCTCTGGCTGCTGTTGCTGTTGCTTGTCGGCCGACTGAGAGGCCAGCCTGGCGGTCTTCTGCTGGTGGAGCACTCTGAACTTCTTCTTGACGATGGGCGCAATGATGGGCTCAGTGAGCGGCTGAGCATCTTCCTCCTGCACCATCGTCTCTACATCCTCGCCGTACAGCTCCTGCGCGGTGGAGTAGTACTTCTTCTCTTCGTGCAAGATGATCGCATTCGAGGGTGCCGATCGCTCAACAGGTCCACCGTCCGGTGACGCTTCTCGCATGGCAAGGTCTTCATCCGCTCCATCCTCATCAGACAAGTAAGCTGCTCCTCCTGGAGCTCCTGCTGTCCGGCTGCCAGACTGCGCGAGCTCATCGTCGCTCTCTGAGCCTGACAGATCGGCACCAATGTAGTTGCCGAACTCGTCGTAGTCGTCCATTGCGGGCCTGCTGAGCTGAAGGGAAGGGACTTCACTCCGCTCGAGCTGTTCGACAGTTTTGCTGTCCCAGGCAGAGCAGTAAATGTCACGCTGACCTTCCACGACAGCAGCAAGCTTCAGCAGCGTCGCCGGCAGCTCGAAGGCGTCAAGATGAACGGCTACGGAGGCTACAACGCAGCCGCAGGACCGAGCTCGATGGCTCAATACGGCCAGCCCGCACCACAACAGCACGCTTACCCCGGCCAGGCAGGCTTACCTCTGCTTCCACAGCTTGCCCAGGCTCACTCGCCCTCTTTCCCCCTGTCCACCCAGCCCGCCAACCTGTCTTACCCGCAGCCTGGCATGGTACCTCCACCTGGACTGCCACAACATCCCTATGGCTATCCTACCCCGCACCAACAGCACCAGCCGCCGCCGCGTCAACACGCAGGACTCGGCTACGGATCGCCTGCACAATCTCAGCCGCAAAGACCGTCGGACAATCTGCCCATGCACCCGGCCATCGCCGCTGCAAAAGCTGCCCAGTCCGCCAATCCTTCCGGACTGGACCCGCGCACTTGGCTCGGTGACAAGTTCTCACTGTACATTGGCTCGATAGCAGACGGCATCTCTGACTCTACCCTCGAGCATATCCTCAATGTCCGTGACAAACACGATGTGTATGCTGATGTCTGACTTAAACGCGGTGTGTTTGGACAGGCTGCAGGACCACTGTTACAGCTCAGACGAATCAAAGATCCATCGGGCAAGCCCAAGGCGTTTGGCTTTGCAGACTACATCGACCTGTCATCCGTCTTGCGCGCCCTTGCCCTCTTCACTGGCCTGAAGCTCTCAGGCAAAGGCGGCAACGGTGAGACGAAAGCGCTCATGCTCAAAGCAGACACCAATCTACGCGCCAAATTAGACAAGTACGAGGCCGATCTCAAGGCTCAAAAGAAGCAAGAGCTCGAGCACGACAACCTGGAGCGAGCGAGGGATGCGCTCAAACATGTACTGGATCGCTTGAAGGAGGCGGGTGCTCAAGGCGGGCTGCAGTCGACAGATGGATCGGGAGACATAGACCACGCTGCACGACAGGAAGCAGAGAAGCTCCGTCTGCATAATCACCTCCGTGATTTAGGTCCTGATGATCTCCCCGAAGAGTCCAGACAAGTCATCACGAGCGAGATTGCCTTCTTCCGTCAGAGAGCGGCCAAGAAGGAATTCGATCAGAAAACGGCAGAGATCAAGAAATTCACGGCTGCTTCTGCTGCGCCATCCCCCAACGTGCTCAATAGCGGTCGACCGGCTGCGCACGACTCGCCTCGATCTGACGGCAGGAGGGACTCGCCTCTGCCGTATGACAGACGAGATACGCCGAAAGATCCCCAATCGCTAAGCGACAAACCCGTCGCTTTCACGAGCGGCTTGTCAGACGAGGATCAGGAGCGTATGCGTATCGAAGATGATCGAAGAGAAGCAGCAGCAGCATACCGTCAGGCAAGTCCCCGAGCCTCTGCATGGTCATACACACGCTGACGAGGTCTCAATCTCCAGCGCGAAGCCAGATGGACAATGCATGAGCGCAACAGAGAGGCAGCACTTGCAAAGGAGAAACAACGCGAACGGCAAGCTATCCTTGACCAGGACCGCGAACATGCTCATATGCGCGATCGCCTCGCCCACTTTGATGACGATCAGGAGTCAGCCAAGGGCAGAGAGCTCTTTCTCACCGACAGGTATGTCATAGATTGCTATGCCGCATAGTTCCATCTGACCAGCTTGCACAGAGTTCATTGGCGTAAACTGAGAAGCGATATGCGAGCGCGAGAGCGAGAGCTCGATGAGAGGGACGCTCGAGCCGAAGCGGAACAGCTCGAGGCAGTCAAGCGCGATTCAGAGGATTTCCTGAACAAGCAGGCCGAGATGTTCAACAGAATGACAGCAGGTGCGCCCGAAGACTCCGGACCTATAAAGCTCAACTTTGCCGGTCCTACCAAACCGGACCCTAACGCAATGGAGATCGATACTCCCCAAACGAAGGCGCCGACCAAGCCCAAAGAATCTGCATCTGTCCCCCGACTAGCCGCGCCAGCCGTTTTTGACGATGACGATGATGCGACTGCAAAAAAGAAGCGATCTCTCATTCCGCTCGACTACAGCGAGATTGAAGAAGCAGAGACACGCGGCATGTCTGAAACTCAGAAGAAAGCCTGGCGAACCGAGAAACTCAAGCACATTGTGAGCACAATACCTGTCGAGAAAGAACCTCTCTTTGCGATGCCGATCAAGTGGTCCTATGTCGACTCGGTTCGTTCTTGTCTGCTTGGTGTCTCCACTCGCGCTGATATAGAAGAACAGGCATTCGTGGAGAAGCTGGGAGCATTTGTCATTCGCAAGACTGTTGAGTACCTCGGTGTCGAGGATGATGATCTCGTTTCGGCCGTCGTCGAGCACGTGAAAGCTCACAAGGCTGCACAGGCGCTCACAGACGAATTCGAGGACGTGCGTTCCCACAAGCCGCTTCTCTGCAGCAAAGAGCTGACGTTCAGATGCAGATCCTGGGAGAAGAAGCAGCAGAATTCGTGATGAAAATCTATCGATGGATCATCCTGGAGACGCTCGCACGCGAAGCTAAGATTGCCATCTGAGCGTCTTGCTCTTGCCCGACTGCAACAGCTGATACTTGACCTCTGGGTCTAGCTCGATATCCGGCTACTCAGAATGGCAGCCGGCCTCACGCTCACAGGCGAACGGCAACGGGTGAGTGCCCATTTCTGTCGTTCTGAGCGATTCAGTTCCGCGTAATGCATGCCAATTGAGCGTAGCTGCCAGGAAGGATGATCATGACATTGTCTTTCGACGTACAACAAGCTTGTACACACAACTCTCGCGTCCATTAAGCTACGGGTATCCGCCGTCTCTAGTTCTTGATGCAAGCTTCCTCGTTCTCGCTGAGCGCAGTACTCGATCTGCCCCCGCTTGACAGAGTCCGCAGACTCTGAGGAGCAGATCGACGCTCAGTCGAATTGATCGACCGTTGATCCCGAAGGGCAAAGTCTGGGATCCGACGGGTGACCTTGCCTTCGCTCTTGGATCTCGTGCCTTTTGGTCGTAAACCGAGGAATCTGGAGGTATGCTTCGATTTGATGCTCGACGTTGGTGTTTCATCTTGCGATGGCAATTGGGTCGAATCAAGCTGATGAATGAACTTCGAAGCTTTGCGTTTGATTTCTTTTGCTGATGTGCCTTTTGCGCGCAGACGATAGCGATCCACGAGACCCATCGATTTGCTGTGCTTTGCATTGGCGTTCATGCCATCCTTACCAGGATTCTCTATTATATCCCAGTCTTCTTCGCCTGCGGATGAGGATGCGCCGCGACTCGTACTTGGCCGCGTTGAAGCAGACACCACGGGAGCTTTCGATTTGAGCGTCGCCCCTGCCTCGCTCGACGCTAATGCCTGCTCCACTGAAGTCGGTTGCGTAGACTGTGAGCTCGAAGAAGACGGCGCTGTCGCATCTGGCTCGCTCGCCGTGAGCTTAGCGTAAGCAGAGTCATCTCTCGTCCTGGCATCTTGCGGAGCCTCAATACTGACTGACTCGGCTATCGAATCCGAGTCGAGGAAGGATGGTGCAGCGCGATATGAGTATCCGTCGAAAGCGTCAGAGGCAGTTTCCATAATGGACTGACTGTCGCCGTCAGCGATCGGTTTGTTCGACACTGATGTTCGAACTGTTGCCTCTTGACTTGTGAACATCTCGTCGAAATTGCTGATATCAGTGGCATTCTTGACCGTCGGCGTATAGGGCGGAATGTAGCGCTTGAGCGCAACACTGTATTCGGCCTAGTCAGCAAAGCTAGTGACAAGCTTGTGCGTGCTCACCAGGACCAATCGATCATGCTAAAGTAAGCGTGTTTCCGGATCCTGCCATCACTCATGCGAAGCAGAGGATCCTTCTGTAGCAGACCGCGCAGCAGGCTGCGGGTATCGACATCCATTGGCCTGCCTTCTTCCGGAAAGCGGAGCTCCTCGTGCAGAACTCGTTTGTACATGGCAGCATGATCGTCGCTGGCAAAGGGCGTCGTGCCGACGAGCATTTCGAACAGCATCGTGCCAAACGACCACCAATCGGTCTCGTACGAATAAGGCACGCCGATGAGAACCTCGGGCGCCAGATACTCTGCAGTCCCACAGAAAGTTGAAGTCGTCTGCCGATGGAGGGGCAAGCCCTCTGTCTTTTCTGCAGGCGAATCGAATTGCTTGCTGAGCCCGAAGTCGGTGAGCACGCAATGACCATCGGCAGCGATCAGGATGTTCTCTGGCTTGAGGTCACGGTAAATTACGCCCGCAGCGTGTAGGCCTTCGAGGCCGTAGGCGATCTCGCAAGCGTAGAAACGACTGCGGTCGCGGCCGAGTCGACCCCAGCGCGCAAGCTGCGTCGCAAGATCACCACCGGGATGAAAGTCCATGATCAGGTAGAGATTCTCCTTGTCGTGGAAGGACCACCACAGCTTGACGATGAACGGATTGTCATGATGATCGGCCACGTTGCGCAAGACGCGTTGTTCTGTGAGGGTGTGATTGAGCTCTCGCTGCGCTAGAACGTGATGTTTCGGTATTGCTTTCATAGCGTAGACAGCATCTGTCCTCTTTTTCCGCACGAGCATGACCTTGCCGGCGCAGCCTTTGCCGAGAACGCGAATAATATCGAAATCGTCTACGTTGGCTTTGCGTTCTTTGCGCGGGGCAGACGGTGTGGGCTCAACGGGCGTGTCATTTGACGCCGGCTCAGGCGAAGGGAACGGCTGCATATTTTGTGCGTCTTCGAGGTTCATTCTCTTGACTTCCTGAGAAAGCTCTATGGCGTCCTCTGGCGCAATGACAGAATCCGCAAGTCGACCGGAATCGTCCGCTTGATCATCATCGGACGTGTCCTCCATCTGAGACGGTGACAGGACCTCACTCGCTGTCGCTGGCTCTGCCTCTGACTTGAGCACCACTGGCGCAGGTAAGTCGGCTAGATCTGAGGAGCGAGCTGACTTGGCGCGATCGCCAGATTTAGAGCGCGGCGAGACGGGCGATTTGCTATCATCTTCGCTGCGAGCTGTGCGCAGAGTGAGATGTTTTGCCAAGTCGCTCCGCATGCGCTTGATGCCTTTCTCTTTACGCTTGGTGATGATGTCTTCACTTTGAGGCGCAAAGAACGATTTCCATGCGGCATGTCTTGCCACTGCTTCGTGCGAAGCCAGATCAGTGAGATACATGCTCAGGGCGGACATGTGGACGGCTGAGTAGACAATAGCTCGAGCTTGCTCGTCAGATGGCAGACTGACATCTTTCAGCGAAGCCTCTGATGCGATGGCGGAGAGCTGCTTTGCGATCGGATCGTCAGACTCGATGATTCGCGAGGATTGACGCCTGCCCTTCTTGGACAATGAGCGATTGAAGACGTCAAAGACGTTTTTCTTGGATCTCCCTTGGGGTGTTGTTGGCACAGGCGTCTCGCGAGCCTCATTGCTGAGATCAAGCAGCAAAATGGAGGGCCGAGCCGCTGTGACGATCTCTGGCAGATCCTCTCGTAGCTGTGCCTCGATTGTCAACTTACAGTCTCATGCATCACAACGCCGACGCACCTGCGAGTCTAAATCAAGCAGACTTTGCCACTTGCGAGCAAAGGTGCCGGTCGTCGTAGAGGTGAGCACGTGGATCGCAAAGTCGACTTTCTCGGCATCAGAATCGCGCGGCTCCGCTGTTCTGCCAATGGCAAGGCTGAGCCGACTCTTCTTGCCCTCCGAAGGCGAGTTGGATGAGCTCGCTGTTGCTTTAGAGGAGGTAGCGATCTGATATGGCTGCACCGAAATGATCCAAGGCGTTTCCTTGTGGACCGATTTGACACTTCGCGCAGGCGCAACAGAGCTATCGAATGATTTCTTAGAAGGCTCCGCACCTGCAGATAGACTCGGGTCCTTCGGAAGGGGAGAGGACGATGGACCGGCCTCTCTGCTCGCCTCTGCCCGTGCAGCGCGCTCGAACAAGGTAGACTTTGACTTTCTGATCATGCTGAGACGAGACCTTGTTGACCAGACAGACGATTTGTTGGCTGCTACCAGTGGTGAGCTGGGCGTGTCTGGGATCTCTCCGATAGTAGTCGGACTGGCGCACTGGACCTCATCAGTGCGCACGTCGACGAGAGACGGTGATGACATGTGAGTCTGGTTGACAGTCTCGTCGACTGGCATGATCCGGGGAGTTTTCAGTGGTCTGAAGCTGGGTATGATCTTACTCTCGGCAGACAGTCGACTGTCAACTGATTGCTTGCCTTCGAGTGACTGTTTGGCTCTGGCTTGGCTGGTGGGTGAAGCGACGAGAAGCGATCTGAGCGATCTTGACGACGAATGATGCTTCAAGCCGGTCAACACAAAGGTATGTGGTCTCGCAGGCGGCAAAGGGGCTTCCAGTGGTAAGCCTTCCGCGGTCTCGAAGAAGACCGCCAGGTGGGGACTTGACTTGTGTCGCCTGTGAGCGACTTTGCGAAACATGATGCAACGGCAGCGAGCGTGCGTGTGTCACGTAGGCAGGCCAAATAGAGTACCAAACGTGCCAAATCGTGCGTACGGGGTCGCGAGCGAGGTGCAAGTGGGACGGTGAGCGACAGGATGGCCAAAGCGGTAGCGTGAAAGGCGAACGAGAGAAAGCGAGAGCGCAAACGCATCAGCACGGGTGCACGAGATCAGCTGAGGAAGGCAGACTTGCAGTACGAGCAAGTGATCGAGAGAAGAAGGCGCAGGCCTGTCGCTGCTTCCTCTCGAGCACAGACACTCCGCTTTTGAGCGCGGCAAGCAAAGGACGGAGCGTTCAGCAGGCTCGTGCGCTGATTGTCTGGCCGCAGCTCGGTCTTGGCTATTCGTCGAGCGATGGTCTGACGTCTAGTGTACACTGAGCAGTAGAGCTCGGGCAAGTCTGTCGCAGCCAAGAGTCGTACGGCTCGAATGGGGCTCAAGGGGCTTGTCAATCGTCAAGGTCGTGCCGAGCTTGTCACAGACACCAGCAGCTGCAGCTCCAACATGTTTGTCTTGCCAACACGGCCTTCAAGCCTCGCCTCACCTCTCCTCTCGCCCTCTGTCGCTCCTACGAGTCAGATCGGACAGGTCACGGCACTTGTTTTTGGCGACGACCAGCACTCTGGGGCACACCCGCTACCGCCAGCTGGCCGCCTACGTGTACACGCAATGCCGATCTTGCCGATCTCTCACTTTGTCTCTAATACGTCCGATAGATCTCCATGCTCGGCCTATCAATGTCCAATATGCGTATCTCTCATCAGCCTTTCAGGCAGTCTCACGTCCTCGAGAACAGTGAGAGTATAAGTTCATTGTCTCCAGAGAAAACATACGGATACTATTGCTGCCCGAAGACCTTTGACTCTTCACAAATACCAGGCGTCGGTCGAATGAAGGAGACTTGTGCCCGAGGGCTCGCTAGATCATGGCTCATATGGACGGCAACTGTGAGATGCCCATCGAATCCGTCTCATCGTCTACGAAGAGCCCTTGTCGAAAGAGGGCAAGTGTCGCAGATGCACTCGTCTCCGATCGCATCATGGCTCACTCCCATCTTTGATAGCCGTTCTACGTCTAGACACATCGGGCCTTCAGTGAGCAGCGCTCCTGCTATACTATGGCAGGTCTGTTGTACTTTCGCAGACGAAGCCTGTCAATGCGGGTTCTACGTGCACGAATGATTGCAACGATACGGAACCGTCCAAGAAAGCTTTGTATGAAGCCGAGATTTGTTCGATAAACCTCTGTCTATCGAACTTTTGATGTGTCAGATCCCCCTGCAGACATTGTGTCAGGACCGATATGTGCACACATTTCTGTTTCTCACCTCGAAGATGTAAATACGATCGCGGTATCGTTCAATCACTTCGTAATTGCGTTGCAGATTCGGCGCACGGCTAGTGTAGGCGCAGCTCGTCCGAGCTGGACAGGTCACGGGACTGAAGACACGCGCACCAGCCGAGAGTCAGTGACCGCGCTGCGATCATCGTGACTGAAGAAGGCATCCTTCGCTGACGGGTGCTAATTGACTGAGAGAAGCAAGGTGTGGTCAGAGAAGCGAAGGGTTGAGGCGTGTCAGGATGAATGTCAAGAGAGAAAGAGAGAGGGCGGAAGTGTGTTCGTTGCGTAGCATGATCCCGGCGCGCAGATAGACGGCCAGGCGAGACTTTGATACGGAGTGGCAGACTCGCTCAGTGGACGAGCTATGGCTTCGTACGTACCACTCAAAGTACATGACTGATCTTCCGACCAGTCCGTTAACGAATCGCAATCTGAAGCAATCACACTTGAAACCTCGCATTGGACGAGGCCGAGGCAAAGTGTACATCAACAATCGCCTCTTCATCTTGCAAAGCCCAATGAGAGCTTGAGCCCGGAGGAAGCCTTGCAAGCTCTTTGAGATGGAGGCCGAGCGCGAGGGAAGAGCAGCTTGCGCGTGTTTGCCAACGACCGGTGATCTGTCATGTTGCTCATCCCGTCACTCATAGGCGCACAAGCTTGTCGGATGAAGTTCGCGGCTCGATACTCGACTCGACTCGATACTCGACTCGACTCGACTCGACCCCCTCCGGACGCTATTCTCGCCAATACTCAGACGTGCCAGCATTCGACGGCCATTTGAATCGGACGTTGTCAGCAATCGTCGTCAGCACTTGACCACGTCTGTCCTCAGACTCGCTGCCGCCAACGCGAAGCGCACACGCGCACACCCGCGTTCTTTTCGCATCGATCGCAGTGATCTGAAAAGCAGTGTCTTCATGTAAGCACGAAGACTGCATCCTTGAGACATCGTGTCGTCTCGAATATGCATGCTTGTAAGATTTGACAAATGACTTTACTTGAGCTCAGCATCAAATCGTCCGGCAGTCAATCATGTAGGTCCCTGCAAGTAGAGTGCACATAACAGTCATCGTTACCCAGTCTGAGTCTGCTGGGTCCGCAAGGTCTGCGAGCGTGGCTGAAGATCGAAACTTGACAAGGCCCACAGACATTGTCTGGACAGCGCGCTCGATGATGACACCCTGTCGCCATGCAACCACGTCATAGCAATGCCTCTCACGCTTCCTCTCATCATCGACTCCCTCTTGTAGCCTTTGGAAACCACTGACTTGACCAACAATCAGCGCCATACAACCGGAATGATGTTCACGCAAGCTGTGGCAATCGCCTCGATTTTCACCATCGTCTCTGCGGATGCGTACTACAATCAGTGCAGCAACCGTCAGTGCGATCATCATATGCATTACTTCCAATGGTAACAAGGCTCCCAAACAGGCTACGACGTCAGCTCGCCTGATTGGCAGAACGTCGGCGGCCACGGTCTCACCAAGATTGGCGTCAATGGATGCAAGAATGAGGGCGTTGCCTTTTACGCAACGCTCGACTACACCGGTGCTGATGCCACAATGAAGGTGGGGACTTAAGTTTTATTCACATCCATGAGTACTTACGCCACCGTCAAGAGCTACCCTCATGCTGCTGTCACTCAAAACCTGGGCAAACCCATGAGCTCTTACGTCTCTATTCCAGCCGTCCTCAACTGGCACTGGAGGGGCTTGCCCGATGATCAGGTGTGCTCTCATCGCTTGCTCATCGCTGGGTTGACTCAGCGGTCGGTCAGACCCACGGCTATGTCGCGCTGGCAGTCGTGCACGGCGAGTGGACACTCCGAGTCATTCTCTCCTTCCGCGGCGCAGGCTCGCCCGGTACGCTCGTCGGTAACTTCGTCGTGGGAGGTCGCAACTGGATCCTCTATCGCGATGGACCGATCTACTCCTACGTCAACAACCAAGAGCTCCCCCACGCCACCACGTTCACAACAAACTTGATCAGCTTTGTGCGACATGCTGCAACTCAGGGTGCGCGCGTCCAAGGCACGCTCAAGGAGTACGTCATCCTCCCCGACTGCATCTACGAGCTGATCGTGCATGCAGAGTGTCCGGAGGTATCTACTTCTTCAAGGGCAAAGCCGCCATCATCTTTGATGAATTTGCAGCTCTGCCCCGATAAAAGTTCCTTGTCTGGACTTGCGCGAGACAATGCAGAGTTTGCTACAGATTGGCTAGTTACAGTATCGTTGTGGTGGCGCTAACAACAAACGTGAGTCATGAGAAGGTCGTCACTGGCTATCTACAAGACGAAAATGCGAAAAAGTTCTTGATCGGCCGAGAGCTGAGCTTATCTGTCTGTCCTAGTCCTCCTCCATGCCATCCGAGTAGCCATTCTCTGACTGATCCTCATCATCCTCGTCATCATCGTGATAAGTACGTCGCTTGCTCGTCGATCGCATGGCGCGTTGACGTTTTGTGATGGGTGGCAAGCTGTCCGACTTTCTGCCAGTTCGGCGCTTGTTGGCCGCTCGACCTGACTTGGCTTGCGGTCGGATCTTGCTGAGCAACTCCTTGTGACTGCGATGGAAGAACTCATTATGGAAGCCAGCCCATTCGTCGGGTCGATGGCCCTTCATCTTCGGATGCGCAAGGATGACAGACATTGCCGAGCGAGGCAAGCGTCGGAAGGAATAGACCTGTGCACCATCATTGTCAGCGTTATGCAGTCAGCATTGACAGCAAGCGACGCACATTCAGCTGGCGCTGGAATGAGGCCGGATTTTGGTGTCCAAAGTGTACAGCCAGGAACTTGGCGTGCATCTCGCGAGAGTTCATGCGAACCATGATGTTGGCTCCATTGACGGGATCCCAGCGCAAGAAAGGATAATAAGCGTCCGTTGAGAGTGCGTTCCACATTGTCTGAGTGAATTTCTAGGCCCCAAGTGGATGTGTTAGTGCGCAAAAGCGGACAGGCTCAACAGATGACCCACCATTGTACCACCCTCATGGTCGCTCTCGTGCATCTTGATCTCTTCGATCGGTATGCTGACATTACGAGCGACTTCGTCTTCGTCTGCGACAGATTCCACGTCGTCTTCTGCCTGTGGGCTTTGTACTTTGCGAGTCTGGCGGCGTGCTCGCTTGATGGGCAGCACTTCAGCCGGCGAGACTTTGCGAGGTCGTGCATTAGCTGCGACTCTGGCAGATAGAGAGGCCTTGCGTTGCTGTCTGCGCGTCAAGCCATCTTCGAGCGATGATCTACGGGGCTCATCCGAGGAAGCTATACTTGCAGGAGGTGACGCGAGCTGTTGTATTTTGCTCGCGCGGTAGCCACGCTTTGTGCGCATACGTGGACGCTCTATTGTCTCTGATGCAGCCGAAGAGCTTGAGAAGGTGGGTGACGGAGGCAGAGCAAAGTTGGCAGGATTGTAGGCGGCGCTTTCGCGTGACGAGTCTGGCGTTGGCCAATAGCTTGTAGGCCCGCTATGAATGCGAGCAGTGAAAGAGCCAACAAATGGCACGGCATGACGATATTCTATCTCGCTATAGCCTGCCGGATAGCCAAAGGGGGCACCAAGAGCTGACTTGGCATAAGCTGGGGCATGCGCATTCGACAGACCGGCCGAGGATACGACAGAGGCTTCCGGTACGACATTGGAGATGCTGTTTGTACGTCGATGATATCGCCAGGCGCGTGGACTGAGCTGATCTGGCGAAGCGAGGGCAGCTTGGACGAACGTAGAGCGTTCCGACGATTCACGAGCTGGGATCTTGAGTAGCGTCATTTCAGAAATGCGTTTCTTGTGATGCTCAATCTGACGCTGTACTTCTGTCGATGTACGCTTGCGACCGGGTCGAGACATGGGCGGCGATCCAGTTGCGATAGGTGCATGGAGATGCGCATGATGGCTCTGAGCTGGACCGGCGGTGTATGATGCTGTCTTACAAGATAGCAAGCTGACCGGCGTAGGGAATTGCACCTGATGAGCTTCGGCATGGTGCAGACGAGTGACCTGAGCGTCCTGCTCGGTAGTCTTAGCTTTGGCTGCGCTGTCGGCATTTTTGGCAGATACTTCGATCTCGTGAACGAGAGCTTGAGCTATCGTCCTCGACCTATTGCGAGGTGTCTGCTTGACTGATGTGGCATCAGAGCCGCCTGTAATACATGGATCAGGGGTCGGCCAGATAGGTTGAGAGGGCTCCGTAGGCGTAGTGTAGGCACGCATACGAGCGGCAGCATGGGTGAAGGAGGGCGTGGCCAGGGCAAGGCTGGGTCGATAAGATGCCAGAGGCGAGCTGATGAGCGCGCTCGGGCCGCCGTGGTGGAGTGCCTCTACCAGCTTGGGAGGACGATCTAAGCTGGCGGGCGTTGGAAAGTGTTGGTACTGGACGATGGTCTCCATGATGTCTGAGAGTACTCGGGCTGATCAGCACGGTACATGCGTACCAGCAAGACGACTCGCCTCGGTCACGTTTGGCGAGTCAGGAGTTACCAAAGGACTGGCCTGCCGGGGCGATGAAGCGAGATGAAAGCTTGGGTACGGATGTGGAACGATTAAAGCGAGACTCGTTCAGATGTAGGAGCGAGGCGAGCGAGCGACAAATAAGACGGTCTTGTGAGGTGATGGCGGAATGATGTGCCGGGTCCGTGCGAGCTCTGCGGAAGGAGGCTCTTTGGATCTGGGCGATGATGCTGTTCGGGCTCTTTGTTCGGGAGCCTTGACGTCAAGGCGTGCGGAGCTCACAGCTTGCGGTAGCGTTGGCTCTGTGCGCGCGAACGTGATGAGTCACGGCTGGTTCCGTTGGCTTCGAAAGACGGTACGAGCAGGGGAGGGCTCCTGCACGTAGTATCGCCGTGCCGAGCCTCTGCACGGTCAAGCACACTAGGCAACGAGTACGAAGGAGTGTGCCGAGGCAACAAGACCGACCAAGCTTGCGGAACGATCAGCGAGAGAGGAAGTCGGCGTTGTCAGGCGTCAGAGGGTCGTCAGGGGCGCTTTGACGACGAGGATGCGACACGGAGCGTTGATGTGAGCGATGCAGACACGTCTCGCGTACGGGACTGATTGCAATGCTGTCGTCTCACCTGGTGAGGATGTGAAGCTGCTTGCGGCGCGAGCCAGCTAGCGCTCGACCCAGCACGAGAAAGAGCCCCCCTTTGTACGCCTTTGATTCAATCGACCGAATTAGCGGTATGCTTTGACACGACACGCGTCCTGGCTGTCTGCGATCGGACTTTTTGCCACTATCGATCCTGACGTTCGGGACGGCGGCGCGGCCACGTAGGTCGGACGGAGTTTTGGCTAAGAATTTGAGTTTCTATCTTGGCCAAGAAGAGATGATGATCATGATTCGAGTGTGATGCCTGGTTTGCGTAGAACGTCAAACCTGTTCGCACTTCTCCTGCTAGGTTGACACAGCGTCGCCTGCACAGCAAGGGAGCGTCCTTGTTGGCACGCCCTAGCTGCACGCCCGGCCTTGGCATTAATCGACTGAGCAGTGGACGGAGCCCATCGCTCTGCCCGGCTTAGCCAGTCTCGACCGATCCTTGTACAGCCTTGCACGCGAGCAACAAGTTGCAACAGACCGTCATGGTCACCATCATGCTGCTTCAAGCAGACTGGCTCGTCTTGCTACTGTCGACGCTCGTGCCCTGGTTTGTCGTTGGGCTCTATTGCCAACGTGCTCGACTGGCCGTCGTAGCCCATCTTTTGCCTCACAGGGCAAGCATAGCTTGGCGTCCCTTATCAGACGATCCGGTTGATGACGACAGTGGAGAGGCTGCAGCACAAGCCTATGATGCACACCATGTGCCACAACAACCGGAGCACGACTTGTTTGATAAGCAACTCGTTCTCGAAGCTGCCCCCCTGGCAGGACTCATCTTGATCGGTCTCTTGCTCGCAATGTCGACTCACATGACCGAGTTTGTCCCAGAGGTAGGCCACTGTCTTCAGGTGCTCTTCATCCGGAGCTGATCGTCTTGGTCGTGATTTCAGCTCATGCAAGCCTTCTTGTTGATCGCTGTCATTGGCTTTCTAGCTCTTCAGAGATTGCGCAAGGATACTCGAGCAGCCCTGGAGATGGCTCCACTGCTCGTGGTCGCCGCTACCTCGCTCACAGCTGCCTTGATCTCAATCAAACATCTGCCCGCTGTCATGCAATGGCGACGCGTCTGGCCTGCCGTTGTCTGGGCTGCGCACGCTTATGGTCACTATGCCATCGTTGCACATTCTGCAGCGTTCCAGTCTGTCAAGATTACTTGCTCCGGAGACAGGACTACGCCGCCGAAACGCTCCATACCTCAAGTTGCGTTCTACACGCTCACTATCACCCTTGGCGGTGTGTTGGTCCTAGGCATCTTTCCGACAGGCAATGTTCCTGTCCCCTGGTCTACCATGGTGCCAGCTCTACCGCCCTTGGCTGGCTACGCCACGCAGGGTATTACCAATGACGGATTCCAACGCTTGCTCGACACTGCATGGAACGTCGCTCGGGTCGGCCTCAGCATCTATTTGCTCGGCATCATGCGCGATCAGGGAACCTCCTACACAATATTCCTGGCCAGCTTCATCGCTCTCTCGCTGCGTCTCGCGAATCAGATACCTGACCTGATCTGCAATTTCACAAAGGCGCCAAAGACGGAGCTCGCCCTTGGGTTTGTGACCGTGCTCAGCCTGGCCTTATGGCTCAGACGGCAGCATCGTGTTGCACCTGGCTCAGACTACGCAGCTCGCGTGGGAGTATACAGCAACGGCAACGGGAAGACGCCTACGCCCACATCGACATATATGTCCGATGATGCGCTGCCAGACAGTGATTCCAACGAAGGCTCAGGCAACATCAGCCTCAACTCGACGCTCAATGGATCACCGTCCAGCCCCAAGAGGAGCAGAAGCGCGGGCGGTAGCAGGACATCCTTCGAGATCGAGACTGAAGAGCTGCAGAAGGAACTCGATGCTGACCCATACGGATCGCTCTATGGCTCTCTCAGTAACGCGCAGAAATGGCCCAAGCATCTTAAATGGTTCGCTCTCATGCTCATCGGACCTCTTGTTCAGCTCGTTATTCTCGGCCCTTCGAGCTGGAAAGTCAACACGCGAGGTAATACTCACTGGATGGTCGTCACTACCGTCAATCTGCCCACGTCAACCATGGAAGCTCTCTGTGCTCTAGACAACTGGGAGGTTGCAGTCGTGGCAGATCTAAAAACGCCCCGCAGCTGGTCCTCTGGTCCAGCATGCCATTTCTTGTCGACCAATTACCAATCTCGCTTGCCATTCAGAGTCGTGTCGCGCATACCTTACAAAGCATACACTCGCAAGTCAATCGGGTACCTCTTCGCCATCGCAAATGGCGCCGAGCTCATCCAAGGTATATACTTGTATCAAATTTGTTAGCTTCGCTGACCTCGCTCGATAGACACCGATGATGACAATTTGCCAAATGAGGAGATCGTTCTGCAAGATCCTGACAGCCCAGAATTTATGACCGCATTGCCTTCGGGCAACCTGGAGACGAGTCGGGTGATCAATCCATATGCTCACTTTGCACGCGGCGATATCTGGCCTCGTGGGTTCCCGCTTGAGGAATACGATCGCAATGCGACGATGCGCTACCTGAAGGCATCCGAAGCTTCCGAGAACGTTCAAGGCAGAGCGCTCATCCAGCAGGGCCTGGCCGATCTTGATCCCGACGTCGATGCCATCTTCCGCCTGCTCAACAGGGAAGACATTGCTAAGGTTCGCTTCTGCAAGGCTGTGCCATCGCTGAAGATGGCTCGCGGTGCTTTGGCGCCCTTCAATTCTCAAAACACGCTGTTCCATCACGACGCCTTCTGGGGACTGCTGCTACCCATCACTGTCACCTTTAGAGCGACCGATATCATCCGAGGCTACTGGGCGCAACGACTGCTATGGGATGTCGGCGGCACCCTCGCTTTCCGTGAGCCTAGCGTAGACCAGATTCGCAACGCTCACGACTACATTCAAGACATGACGAGCGAGGAGAAGCTGTATACCCAATCTGGCGATCTGACTACGTTCTTGCAAGACTGGTCAGACTCGTCTCTAGATCTGCCTACCCGCCTCTTGCATCTCCTGCGAGCCATGCAGTCCGAAAAGTTCATCCGGGGCCCGGATGTCGAGCTCGCAAAAGCTTGGGTTGCGGATCTTCGCAGCATCGGCTACGAGTTCCCAGAGATCAAGCCTTGGAGCAAACGATCCATGCTGACAGAAGCAACAGCCATCGAGCCAGCTGTGCTTAAGGACAATGCCCATCATATGCGTTGGCGCCGTTTCAAGTGCGACCCTCGCCGCCCACCAGTTCGCAAGGCCCTGCTCGTCGTCGTCTACAACTCTCCATGGTACCAGCACATGGATGACTTCCTTGACATGTATGGCGACTTTTACGAGAAAGTGGTCTTCTATGGTCAAAACAAGCCGGGTGCTGCCAATCCTCGCGTCATTCCCGCCAACATCGAGGCCGGAGAATTCGGTCATGTCGCCTTCTTGGACGCTCTGAACGCAAACCCGGGCTACGACTATTATCACTGGACCAATGACGACGTGGCTTTCAGTCCTTTTCTTATGTCCACATACGACCCCAATTGGCTGATAATGTCACATGACATGAATTGGGCTCAAGGCCAAGTATACGACGGCAATAAAGCCGATCACAGCCCCTTGGAGATATACCACGGCTGGTGGGCTCTCGACCGCCCTGGTACGCTACCTCCGGTCTCCTGGGCACGAAGCTGACTCGCAAAGATACAGATTTGATCGAAAACTGGATGCACGCCTTTAACGCCTCATCAGAGCAGCATAAAACCAACCTAATAGACTCATCGGCCGAACGACGCATTACGATTTACGGCGGTCAAAACGACTTTTTCTGGCTTCCTGGGCGTTTACGTCAGGAATGGATAGACATCCTGACACCCTTTGCCAACCCGGAACGTCGTGTATGGCACGAGATGGTGCACGCCTCTGCGATCCACATGCTCGACGGAAGAGAACATCGCAAACAAGTCGCCGACGGTCTCTCGCCATGGATGTGGGGCGGCGAACGGCAAGAGCTGGATCGTTTCGTGACCCCAGATCGACTTGTCATCCATCCGCTCAAGCTGAGCATGGCTGGCATGCAACAACGATGGCAGAGCTACATCATGGACAGCGCAGATCATGTCTTTGGACCCTTGACGTACTAGATCGCTCCGCAGCGCACTCGATACCCAATCTGTTGTTTGTACGCATGGACGAGGCTTTCACTTCAGGGTCTGTGGCTTGCCTCCTGCCTGTCTGAAAGACTCCGCGCCATTCAGTGGTGACTTTTCTCGCTGTGCCCACACTCCGCCAGCTTGAGACACAAGCATCCCCGATGGAGATCTGACTGGGAGTGTGTGCGGCACATCCGCGCGCATGGAGGAAATCAGTCAACTCAGCAGGTACATGACGACGCGTTTGTCATATCAGCATCGTACGAAATGCATTGTACACCAGTCGTCAGCTTGCATTCTGTTGTCGCGGCCGGATCCGCACTTCAGCCGGGCAAGCGTAATCGGACTTGTGTTGTCCCATCGAGGCAAGGGCAGAAGGTGAGCAACCCTGCTCCCTTGTGGGTGCTAGGGGATGAGGGTTGCAGAAGAGTGCCATTGCCTGGTGCCCGATGAAGATTACGCCCGTATAGGCGTTGATGAAGAATTCGACGATGAGACGACCTTGGCAGCTGCATCGGCGTCAGTACGGATGCTCCCGACCGAAAACCCGGTGGGACTTGCCAGAGAGGCCAGGCAGCATTGTCATAATCGATATAACGAAGCCACAAGACGGCTCTGAACTTGACACCTCTCCATGCGCGAGCATAGATGTTGAAAGTTCCCTGTTCGAGCCACAGAACCGACTTTGGCTGTATAAGCCGAGGAGCTGAATCGTCACGCGCGCGTACTGACGAATTCAGTGCCCCACTTCTGAGTAAGATCTGGAGGCGGCAGAAGCTCGACGTCTACTGTCGCCGGTTTGTGAGCTTGCTCCGGAGTGCCGATGACGCCTGGTCGGAAACATCGAGTTGGGTCAGCAACGAGGCGCCTCGATCAGCGAGATCAAGCACCGTGCGCCCCTCCGCATTCCCCCTCGTGTACTGAATTAGCTAAAGGACTTTGGTCGAGCGGTAGCCGCTAGCGCATACCTCTGCATAGAATTCCAGCTCGTACTTGACACCCTGCTGAGGCGAGTTGGGGGTGGAAATGTCGAGCTTGTGAAAGAGGTTGCAGGGCGTCACGGCTAGCGTGCGCTTCGGTCATCCAGAGGGCCTGCCGGAACAGATAGAGCGTACTAGGTGGGTTGTTGAGCTCTTTGAGATCACATTCCAGGACAGATGCGGCTCTGACATCGGGTTTGCAGTAGAGATGCAGATCTGACCAGATCTCCCGCGCTTCGTTCTGCCAATGCTTGAGCGTGCGTGTCAAGCGGTAAGCAAAGCGAGTCTACCGTGGCGGGATTGAAGAGCATCTTCAGGTTGAGCTTGCAGGTGCAGCAAAAGAACCAGGTCCACAGCTTGTGACCATCGATTGGTCTGTACGGGACGCTCACTGAAATGTCGACGATGATGCCATCAGGAGTGACATCAGACATCTCTGCGACTGCCGTGTAGTCGACTTCCACTTTGAGCTGCAGACATGTCGACGTCACTGCTGTGGCTGAGCCTGGCGGGTGTGACCACTGACGAGCTTGACGGTCCAGTCGGATGCCCTACTACTGCTCTTGGAGAGTTCAACGATCAGTCTGAATGCATCAGGCTGAGATACAAATGTCTCGAGAAGCGTTGATGGCGAGGTCTGAACGTCGCATGTTCCTCCAAGCCAGATGGTGAGAGCCCATGTGTGTAGTGCAGGGTCATCCCGCTTGGCGATCGACTGGTCCGGTCGTGCAAGTGTCCGAGACAGCAGACCGAGGAGACAAGCGAGTGGGAGCCAGTGCATCGTACCAGGTCTGCGCCTGATCCGGCTTGGCTTTGGCATGGACATTCGCGTCGATGTCGGTGACGGCGGCACTGGGCACAGCTGACCGACCGTCAACGTCAAGCAGAACATTGGCCAGACGGGGAGCCGATGTCAGTGAGCGATGCGGCTAGCAAGCCCGCTGTACCATCAGCGCAGCCTGCCAGGCTATCGACCGCCGAGGGATTCGTTTCAGGCGCATTGGCAGCGTAGGCTCACTCAGCAACTCTCCCAAAAAAAAAGAGCATCATGGGCTGACATGACGAGCACAGCTGCGTATCCGCAACGGTGACGAATCCAGCAGAAGTGGCCAAAACACGCTTGCAGCTCGATGGCGAGCTCCAGAGCAGAACGAGTGGCGCTGCAGGACGACAGAAAGTGTACAAGAACGCCTTCGATGCGCTTGCAAAGACGTGGCGCTATGAGGGTCTAGCGGGCGTACAACGAGGCCTGGGGGCAGCGTACGCCTACCAGATCATGCTCAATGGTAGCCGGCTGGGGTTCTACGAGCCAATACGGCGAAGGATTAACAGGATAGCCGGACGGCAGACAGATGCTCAGACGATATTGGGCAATCTGACTGCAGGAGCATTGTCCGGTGTAGTGGGAGCCATACTCGGCAACCCACTCTTCCTTGTCAAGGCGCGAATGCAGGCCTACTCGCCCAGCAATCCCGTCGGAGCACAACATTATTATGCCAATGCTTGGGATGCACTGCGCTCTGTCTACCGCGCAGAAGGCTTCAAAGGCCTCTGCCGGGGCATGGATGCTGCCATGCTGAGGACAAGCATGGGCTCGTCTGTAAGCTCTGTTCTACCTACGCTTTGTCCGTACACTCACGACGAGGGGGCATGCAGGTGCAATTGCCTGCCTATAATCTTGCAAAGTCGCGACTGGCCGAGTATCTACCGGCTACGAGCATATGGACCTATCTTGCAGCATCCACCTTTTCCGGCGCCTGCGTTTGTCTCGTCATGCAGCCAGCAGGTGGGTGACCTTACCTCGAATATGACTTAAGACGGCTCACCCTGAGCGGCATCCGCAGATACGGCCCTGACGCGAATGTACAATCAGTCGCCCAATGCGATAGGGCCGGATGGTAAACCTCGCGGACTGCTCTACAAGAACCCGATAGACTGCCTATGGAAGACATTGCGTGCAGAGGGCGTAAGAGGGTGGTATAAAGGTTCGACGGCGCACTTGATGCGCATCGCACCCCACACGATCATCACCCTCGTCGTCAACGAAGGCATCACTCAGTGGTGGATCAACAGCAAAATGACCGCATCGACCTGATCAGTCGCACGCGCTCCGAAGCCGGTACAAGCAGTGTCAAGGCAGGCAAATCTTGTAAGCCATTGTATAGCCTCGCCTGGACCGCTCCTGTCTTGTCTCATGCATATGCAAGGAAGTGCACGGGACAGAGACCATGCATGTTTGCCTGTCCCAAGCAAGAGGGGAAGGGTCGTCTATTTTGTGGCCTCGTACTTTAGCAGTAGCTTTTCCAGGTCGAAAGCCGGATTATTCGGATCGCTTATGACCGAATCCGCACCGCCTTCCCTCTCGAGCTTCTGCCTGGCGTACTCCTTCCTCGCCTGCTCGACCCATCCCTCTCGTTTTCGGAGCTCGGCATGTTCGCGCTCTTGCGCCTGTTTGTGGTTGATCGTCCTTCGGTGGAGGATGCCGTAGAGTATCCCGCCTGCCAGTGCAGAATAGCGCACGACCTAAAAGGCGGTTCCAAGCTTTGCGTCAGCGAATGCTCGTGCTGTTGAGACTCGAGCAACAAGGCGGCTTACATTGACTGTCGCAGAGGGAGGCATGTCTGCCGCAGCCCCAATCTAGCTGCCAATGTGCGCCTACAATTGCGAGCCAATGAGGTCGAGTACGCTCGTGAGAGCTGCTACGTACCTCTGGCTGACCAAACGAATCCGTTCGTCTCTTCGGCTTGCCCTACCAACAGGCGTGTCTTCCCTACAACTTTGAAAAGAATCACGATTACGTGGCAAAGACAGCCGCGGGACACTCGCGCTGAGTCCAGCTGCCGATCAATCTCCGACCCAAAATTTGGGTTTTAGCCAATCTCGGCTGCTGCACATTATGTTAGCGCAGCTCGAGCGAGTTCAGCATGGTCTCTACGACGGAGTGATGGCTATGCGACTGCCTAGCCAGCTCGGTACACCGCAAGCCTGCTCCTAGCTTGCGCGGGCACTCGTCGCTCACGCTCTCCACGATGCTGTCGCGACTGATCGTGGCTGCTTCATTGGCAGTAGGCATATTGGCCGCTATACCATCGCAGCCCACTTATCTCACTTATACAAGCAACACAACCTCGAACAATATCACGTATGTCAAGAACAGTGGCCAATGCGAGACGACGCCAGGCGTGAATAGCTACTCTGGCTACGTCAACATTGGCTCATTTCGGTACTTCTTCTGGTTCTTCGAAGCCAGGAAGAACGCAGCGACTGCTCCCTTTGCAACTTGGGTCAACGGTGGACCTGGTTGTAGCTCCCTGATCGGCCTGTTTCAAGAGAACGGACCATGCACGGTCAATGCGCAAGGCAAGACCGAGCTCAATCCTTACTCGTGGTCCAACACGGTCAACATGATCTATATCGATCAGCCTGCTCAGACTGGCTTCAGCACCGGTCCGACCACAGTCAACAGCACCAACGCGACTGCTCAGCCTATCTGGGAGTTCTTTCAGGTATGCTCTCTCACAGTACAGGAGCTGGCTGGAGACTAACACGCGCAAGCAGCTCTTTTTTGAGAGCGGCGAATTCGGCAAATATTCGAGCAGACAGTTTGCGCTATCCTCAGAATCCTACGGTGGTCACTACATACCCGCTTGGGCAACCTACTTTGCCCAGCAGAACGCACTCATCAAGTCTGGCAAGCTCAAAGGAACGACGATCCATCTGGAGACGATCCTGATCAACAATGCTTGGATTGATCCTTACTACGCATATGAGAGCTACATCGAGTATGCCTACTACGGCGCCAAACGGTTCATCAACTCGACTACGCTCCAGCAGCAGCGAAAAGCGTACTATGCACCCGGCGGCTGCGGTCCGCAAATCCAGCAGTGCTACAAGACGCGCACAAACAAAGATTGCAGCGATGCTGATGATTACTGTGCCGAGAACGTCGAGTCGATCATACCCTCGAGCGTCGATCTCAACTATGTTCTAGCGCCCGCCAACGATCCTTTCCCTTCACAGTCCTTCATCAGGTATCTCAATACGGCATCCGTACAAAGGGCAATCGGCGTCACACCCCACACGAGCTATACTTTCTGCTCAGATGCAGCAGGCGCGCCCTTTGGACCAACGGGCGACGATGCGCGCTCGTTTGCACCTCAGCTCAAAGCACTCATTTTGTCCGGAATGCGCATCACACTTTGGGCAGGCCTAGTCGACGCCAATTGCAATGGCATCGGTATGCTCAACAGTGTCCTGGCAATGAACATCACCGGGTTTGCAGCTGCACCGTATGAGAACCTCACTTACGCCTCCAATGGAACCGTCTACGGACAGGTCAGAGAGGTCGGCAATTTCAGCATGGCATTCATCGCAGGAGCAGGCCACGAAGTATCGGCTTATCGCCCCCAGGCAGCACTAGAAGTATTTCAAAAGACAATGGCGGGCAAGGCACTTGCATAGATGCCAAGTACAGTCGGTAGCCTTTGTTGTACACGATGAACGAGCAAGAGGGTGGCAGAGTCAGTACAAGTGCCTTTTGCTGTCTTTGATCAGCGTTCAAGTGTGCGTGTGTCTTGTGTCCTTCGATCATCATCTCTTGCTTGCCGGTTCCTCCGACTCTTCCTCCTCATCGTCATCATCCCCTCCATCTTGTGCTCTTCCTCTCTTGCCCAATGTCACCCCTGCCTCTTCATCGTCATCTCCTTCGACGACGTCGTCTTCCTCTTCTGCGCCTTCTTCGAGATCGTCATCGTCCTCACCGCCCGCTCCGCCTTCAAAGTCCTCATCGTCCTCTGAATCTGGCAATTCCTGCGCCGACACTGCTCAGCGTATCCCGACCCAAGCCAAGTGAGAGAGCCTCACTTCTTCGCCTACGAGAGCTTCGAGACCAGGAGCACCAGGCTCGCCATCGTCCAGCTCCTCGTCATCCTCATCGTCGTCATCGCCCTCTTCGTCCGTGTAATCCTCCTCATCACCCCCGCCGAGGATGGCCGCAGAGACATCCGTGTCCGGTTTGGACGTTCCCGGGGCACTGGCGGACTCGTCGACCTTCTTGCTGGCTGAGGACGTTGACATGCTGAGCTTCACAGTGGGACTATAGCTGACTGAACGTCGGGCCTCTTTCTGTCGAGACGGAGCGCGTCCAATGAAGATTCGGTGACGTAGCCGAACTGATTGATCTGACTGATTGACTCGATCGCTTGACTCGCTCGACCTTGCTGTGCTCTAGCTGTTCGTCATGGGAGCTAGAGATTGGCGATCGCTCAGAAAGGGCAAAGCGAGAGAGGACGAGAAACGTTCGAGTCATCCCTACCTCATCGGCAACTTCCGGCCCGTCGAGAAAGAGCACCATCTCACGCCTTGCACTGTCGTTGAGGGATCCATTCCTCGCGAGCTGTGGGGTGGCCAGTACATCAGGCAAGCTTGTGATGACATCACAGATCGACTGCAGGCTCAACTTGATCCAACAGGAATGGAGGCAATCCAGCATTTCCGCCAAAGGAAAAGACAGCCTATCACTGGTTTGACGGCGATGGCATGCTACACGGTGTACACTTTCGCATCAGCACTACGGCAGACGGCGTACATTCAGTCGAGCCACACTATACCAATCGCTACATCCAGACCGATGTCTTTCTCGCCAGCAAAACGTGAGTGTGCCAAGCCAATTCATGCTACATCAGACTGATCGGCAGCGACAGACGAGGGAGCACCATCCTACCGTCCATATCATCCTTGCTCATCTCCCCGTCAGACTCGCTCGGCACAAAGGCGGCTCTCGTTCCCATGTTGATCCGAACAGTCGCCATCGCCTATCTGTCCTCGTTGACGAGACTGAGCGTCACCAACACTGCCGTCTATTTCCACAATCGCCGCTTGCTAGCAACCTGCGAATCTGGTCCACCGATGCGTATCGCTCTCCCTGAGCTCACCACAGTAGGCTGGTATGTCCATCCCGACGAAAACGGCGAGGGCGGACTGGGACGTGGCGAATTGACCGTTGGCGCGAAAGAGTGGATCGGAGCAGGAAGATTTGCAGGCGCAATGCTAGAGGAATGGCAAACGGGTCATCCCAAGCTCGACCCCATCTCTGGCGAGTTCCTTACGTATGGCTACAACATTTTTGCTCGACCATATGTGACCTACTCCGTCATTGGTCCCCATAGCGAGCACCGAATTTTCAAGCAACCTGTAGAGATCCCGACGGCCAAGATGATGCACGACTGGGGCGTCTCGCGCAAACACACCATCATCATGGATTTGCCGCTCACCATGTCTCCCTTTAACATCGCCAAAGGGCTCAAGCCGATGGTCTACTTTAATCGCAAGCTCAAGAGCCGCTTCGGCATCATGCCCCGCTACTTCTCCGGTCAACAGAGCGACATAAGGTGGTATGAGACCGATCCATGCTTGATCTTCCACACTGCGAATGCGTTTGATGAAACGGACGAAGCTGGCGCTGTTAACGCAGTTTCACTACTCGCATGCCGCTTTGCAACTGCCAAATTAGTGCATGCAGCCGGTGGCAGACCTGCACCAGCGCAGGAAGAAGCCATCGCTGCTGCGCTTCCGGACGGCGACATCGTCCGACTGACATATTATCGCTTCGATCTTTCTACCAGCAAGAACACAATCACGCACGAATTCGCACTATCAAACATTCCATACGAGTTTCCTGTGGCTAATCCAGCTGCCGTCATGAGAGAGACCCAATACCTATACGGCTGCACGATGCGTAGAGGGCGGTTTGACGAAGCCATGCGAGCTGCCAAAATCGATTCTTTCGTCAAGTTTGACTCTCGCGCCTTGGTAGCCAAAGGCAAAGCTCAAGGATTCACTCGGTCTGGCATCGTCGATACTCGCTCTGTGATGGATGTCATCGAGCAACAGTCGACCTACGGTCCAGACCACGTCCCGACCGATCCCGTACGAATCTATGCCCTGCCTGCTCATCACTACGCACAAGAGCCGGCCTTTGTAGCTCGACAGGACGCAAGTGCAGAAGACGATGGCTATCTGCTCTTTTACGTATACGACGAGCGCCAACTCGACTCACTAGGCTCAGCATCCGACGATACCAAAGGCGAATTATGGATCATCGATTCGATGAAAATAGGCAGATCTGCCACCCACGAGGATGCGCTAGTGGCCAGAATCAGCGTGCCTCAACGAGTGCCCTATGGTCTGCATTGCAACTTCATCAGTCAAGCTCAAATCGCTTCGCAACGGAGAGAAGAGTGGCAAGCACCAAAGCCAGTCCTGACGGCAGCACAGATTCGCGCTGCCCGCACAACAGAAGCCATCGACGTATTGCTGGGCGAGCAGGACATCGGCCAGAGAAGAGATTCTCTCGCTAGGCTCGAACTAGCTTGGCTGCTCTACTTGTCGATCGCAGGCTGGCTAGTACTTCGCTCAGCGCCACCGCACTCGTCGCACGTCCTCCTCGTCGCGATGATCAGATCAGCTCGAGACGTCTGCATGACTCTATTGGCAGCCCGGCTCTTCTTCATCTTTCAGCCCAGATTCGCTGTTCTCAGACACATCTTCTCCGCAAAACACCGCACGCCTGCATCACCATAGAAAAGAGCTAGCTTTGCATCTTGTCTTGCATTGCATCTTGTTCGCGCGCAGCGTTTTGCCCGATCTCCTGAATCTGCTCGGGGGTAGACTTGCGTGTTCCATTTTCATCTTTGCGTTTGGCCAGAACCGAGATGGCCGTTAAGATGTAGCCTCCTGCGGGCAGGCCAGTCATCTCGGGGTGCGTCCGCCCAGGCAAGACCTGATATTTTCGCAAGAAGGGTTGGTGCACGCCGATACCGATGAACTGAGGATCGCCGCGGAGCAGTCGAGAAGCCGAAGCAAGGGGCTCTAGTGATGGGCTGTAGATGACCACCTGAGCCGATCCTGCCAGTTTATCACTCACACGGGACAGGACATCGAGCGGGTCGTAGGCGGTAGCAATGATGACGCATCCGAATCCGCCATCGAAGAACTGTTGTCGCATTTGAGCATTGGCTTCGTACTGCGCTTGACGTTTGACAGCTTTCTGTCGACCCCGATCGCGGGTATCTTTCTTGATGTCGACGTCTGTCGGAAGCTCGAAAGGCTGATGCGTCGGGTCCGTTGCTGCCCAATTGATCTGGCATATGACGCTCTTCTGTCGCACAGAGAAGCCCATGTAGTCACACACCGGGAGCTGGATATCCGAAGAAGCATCGTGTATCAGCACCAATGCCCCGTGGCCTGCTCAGCCGTAGCTTCAGACATGCAAGGTTGACAGAGGTCCAGACGACTGACCATCCATTCGCTCTACGCAACCTGCAGCGAGAGCTCCAGCAGTATCGTCTATGAGCAAGACGCGTTTGTGCGGTCGCACGTCTGCCAGATTGAGTATCTGAGCCATCGAGTCGACGCGCAAATCTCTGAAGCGCGGCGGGTCCTTGACAAAGTGGTAAGCGCAGATATTGTAGAGCGTAGGCGCGACAGGCGTGAACATCTTGAGATATCTATCGATCACGAACACCGTCAGGGAGGAGCATGTCTGCTGATGTACAGCAGACTGACTTTGTCTCTTTGCGTCTCCTATACTTTTCTTGGCTGAACCGGTTCTTCTTGTCAAACTCTGCATGGACAGCGATCTGATAGTCCACAATCTCTTTGCCCGTCATATCGGCCGCTCTGAGCTCGGCTACTTGTTCGGCCGACAAGCCGACATAAGTCTGCGGCATGATGTCCTCGTTCGTGTTCTCCCTCTCTCGCTCCTCAATCTCGGAGAGCGTGACATGCTGAACCACCGTCAGGCTCCCTCCGTGAGTGATCTCGTAGGTGAAGCCGTACGGTCTCCCGATGAGATCATCAGACTTGAACTGGCCATACTTGCCCAAGTTGATCGAAACGCCCGACGATAGTTTGGGGATGAGCTTGCTCAGGCCTGACGGAAGGGAGATCAGGAACGGCTCTCCAGCTCGAATGATGCGGTGTTCTGCCCTGTAGGGCTCTATGGCAGGCTGCTTGCCCTTGCCCGTACTTTTGAATTTCTTTGCCTCGCTGGCATTTGCTACGTCGCTTGCGTCTGTCGCTGGTCGCTTTACAGGCACGATCGTCTGTGCATCTGACTCGCTCGTCGACGGCTTGACTTCATCGAGCGTGGTATTGCTCGTCGAGGCAACAGCAGGCCGCTCAGAGCTCATTCACTCGGCCGGTCCTGGACAGGGACAGGTGTGCAACTGCCTCATTTCTGACGCGAAGACAACTCGTTCAGGGCGGTGAGGATGTCCGCTTTGAGATCCTCTAGGTCCTCGAGTCCTACGGAGATGCGTACCAGCTTGGGATCAGCTTTGGCGTCTGATGTGATGCGATGCTCCATGAGCGATTCTACGCCGCCTAGTGAAGTTGCAGGCGCAAAGAGCTTGACCGTATAAGGCAGCCATTTCGCGACTTCCGCCGATGAAAGCTGCTCAGAGCGTCAGGCCACAGCTCTCCATATCGCAAGGAGCAGACTGACCAGGATGGAGAAGCAAGCAGGACCACCTGTGAGTTGCTGAGCTGCAAAAGCATCAAACTGTCCTTGCTTGGCTTGCAATGATGCATGCCACACTTGATTCACAAGCGACGCCTTGTCTTGTGTGAGCGTGTTGAGCCAATGTGCTAGTCCCGTGGCTGTCTTGGCTTGTCGCTTGACTCGCTGTCGCAACAAGGTTCAGCAAGATTGCACGCCGCTTTGGGATTCATACGGACCAGACTGAGCGTGCGAAGGGACCGCAGGAGGAGCCAGCACTCGAGTGATCCCGGCATAGGACCGGTGAATGTCCGATCGCTCCACAGCTACAGAGTCAAGGATCAGTGTAGACCGTTGCAAGACAGCATGCAGTCGCACCCTTTCCCAGTCTGATTGCGATTTGACTGCAAGGACGCCGAGGAGTGCATCAGAATGTCCTGATAGAGAGATGAGACCGGATGTGACAGCATAGAGTGGTCGTGCACACCATTGAGATACTTTGTCGCCGAATGCATGACAATGTCTGCCCCGTGCCTGAAGGGGTCTTGCAATGGTGGCGGCGCAAAGGTGGAGTCAACGAGTAGCTTGGCTCCTTTGGCTTTGCAGTGCTTCGCGTCTGTCCGATACGCGACATTGGGTCAGCGTTGCATGCTGATATCGTCGCGGTCCTGACAGTGTGCCATGTCACGCGCTTCGCCGGTCGGATTGAGTGGCGTCTCGAGCCAGCACAGTGTCTCGTTGGTATAAGCATCGAAATCATCCAGATCTATCAGTATCTGTCCGCAGTTTGCTCTCCGCTCAGTAGCGAATGAGGGTCCATGGAGGACCATGACGGACAAGGTTGCTCTTTATGCGTTTGAAGACATCGATGGCCATATGACTGCCATGATAGCCTTCCCTGATGGCGATGACGGTAGGGTTGGCCCATAGCATGGCCGCAAAGCTAGCAGCCAGACCAGACGAGTACAAGACCGTCCTCGCTCCCATCAAGCTGTCGAGCACTTTCTCGACTCTCTCTGAGCTCGGAGTCGAGTAGCGGGAATAGACGAGCGGGTTCGAAGCAGATGGGTCAATGTCGCCCTCGGGTAAGGGTGGCTGGAGCGGTCCTGGCCATCTGAACGTCGTAGACACCGAGATGGACGGAGCAACAGGCCCGTTGAGTTCGCTCGCGGTGTAGACGCCCGCTTCATCTGGACAGGCTTGAGATGAGTCTGAGACGAGGGCTTGTTCATCGCAACGCACTCGGCCGAGGATGTTCGTCGTCGGCGTGCAGCAGACGGGTGCTCAAGTCCATATTGATGTCGCTTCCCTGGAATCCGATTCGCTCGTTGCTCGTCGCCAAAACGGCCAAAACTCGCGTCTAGCCTCGTCGTCGATCGACAGACTGTCACTGTCTGCCCCTCTCTACGACACAAAGCTGTCCTCTATTTCTCAACGACAACATGTTTGTCAAGCTCTTACTCCTCAGTCACTGCCTTGTGCTATGCGCCTCACTCGCTACGCGTAGTTTGGGCGACATGTACCAAATCGAAATGCTCTTCACTTTCAATGGCTTCTGTGACCCGTCAGGTCTGAGGACATACTGGCGTCGCCTCTTCGCCTTTCGACAAGCCCCACCGGACAAATCTGGTCAGCAGACAGGTTCTCAGACAGGTACAAGCTAACGCCGCCTCAGGTCGCGCGCCCGCTGCTCGTGTGCTCCTCAATATCTATGATCAGCCCGTCGACAAGCATTGGTACTGGCACGCAGAAGTCGTCAGTCTCTCACACTTGCTTCAAAGCGTCGATATGATGCTTTTGGGTATCCCAGCTGGAGAGAGAGCGCGTCGACGCCGTTTACACGCAGCCGAGAGGTTGGCCTAAAATGGGAGTCTCAGCCGAGTTCTTGGTCAGACCGAGCGATCCCATCTATGGACCTTGCTGCCTCTGCAAAGTCATATCTCGCGCAATGTATATCGCCACAGACCGTGTGTCGTCTATCGCTCTCAGTGCCAACGTGTATCTCTGAAAAGCCAGAGCCAGCGCCAGGTTTTGTGGAGCCTGCCGAGGCGATCGCCTGGGAGTCCGAATGCGATTGCCGAAACGAGGAATTCTGGCTCGCAACATGTCAGACTGGTAAGCTCGCTCGCGAAACACCTCGGGGTCAGTCTGACCTACATCGATGGCAAAATGAGCTGATCCGGTTGATAGGCAAATTCAAATGTGCATTTCAAGCTCAAGACTTAGGATGGAGGTTCCTAGAAGCACCCAATGCACCTCAGCGATCGATTTCGTAATAGCAATGCATGTGATCTATCGTGCGACGGTAGACGAGCGCGAGAGATGACGCGCAAGCGCGAACCGCACGACGAGCAAACGCTTCTGAGCTGCTTCTACTTCTTCGCGGCTCGGCTTGACGAGCATCTTGCCAGCTGATAGACTGGCAAGCATGTTCAGATAACCATATGGGTCTTTGCTGGTGTGGCTGCCTCCATCAATCTGCTCTAGCCACCCCAAGAGCTGGTAACAATCCCTGAGCATGATCGAAGACGCTTCGCTCTCGAGGAGCGGCACTGCATCGACAAACATGACCGCCCAGAATCGTTTGGGCGCCAAGCCAAACAGACTGATCAGCAGCGTTGCCGCTTCTGCTTTGTCGCCCTGTGCGTACAAGCTGTGGAACTGGCGATAGCGCGCAATGAATGACAGTCGAGAGGCAAAGAGTGCAGCATTGAGTTGAGCGGGCTGATAGTCTTCATCTTGCATCTCTGCCGGGAAGAGACCAGGTCGGAGTTGCGCTGCTTCCGGATGAAGCAAAGAAGTAGGAATCGAGTCTACTTGCGCGTTGAACGCGTCTCGGTCGACTACGTAGAGATCGAGAATCGTGTCTGCAATACGAGCGATTCGCTTGGCGTCTCCTGCTCGTACTGAGAATGCTACTGCTTCGCCATATCGTCTCTGCCTCGTCCTTCGCTCGGCCATGCCCTGAATGACTTGTGAGCACGATGATCACGAGGTGGACAAGACTTTACCTGACAGATCTTCCTGGTCTCGGCTTCGAGGCTATAGTCCGTACAAGCCTGCAAGAGGGCCTCGACGGAAGCATCGTCTAGACCGCCCGTCGCCATACTCTCATCTTCAGCCTTGCTCGCAGGCGCCTTGTCTTGGAAAGCCGTCCTGAGGATCGTTTCGGACATGCGCGCTCGGCCTGCTTCGCCGCAAGCGCTGAGGTAATCTAACGCGATTCGCCAGAGGGCATCGTCGGATCTCAAGCAATCTGCCCAGCGCAGTATAAACCAATCGCGCAGTGAAGGTCCTCTGTGCAGTCTGTCAGTCAAGTCGGCATGGATTCGACTGATTGACGCACTGGGGTGCTGCTTCAAGTAGACCCATCTTCTCGAAGAGATCGGTCAGATGTGCGACGAGCCAAGCATCCAACCTGCCACAGCATTGTATCGCTTCGGCGACGTCATTGTTCAGCAGTGCGTAGATTATCTCGTCTGATAAGCCCGCTGGCTCCATCTCGAGAGTAGCGGTTATTGTGCGCATCGTCTCACTGTCATCTTGTCAGCGAAGAGTCATACATAAGCAATTGACAGGCGTACACGATGTGATCTCGACGCAAGGTAGGACGGACGAGAAGTCCCCAGGCACCCAGTGCTTCGGGTACGTCCTCGCTCGCTTCTAGCACGCGATCTTGATCGCCCGCTAAGATCTCGTAAAGCAATCGGAAGCTGAGCAGCCAGTCTTCGCCTTCGTCTTCTGGGCCTGACCAAGTGGCCTCATAATCCCTATCGAGACGCTTGAGAGAGTCTGTCACGCGATTGCGCCATAGCCTGAATGCATCGCTGTAGGCTGATTCGAGCTTGTAGCGTGTCGATCGAGGCAGATCGTCTACAAGCGATATGGCTAGCTTTGCTGTGCTGGACACGAATGCCTTTGGGTGATCGCGAAGTCGGCGCAGCGTGAAGACCGAACCGGCTGGCATGCCCCGCAGAACAGACCTAGACTATGATTAGCTCGACATCTCAGAGTCACCAAGACACGTACCGGTAGGTGTAGCTCCAAAATTTGGGATCTTCCCACGGTGTCGACATGTTCTTCAACGAGGCGCCTTCTTCGGTACTTGGGGCTGTCAGAAACTCAGGTTGCTCAGCAGTTGCACTTGTTCAGCGCTCTTACGCTCACCTGGGTCGTAGTAGTTGAGCCAATTGAGGTACTCTTCGGTGAGCAGACCGTCGCCCCGTCCATCGGCGGGTATGTAGAGTATGCTAGCGAGCTTGAAGATGTCGTAGACCTGTTGATAGTGCCCGAGCTGAGCCATGATTCTGTCGGCGTTCTTGCGCCCGCTCGGCTCGTTGAGCATAGCCTACGCGTGGTCACGACGTATCAGCTGGGATTGCCGTTGAGAACGGTCGGGCGACGCACAGACAAGGCGTCAATATGAGCTTGTACGTCGGCGCAGTACAGCGCTGCAATGCGTGCGTAACGCGTAATCGTGTCTGCCTCTGGTATCCTATGCGAATCTCCCGTCAGAGCGGCTCACTACGGTGACGCAGAGGTGCAACGTACCCCGACGAATGCTGCTGAAGTCCGTCGTACTGCCCGTCCTGCTGCTCGAGCTCTGCCATGCCTTGCAGGCTGACAAAATGCGTATAGCTCTGAGTGACAAACTGCGTGTCGGCCGTCAGCATGGTATCGTCAGTTTTGTAGGAGCATACCAATCGCTTGTCTGCGCTATCGAGACCGTCATACGCAAGGAAGTAGATCCGCTGATCCGCATCGTCTGTCGGCGTCGCGCTCAGAGTGGTCGTAGAAGCAGCGTGGCCATCTTTCGCGCTGACAAAGCAGGCTAGCTCATTTCTGAAGGGATCGAAAGCAGTAGCAAACGAGCGACCCGATGCCGTGAAGGCTTGCAGGGCGGCTGAACGGCTTGGAGAGCTTGCAGAGTTCTGAAGCTCTGCAGGCGGCAGAATGGACGGCACGAGCCTGATGACTTGACCTGGCTCTGTCATCGCTGCCCTGCCCTGCTCCTGCCGGCTTGACAGCTCGCTCGCGCTGTGTGAAGCCAAGCTTGTGCAGTCGATTTGAAGCTGGTGAAGCCGGCAGGAGCGCGTTTCTTTCTCGTTCGATAGCATGGCTCACCTCCCATCTGACAGCCTCAAGCCTGTCTGCGAGCACCAACTCCGTCCAGAGATAGCACTCCTCCCTCAGACTGGTTCGATATGGACATCACAGTCGCATCTATGGCTTCTGTAGCGAACCTTGCTGTTATGTTCAGCATCACGCCAGCGTGACAGATCTAGGGCTGTACGTACGCCGTGTGCGATTGATAGACCAATTCAGGAGCGTTCTGAGCATGTGTTCAGGACTGTGGCAAGCTCGGAGCTCCAGGTTGCTTCTGGCTTGGAGCGTCGCAATAGAATCCGACTCTCAGCCACACGCTCTGTCATCGCAGGATCCTCGCGGATGCACAATACGAACATGATGTCCCGCTGGTGGGAAGGAAGTTTGGTGCTGTCCCTTATAATTTACTCCACCTCCAGAGCCCAACGGGCAATCAGTACTAACGATCGACCGCTTTTCTGCGCCGGCAGACTGTTCATAGCAATCCTGTTGCGTCCGAGCACGCCGACGACCGGCGAAGATCTCAATGAACTGTTGGTCATTGCACCCAATCTTCCGATCTCTTCTCGTTTGCCAGTGAAGCTCAAGGACGTTGACGGATCGCAGACTTGATCAATTGCGCCCTTTCCACGCTTGATCTCGTCTCTCCACTCTTGCTTGCAAGAAGAAGCTCATTCGTCCAAGATCAGAACATCCAAAGCAGCTCTTTTTGAGTAGGATCTGTGCCTCCTCTCCCGGCACTTTGTCCTAATATAGAGCTGCTATATCCCGATAGGAGCGATGATTGTACAACGTCTGCATTGCACACACGAGATGGGTAGCTGTCTAGTCGGACATACAAGCACAGGGTGATAGTACGAGCGACAGAGCGATTTCACTCCTCGAGTGGGTCGGAGATGCCGTCTGCCTCAATGGCAAATTTGCCTTCCGTCTCTGGCAGACAAGGCGAATCGTAGATCTTGGCCGAGCGAGATGTTCCTCTGGCCTTTTTGAGATGCACTCTGTCGACATGGCCTTAGATGAGCAAGCAGATCTAGCTCATCGCGAAGAACACCGACCGGGTAGTAGACGCATGAGCGATGATGTTGCCTCCGATTGGCTTCTTCGGATCGGGATTGAAGCCACCGGGCGCATTGTCGACTTGAGCAACGACCTGATTCGTGATGACGACAGCAATTCCGTACTGTGCACTCGCTTCTCAGTCTTGTTCCAGCGTGAAAGCAAGGGCACATACTTCATCAGCAAGGCGGAGCAAAGAGCGAAGGAAGCGAGCAAGGTGCGTCTGGCGTGCACTCAGCTCGCCACGTCCTGCAAAATCTGTTCTGTATAGACTCTGTGCAAGCAAACCAACAATGAGCAGACGCTTGCTGCTCATCCACCAGGCTGACGCACCGTGCAGGAATCGACAATGAGCAAGCAGAAGCGAGATTCGGCCATCATGGCGCTGGCCTCGACGAGCAAAGACTGTTGGTGATCGGCATTGTACGCACGCGCATAGGCGACATTGTCGAGCACTTCTTCGCCGTTCATGCCGTAGCGTTCGGCGATGGCGAGCAAACGGACAGGTCGGAAGGTGCCTTCTGTGTCGATGTAGAGACACTTTCCTTCGCCGCCTCCCATATCGATCGGCAGCTGTTGAACGACCACTCAGCCACAAGCACGTTGCGACGTGAGAGCGCATGGCCTACCTGACATGTGACGGCGAGCTGGTGGCAGATCTGAGACTTGCCCGTCCGGAACTCGCCAAAGAGCTCGGTGATGGCGCCCGTCTCGATGCCACCACCTAGGACATTGTCGAGGTTCTTGCTGCCTGTGGTGATCGTGACCATATCACTCCGTCGGTTGTGATAGTCTGTGGCCGTCGTGAAGCCCATGGGGACCTCCTTCTGAGCAGCAGCGATGATCTTGTCTGCCTTTGCTTCAGAGATCCCCTTGACCTTGAGCAGCTCTCTCTTGGGCGTGTATGCCACACTCTCGACGGTGTTGTATCCCGATTCGCCCAGTCTCTGGCAGTCTGTTGCGCTCAGTCCATGCTCCTGCGAGCAGTGGGCGTCAGTCTGATGGCTCGATGGTGGCAAACCTGCAAGGAACGTACTTGAAGCTTCGTGATCAGCATAGCGCGAGGCAGCGTTGACTCTTCCTCTTCCTCGCCCTCTGGCATCGGATCTGCTACTTGTTCAGACATGGTTTCCTTGGCTTCTGCTCGTGCTACGACTGCACACAGCTCGCTGGCAAGCTGTCAATCTCTTTCGCCTCTCTCGCGCACAGCAGCGCGTCCAAATTCAATCTACGCGTTTCAACACGTGACCCGTCACTGCTCCCACTGTCAGCTGTCAGGCCTAAGGCCTATGGCCTCGAGTAAACTCCAAGATTTCATTGATCAATTCTTGTATACAAGCCATCCTCATTTGGGTCCGCTCTTGAGCGCTTCGGCCAGAAGCGAGGGCCAGTCTGGCGTTCCCCAGCCGCTCGCCAGATCGAAGCCTGGCGTCGCGGCAAATTTAGCATCGAGGTTCCGACTTCCGCAGCCGTATGTAGCGCCGACAGTGATGTCGCGAAAGCCCGACATGCCGAAACGGTACAGCCAGGGATTCATGAATCCCATGGCAGGCCGGCCTTCTGCTTCGAGAGCATCGTTGAGCAGGGCGACGATGGCGCCAAAAGCAGGTACGGAACTGCTTGTTCCACCTGATTGCATCATCGTCAGCTTGTTAAGTCGGGTAGCTCAACTACACTTGCCGATTGCATATGGATCACCGCCAGCCCAGACGGCAGACGCAGTGCCTTGGATAGCAACATCTGGAAAAGCGCGACCGTGTGGGTTCCATTTGATGTGCTCAGGCACATGGGCGCCTTTGTAAGAAGCGACAGCATTGGATTGGTACGCCGGGCGCTCAAAGTAGTTCGAGACCCCTGCGCCACTGCTCCAACCGGAAAGCTTCTTGCTCGTCAGATATGTGCCACCGACTGCTTCCGGCGCGAATTGCTCGGTAGCGCCCACACTGAGAACGAATGGGCAGCTTGCCGGGAAAAGAGAAACCAATCCTTCACACTTGCCGCCCGGAGCATCGCAAGCTACCGAGTCGCATGCTAAGCCGGCATCGCCACTTGGGCCCAGGACAGTGATGCCACGGGCGGCAAAGGCCATGAAGACCGTGCAGATACGGCGAGCCAGCGCTGGCGAGTAGGTACGCTCTTCATCGCCGTACGACGAAGCCAGCACCTTGGGAATCTCTTTGCGATCGAACAAAGCTGTCATACCGGCGAACCAGGGCTCGTCAGCATCAGCGGTTGGCGCGGTACGCGAAGGACGAAAGTCGGTAGCATTGCCGGTACCTCCGATGGTGTAGTATACTTGGCGCAGAGGATAAGCGAGTTTAGCGACTTGCTGAACATCCAGAAAAGGCTCATTGCTATCAGTCGACAGATCGATCTTGACCGAACCATGATTGACCGAGACGAGATCGTAAGTGTAGTCTTTCGCCCGAGGACCAATCTCGTGCAGACTGTGGTCCTGAAAGTCGGCGAGCGTAGGCTGATTGCTCTCTCAGCTCGTTATATTAGGATTGTCGCTCTGATACGCACGAGATAGCCATCAAAACCGAGCACTCCAACCTTTGGCGCTTTGGACTGGCTCTTGACTTTGTAAGATCCCAGACGAAGAAACGCGCGCAGACAGTCACGGTGCACGACGTATTCGTACGGGTTGGCAATGTCGCTCGGGCAAGCTTTTGGCCGTTTGCTCGGAGTAAACACCGAGCGTCGCTCAGTCTTCTTCTGCGCTGAGTCAATGACGATGTCGTGATGGAGACTCGATCCTCGGGCTGCGCCTCTTTGCTCAATAGGCTCGCGCGAGCTTCGACCTTGACCAAAGTAGGTTGTCGGTTGTACGGCATCAACGTGATCGTGCAGGAACAGAGGCAGTGAGTATGCCTGAGTACGCCAGATCACTTCGCCCGTCTTTGCATGCTTGTAAGCCTTCAGCTTGGTATCAAGCATTGCCTCGACAAGCTCAGGCAGGACATCAAGGTGAGCCCAATCTTTTGCACTCGAGTAAGCAATAGCCGATCGATCAATGCCATGACTGCTCAGCCAATCTTCGAAAGTGGCAAGCGTCGTCGATGATGGCGCGAGCAGACTATTGACGTCGTCCTGTGTCAGGTATCTGCCATAATTTGCATGAAGAGGATCGCTGCGCTTCAAGGTCTCTGCTTCGAGCTCAGATCGACTGGCCTGGCGGAGTGCAAAATGTAGGCGGTGGATTCGGCCGTTGCGCGTTTCCGAGACCGTAGGAACAGGTTTCCAGTCTTCAGGAACATATCGAGCTGCATCATGGATGACGAAATGGCTGCGTGGATGGCTTGCTGCTGTTGCGCAACTCGCGAGGACGAACAGCGCGAGAGGCAGCATCTCGAGAGCCCACATCCGTGGCTAGGCCAAAGATCAATATTGTACGGTTGCGCCATATTGATCCGAAGCGGTTGCTCAGAGCTGAGAGATAAGCAGATGAAGTGTTTGTACTGTTGTCGGCGATCGTCGGGAAGAGGTCTGAGCGGCAGCTGATCGAGGAGAGCTTTGTCGACTTTCGTCGTCGCGTTGAAGATTCGGCATTGCACCTTGCGCGGTCGCCTCCTATTGACTTGCTCATGACTCTCTTGTCAACCGCCGTTCAAGTGATGTCGTGTTCCTCAGCCATGCTATGCCAATCGTTGCTTCTCTGCTCGATTGCTACGACGTATGTGGCCGCTTATAACGAGACCCTTTTGTCAGCTTTGTCAAGGCTGGATATATGGATGTCTGGAACGTCGGTCGACCAAGACTTTTGCTCTGAATCAAGAGACAAGCAGATGAGATCACATTGTACCTTTGCCAAGTGTTCTGCTCGTGAGACCAAGACCCAGGCAAAGGAAAATTGCGTGGCTAGAAATCCCTTCTCCACCAGGCAGCAAGTGACCAGCCATGAGACTGCATGCGCATCTGGTAAGGCCCCTTGCATTGCTTGACCGGAACGCAATGATCAGCACTGTTCGCGTGCAACATGAAAGGCCAGCAACGCTTTGTTCGACCTGAGTCGCGTGCATTGCTGCCGCGGTTGCTGCGTTTCACTTGCCCTGACCTATTTCCCCTGGCTGATACCCAAATCAAGATCCGCTCTCCTTCCACAAAACACAAGCGTCTCCGCGCTGGTGCACAGTATGATCCTGACCTTCCTGAATTTGGCAAGCGTGGCGCTTGCTAGCGTATCCGCAGAACCGCACAAACACGCCAGCTTAGCGAGGTGTGCTTCCAGTATCGTTCGGCAACCCTGCCCTCACGTTCAGACAGTGCAAACGCGTCAGATGCCACAAGTCTGTCAGGCAACGCCTTGTATTCGGTTTGGGATGTGATGACCATTGAGATCACTCAAGCGCATTTCCCGCTTACTTACCAGCTGCTCGTTTCGCTCAACAATCCTTTCGTTGCCATCGGATGTCAAGAAAGTCGTCGGCTCGTCGATTCGCCTATGCTCGTACACACAGGCGAATATACCGCGATCTATTACGGTCCACGAGAGGATTTCAAGGGCGAGTCGGTGGCCGACCTGACATCTTCAAAAGATGTGTATGCCGTCAACTCGCTGCTGCTTGCTCTCAAAGACTGCGGAAGCGGATTGAGTCGACACTTGTAAGCTTACAGATCTGCAGTGCCGAAAGCTGACTTGCCTACCAAGCCCAATCGACGGTTCCTTCGGTCTGGCGCCTCAAGCCATGATGGACAAATACTTCCGAGACCGCTCCTTATCCGCAAACTTACCTTCGGAGGTTTGGATCAAAGCAGCTAAGGCAGCTGGAAAGGTCACGCGCGCCTTGGTCGCTCTGGTGCCTGCGCACAACGAAGTGCTCTTTGGCACCATACCTACCCGGCTCATGGAGGGACCGATCACCTGGGTTCGAAACAATCCCCAATCCTCAAGCGTCAAGTGGAAGATCAATATCGCAGTGCCCGAACTTGCATTTTCTGGCCTTGCTCGCCTCGAGACAGCTATGTACAGTTTCACATTGCCATCGCCGGCCTACCAACGCTACCTTCGCATCCTCGACATGCGCGACGATACATCTCAGTTTTATGACGATGACGTTCATTTGCTTGCCTTATCGAATGATGCCGTCCCAGCTCCCCTCACCATCCAGTTTGGCAATCGCGCCATCGTGCTCAATGGCCATCAGCAAATGATGCCACGCAGATCGGCCCGAGCCGATGCACCACGCCACACGATCATCGACAAGTAAGTCTGCCTGACGCTTGGTCCGAGCCAATCTAACAAGACCAGGCCGGGCATGGATGACGAAATGATCCTCGGACGAGGCTTCTTGCGTCATTTCGTTGTGGTCCTGGACTACGACGAAAACATGGTCGGCCTCGCACTGCTACGTTCGCCTTCCAGTTCAGAGGAGCTCGACGATATATGCGCTAGGAGGGTCGTCCGGGCTCGACGCGTGCTAGGGGCTAGCTACGCGCCATACGCATCCCGCAATGCTGGCATCAAATGCATAAGAAGCTCCAACTACTCATTTGATGAGAAGGCCAGCGTGTTGGACGAGCAAGGAGGATCTGGTGCGCAAAGTCAGCCGAGCCAGGAGTATAAGTCCGTTGACGGACTATATGTCAGAGTGTAACGCTCCGGGTGAAGGCAGCCATCAGTGTTGACCACACCTGCTCGGTCCGTGGGATCAGAGAAGAGCCTACACCGCATTTTTGCCGCCGTACTGTTACAACTGACGGCGACAAGCGATTGGCTAGGAGGTGCCATTCGCAGCGCGCAGTGGTAACTGCAAGACGCGAAGGTGAGCGCAAAAGATCCGACGATTAGCATGCCGCGGACGTATCGAGACTCTACGGAAGCACGGCAACCGGATTACCGCAGCAACCGTTGTCGCCGTGGCCCTCGTACCAGTTGAGCTGGGCGTAGAGATTGAAAGTGTACAATTTGGCAACGGCGTCGAACTTGACAAGCTGAGTCGAGAAGCGTGTATCACTGCCCTGCAGAGGTGGATCTTTTGAGGTGGCATATGCGAGCAACCGATAAACATACCGTCTGCCAATCATGTCAGCGGATCGCTACGGCTGATTCGCTCATGCGCTTACATCCTGCCAATTGCCAAATGGGTCTACCGAGATGGCGTAGATGTCGACACTCACGGCGTTGCACGTGCCGGACAACGGACCGCAATCGCCTTCTCCAATCACTGTAAGCTGCAATAATCGGTCGCAGTTGCCATCACACCCTTGTGAGAGACTCACGAGAGCCACTGAGCGTGCAACCTCCATCGTCTCGCTTGATCACTGTGGGCACTGCGTGCGTAGGTATGACAAGCTAGGCGACGACTGCCACTACTGAGATCATCATGTCTACTGCGGGTCGTATCAAGCGCGAAGCCGACGGAGGAACGCCTAGCCAGGAGTTTGCGCAACAAAGCGCAGTGATGCATTGTGTCTCGTAGTTGTCATGGCCGCTCGAACGGGGAAGCGCGGCCACGTGAGGATCCATCAACGGCTGCACTGATGGCAAGCACTATGCATTACGATTCGCTCGAGGCTGCAGCTTGCAGCGCCAAAGGTCCTTGTAGCACCACCAGACACGACCGTGAGATGACAGTGGATGTAGAAATATCAACTTTGGACATGATGGCAGGAGCTCCTGAGCAGAACAGGGCAAGTACTTGCAGCGTCATGCTTCGGGAGGGGAAAGTGGGAAGCATCGACATCGTGCATCAACGTTGCATCGTCAACAACACGACCGTCGCCCGTCGCGTAGCCTCAGATCTTTGGGAGACTCGTCCGATCAATGGCCTTGTGCACACGCCCCCTTGCGCTCCTTCTTGGCTTGCCATGTCTTCCGTATCATCTTGTCGCTAGTCTCAGACCGTCATGCGGCAGCGATGCCAAGATGCGACGCGGAAGTGCGACAAACATCGTTTCAAGAGACTGCGAATAGCAGCTCCTTTCCGGATGATCCCCGCCGAGCACAGCTTCGCTTCTTGTGCACATAAGATCAGCACATTGCAGAAGCATTTGCATAGATCAATAAGCAGACAAATATGTTCAAGAAGCTCAGCATCTTCATTGCCGCCGTCGTGATCTCCTCGTGCTCCGCCAGCGCATTGCCCGACAACACGGCACCCGCTGGTGGTATCGCACCCAGTGCTCAGGGTCTCCATCATTGCTGGTTTCGCATGAGCTGGACCCACAGTGCGGCTATCGTTGATGATGACGCTCACCTCAGTATACGCCTCCCAATGCGATAGTCATGGATTCCTTTTCGTTCGTGTTCACCAATGGGGTCTGCCAATCATCGTGACATATTCTACGATGCTGACAATGGTTCAGGACTTTGCAAAAATCAGTCGGGTCGCACCAGAGGGTGTCACAGCCACGGTCACACAAGGAAATTTCTACGTCGAGTGGACAATGAGCACTGTCAACGAGGGAATCGAAGAGACGTGCGTGGCCTGATCCGTCAAGATCTCGATGCTGATGCCAGTGCAGCATTATGTTTGACATTTACTATATCCGTCACTACATCGTGAGCGCCAAGAGGGTCGGCGCCACCAAGGGAACCGTCTCAGGCTATGCCGATTGGGCGCTGATCTGCAACAACGTCAAGGTCCACCAGCTCGATTAAGTCTTTTTAGATATGGACCCCGTGATCAATGACCTTGTTCAGACGCTCAGTCACGCCTTGTCTTGTCCTGGGTTTGCATCGTTTCCTGCAGAATAGCCGCTGGTCGCTGCACTCGCGGTCCCAATGTCTCGATGTGACGCGGAACATTGTCGCTCGTCGTTTCGAGATCTTGCACAGCAGCTCCTTTCCGGATGATCCCCGCCGAGCACAGCTTCGCCTCTTGTGCACATAAGATCAGCACATTGCAGAAGCATTTGCATAGATCAATAAGCAGACAAACATGTTCAACAAGCTCAGCATCTTCATTGCCGCCGTCGTCGTGATCTCCTCGTGCTCCGCCGCCGCATTGCCCGACAACGCGGCGCCCGCTGGCGGCATCGCACCGAATGCTCAGGGCATTCACGACTGCTGGATCCATGTCAGCTTGTTTGCCCTTCGCATTGTATGTCATTGACGCTCCTATCCCTTTCAGTACGCGCCTCCCAATGTCATAGCCATGGATGCCATCTCGTTCGTCTTCACCAACGCGGTCTGTCAGCCAGTGACGTGTCTGTTCATAAAGCTGATGATGATGCAGGACTTTACGAAAGTCAGCCAGACTGCACCCGCGGGCGTCACAGCCACGTACACGCAAGGAAACTCATACGTCGAGTGGACGATGGGCAATGTCGACAAGGGCATCGCAGAAACGTGAGTGGCCTGGTACACGCTCGCCTCGGCGCTCATATGCCGCACAGCATCGTCTTTGACGTCTACTACACTGGCCACGAAATCGTTGGTGCCAAGATGGTCAGCGCCACCAAGGGCACCGTCTCAGGCTTCGATGACTGGGACCTGTTCTGCAACAACGTCAATGTCCACAAGCTCAATTAAGCTTGCTGGGACACTGGATCTTGTACGATTGCAATGCTTGGCTTACTGCACACATCAGGCTCATATCGCCCTAAATCATGAGACGCTGAGTTGTAGAGAGAGGAGACGCGCTGCTTTCGTCGTCGCGATTCGGCGCTGGGCGGTTAGCCGAGTGACTGTAGCTCCCTTCTTCGACTCTCGATGCATCGAGCACTTTTCTTGCTCATCAATCTTGCTTCCTTGCTCGTGTCTGTACTATCGCAGCTTCAGCACTATGGTGTACAAAGTGAGGCTGTCCTTCGCTCGGCGAGCATGTGATGACTGGCAATTTTCTTCAGTCTGGCTCGAGGAAGACCGCACGGCTAGAAGCATGGCTGAAGTTGATGCTACGAACGACAGGCATCATGTCCAGTCGTCACAAGTCCGCTCAGCACACCAAGAGACTTTAAAATTGTTCGCGCTCAGCCACTGCGCTTTGACGTTGCCCTGTCGCCAGAACATACTTCGTCAGACTCACGGTGGAGTGCAGAGATTGTCAGTCTTCCGGAGCATCAGACCCAATAAACTATTCAGGTCAGAGTGCACAGGTCGAGCAAAACTTTCGAGGCGCAGTGACGACGAGCGAACGGACTGAACGTGGTGTCGTGCTCGATGTCAAAGCAGAACTCGATCTGTCGGGCAAGAATGACAAGGTTGCCAAAGCATGGGCACGCTGGTGCGATCCAACTTGGTTTCCCTCTAGGTTCTGACTCGTCGCTCATAAGCTGTGTGCCGGTGTTGCGGACCAAGATATTTTTGGATGGCATACTCGTGAGTCAACTCGATCGAAGAGGCATACAGCAGCATGTATAGCGTTGCCTCTGCGCAGGATAACGCTACCGAACTCGGCTTGCCAGATTTCTCGCTCGAGTGTGATGCAGATCGTCCTGCTTGCCGCCTCGATAGCATCGGTAGACCCCCACGTATGCTCGTCCAACTTGACCAGTACCACTTCTGACGGGCTGCAGCCAAAACACAATGCGATCTCGAGCATACTCTGGATACACGCACGCCCGCAGGTCCGAGCTACCGGTATTTGCTCGAGGGTATGGCTGCCACACATGCACATTTGGACGCTCACGGTTCGCGAATCTATACAGTCTCCTTAGTCGTATGTCTCCTTCATACCAATCGCAGCAAGGTTCTGAAAGCTCGTCAAGGCACAATGTCCGAAAGTTATCAACCCGAGCGACCGCATGCCCGTCAATCTGATATCGCCTGAAGAGGGGCGCGTCGTGAGTGCCTACATCAGGATGGAGCCACCTATCACTCTCTATGACGGCTGGCACGCTACGCAGGCACGTCAAGGTCGGCTTATCTGAAGCGCGTCACTGACCGTCCTGTTTATGCAGCCAGTGACCGGAGCTACTGTCATGCTCGTTGAGCCCAGTGGCATCTCGAACCTACAAGGAGCGAGTCTTATTCTGGAGTTTCCAGTCGATGTCTATCTCTCAGCAGAGATGAACGCCATCTGGAATAACTGGTAAGATCTAAGCTACGATGATCGTTCATGCGCTCACGGCAAGTGCAGTTGCCGAGCTTACATCGAGGCGCGCATATTCCTCACGTACACCGTGAGCGAGCTCGACCTCTAACATTACTCTACCTGACGGCATGGCAGGGTGACGTGACGGTCCATTCCTTTACCATTCGGCTCGATTGCGGAATTCTGGCAGCGCCTCCGAGAGAGTGCACAGCAAACGACTTAAGGAGGATTGGGAAGCCAATGGGTGCGGATCTTCATGCACCCACGCAGACTTAGCTCACGAAGGCGTAGAGCATTCATATTGTCAGGGCGACCTGCAGGTGACCGCGACACCGAAGCCGTTCCCGAGCAATACGCTCTAGCCCGCGGGCGCATTACGCACAGCAGGATGTTATTCCGCAAGTTGACGGCGTGCGAAGCTACCCTTGACAATACGATGGCTACGTCAATCTCCGATTGGGTGACGCGGTGACGCGAGTGATCGAGCCCCTCATCGGTGTCCTGGCCTGACTTATCGTGGCCCGCGTCGTTGCTCGTCGATCACCCTTTCCATGCCTCGCCTGACTCTGATTCTTGGCTCCGCTGTCCTACTTGTCCATTTCGCCACTGTTCTGGGAGCTCCTTCACCATGGCCACGCTCGTCTGAGTGGGAGATCACTGGTCGGCTACACGCCCCTTGACAGCCTGAGCTTACGTTCTAGTCCGCATCCAGCCGAAAGCCAAGCGACCTGTCCTGTGCAAGCAGAATCCTTCAAATTCAGATACTATGATCCCGGTCAGGCCGGGCTGCTATTGGAAACGGTCAAGTTGGAGTTCGGTGGTTATTCGCTTGCAGAGATTGCGCAGCCACCCGTATGTCATGGTCTCAGTCTGCAACCTCACACTCTCAGAAACAGACAGAGATCATCAAATTTAGTATGGGAAGCCTTTCCGGACAGCCGTGTGTACTCACCCGCAGGCTACTGGATGCTCTTGCGTCTTTCCCTCACGGTCAGGCCCGGTAACGATGACAATTTGATCGACAACACATGGACTTCGCCGTATGCTCAATGCTGCAATGTCTTGGTCATAATGGACATCATGATCGATTTGGTGAAAGGCCTGTTTGCCCCGATGAAGATACCGACATCGTTGACAACCATTTTGCAGGTCGCTACAAAAGTGCAGGCAACTTCGCGATGCGGTCCGTGCCGGTGCTAATTGACCCTTGACCGTCTGACAAACAAAGCCTCAGTACGTGTCGAGCCGCAAGTGCCTCAACACCGGAAGAGCGTGCTCAATATCCCGGCTGTCCGGAAACGTATACTGCGCCGGTCGAATGTATGTCTGCCTAGTAGTGTGGCAATCTGCTGGCTCATGTCACACGATGTAGTATCAGCATTGTGTAGCAAAGCAGATGCTACTGTCACTGTCAGACAGTATGCAATATGATTTGCGCGATCGTCCTGAGCTGCATTGGACCTTTCGTTCACTAAACGACAGAACGGGAGTAGCGCGTATATCCACACGCTTCTTGTTGCCTCGCTCGTTGAGCTGCGAGCTAGTTGTCTAGCTAGGTGTGCGAGACGATACTCGTGCCACCAACAACGAACGACCTACCATGCAACATCGTGCGTTAGATTATATGGCAACAAAGCAGTGAGACTACTAACGCGGTGTCCACCTTGCTCGTGAAATCAAGACGATGGCCGTGCATCCACGAGCCGAGCATCTGCAGGTGTCTCCAAGCTCAGTATTGGCGCGCACGGACTTCAAAGACTTGCCTGCCAGCCGATCACATTCGACGTCGTCGCGCCTGCCGAGTAGTAGACGCGAACATCGATGTAAACGTATTCGGTTGGCGAGACGGGGTTGACGACTGTACGCTTGCTCAGCCATGATCCGCTTGGCAACGTGAGAAGGGATACATGTCAAGGCTTGGTATGAGTCACCATCAGACGTGCTGGTACCAAAACCGGTAGTGTGGACTTGACCGACGTTGGGCGGTGTGACCTGCAGGTACTGTCGGCCTATCGCAATCAGCGAGAGGACCTGTGCCAAACAAATCAGACATACGCCGCCGTAGTCGCTATCTGCCTGATAAACGATGCCGATGTTAAATTTGAGTACGTAAGGTGTATGGCCGCCATCTTGAACGGTCAGCACTGTATCCCAGCTTCGTTTGGCGAGATGGTTGGTGGTCGTCGTCACGCCCGTTGTAGTAGGCAAGCCACCGACGAACGTGCTCGCAAGAGACACCAAAGCGAGGGCAGAAGTGAAGAACACCATGATTTCAGAGATCGAGGCTGTCACAAAGCGTACACGATAGGTCGATCAACAGTCACTTGAAGGTTGAGAGGACAAAAGATCGAGGAAAGGATGAGACGAACGATGGCCACGAAGCATGCGTCATCGAATCTCGCGAGACCCCTCTGGCGCTGACATTTCCCTCGCGACGCGGATAGCTCGACGCTGAAATCGGATTGAAATCATTGCGTCTGCAGGACCACATAGCCTCGAGCGATGGCAGTCTTACTGCGCACCGATAGACAAAAACTCTGTGCGAAAACTGACTTCAGGCGCCTCACAAGACATGCGCGCTGAGAAGCTCTCTATCAGCAACTTAGCGCTGATCCCAGCCGCCGCATACCTGGTGGGTGTGCAATGTCGGTGAGATAGCAAGCTGTGTATGGATCTGATTGGCTCTTTTGGGCTGCTTTCGACATAAGCTGCGATATCACATGGACGACGGGGATCAAAACGAGCCTTCAGCATCCGTCAAACACTCCAATATGAAGTCATCTGATCGACGATAGGTCGTCATCTGGCCTATGTATGGCTATCAGTGAAATTCTCAATATAGACGTTCGGCTGACGCATTCTGAGATTTATTGTGAGCCTGAATTTAAGCATGCCGCGGCAGCTGCGAGCTTGCGTCACTAGCGTTCTGTTGTGAAGCATACTCACCATCGCTCAAAGGCGGCCAGCTCGTCAGTTCTTGGATCCCAGCTCGCTTTGACTGAGATCTGGAGACGGACAATGTCTGCGTCGTCCGAAGGCAAGACCTTGCGCGCCCTTTACTTTTTGTGGTCTTATACTGTTTAGATTGCTCACCACTATCTCTGTATCTTGCTGCGCAGGCCACACGACTCTTGTTGCCCATTTTGCGCCTTGACTTGGGTTGATCGAGGTAGCAAAAATCATTTGCAGAGGAGACTGAGCTGTGTTGAGGAATCGGATCGTGTTGATGTCCGGATGGAGATGTGCTGGCTTGCACGTTGCTTCGAGACTAGCGGATAGATATGTCTTGATTGGTGCGGGTTGCTTGGGCCCTTCGACGTGGAAGTTGTAGGAACTGTCGCAAGGCGAGATAGCCTGCGGCAAGTCAGGCCCGACACGTTGACAATGCTGATTCGCTCGTGATTTGGTATGCGGCTTGCAGTAGAGCGTCATGACACCAGGCGATAGCTGCCCCATGACTTGCGCCTTGGCATCGATTTCAAGCCGCAGCACGAGCTCAATCGAACAGCTACAGCCATCTCAGCTCCGCGGCTGATCTTTCACCAAAGGGCCAGACCAGTCTGCCACTCGTGAATGTGCCGGTATCGTGAGGCGAGCGATCAAGGCTACGCCCCGAGTCGTAGCCTCAGTCACCCTCGTAGAGCCTTGGAAGCCAGTCTCTGTCTGTTGCTATGGCTTAGACCGCACAGATGTTCCTGAGATGTCCTGCTCACTTCGAGTGACCAGGCGTCCTGCTTTGTCGGCGGCGGAATCATTATCAATCTGAGCATCAGCGAGTCAAGAGCGACGTGAGTATCGCCGACGGTAGACTTGGTATGACAAGCTCCCTGTCGATCTGAGCATACATCGGTAAAGGATCTCGCGTGAGCTGACCCGCACTTGCCACAATGTGACTTCATAATTCTGTCGTCCCGATACTGAGAATTCCTGAGCAGTAGCAAACAGAGCGCTGTAGAGGCTCAGAAGGCATGAAAGCATCATATGGGGCAGATGGCTGCAGTGACTACGCCGTTGCGCGAATATCAAGTGTGCCGACCGACACGTGTCTAATAATCAATGATGGCAGTGAGAAGCTAGGGCGACTGGGCAATCTGCATGACTACCTGGGGGAAACCATGTGAGCTGCAGACTCTGCGCCTGTGTACTTCAGCCAGCTCATGCTCGAGAAGTGCAAAGTAGATTGTTTCGACAACACTGCAATGGTAAGGCATAGTTCACACGCGTAGCCAAATGGAGCATTGCCTCATCGAGTATGTCGCTACGCTGCAGAAGCATCGGGCCTTGACTTTCCTTCGAGAAACCGCATGTATCGGGACCAGATGGGCGTTTTTGAAGGTGATACAGCAGTAGCGCCAGATGCAGGCGTTTTGCCTTGTAGCGTCAAAGCGTTGCCGACAACAAAGAGCGCCGCCTTTGCCCGAGTAAGTGCGACGTTCAGTCTTCGCCTATCGCTCAAAAACCCAAGCTGAGAATGCTTGTTAGATCGTACTGCCGAGAAAACGATGACCTCTTTCTCTCGCCCTTGGAAGCCATCGACTGAGCTGACCTCGATCTGATCAACTCTCGCACCAGCGGGGAATCGCCAGCTTTGCAGCATCATTCGTCGAAGACGATGCACTTGCCCAGCATAAGGTGTGATGATACCGATGTCCGAGCAGCGCAAGTCAGAATTGCGTGCAAGCAGGTCTCTGACGATGAGAGTGATTTCTTCCGCTTCGCCTTCGTTGATGTACGACTTTCCTTCCTTCTGCTCGAGGCCATCACAATTAATAAAGGTCAGCGCGCTCGATTTGCCAGCAGGAGAGAAGCGCGATCGTATTGCCGCTTGCTTCGATTTGAGCGTACTCGGCGCATCACGAAGCTGTCCGCGATAAAAGGCCATGTTGGGGAATTTGGAGATGTCAGGATGCATACGGTACTGCGTGTCGAGCATGACGGACGGCACGCGCTTGCTGACCATCAATCGCTCGAACAAGCTGATGTTGAAGCCCTCTTGGGTCGCATCAGGACTCTGTTCCCGGTCATGAGCGCAGACCACAGTGAGCTCAGAGAGGCCGCCTCACCATTGCGATAGACGGCAGCTGCTTGTGATCGCCGATGAGGACGAGCTGCTGACTGCCCTTCATGAGCGGCACTAAAGTGCTTGCCTCATTACATTGCGCAGCTTCGTCGATGAAGACGATGGGGAAGTCAATCGAGGCAACATGCGAGACCGAGGCGCCGAGGCAAGTGGAGAAGATGACATCGACGTTCGAGCATATGTCAGCCCAGATGAGAGACTCCAAGAAGTATCGCGATGACAGGACCCGCTTGAACTTTGTATCGACAGCTTCGTCGGGCGTTGCAGCGGGACCGATACGCTGATGATCTAGCCCTCGTATGCGATCCGACATGACTTCTAGCTTCTCGGCAAAGGGGTGACGGGCGACTTGTGCAAGCATGCAATATGGTTCTGCAGACGGACTGACTTTGTCTTCAAGCCCAACGCGTAGTGGTCTCAGACCAGCTTTGACAGCTCGTGCGAGCAGCTGATCGACTGCGACGTGAGTAGGAGCGCAAACGAGAATCGGCTGCGGGACCTGAAAGTGCACCTTGAGCAGTCGGAGCGCTTCGATGATGGTGATTGATTTGCCGGTGCCGGGAGGGCCCTGGATGAGTGCACACCTGCTGCTCAACGATTGCGCGATTGCTCTGATCTGGGTTCGATTGAGATCGAGCACCGGGTCTCCTTCCAAGACGATGGGGTGAGACCGAGTGTAGCGTTTGACCCAGCTGTACAGGAGCTGGTTTGAGGCGACAAAGTCGGGTACGTCTGTAGCGCCTTTTGCATACAATCTGTCATCTAGTATGACGTCTCGCAAGCCTGTGCCCAGCAAAGGATGCTCTGGGTACTTCTTGTACGCCGCTCCTGTCCTCTTGGTGAAGATGGAAGCGTTATAGCTCAATTGCGGCTGCAGATCGGTAGAGAGCAGGTCTACAGCGAGAGACTGCCGTTTGTAGCTTGCGTCGTCCCAGGCCAGCTCTATAGAGTACAATTGATCCTTGCCGGGCACGAAGAGTGAATGAGCATCGATCTCTGGCGTGAAGCACTCGGAGCGAAGAGAGATGCTGTCTTTGAAGACGCGAGTAACTCTAGCGGTCCAAGCGGGCGATTCGGGCGTGATGGGCTTGCCATCTCGCACAATGACGATCATGTTGGTTCGAAAGGAATGTTCTGGCAGCTCGGAGAACGTCCGTCCTGGCAGACTCAGACTGAAGCTGACGCCAATGCGCCCATCATCTGCCGGGCCCTCGTGCGTGTCCGGATCGGCTTCTTTGGTGCGTTTACCGGACTTGCGCTTTGGGTTCGTCGGCCCGTTGGTCCGTGCGGTAAGCCCCGTAAGGACTGGTTGAGTGTCGAATGGCAAGTCTTGCAGAACACGATCAAGCTTGCCTTGCATGACTTGGCAGAGCGTTGCATATCTCTCTGCTCCGATCAGTCGCTGGGTCCTGTGATTGTGATGCCAGCACAGTCAGACATCAGGCTCGTCCAAATACCTGCGGACTGACTTTGCAACATAGCTGTCTACTTTGCCGCCTGTCTGCTGCTCTGTTTGCTTGTGGGCTTTCTCCAACTCTTTCATGAGATGAGATTTCATGGGCTTCCGACTGATCTCGGATGGTCGGAGCAAGAGTCTCTGACTGGGCGAGCGCGAAGAAGCTCGCAATCGCCAATCGTAGCGTCCCGAAAGAGGCTGCAACGCTTTTGGCTGCTCTGCGATCGCTTGTGTAGGCGACTGCTGAACGGCCGCTGTCTCTTCTGCATGCTCGGCAGGGGCAGGGACTCCACTTGGGCCGGTCTCAAGGTGATCGACAGTCTTGGTGCTTTCTCTGACAGCCTCGATGACAGAAGCATGACGCCGTTTGCCAGGCCTGAAGCGGGTAGTCTCCTTCTTGGCCTTTGTCTGCACGATGATCTTGTCCGTGCTCTTCGTTGCGCTAGGCTTGATCTGGACAGAGCGAGGAGGCAAGGGGGGTGGCCGTATGGCACCCGCCTGCTGAAAATGGTGTGCGTGTTGCCATCGTCTCGTGCATTCTTCGAGTGCTCTGCTGAGATTGACGAGACTTGAAGCTGCCCTGCCAGAGTGAGCAGTGCGAGCAGTGAGCATCTAGCCGGGAGCCACTAAGCCGATAGCTGCCTCATCATCTGCTTGCCTTGTTCGATGGGAGCCACACTCGACATCCACATAAAGACGAGCGCGACCTCAGCGTGGTCTCAGCTCGAGGCGACAGCAGTCGACGACGAAGCGACCACAGCTTTGTTCACTCTTGCCTCAAAGAGCCAGCAGACGATCATCGGGATCAACCCACCTGCTCCTGGCCTGCATGGCCCTCCGGCGCGAGCTCAAGCGGGCAACTTGCGCCGTCACACGACAGGCTCTTTCCCCACATTCCTCGAGACGATATGCTGCCCTTGCGAGCTTCCCCAACGAGCCCACCGCACCCTCTGTCATCACGAGCACCGTGCCAGGCCCAGTCTCGATCGAAGCCAGCGAGAGCATCGGTAGCTTTCAAGAGAATCGCTCCCATGTCCTCGTGGGCGATTATTCAAAGTCGATCGGCAACTATCTCGTCGACGTAGACGGCAACGTCGTGTGTGCACTCCGTCGTTCATCAGGATCCTGCTGACAAGGAGCCAGCTCCTCGATGTCTATGCGCAAATCGCAAGCAATGCGATTGGCTACAATCATCCAGCGCTCATCGATCTCGCGCGCTCAGACGAGTTCATCACGGCTGCAATGAACCGACCCGCCCTGGGCAACTTTCCACCCAAGATCTGGAAAGACCTACACACGACAGGACTGCTCAAAGTCGCACCGGAAGGTCTCAGCAATCTCTTCACAATGATGTGCGGCTCCTGCGCCAATGAGGCAAGCTTTGATTTTCTTGGCTCCTTTGCCAACCTGACACTGCCCATTCAGGGTGCAATGAAAGCGGCCTTTATAGCCTACCGTGCACGCGAGCGCAAGGACGCGCTAGCCTTCACCAGCGAAGACTTATCATCTTGCATGAAGAATGCAGCGCCCGGCTCACCCGATCTGAGCGTCATGTCCTTTACCTCTGCTTTCCACGGCCGCTTGTTTGGCTCCCTGAGTCTGACTCGCAGCAAGCCCATTCACAAGCTCGACATACCTGCTTTCGACTGGCCAGCCGCTACCTTTCCCAAGAATCAGTACCCGCTCGACGAGCATGGAGAGGAGAATGCCAAGGCAGAAGCAGCTTCACTGGCCGAGGTTGAGAGCATCATCACGACAAGAAAGCAAGAAGGCAGACCGGTGGCAGCACTCATCGTTGAGCCTATCCAGAGCGAAGGGGGCGATCAGTAAGCGCGACTGCAGACAAGCCCGCACAGGCTTACCTCCTGAGTAGTCACGCCACGCCGGACTTCTTCAGAAAACTGCAGACCGTGCTCAAGAAGCACGGCGTCTTCTTCATCGTCGATGAGGTCCAGACTGGCTTCGGCGCGACCGGCAAGTTCTGGGCGTACGAGCACTGGGACCTGCCCAGCCCGCCAGACTTCCTCTGCTTTTCCAAGAAAGCACAAGCAGCGGGCTTCTTCCACAGCATCGATACTCGAGCAGGTTGGTACCACCAGTACTCACGCATCCTGACATTCTGACCTTTTCGACGCAGCTGCTCCCTATCGCAACTTTAATACGTGGATGGGCGATCCTATCCGATCCATGCAAGCCAGAACACTCATCAACGTCATCCAAGAGAACGATCTCGTCAGCAAGACAGCACAAGTCGGTCAGATCCTGTACGATGGCCTGAACGGCCTCTCGCAAATATCCGCAGGCAAGGGCAAGATCAACTCGCTAAGGGGCAAAGGTGCAGGCACTTTTATTGCATTCGATGCAGCCTCGCCTGCCCAACGAGACGGAATCATAAAAGGTCTGAAGCAACGGGGCGTCAATGCGGGAGGATGCGGCGAGATGGCGGTCAGGTTACGGCCCATGCTCGTCTTTGATAGAACACACGCAGACATCTTTCTGGGCACGCTCGAGGACACCCTCAAATCATTGTAAATTGCATGAGCATGATGACAACATGATGACAGTTCTGCGGTACTGCTGTAGGGTCCTTTGAGTGCTCATTCGAAGAGCTTGTGGATGTCTTCCTGCGTCTCGAGCAGGCCAGACGTTGTTGCGATGAGACCCTTGAGACGTTCGAGATCCTCGCCTTCGTACGACATCAACGGGCTCACTTCGATCTCCTTGTCGCCCAGCTTTGCACCGGCAGCCTCAAGCCAGCGCTTTTGTTGGTTCAAGAGATCGGCTCTGTGTGCTCATCAGCGCGTGTGACAACAGAGTCCGATACACGCACCTTGACGTTTCCGGGCAGTCCGATCCTGAGCCCGGCGCATTCTTGAGCGGGGAGAACTCGTCCTTGCGTTCGACTTCAAGCAGAGCCATCTTCTCCGTGAAGGGCAGGACATCAAAGATGAAGAGCTCGAGCTTCATTCCATTGGGCTTGCTGGGCTTCTCTTCCCTGCCATTCTCGAGCGAGACATGAGGGATCTTCTTGCGAGCGACATGGTATGCCATTTCCTTTTGAAACGAGGCAATTTTTTCGAGAAATTCGAGCGTGTAAAAGTGGTTGGCGATGTTGGCGGCGCGAAAAGCGAGCTGGTTGCCGTCTTTGCGGGCAGCGAGCTCCTTCGGAATCTCAGAGTACTCGATGACGTTGAATTTACCATTTTTGAGAGCGACAACACCGACTGATTCGTCAGGATGGGTCTTGACGACCGTCTTTGTGCCACATTCGGCGCCAGCGTGGATGCAGTAGCCCACAAAGACGGGGTCTGCGACTTTGGCGAGACAGTTGTCGACGCAGTAAGCGTGGAGGTAGCGGATACCACGCGATGCCATGTCTGAGAGAACAGTCCCTTCTTTACCGGTTTCGAGAGGCGCGCGTAAAGCAGCGTCTGCACTTTGATCAGCCTGAGAAAATAGAAGAGGCGAGCAAGTGTACAAATGCCACCGTTTCCGTCAGGCGCAACAGCGACGTGCGATTTGGTCTCGAGGAAAATCTTGCCGTCGTCGGTCAGGCACGGCAAGACGCCTGTGGGATGTGAGCCTAATCGCACGGCATAAAGCGCGCTTACCTTGCTGGAAAAAGACGACGTTCTGCGCAGCGAGACCAAAGTAGTTGTGCTCGACGAAGAAAGCTTCTGTCGCCTTTCGAGTGGGTCCACTGGTCATGACGTACCAAGTGAGAACACCACTTGCGAGAGTTTGGAGTCGCTTGATGCGCTCGCCTTGAAGCTGGAAGAGGGACTTGCCCGAAGGCAGCTTGATGTCGTAGGCACCTTTGGGAGCAGACGAGCCAAGGCGAGTGCCCTGACCGCCTGCGAGCAAGATGACAGCTACTTGGCCTTCCTTGATCGCATTCAGGCCACGTTCACGGTAGCCTGACGCTTTGTTTGGATCGGCGACGAGCGATTCCACACTGGAAGCGGGCGGAGGCTCGATGCTGATCGAATCAGTATCTGGCGTGGCCTTTTCCGCCTCGACGGCGGTCTTGAAGATGCCATTCAGCTCGGCTACATCGATGGTATCGAGTTGCTCGAGCAGTGCCCCTTGCTCGGCTTCTGACAGCTCTTCGTAGAAATGCAGCACATGCTCTTGACCGGCCTTGGTGTAGCGCTGCTTGATGGCCTCATACGTGCTCATGATGCCGGCTTCACTTGGCTCAGAAACTCGGCAAATCACGTCTGCTGTCTTGTCAGTCGCGTCAGATCGTCTCGGTCGATCCGTCGCGTGTCAACGTGGCCAACATCTCGCGTCATTACGAGGTCAAAGTCTTCGATGGACGTGCACATGCGTTTCCAGCCAGACTCTGCTTTGCTGCACTTCTGGACACGCGTTTCGACCGGATCCTGGTCTGGTTCTGCCGAGTGCAGTCACTGATTGGGCGCGGGTCGATAGGGATCGTTCCAATGAAGGGGTATATTACCGTTTGGGCAGACCGTGCCTACGGGCGGAAAATGTCAGCTTCGTGGGAAGTGTACATCATCGCGCATACGGGATGCTAGTATCAGGTGGCTGCAGTCGACGCCGAGGAGAGAACGAGGAGGCCCGCAGATGAAGGATAGCTGGTCGTGACCCCATTGTTCTATGCCGTCTTCGAGGGCGTCAGCTCGGTGTGCGCTACTGCGGTAGAGAGCGATAGTGACGGACATCGCTGGCTACGGAGGAACCACGTTCGACGGAGCGTTCCTTCGCAGCAGAACCGGACTGCGCAAGACTCAGCGCCGGCTGAGCATATTGAATAACCTACCAATAGCCTCTTGAGGACGCACGGTCCATTCGACGATGAGCATTGCATCGTCATCATCGGCAGCTTTACTTGAGACCTGTCGCTCTGTCTGAGTCACGACGCCACTAATCAGCAAAGCCACCTTTACCGATACGCCAGGAGCGTCGGTGAAGCCCTGCGGCACGCTCGAGGAAGCTGTCAATGCAGATCGAGAGCGGCTCACCATGCGTATCTGTGTATCACCCCATCGGCGAACCTCGACCGATTGTATGAACTAGCTGTATACATGAATTCCTGGGTCGTCTCATGTCAGCAACAGACGCACCGGCGTGGTGGACAAAGTGAATTCGGAAAAGTCCGGCACAGTGCCAGGCGGAAGAGTACATTGAGCCTGCCATGCCATGTGTTGCAGCCAGATCGGCCGGTCCCACGGACGGACGGACCGTAAAGGAGAGATTAAGATAGTATATTTGCCAATCACCTATCGCCATCAGTTGGGCCGGGTTAGATGATTTTTGATGCTCTTCCAGCGGATGAGGGCTAGCGGGTATTGTGAGCGTAAGCGTGAGGATGGCCGACCAAAGGGGCAGCTTCATGGTCGTTCGCGATGAAGGGAATAGTCGCCGTTACTTCTTTGCACCTCGCTCAGCGCTCACTAGCTCCTCGTGGTATCCTGAAACAGCTTGCATACATCGACACAACCGCCCAGCATCTTGCTCGAGGGACTTTGTACCTCAGCGGTGAAGGGTCCGGCTTCACAAAGCCTCTGCATTGTCATCGTGAGCCTGCATTGGCGCGCGCAGGCCGCAGACTTGTACGGTTGAGACGCGCCGATCAGCCTGAAGCAATCGTGCCCTTTCCGATAATGTACTACTGCTGAGAGGACACTGACGGCATGCTGCTCTGGAGAGCTTTAGAGGTGATTGCCTATTTGGCTCGCAAGGCATGCAGTAGTCATCGATGTGGATTCCGGTTAGCAGACGGTCAGATGCCAGTCTACCGCGAAGGGAGATTGCTGTGTGATCTGACAGCCGTGCATTCGGGACTTTGCAATGTACATGGTGGCATGAGTTCCACGGACTACTGGACGGACATCTGGATGCAAGGATGGAGAAGCTATGGCTTCGAGCTCGAACAGGCCTCGAACGTTTTCGGCGTGTGCTTGGGCATACGAAGGGCAAGACTGGAGGCCATCCTCTAGCTTTCGCAACCGCTGGTCGAGCTACACGTGTTGATCAAGCTGGCGGGCTACTGAACACGGTGTCGTGTACTTCGGGAAAGCGCTTGACTGGTGATGTCGATGCACCACAGCTTCAGGAGTGATCTTGAAATCTCAAAGCCTCCGCTTTGTCGACGAAGCGGTAGATGGCTGACTGACTGATTCAAATGAGCGGCTGAGACAGGGCTGATCGTCGGTCGATAGGAGGCTGTACAGAGGCTCTGCAGGCTTGGTGGTGCTTCAGGCTTCAACACGCGCTTCAGCTTCGTTGCAGTTGAGCTCGAGCGCTCGTGACGACATGGCGGCAGCCTCCTCAGGACAGCCTGCAGGCCAAGATGTGCCGCCACGGATATCAGCAGACCTGATTGACCCGCCGACGCAGCGTCTCTACCTGGTCTCGCTCTTTGTCGGGCTGCAGAGCTATAAAATCTATCAGCTCTGCCGGTCGTCTCTTCCGCTCACAGTACTCGAGTCCCTAGCCAGTGCTAGCCTGATCAGTGATGGCACACTCACCCGAGCGCTCTACCTGCTCGGTCTGACGAATGATCAAGGAGAAGAGGCAGCGCTGCCGAGTTTGATCACGTGGATCTTGCTCGACCTCGTCTTTTGTCTCGTCATTGTGCCTTTGCTACGCATACCAAGGCTGAGACCAGCTCTGCTTCATCGAGCGGCAGCCTGTGGACTGCTCTGCTTCATCGACTTTGCATTCCTCGGCAATTACACGCTGTCCACCCTCCTCGCTTTCTTTGTGCCGGGCACGCTCTCATCCATCTTTGACTACCGTGTCGGCCTCTCAGAGACGCGCGTCAGGCTCTCGACTGTCATGGGCACGCCACAGTCTCATCTCGAAGGTCAAAAGACCGTGAGGATTCTCGCTTTTGCGACTGCGCGCTTCGAACCGCTCGCAAAGAGCTACTGTCTTTCGTCTGAACAAGCATCTGCATCGCTGCCCATCGAATTCAACAACACCGTTCCAGCATATCTGCAGTACTCGGTTGCACCTTTTGACGGCAGCGAGCAAAAGTCACTGTACAACATCACTGCCTCTGAACTCATCTCGCCCTCATCGACCGGGCGCACGTATGACGATCTGGACGATGACGACGAATGGTCCGAGCGGCCGGCACAACGTGCTGCTCGACAACCCGTGCGCGCTAAGCAGACCAAGATCTACCATCTCAAAGTACCCCAGACGGGTCTCATCAGACTCGAGAGGATACTCGATCGACATGATGTTGACATTCGCCTGCCGGATAAGCACTCGCCTCTGCTCATCGTTCAATGCCCACAAGCCTCTTTTGCGCCTTTGCAAGCACGCGCGTCTCGCCCTCGGTTACACGACGACGAGCATCTGTGCGAAGGTCAGCAAACGCAATACGACGTCCATGTGCGCGGTGTGGCCCCCTTGTCGGTTTCATACCGTTGGCAATCGCTGTCGACGGCGAAGCAGCAAGAGCACATTGGCAAGGACAGGAGCAAGACGCTCAAGCTCGAGAGCCTTGTCCAGCCTGGCTCACCTGCTCACAATCTCCTCGCCCGGAGTGACTATCGCTGGGCCGAGCCGCAGCAGCTCACAGTACCCATCAAACTGACGACGACCCATGCAGGCATATTCGAATATAGCCTCGATACCGTCACGGATGCTCTGGGCAACAGATTGGACATCGCAAGCCAGCGCGAGAGATCAACTGCGAAAGGCAATCTGGAAGTTCGAAAGATGACTGTGTATGCACCTGCCCAGATAAGCTTTCTCGGCTGCGACGATGAGCCGGCGCGTCTGTTGCGAGGCCGTTCGACCTCGCTCAACTTGCAGATTGAGGATGGTACAGACGCACCTTGGACTATCAGGATAGCCTACACACCGGAAGCGGGTGCAACTGCCAAATCACGGGCATGGGATCTCACAAGCTCCGAGCGCAACAAGCGCTTCGCCGTCTCCGACCCCGGCAGCTACGACATTGTCTCGGTCAAGGGCTCGCATTGTCCTGGCGCCGTACTCCTGCCCTCGACGTGCCGCGTGATTGATCAGCCTGCGCCCTCCGCAAATATTGTATTCGAGCGGATCCGAGATGACTGTGCTGGCGAGATAGGCATCAGGGTCAAAGCCGACTTGACAGGCGTACCTCCGTTCAATCTGCACTACCGCACGTTGAGAGATGGCCGAGTCATCTCGACAAAGTCTCAGCGTATCTTGCGTTCGCGAGAGGAAATCAATCTACAACCGGACACGCCAGGAAGCTACACGTACGAATTCGATCGGCTCGATGACAGGCATTACTCCGATATCAGGCTCTCCGCCTCAGTTGCTCAAACCGTCCATTCCCTGTCCAGTGCACGCTTCACCGGTCCGGGTGATCGGGTTCTGTGGAGCTGTCAGGCGGGTGAGACGCTAGAAACTAATGTCGAGCTGTCGGGCGTCGGGCCTTGGTCACTCAAGTATGGCCTACGTTCCGGTCAGACTTCTCAGCGAGAATTTGTAGCAAAAGATATCAAGGCTGCCTCGCATATCCTCAAGATTCCTTTGCCAGCGGATGCGCTAGTATCGGGCAATCGCCTCGTCATCTCATTGAGTAATTGAACACGATTTTGCTTGCGTACAAGCTGATGGTAGTCGATCAATAGTCTCTGTGACAGATGCACGAGGCTGTCAGCGCTCTTTGACTGTGCCAGACGTCAACATCGAGATCAAGACAACAAATCCTGTTGCATCGTTCGCTGTGACGGCCGGCGAAGCAAATGTGAAGATCAGGGCGGGCGATTCCGCTTCGTTGCCAATCCGCTTGTCGGGTGAAGGCGTGAGTGGTGCATCATCGCGTTCACAAAGAGCCTCTGATAAAGTACTCTGCAGCCCTGGACGGTCGAGTACCGGCATTCAGAAAGCAAAGGACCGCCGAGGAAGGCTATCTTTCGCTCGCATAATGCCGACCTGCTCGTCGATATGCGTGGCAGCTACGAGCTCGTCTCCGTCCGTGATCAGCATTGTCCAGGTACAATCGACAGGTCGCATGCAAAATATGGCGTCGAGTTTCTCCCTCGACCGGCTGTGAGAGCTATCGAGGGCTCATCTGCTGCTTCCAATGGCTCCGTCATACTCCCGCCCGTTTGCGAGGGTACGGGCGACGCATTTCAGCTTCAAACAGAAGGACAGTATCCCCTCGAGCTCGCTTATACCATCCAAGGTCCCGGCAGTCACAAGGAGAGCAAGACCGTGCAAGCTGCTCAACAAGTTGCAACAATCATGCTCGATACGTCCTTTGCGGGTCATCGCATCTACACAGTCACTTCGGTCAGCGATACACTTTACATCAAGCCACGCGCAGATGGCGTCAAGAGTCCAGTCCCAGGCATCGGTAAACCTCTCAGATACGAGCAAGATGTTCTTAAAAGGCCCGATGCCATAATTAAGGTCGACGCCGACAAACAGTTTTGCGCGGGCCAGAGCATCAGCTCAATGCCTGGCTTGACCGTCCATTTCTCGGGACAGGCACCGTTTGAGGCAACGTTCGAAGTCAGGGAAGAAGGACAGACTGTGCCGGACACGTTTACGGTTGATGATATACGGACTTCTGAATGGGCCGTCGATCTGCCCTATCCGTTCGATCGACCCGGTAGACATCTCGTGGCGCTCAAGTCTGTCAGTGACGCTACAGGTTGCCGTCGTGACGATCTAGGCACTCGAAGCGAAGTGGCAGCAGCAGGTGCAATTTCCAAAACGATCATCGTTGCTGAAAGTGCAGCCATCAAGGCAGTACAAGCCCAGCGAGATCATTGCGTGGGCGATGTGCTGGATTACGTCCTACAAGGCGCAGCGCCCTGGACGATCACGACAGAGTTCAACGGGAAACGCACGACTGTGACGACCAGGAAGCCGCTTCTCTCGCGTCTTGCAGAATCGCCTGGCAATTTCAGCATTGTGGACATTGCGCACAAAGGCAGTAGCTGTAAGAGCACTCAGAAGGGTCTGCAGAAGATCATACATGGCATGCCCATCGCGCGCGTTGACGCGGGTTCTGTGGACATTCGCGAAGGCGACGAAGCGGAAGTCATCTTCACTTTCACCGGAACGCCTCCCTTTGCGTTTACGTACATTCGATCTGCCGGCAAAGGACGAAGGCGTCGAGTGGAAGAGACGCATACGATCACTGGGCTGATGGAGTCGACTTATACGGTCTACACCTCGCTCGAAGGGACTTGGGAAGTGACCTATGTCGCAGACGCATTCTGTGCATACCCTCAGAGGCCTGTCTCATCCGACACGCTCCTGCTAAAAGACTGACACGTGAGCGATGTAGCATGTACGTTGTGACAACAATGCCCTGTTCGGTCCCAGATCTAGCAAAGCGTGCGCGTGAGGTATGCAATCAGAGCACGCTGCTTTGTTGAAGCTTGCGATCCTCTTGCCACAGATTGAGCCCGGAACATGAGCAGACTTGCTTCGCATTTCCCCAGGCGCCTGCGCTCCTCGCAATGACGCCGGCCAGGACGCCCGGACCGAGCTGCAAGGCTTCACGCTTTTCCTGGTGCGAGAGCATCGTCGCGGTGGGCAGTGCAGGAGCAATCACCATTGCTCGACCTATGCTATCTTGCAGTCGGAAGTCCTTCAGCTCGGTGAAGAGATCGCCGTAGCCTTGCGAGTCTACATTGAGCTGACCGATATGTCGCAGCAGACCGCCGGTCGATTCTGGCCCACGCGAGACGTCGCCCGATCGTGCGCTGTCTTGCAGTATGAGCTGTGCAATGGTGAGCAATGCGGGGAGAGAGCTCACACGTAGACATGCCAGTCGGACGCGTCCTTTGGCGGTCGTTGTAAATGTGTGTGTTGAATGGTGAGATCGAATACGCAGAGCTCGCCGGCTTGCACCAAGCGAGCAATGCCATGGATCTTGCTTGGCTGATGTGATTCGAAGACGCAGACGCCGGCGACAGTCTCGCCTGATGCATCAGCTGATTGCGCTTAGTCAGCACCTCTCGCTCCTATAGCCCATTTGTGATTCGACTGACATAGACTGCCCATGCCGCGAACAATGACCTGTCTGCCCGACGCTTTGAGAGCCTTTTGTACGCTCGACGGCGGCACTGCATACGAGAAGCGTGAGATCCGCGGTGAGCAAGATTCGCGGGCTTTTCTGTCTCGGCACTGACCCCGGCCTTGGACGACGACGCGCTGGCTTGCAAGATCGATCTGACAGGCGTCTACGCCGTCGAGAGCATTCACAGTCCTCTTGATGGATTGAACGCAAGACTGCTCGGCCATTGAGACTGCAAATTCGAGCACGATCGGCTCTGTTAAAAGTGTTGTCGTCATCTCCAGTGAGGGACGCTGGCCAAGCAAGCGCGATGATGAAGAAGGCCGGTCTACTGTGCAATGCGCTGTAGACGATCAGGCGGGACTCGCTCTAAGCTGTAGGTTCGCAAATGGCGGGGGCACCTGCACCTCCTCCTCCACGACGACGATCTCGAGCGTGCATTAATCAATCTACGCGCTACTTTGCACCCGTGCCCGCGAATCTATCGACGTCCTCACGCTCAGCTTGACCGTCGCATGCGCCAGCGATGAGTCAATTTGTTCCGCGAGATGCAATCTCCATCTCGACCCGAGGATCCGAGAAGCAAGGACTGGCATCCGCTCGTGTCCAGTACGAGCTAGGCGTCAGTTTGACCCACGATGCAGACCTTCTACGGCTGACCAGGGAGAGAGTGCGCAGACTCTCAGTGAACGCTACCAGAAGCTCAACGAAGATCGCAAGCGGATTCTGCGCGAAGTCGGCGAGAAAGACTTGGAAAACTTGCGACTCAAGGAGCAGCTCGCTCGTATCAGAGCACAAGTAGGCGCAGACAAGGTACTTGCAACACTGAGAGCAGTCAGCCATGCAGTAATGACTCGTGGCAGGTACTCGAATCAGTGCGCAAGATCGTCACGCGCACTGTCCTGGATGAATTCCACGCGCCTGCTGAGTCGGCTCAGCACTCGCCGTCGCCTGCTAAGGTAGATAATGAGCACGAGACGGTGGCAGAGCCAAGCAAGAGCCGTAGTGATGATGAGGACAGCTTGCTGCCCGATGATGAAGATGACCAGGCAGACGATCTCGAGTTGATCTCAAGTCAGCTCATGTCTCAACGACCGTCGAGCGGCAAATCGCAGCAACGTAGAACAGTAGTCCTGGACTCTGATGACGACGACGATGCGCCGGCAAGTCAGCTGAGTGCAAAAGCGCAGGGCAAGCAACGGGCACTGGAGGAGCGACCCTACAAGCCAGTCGCCACAAGACAAAGTCTCGAGGATTGTGCCATCTGCATGGACTCGATGGATTTATCCCTGTCTGCAATGTTTACTTGCGGCCACATCTTTCATCTTGACTGCATACAATCCATACCAACGCAGGATGGCGATGATCATGGCAGCGCTTCGACAGGCACAGACGAAGACGAAGCAGCCGAGGTCGAGAACATCTTTGACGATGCATCGCCTGACAAACGCAAGAAGACTCTCAAGGACCCCGAACGCATATGCCCGCATTGTCGTCAAGTGAATGCCGATTCTGTCATTGTCAAACACTTGCTTGAACCCATCGAGGGCATGCAAGCAATCGAAGAAGTCTTATCTGCATGGTTCGGATCTGCAGAGCAACAGTTCGTTCTCACCACACCGCCACTCCTGAAAGCTAGGCTGATGCATGTACAGACTACTGGACCAGCAGGCGACCACACGGCGTAGTCGGTTTGTCGGCCGATCAGGCGCAATCAGGACTGCAAAGGAGAACCGCGAAGGAGAAGCGAGTGAGCGCAAGAGGGCAGGCAGCGAGGATGACGACATCTCAGACGTGTCTCTCGAATCCGATTCGTCAGAGTCTCATCGAGATCCTACGCCTCAGCTGGACGATATCGTCATCAGACGCACGCCTACGCCGTTCGAATCGACATCTTCCGAAACGGAAGCCGAGCCGGAGGTCAGCAAGAGTTCACCAAGAAAGCGCACGCGAAGGGTTGTGGAGAGTAGTAGCGATGGCGAGACCGATCAACTCAACACAAGCCAGGCTGGGCAGACGAGAGAAGCACGCAGGAGGAATCTGTCGAAGCTAGCAAAGAACAAGGCGCCCGCTCGAGCATATTTCTGACCCTCGATGCATCTGCTTTGTGTTCTACTCAGTCATAGATCAGGAGAATTTCCGCCCGAACACGACCATGTTCTCATCTGAGTCTGCTGTAGGGTAGCCAGACATTGACGTTACCATGCTGGGCATGCACTTTCTATGCTTTTGTCGTGCATCTTCAGGCCTTGGTTCTCAGATCTGCGCATTTGAGTAAGACCCACAGCACATGTCAAAGCTCTAGACACTTGCCGGAGGATGATGACATGGACTAGCAGACAAATGCTGAGTAATGGATCAAGTTATTTATCGACAGCAAGTGGCAGAATCAAGAACGACGAGGCCAGGCGGCTTGATGACGACGACTTGCTTGATCTCATCCGCAACAAGCCGCTTCCTTTTGCTTTTTACAGACCCCCTATTAACGCTGGCTCACAGACACTGGTCACGTCGAGCATGCTCGCTGTGCCATAGATTGCTTCGCATTGCTCCCATCTGGATCTGCTTGATATGACATGCTTCTCGAGCTTATGCATCAGCTTGAAAGTCAGCAAAGGCAGGATGCGCGAGCAGGCCGATTTCAGCATTAACGGGTCAAAATCAGTCTAACGGAGCGCATTGAAGATGCTCTGTTGGATAGCTGACTCCAGTAACGCTATTCAGATGCTCTGGCAGGCAGGTCTCGGCCTCTTTGAAGCTGACAAAGGTACTCGCTCTATACTGATCAATATGACCGACCGCATTGATGGTGTTGTGAGAACAGTGACGGCCCATGCTTGCAGAGCACCGTGTGGCTTGCCGGAAGCGGCAAAATCGTCGTGCAGTTTGCGGCGTTCCCGATCTGCCTTTGCGTTGAGCGATCATTGTTGTGAGTCGCCGAATCTTGCTTCCGTTTGGAGGTCGCGAAGGGACAGAAAGCGGTGGGTGTTCGCAACCAATGAGGATTCTCGCTGAAAATTCTATAAATCGAGAGGAGACGCACTGCCGGCATTTATTGCTGACACGTGTCGATTGCCATATAGACTGACACGTCATCGTTGTCAGGTAAAATAGCAAAGCGCGATTGCTAGTCAAACTAGCGGCCAGCGACCCCCTTTGCCAATCTTTTTCTGAGCAGTACAATGCATATGCAGGCAAATGCCTTCGCATGACTCTACATAGCTTAGCCCCCACCCTTTCTACGACTGACAATGTCGGTTATGCGCAGCAGCTTCTTCATACTTACGACGGAGAGAATTCTGATGCGAGCGCCTCGCCGACTGCTGTGTCACATTCCGCTGACTCTGACTGATCAACTGAAAACGGCTGATCTCAAAACAATCGTCTAAAGCAGATATCNTGCNCGTCNGTGTCTGGCTCTGTCAGCCGCAAAACGCGTANCTGCCTCAGATTGCGAGCTGACTGCTGCTGGAAGAGCCTGCCGGCAAGCAAAATCAGACTCGTGAAGATCGTGACTTGTGTCTCGTGACGAGGCTGTTGCGAGCAACGATTCGGCCAGGCTGCATGACCGTCGAAGAATCCGACGCAGAGCTTCTGATCGTAGCATCGCCGAGTGAGCAGCTTTCGATGAATCTGGCAGCAGGACAAGCTGAACCATGCAGAATGCAGAGAAATAGAAAACGCCATCTCAGCATGCCTTAAGCTACGCGCCAAGAACAGTGACGGCGCCAGCAGCTCATCACACTGATATTGCCTTGCCGTGGACAGCCCAGAGCCGGTCTTCAATGCTTGCACGGGCGCTCGCAGCTGAGCGTAAGCCTCGCAACCTCGCGGAGCGACGAGACAAGCGTACGTCGCTTGCCCTGCTCTTCCTCCTGCAGTGTGCTCAATGCGATACAATTCAGCCGCATCCTCGTTCTCGGCTGCATCTATAAAGGCGCATACTCATTTACAGCATCAGGAAATCCGAGGCAATGCACCTCGCTCGACGTCTCCTGGCGAATCATCTGCAATGAGGCTTCAGCGTATACCTCAGGCAGACGAGCAGCCTCATGCAAGCACGTGGCGTGTCACGCAAACAGACCGTCTGCCGTTTAATCATGCTCGCCTGAATCAGCACGTCTGCGTGATGACGGACTGAGAGTTGTCAAAGATCTCGAGTCATGTCCCATGCCTCATACGTAGCGTCCAGACGATCAAGACTACCAGCAGATTGAGCCTTCCCCTGGGACCAGCATCTCCAAGACCGGTTTTACTTCTCTTATGGCTGATCTTCTT